AAGCAATTTTGTCATATAAATAAATTAAGGACATACATATAGATACTTTGCATTTTTGTAAAAAGATGAATAAATCAATTTGAAGGTTTCGACTAAATGTTGTGTTTCACTCTTTGGAGATTGGCACAATTCCAGTCCTATGAAGAAAATATTCAAAATTTAAGGGATATCTAACACTAAATAGATTATTTTTTTAACTTTTATTTGTTTCGATAATCTCAGGAAAGTATATTCCTTTACTAAAAAATCCTTAAACATTCAATCTTATGCAAATAAAAATTAGAAGATTAAACCTTTGAATATTTTTTCTTAAAGTTATAAAAAATATATCAAAAATAAAAATTACAATATTCTTAAGTTAGATCAACTTTAGAGTTTTTAAAGCCTAAATAAATAACTTGAATCAATATAATAATCCATCGAAAGATTCTTATCAATTAGATCTTATCAGAATAAAAATAGGTGACATTTTAAACACCAAAACCTAAATCTTAGATTAAACATTAGGAGATCATTGAAATTAATTGTTAATCATACATATGTGGTGGAAAATTATAATATTGCAAACAAGGCTTTTCAAATCTTGACAATTTTTAAAAACATATAATAGTAATACATAAAGGAAAAAACATCTAAAAACAGCTTGAAAAATAATGATAATATGTAAATATGATTTTCTATTATATTTTGATCATAAAATGTGATCGTTTAGAATTTCAAGAAATCAATTAATTAAAAAAATAGTTATATATGATTTCAATAGACAATTTTTATAACAAAAATCAAATGTCAAAATTTGGAAATAATTACTGAAAAAAAATAGGTCTATACTATCAGAAATATCAGTAGGAGTAAGGAAAACCTACAGTTGAGTAACTTTATACAAACCAGCTTTGTGTTTGAGCAAAGAAAAAATGGTTGAAATTTAGGGATGATTTACATATGTGAATTAATGTAGTTAGAAGAGTGAAATAGTGTGGCTTTAATTGATATAACTCTAGTATATAAGAGAGGTGTAATATATCAATAGATAATCATCCATGATGACCTACCTCACTACCCTAATTATACCAAATTAAAGGGACCCTATCGCTGAAATTAGCATGAATCTAATTAACTACTTTCAGGATTCTCATAAATAGGTTGCCCTTCGGGAATAGGGTATGATTTTGAAGAGTGAGAATCTAGATATTGGATTATGATTTTTAAATGATATATTAATATATCAAGTTTAAAGGGGGTAATTTTTATCAGGACCCTTCATTATCTATAAGTTTTGCCTCTGTTAAGATCTAAAAGAAAATTAATATTTTGTTGGTGAAGAATTACATTTGCTCAATCAACATTATCAAATTAAACTTTAATTGAGTGGAAAACAATTCTATAGACTCTGTGTTAAACAATTATAAATGAGATTGTTAATCCATCAGAGTAACCCTTTTTTATAAATTTACAGGGTAAATATAATTAATTAAAACACCCATTTATTATCGATTTTGTTTGGCTAATTTACAAAATGCTTAGATTAGAAAGAGACTATAAAAACTTTGAAAAAGGAAAATTGCCATTTTTCAACAAATTAATTGTGTTAGCTAATAAACCAGAGATTTTTAAATTTGATTTTTGTAGATATCTCAAGTTAAAGAATTGAAAAATAATACCTTGAAAAATAAGAAAGAATTTAAAATTCCCAAAGCGAATTATCAAAAATTTTAATGGTTCAATCCTCTATTAACTTAAAGTTATTGTCTATTTTGTGATCCAAGTCTAAGATTATGTCACGAAATAGATAAAATTCTGGTTCCAAGGGATGCAGCCCTCGCTAAGGTCTTTAGCATTCAACATCATCTGAGCAAGTACACTATGAAGATTCTTTGACATTGAATGCTTGATTAAGACATTTATGGAAAGTGTAACATACTGATTCTATAAATTGGTTGGTTAGGACCAACATGGATCTATTTTTATATTTTTATTAAATGTATTTGCAATTTATAAAGGATATTATGAACATTCTTAAAATCTCGAATTAATCTTTTTTCTTAAAATATCCTTGAGTGAAAATTTTGAATCTATTAAAATTGCTCAAAAGATTTACGTTTGTCGAGGTTACGTATTTAGGTCGAAAGAAAAGATTGATGAAATGGATTGACAATACTTCTGTGATTGAATAATCTGAAGATGTTAGTTTGGTTTATTAACTATTTCCTTATCTTTAAATATCACTTGCTTTTGACTATTTTAAAGATACATCAGTTTTTCAAAGTTTAAGAAGATTTATCATGGAAGAGACAAAAAGGGGTTTGATATGCTTGATAGTATTAATCAATTCCATATAATTAATACCTCGTTTATTTTCTCCTTATCCAAGAAAAATTCTTAGATGCCTAATTCCTATTAGTATGAGGTACATCACCGGTTCTCAACTTATTTGGCCTCTATTGTAACCTACATTATGACCTCATAATATGTAATATCTAATGGCACATACACTTGAAATTCTTTCAAATTTCTACTATTCTGCAATTAATAGACACTTTCCTCAAATCTATTCAAATTATAGTTTACCAATTATAAACTTCATATCAAATTCTAAAATAATCATTTGTACTCCATATCTATTAACGCCATTAAAGATCACTTTTCCTGTCTTACCGAATGTTGAGTATAAATTCAATTTTTAATGCCAAATCAACCATCTTCTTGTAGTTACTCTGACAAAATGAATATGATACATAATAATTCACTAATTTTTAAAAGAACGAGAGATTATACAGCTATAATATATACTTATTGAGAAAGTGAAACTATCTAGAAATTAACTTAAACAAGCTTTCATGAGTACATCAAATACTATTCTACAATCTTTTTGTTATTTAGATATTCAACTTCTATATATAATAAGCTTTAGGTTGATATTCATGTATTAGATTTTTTGCTTAATTTATTCTAAGTTTGCATTTAATACGATATACACTATTTTCATGTAATAAAAATTGAACATGATTTAAACAAATAATATTATTTTATAATCAGAGAACAACAAAGCCTAAATAAAAAACTTTGGTATATATGGTATCAAGATTCTCTATTTGAATTGACTCATTCTTCATATATCAATACAAGCTAAATACCTTAAAGATAAGTAGAAGATAAAAATAATTTAAATGTTAAGGGTAAACTATTAGTGATATATAAATACTTATTCTTTTGATTCTATAAAATTTTTAAAGTGAGCTTATATTTAACTAGGAAACAAAAGGTGGAATATAACATTTTAGAATCGCTTTTTTCTTTTAAATCAATAATCTAAAAAGATCTTGTTAAATAAAGTTTCTTTGAAGGATATGCTACTTATTAAATTGCGAAACATATCTTTGCCATCGCTCCGCTTCATCTTAATATGAAATAGTTTAATGAAGCTTTACGAAATTATAGCCAATATAGTCTTTTTAACGAATGTCAAGATCAGGATCTCCTCCAAGATCACATCAATCCCCCAAGAACGAACAGCACATCAAAAGTTATCGACAAATTATTCCTTCCTCACAATCTTTATTTTAAGAAACTCTAAATTAAAAAATATTTTTTTAACATAATTCATTGGTGATTTCATAATTAGGATGTCTCGAGCTGCTTCCTCCTAGGCCCCACTGTCTGAGGATCTAAGCTTGGTTTAGAGAGGACATAATGATGTCGTAGGTAACAAGGAAGGATGGAGGGGGAAGAGAGTGAGATTTTAGGATGAGGCCTCTCTAGAAGCCCTGCCCGGAGGAGGATGTTGAATTGAATTGTTATTCTATTATTTTCTTAAACAGCATTTTCAGACCAAAATAAATAAGGTCGTTAATTTAATTCACATATTGATGTATCCATAATTTCCTTTTAAATTCATCAGCACCTTTTAAACAGTCCAGATTTTATTGTTCTGACTAAATTAACTCTTTTAATTTTTGGTGAAAATAAGTTGGAAGATTATTCAAACTCGAAAGCAAAGCTTCAATTATTGGGCTGCATTAGTCATAACATTATCAACTATTACAACTAGATGGTTTCGAAAGGCAGTAAAGGTAGATTTAGTTAAAAGTATGTAAATTTAGAATAAGAAAGATTAATTGATCAATTTGTTTTCCTTTCAAAATATGATTGGTGATCAAAAATGCTTAGAAATATTGCTAAATTTCCATATATACATTTTTTTCAATTAGGATTTTCAGCTCAAAGGAAAGTGGGGTGAGTTATTGATCACAAAAAATTACGTAGATTAGTTATCAAAAGTAGAATTTTCCCTTATTATCATGTTTTTTGTTAATATTGAAAAAAATCTCTACTATAAATGCTTGCATGTTATCAAACCTTTCATAATACTATCTATATAATTGCTTACTCTTAAGCAGAATAACTGTTAAATGAAATGTATTTTGCTTTGTATCTTACCCAAAAATAACAAAGTTATGAAGATATCGGATATTTTTTATAGTTGAATAAGACGAAATAATTCCAATTTAACTTGAGTTTTCTATTCTTTTCTAAGGAAGAAAAGTGATTATTTCCACTTGCTAGTGAATCGTCAAAATAATTGAATAAAAAGATCATTTGTTTAGACTATATTAAATCATTTGTGGAGTTGCATAAAAATTATTAGAATTTGCTTTTAGTAATTGATTTTTGATTGTACATACAAATTTAAAAAAGAGAGTATTGGTTACTTAAGATTAAGTTTAGTCTAGAATAAGAAAGTAATGCTTTATATTTACATTCGAAATTTATTCATGGTCATTTTATCATGACAATTATTTAACTTGCTGTAAGCTCACAAGATAATAGCTTGGTTACAGTTTACTGATTCAAATCCTTCAAATTAAGAAAAGGAGAACTACTCTTATGTTCTTATAACTAAGTTTACTTTATGAATAGAATAGATGTTTAGTTCTCAAGATTTCAAACTAACCTTTTGAATTCAACTACTTAAGAAGCCAATGTAAAGATTTTAATTCAAGTTTTTCATTCTTAAAAAGAGAAATACTTCAAATAGAATATGCTTATGCTATTATATATAATAAATGAGGACAAATTCTAGGAAAAGGCATTTATTCTTGTTACTTGGTATCTCATGAATTCTATTCTAAAGTTAATGTGATAGATACAGCAAGCTATTGACCAAACAATTTCCTTAAGTTTCTGAATTTCAATTCTACAAAATAATCTTAAGTTGAACAGAGGTAGTTTCTTTTGTATTATTATTATTATTGCACCCATATTTCAGGGAATGATACATATTCTAATTCTCAGATTCTCTTATCTATAATGTGTTATTTATATAATTTATCGTTTTCTTACTCGATTCTGTCCTTATTATAATTATTGAATCCATTTGATGTTATTGATTCTAAGAACATTTAGTAGGGGAGGCTTAAATGATCTTCTAGTATATGATTAAATATAATTCTTTTATTGCTGTGAGTTGTGCAATAACACCACCCTAATTTGAACAAGTATTCTAAGTTTTTAGGTAGTATATTTAATGTTTTAATTTGTTTTTAGATATTTTTTAGATCGCTAAGGATTGTTAAATCATTGAGATTCGTCTTTATTTCAAGACCTCTATCTAATGCTTTTTTGTCTACTCTTTAAATCCATGTTTTGTTAATGATCTTCATTTTTTCTATAAATTTATCTGATGTTTATTTTGGTAGTCTTCTAAAATCTGATTTTATGTTAAATTTTGGAGCTTGGGAACAGTTAGCTGTTCATATTTTATTAGTTTTGAATATTTTCCTAATTTTTCGAAAAACAATTAGAAAATACTTCAGAGCCAGTGATCAGTTTTAACTTTCGTTCAAAAAGTAATTATAGAATCCCCCATCTTTTCTATATTTGTTATGATCATTTTCTTAAATAATTTAAAAAAGGATTTTCTATTTTCTGAAAATAGATTTCTGAATTAATCCTAAAGCGATATGATTTTATGAAGTTGTTTTATTTACTGTAGTCTAATTCTTTTTTTATTTATTATCTTCTTTTTATATATCTTCTTTAAGTAGTGGTTATAAATAAATCAAAGTCTTCATGTAAATTCTATATTTTTAAGATTCCATAATTGCTTTGTGTTTTCAATATATATTATTTCAGAGTCGATTCTCTTTTGCTTTTTCTTTATTTCTAATTTTGTTTCAATCAAACAATGATCAGATTCTTTGTACCAATAAGACTAAATTTTCATTTTCATTTTTTCATTAGCTAGAATGTGATCAGTTTATGATCGTGTTTTGGATTAAATCATTGAAGAATGGAATAGGATTTTTATCATAATAGAAATCTCCACAGATTGGTAAAGTCGTTTATTATCCTATTTATTCTATGAGTTAAATAATTATTTGTTTGAAGTTTTGCATACCTCCAAACCTTTCAGCATTTTGACGAGCATATCAATATGTATATCTAAATGAGATTTCTACTTGTTAGCCTCTCATCTCTTACATGCAGATTATGTGTGGAAAGTTTGTTTTTATTATAGATAATGCATTCCTTTTTAAAGAACTGATGTTCCAGTTAACGACATTTAATTTTGTTTATATATTTGTATCGTCTATGGAGGGTGTTTAAACTTTGTTTTTCTCATATTTTATTCCCTCCTTTTTAAAATGTATTTATTTTAGTGATCTTTAGTTCTTTCCCTTAATGATACTTCTTGATGTGCTATTAATAGGAGTGCTATGACTTGTATGGTCCTTTTTAGCATTTTTTACAAAGTAATTAAACTTCGAATTGTTCTTCGCTATCATTTGAGGTATCGTTATCCGAAAATTGCTTGTGGGATGATTGGTATAATAATTACTTTTGTTTCTCTTAAAGCTTATTACTTTTATTCATTTACTAATATTCAACTTTATTTGCTTTCTATATATGTTTTTTTTAGGTTTAGATTCGTTTATTTTCATTACTGATTTTTTCTTCACCCTAATGATTGTTTTGTAGTTTTCTCTTTAGTAGTGAGAATTATCCAAATTTTTCATAAAAAACAATTGCTTCATTATTTTTGTCTCCTTTGAAATTGGATTTCCTTTTGTTAACATGGTAAATAATTATGAACTTTTGAAATTGTTAACTTATTTAGTATAAATAGTTTTATTATATTTTCCTTCCTCTAGGCATTTTATGCTGGTCTAAATTTGTCTTTCATTATTGAGCGATACCATCCTTAAGTTCCTTTCTTCAATTTCTAAAAGTTATGATATAATGGTGTAAATAGATTTACCTAAGTGTTTAAGTGTTTGTATAATCTTTTTTCTCTTTCCTGTTTCAATTCACATTTGAAAATTAGCCATTTCATTATTAATAATTTTTTCATCCTTTATGAATTTTTGGTTTATTTATTCAAATGTGGATTGCAATAGCTTTGCAATTTCAACCATCCAATAAGTTGAATTCACGAGAAGTTATTTAGTTATTTGATCACTTATATTTTCTGATTAGTGGTGTAAGTTCGTCTAAGATGAAATGATGGTGTTTATCAGAATTGAAATTTTATCCTTTAAATAAATTTAAAAAATAAATAACTGTTTCTATTGTAGATATTTTGCAAATATATTGAAAAAATTGGTAAGACCACTATTAGACAATTTTGATAGGATAAAATATAAATAATAGATATATATTTAGACCAAGAATCGCCTTACCAAAAATTCTATAAATTTTAATTAAAGTGAGGAAAATGCTCAAGAAGTCCAACACAAAGGAAGACAGTATTAGAGGAGCAGATAGTTCTTAATCTCTAAAATTTACTTTACATCAGTTCATACTTTATGTTGGGGGGGTATATATAGACTTAATTATTGTTTGAAAAGATCAAATTATGTAGCAGAGTAATAATAATGTCTCCTTTCTTAAGCAATAGCACTTACCAAATCGAGAGTTCTTAATTCAGAAAATTAAAAACCAAAACATACTTATAGCTGTCAAATCTAGAAGGACTACCAGTGGTAGATGAGATAAAACTTAAATAAGGAGTTGGGCTCAAATACAAAATAGTCTCAAAGTAATGCTTTTGGGCAATCTGCCTTTTCATTTTCCTTTCTGAATATTTAGGCTAAACTTCATATCCAGTATGAGTACATCGCTACAGGATATACCACAAATCTGATAAACAGCCTCTTCTAGTGCAATTGTAAGCATTTAATGCATTGGTGGTAGCAATACGCAAATAAGAATCATATGAAGTAGGCATGATAAAATCATGTATGGTTTCAGATCAAGTTGGGAATGTGTCTTGTTATGGGGTTCAATTTTATAGCTTCTATCTCCGCATATACATGGCATTATGGATATCATTACTTGTGGATCTACTCATGAAGGCCCCAGGATCTCATTAAGTAGTCTAATTTAACTATTCATCTAAGCTTAACTAGACTCAACATACAACACCTATATAAATCAACACCTATGTAAATCAACATATAAAGGAATCTTTGAACTTCTTGAGTAAATATTCTTCATAGTAGGCTACAGATAGAGGATCTTTCTTTGTCAATCGCATATGCTACTGTCTCATGTAAATTTTGTAGGATCAGAAGGCCTTTAAATTTATATAATAAATTTTCGCATGATATACCGAGACGCATATAGTGTTAACCATTTAACACAAGAGACAGGGTTTTTTGAACTGCACCAACAATCCAAATATCCAATGTTAAGATGGCTACAGCAAAGGTTGGGGAGAGAGTTGCTCATTGAAGATTTTAGAATGTGCTCGGCAAGTATAAAAGAAATATCTAATCCATGAGTCAAACGCACGTCTATCAATATGGCATGTCAAGGATTGCTGACAAATAAATCCATCTCAATAATTTTTGTGTGAGTCACTTCATTTTTATATGTGTGAAGGTTGTAACAATGTACATCAATATTATTAAACTAGCGTTTACTCGGGACATGACTACAAAACTATAAATGCAGAATCAGTGGAGAATATATATATGTTGTTAATTTCAGTAATTATATGTTGCATAATTTGGATAGAGGAAGTTTTTCAAAGCTGCATTTGGATTTTATTACTATAAGATATGGGAAACAGCAAATAAATGCAGCATTCTCCAGAATAGTATATGCAAAATTTTTAAGCATTTAGTGACTGAGAATAAGAGTAATTTATTAACTTCTACTTTCACCTTTATCTTCAAGGTAGCTGAAAAAATTAGTAAGTTGAAAATGCTTTAAATTAATTTCTAACATTCACTATAAAGCAATCACAATAATTAGCAGACTCACTTGATTAAAAGCAGTGTAAATGAAGCATACTAGGAAAAAAAGAAGTTAGTTTCTCATATTTTGGTTGCATAATACTCATAATCAAAAGAGTGTATGAATGTTAAATATAAAGTATTCCAAAAACATTTAAAAATTTCTCCATAATTATGAGTCTGTGGTTGTGTGTTATTGAATCCAACTATGCAACATGCTGATTTTTAGTAAGGTTAGTAATCTATTTTCCTTCAGCACAACAATGCCTGATCATCAGATATTCTGGTTATTATACAGCAGGAACTACTGGAAAGATCCGTTCATTATGCATACTTGCATTCAGTCTTTGATGAATGCTCTTGTGATTAAAGACGTAGATATTGTTTAACTTGTTTCTATAGATGTTGATGTGCTTTTATTTTTTTATTAAAACTTGCACAAATTAATACAATGTAAAATTCTGATGATAAAAATAAGCAAGAAAACTCAAATAAAAAAATAGTATTTTATTAGTTATTCTGTTTCTAAGTTATCTAGAGTATGTCTGCATCTCAATTAATCCAATTCTTATTTATCTATATTCAAAATTTTTTCCAGAAAGAAAAAGTTAAAGGAATGGTTAAGGCTTGAATCATTTAGAAAGTCTATTTTTTGCCTGCTTTTTGCAACAAGAATGATGAAAATTATTCTTGAAAATTTCAATTAAAATTTTTTTCTTTAATTTTAATGACACTATATACAATATATTTGTAGATTAATTTTGGTTTATATATTCTGAACATATTCTAATATTGAAATACCAATTTATATATGTTTCTGATTATTCTTGCTAGTTTTGCATTATTGAGCCTGTGCAAAAATTGTTCAGTATTTCCATACGATTACACTAAAATTGTTGGAAAGGAAAATGAAAAAGTAGTTTAAGATTTGGGAAACTACTTTGGTTAGATTACACATAAAGACGTGGTCACTTTAGAAGATGAAAATAACAAACTTTCTTTATTGAATCCAATTTCACTAATATCAACAATAGAAATGCCTCAAAATAGTAAAAAATATTATTGATTTTTATTAGTCAATAAGATAATATCGTATTCCACATTGACTTCGCCATAATTTGAATTGCTTAATAAATATCAATTATTAGCTATTAATAATAATGATGATTTAATTTTGATATGGACAACACAATTTGTAGCAGGCGCTCAAGGAAGAATGCCAAAATTTGACTCTAACAAAATAATTGGAAAAGCCAATTAAGTGAATTGTCAATCATCAATAATTTTAGATCCAAAACACTTTCTAATAGATTGTTATTAAATTGAGGCTGGAAACTTAAATAATCAGTTTTATTTAATCAATTAAGATGAGGAAGATATAATTAAGATTGAAAACTCTTACCCTTTGTTGGCAGTTTAAAAGCGATACATTCTAAGCACAAATAATTATATCTACCGAATTACAACTTTCTCAAATGAAAATCCATCATATATAGAAATATTCACTTATGATTTATAAAAGAAGGAAATAGAAAGGAAAATAATCATTGATGAAGAATTAGTGTTAAATTATATTAAGTTTCGTAAATATGATTTTGAAATAGTTGATGTAAAAGTAGGGCCATTAGATTAAATCCTAATTTTAGATACTTTTGGAAATGTATTTTCAATGAAGTACATTATTGATCAAGACACCTGGGAATTTGGATTTTTGGTTATGAATTCTGGTTATTCAATATCATTTGATTATTCCTTCAAGTCGAACATTTTAGCAGTGTTACAACCTTTTAAAATTATATATGGAATGTATTTTCCTCAATACTATAATTCAATTGAGGATTTATCAGAATTCAAAATTCATATAACCAAAAATTTTTTATATTTAGTCTCCTCTAATAAAATAATGTCATTTCTTCTAGATGCTTTTGAGCCAAACTATGAAACAAATGGTGATTTCAGCAAATTGTAAACTGGTTATTTACAAAATGATTTTTTAGTTTTAAGCAATACAAATATCAAACATTATTAAGGAAGATCTGAATATAAAATTTAATATATTAATAATCAACCTTAATTAAAGGGGGTAGGAACATTAAGTTATAACTAATGCTAAGTGAAAATTGAATATCAAACAGTTGCTCGCGATTCTAAACTACTTATTTTGGTTTCCAAAGGAAATATTATTGATACTCCTTTTCTTTCGGATACTATTTATTTACAAAACTCTTAGACAAACAACATCAACAAATTAGTTGATGGTCCCATGTAATAAATATCCTTCTAAAAAATTGATAATAGCAATTCATATTAAAGCGGTAATTTAAGTTACATCAGAATTGCTGCAGACTCTAAAACTGTATACGAAAGTGAAGATCTAAGTTTGAAAAACATAATATTTACATAAACCATTTCAATGCTAAATTCTAAGGATAATAACTATGTCATTATAACTTAGAATCAAGAATAGGATTTAAAGATTTATAGTTGTTATTTTTCGATTGCTTAAGCTTGCACTATAAGTTATGAAACATCCCTTAAATTTAAGATAACCACATAAAACACAGCTATCTAATATGAAGATTTTTCTCTAAAATTTATCACTTTATTAGATTAGAAAAATTTATTTTTTTATTAATTTTTTTAAGGGTAATATTTAAATTAAACAATCACATTCACTGATAAAGATCCAATCAATGAGATAGACAACATTTATACTAACTATAAATATTTGATAGCGTTTTCAAAAATGAAGAAAATAATTGCAGTTTATAGCTTTAAAGATGTCAGTTTTCAATACAAAATTACGTTAGATTAAATGAACTAATTTGGGATTTCTGATTGGAATCCTTAAAGACTATTTTGCAATAATTATAAGGAAATTCTATTTATCCTTAATGGCCAATAATAAAATGAAGTTTTGATACTGACGTTGAATTCAAATTATTTTACTTTAGATTATGTAATGAAAATAAATGAATCAAAAGATATAAAAATAGTTACATTTGTTGAAAGATTTGCTCTGATTTAATAATTTGAAAATGGAATGATAAGTTTTGATGTCTATAATATTAAGGAGGGCACGAATATATATTTTGAAAAATCTCCTTCTTTTTACGAATACAAAATTTCAGATTTAAATTCCATCTATTGGGTATCATCTACAAATTTGTTACACTTTAAAGCAGAGTCAGAAAATAAATACTATTTATTATCCTACTTAATTGAATAAACAGATCATAATTCATTACATTGTATTTAAGATTTAAATTAAACAAACCAATATATCACAGTTGATCAAAATAAAATATTTTAATTCAATTAGGATGTCATAGAAATATATTAGATTGAAAGAAAACCTAATTTGCTTTATTACGTGAGTTTTAAGGATGAAACATTCATAAGTAATGTAAAATATTAAATTATTTATAAAAATGGATAAGAATTGTTGGTCGATCAAAGCTTTAGACTTGTAAATACTTATATAGACTTAAAAGTGTACCCAGATAAACTAAATATTACTACTAACTTATCTTCAAAGGTTTAAAATAATTATATTTAAAATATGGGAAGAGCTTGGTATTTTGGCGAAGTTAGTAAATTTAATTCAGAGGTTCCTGATGTTAAAGGTTAAAAAATTGAAATTATTGATCCTATGGAATAAGTAATAGAGTACTATTAAAATAACACAATAAGTGTTGCTGATCTAAATACAAATTATGTTTTTGTTTTAAAAAGTGATAGTTTTGTAATTGTTAGCAAAAAAACAAATATTGTAGTTTCTGAAAAAAGCATAACATAAGGATATGATTGCAAAAATATATTAGCAACATATTAATCTTAAATTTTGATTAAGTGCACATAGGGAAAAGCAGTGTTCATAAGTGGAATAAAATGTGTAGATGCTGATTGCAAAGAAGGCGATAGTTGGTTAAATATAGATTATGAAATTATTGCTGGATTTATGGACGAAGATAATATTTACCTTATCTAAAGTTAGAGTATAGTAGTTTACTCCAATTAAATTTTAGATATAAAGAATGCAAAGAATTATGGCTTGGTTACATTTAATGATTTTGAATATTTTTACTAAGGAGTAGCTATACAAAAAATCTAAAACAATCTTTATCATATTTATTGCTCAGATAAAAACTAAAATTTTATTGTATTGGAATACACAATTAAGGAAGAAAAATTTTTAAGGGTTGATAAAATACAGTATAATCTATACGATTTACTCAATAATGAATTTTATATTTTACCCTCAGCTGAATTGAATTTGATAAAAGTTATCAATCTGTATAAATAAGATGCTATCTATAAAGTTGACTTTATAATATTTGCTACAGAAGGTCCTCACTATGGAATAAGAATGGAGTTCGATTGTAAATCTGATTAATGCGCCCTAAAATAAGAGCAGATATAGATACTATATGTACTATAAGGTTATGGAGCAAGCAAAGTTCATAGCTTGATATTGCCAAAAGTACTAATAAAGCAAAAATATGTTTCTATTGTGTATGATTTAAAAAATTAAGGCCTTCGCTCCTTTACCTAGGCTATATATGAACTTCCAGAAAAAGAATCTAAAAACCCTGCTGTTTTCTTCTTTGCAGCGATTAAAGATCCCTCATATGGTTATTATGAAACTTTTTAAACAGAAATGTACACATATGCAAATGATGTAAAAATTTAGAATATAATATTAGTTATATTTAATTAGTAATTTAAAATAATATGGGTAATTAAGATTATATAAGGTTAACCAATCTCCAAAATTATTGATTGATGGGAATATTAGTTAAACCTAGGTTTCTGTTACATTAAAAAATGATTACATAGAAAGGGGATTATAATTTGATCTTACAATATCAGGAGATGATTCTGATTAATCTGATCATAAAGGCCATACAGTATTATGGATTATTTTAGGAATATTAGGAGGATTGATCGTTTTGGGGGTTGGTTATAAATGTTATACAAAGAACAAATCTAAAAATGAGCCTCTGTTATGAGTAATAACTATTTCATAATATAAATAAGTAATTATATCTTTTAAATTAAATGTTTTGATAATATTGGATATCATCAATAAATTACTTAAATGAAATTTTGGCTTTCAGTAAATGAGTAAAATCTAAAGTTAAAAATTCTAATTATTGTGTTTCCAAGATAGATTAGATTTACGGTTAATAAAAACTTTATCTTAAGGAGAAGAATTATGTTATATATATCAATAATGTAATTTTATTTCTAAATTTGTAAATTAATTGTATTCCTTAACTAATATTTAGAAAATATTTGTAATCAAAAACTTTTTCTAATTTTTAGTAAATATTTAACAGAATGATTCTTTACCCAAGATTGTGTCTAATTTAAAGACTATAATTTATTGATTGATTTGTAGATAGTAATCAGATGAATAATTTTCAAAGTTTAGTAAACCTTTCGTTGGGGTGAAATTTTAGAGAAATCACTTTAAAAAAATGATAAATCAGCATTAGCTCTGAATCAAAGGATTCAAAGGTAAATTAATATTCATTCAAAAATTAATATTTAACAAAGCAAGCTTGTCATAATGCATTATATGAGAATCCAATAGATCTTAATTTATTGTTTCCTTAGTAGTAATTTGTATATCTTCAATGTTATTTTCAACACCTCTCTTACATCATTTCTAAGAATATTCTATTATTCTTGTTCTTATATAAAGATAAAAATTTGCGCCAATACATGATGATGAATATTTCCACACTTTACTCTACAATCAAACTTGATACAAATTATAAATAGAAAGTGTGTTATAGCATCTTATTCATTTGAAGTTATTAGTTAATAACCATAATTATTTCTATAAACTCCGTCAGATTTGACAATTATTCATAAATTGCATTAAAATTTAAATGTTGCGCTTTTATAATTAACACCTATCAACAAAAATATATATCCATTTCAAAAAAAGTTTTAATTGTGAGTATTTATTCAATTTCATAAAATGTAAACTCAATAGACTTTGTTCAAGCCCTTTAATTACGAATTAATAACAAAAGGGGATCCAATAAAACAAGATTAATGGTCTTATGCTTTGGCTTTTAATGTAGATTGCTCTATACTAGTAGCTGGATGTTCATATTCAATAAGAGTATTTGAAGTGAAAAATGGAACATTGGAAGAAATTCAAGTCCTAAATGAACACAAAGGTTATGTTAATACATTAAACTTTTTTAAAAAGTCACCACTTCAATTTATTTCAAGTGATGCTGACTCTAACATAATATTATGGAAATCAATAAACAATAAGGAATGGAAATGCGAATAAAAGTTATTAGGACACACATCTTCTATTTGGGCATTAATTATAAATAAAGAAGAAGATCTCATCATTTCAAGTGGATTAGATAAGAGAATTAAATTTTGGACTTAATAAAATCAAGAATGGATTTGTTTTTAAACAATTGATGAAGGAATTAGCAGTCATGTTTATAGTCTAAGTCTAAATGAATCCTAAACATAATTGATTTCTTGTAATGGAGATTCAACAATATTTATTATAGAAAAACAGAAGTAGAATGAATGGCAAATAACTCAAAAGCTTAAGACTACCTAAGCAGGATATCGAGTATGCTTTATCAATGAAAAAATATTTACTTTCTAACCAAAGGCAGCTGAAAATTTGGAAGTTTATGAAAAAAAGGAAAATGGAGAATTTGTTAAATCAACAGATGTTTCAGTATAAGGAGCGAATTCATATTGCAGATTTCTCTTTCCTTAACAATTTATTAATCAAAAATCCCTTCTTATTAGCAAAAATGGTTCCTACTTAAATTTTATAAGGTATTATTAGAACAATGACTAAACTAATGAATTTAAATTAGAATAATCTATTGACTTTGGTTCTGATACCATTGGTTATTTATATGGGCATGCAAGTGACGATGGAAAATATTTGGCAATTTGGAACGGTTAATCATTGGAATTTTAGATTTATTAATATAAAGAAAATGAATAGTGAATATAAATATAAATATAAAAAATAGTAAATAAAATATTAATTAAAAATTACATTTTTTATTACTATTTAAGAATAATTTCAAACATTCATCATTCTTAAGAATAATTATTGAAGTAATAAAGAAAGAATATTGTTCGGTTACTATTCTTCAAAATTATTTAGAGTATGTTAATAATTATTGTATTCATTCAAATCTTCTTCTTATTTAAGATTAATTTTTTTTGTTAATTCTATCATCAATGGTATTACTTTGATTAAGTTTGAAATTCATTTTTAAAAAAATGGTGTATTCTGCATTTTATCCAATAAATACACTGATCTTAATATAGAATTTTAATTTCGTTATCAATGATATTATTATCGAATGGAATAATTTAAAATTAATTATTTGAATGATTATATGATCTTTTTCGGTTGATTAAATTCTAATTTCTTTAATTTCAATAATCTATGTAATTATAAAATTTAAAAAGAATATATTACTATTTAATATAATTTTTCGATGGGAAATACATGTTGTGCTAGAGATACTACAATAGATAGACCAATAGCTCCTTTAGTGCTAACACCAATAACTCTCGATGAGGATTAAATGGACTTTAAGAGACAACACAGTGCCATTAAAATTTAGTCAGTTTTTAGGGGATAATAAGTTAGAAAATAAGTAATTTTAATAACAAAGAAGGGTTCTTGAATTAGAATAGGAATTGTACCCTTCTGTTGATCTTGCCAAAAGAACTAATAAGAAATTTGAATCGACAAATCCCTTTGTAAAGAAATCATTAGATAATTTTGGTCCTTTTAACTTTGATTAGTGTAATTAAGTTCCTGGAGCTTAATACCTTTCTTCTATTGTAAATACATCTTTGCATTCTAAAATAGGAGTTTAATAATGGGATTATATACTAAGGATAATGGTTAAATAAAAAGAGATGTGGAAGAGGTTAACAATTATTTCCAGATGGAACCTTGTATGAAGGGAGTTGGAAGGATGATATGGCAGACGGTTTTGGAAGATTAATTACGCCTGAAGGGGATACATATGTATGAATGCATAAATACCAAGGTTGGTTTTTGGAAACAGAATGAAAAAGAAGGTTAGGGAACTATGTTTTATGAAAACGGAGTTATTTTTGAAGGGGAATTCAAAAAGGATTTGGAAAATGGTTAAGGAATAGAAAAATGGCCAGATTAAAGCATGTTTTAGGGAAATTACATAAATGGGATTAAAGAAGGTTTTGGCAAATATAAATGGACTGATGGGTCTATATTTGAGGGAATGTTTACAAATAATTAAATAAATGGTAAAGGCAAATAAATTTGGTCTGATGGAAGATAATATGAAGGAGATTGGGTATAAAACAAGATGCATGGATTTGGTACTTTTGTTTGGCCAGATGGAAAGAAGTATATTGGAAATTACAAGGATGACTTGAAAGAAGGATATGGAGAATTTTATTGGCCAGATGGTAGGGTGTTCAAAGGGGAATGGTATAATGGTCATCCACATGGTAAAGGACTTTTTGTTGATAAAACAGGGAAGTAGGAAGAAGGAGATTGGGAACATGGAAAGAAAATTAAATTAGTTGAAAGCTGATTCAATATATATAATAAATTTTGTTATTATATTTAATTTAATTTAAAATAGATGAACCTTATTAGATTTTAAATGTTAAATATTATCTTATTTATCATTTCTAAGCTGCTTTGTCCATTAAAGCAAGTAAATCCACTTCATCCTCTTCCTCCTATTCGTTTTACAATATTTGGGATTATATATTATAATTGGGATCGTCAAATTATTAAATAATATTTTATTTCAAAATTTGGCTTTGTTGTTGAGGCTGATTTTGATTATTGAGTACTGGCTATTATTAATTATCAATGTTGGCTTTCATAACAGTTGGTTTATAGAAGAGATTAATGTCTTCTTGCTAATTTATTGGTTTTGCTTGAATCAATTAAGCTAGATGGTTTAATGATTAAGTTTAGATTTTTGATGATTAAGAGTCAAGCACTTCTGATTTAAGGGAGCTTTGCGATGACAATGCAGATTATTATTTATTTTATTATTGAGAATCCTTATTCTAGAATATATTTTCACCCAGACTACATTGTCCTGTAAATGGATTAGTGCTTTGATTTTCTTTAAATTAAGATGCCACAGCCAAAACAACATTATATTTTTCTGGAATTTTAACCATTTTAATTAATCCTGGTTATTCAACTCCATATCCTGATAATCCATAGGATCTCTACTAAAATGTTCCATCTTGATTTTGGGATTTGTCATTCAAAAACATTTGTACTCTAGTAAACTTGCCTCCCAACAATTTCATGATCTCTCCTCTGATCATCAAGTAATCAAAGGATGATAATTTTGAGTATTTGTCAATAAATGTTTATTTACATTAAAGAACTGCTTGAATAGCTTAATCGTTGATTCCAATGTCTTGTATGACATCGAAATGTTTAAGTGTGCACAGATAAATTTCATAGGGTGAATTGGATTTCATTAGATATGACTTCAAAGTCATTATAACCAAATCAAATAATTTTGATAAGCTATCTTCATTTAGTTTCATGATTGAACAATGGACGACTTGATCAATCTATTAAAATATCTCATTGTTTGACAATGTTTTCGCTGGAGTGAACATTTTTTAAAGATTTGGGTGTGTGTAAATTTTGATGGCAAGATCATTCAAAACAGTCAATCCTAAGGGAATAGATTTTAAGATTCACCTTTTTCCTTATCAATGCCTTGTGCTCTCAATCTTTATTCGATGATGTAGAGGACATCTCCACATAGATTGAGAAGAATTAATCCATTTGCCATATATGCTCCATTCATTTATTAAATTATTATGGCTGATAAAAAGTAATAGGCGTAAGCAAAACCAGGAGTGAAATTCTAGGATCAACCAGCGGGTGTCCAGTAAGTTGAAAACAAACCATAAGTAATTTACAAGAATGCAACTGAATAGAAGGATCAAGCACTAAAGTAATTTAATAAAGTAACAGTTTTGATTGAATTTAGGTGTAAACATTATTTAAAACATACACAGCATCAGATCCGCAATGTATAAGAAAGGACACAGCATAATCTTTAAAATCTTTGCTAGCATCATTAAGAGATTGCATGCAAGTTTTGAACATAGGAACATTCGAGGACAAGAATTCAAATTATTATCTCATATATAATGGAACAGTTTATATATTTGATATTTGCAGAGTCTTAAGAAAAGTAATGTGTTCATTAATAATTACATAGTCAATATATTAATATATCGCAATCGAATTTCTGGCATTTTGTATCACCTCGATGGAGGGATGCTTGGTGCTGACATCCATTAAATACTTGGATTGGAGGATCAAACTCTATGCTGAGTTGGCACACATCTATCATTCCCTCTAATCAAAGGCGTGTGCATACAGGACGATTGATTTGGGGTTGTAAAAAGTATAAGAATTGAGAGAGTTGGAAGAAATGGATCCACCCTTGATGGATTACATGGATAAGATTCTAAAATAAAATACAAGATTGCTCAAGATATTGGAGTTGAAATTTAAAGTGCAAGCTGGAGTGTTCAATGTAGATTAATGGAAAAAGAAGATTGAAGAGTTTGGATAGGATAAAGAAGCTAGATGTTTGGCAATCATTGAGTCTTTGCGATTCTCTCCCCCAAATTTATCGAATACTGTCAAATAAACACATGTAGGCAATTAATTGAAAGAGTAATTAGTCTAGGTTAGTTTTGATCTATTGAAAAATGATATGGAAAGAATTGCAATAGCACTAGAATAATAGATGGACAGAATCACTAAAACAGTTGAATTTAAATCTAAAAATATATTGGATGAATTAGAGAGAAATGATATGACCAAAAAGAGGAGAGAATTCGAAGCATCATTAATTAAGGAAAAAGAATGGAGGGCATTGGCTGATGGTTTGCCATTGGAATATTAAATTGAATTAGCGCATCATGCTTATGATGTTGGTAATACCAAAGTCTTCGAGGATATCAGCAATTCAGCTTATGTCAGATGTAAATATAGAAGAATTGAATGTCCATATATTTAAGATGTGAACATATTGATAAGTACTAATCCTTATCCAAACATTCCTAATGGTTATGATAAGATTTAAATTGATATAAATGAAGCCAATCTTCGAACAGAATTAAAACGACTTAGGAATAAAAATAAGGGGGACTAACAGTAATAACAACAATAGACTCAAAAGAAGGATGACAAAAAAGATAATAAAAAATAACCTTAATAATAAGAGCAAGAAAAATAATAGACTGATTAGGTTGGGTTGGGAGTCCAGGCCACAGATTCAGAATTGGCATAGATCAATCACAATTATATTTATTTAGTTTATAAGAAATCTATGACTCCCGACAATGCCATCTATGAGATAGATGTTGTGATGGCTGATGAAGAACAAGGTCCTGTTGAAAAAATGAATCAAGGGTATCGGGCTATTGCAATACCCATAAAATAATATACAGGAGTCAGGGAAAAGTACAAAACTGTACCTTATTTGTTACTCAAACATACTATGAATGAGTTATCTGATGAAAATGAAAAAATGACGCTATTGGTTGGAATTAAGCCATTATTTGGTAAGAACCCTCTCATTCGACCAGATTTTGGATTTCAAAAAATCAATTTAGACCTCAGACAAACTCCAAAAGAGTTTATTAGAAGTCCAGGGATGGATTACATTTACTTTACATACAAAACGGATAAGTACTATTTTGTAAAGGAGAGAGAGTTATAAATTTTGATTCATTTCATTAAATTGGAAAAGTCATATCAAAAAGATGTTTCATAAAGTATAGAGGATGACAGCAGATTGGAATTGGAAATATGCTACGATTTATAATCCCTAAAGGAATTAATGGATATGATAAGCAGTTGTTTGGTAGGACCATTGGGAATCCATTTCTTAAAAGAGAAGAGGGATTTTCTATCATAATTAGTATTTTTGTTATGGAGAAAGTATTTCTTACCGCCGCTCTATTAAATGCAATTTATTTAAGAGTTGCTTATTACTTAGGAGATGAGTAAACAGGATTATAGTCGTTATGATAAGTTGATTCAAACAGCAAGGGAGATTTTCAAGAATGGATTATTAGTTTTGAATGAGATACTATTTAAAATCCCTTATGTTGATATCATACTGTTATGCAAGGTGAATTTGTCACTTGCTAAATTTTTGGAGGAAGAGAAGGAAGCATAAATAGCAGAGGAGAATTTGAAAATTTGTATTGATAGAATAATTCAGCATAGAAATTCTTTAACAGTAAGAGGTGTTGACTCTTCGAAGGATTTATTTTTACCATTTGCAGCCACATGTTCAAACTATAAAATAGATGAAATGATGAATAGAATGAGGGAAGCTTGGATCAATCAGAAAAATTAAATTAATAGAGAGATCAGAATAAAAAATAGATCAAACAACAAAAAATAACAATTAGAAGATGATGAGTTAAACGAAGAGGAGTATGAATTACTTGAAGCATATCAATCTTTGTTGGGTGATGATAATAAAGACACAAGCACTCTTTCAATTTAATAGAAAATTAATGAAACTGATTTGATAATAAATGCTTTACATGCAGATCTAACTGTTGCATTATATAGATGTCAATTAAAAGCAGGATTAGATATTTAGAAGAATTCCATAAAGAAAACTTCATTAGAAGAAGAAGTCGAGGGAGTTTCTTAGGCTATTCAAAAGAAGATGTCAATTATGTAAGGGGAAACTGCATAAACCATTAAAAAGAATGTAAACCAATTATAAAGTACTCTTTAAAAAGAAGGGAAGCTAAAACCACCAAAACCTGTGATTCACTAATTTGAAACAGAAATAATGAATCAAGCCAACAAAAACCCTTATGCCAACTGTTTGTTGTTTATGCTTATGGCTAGTATAAAGCAGAAATAAACTGAGTAGCGATCATTTTTAGTGGATTCTTTAAAGTACTTGCAACAAGCAGAGAAAGAAGAGTAATTACATATTGAAAACGGAATAAATGATGCCATCTTTGTGATGTCTACATTATGTGATAATATTGATACTCAAACTACTTCCAATAACGTTTTCCCGTATAATATGTTGTACAATCCACAATATATTAAATCTACTTAAGTGCCTCGTAAACCAATCTTAATTAGCAGGAACTCAGAATCAGTCACTTTTAAATTACCTCCTTTCAAACCAAAATTATTAGATATGATAGCAATAGATTAAGCAAAAAAGACTATAACTAGTATGGCAATTTTTGGAAAAATAAGTGCAAATGGAGTAAAATGTATCACTCACTTGTAAATGATCTTAATAACACTGGTATTAGATAGAAGATAGGAGCAATAGTCACGATGAATGGGTTACAAAGAAATGAGAAGTACTGTTTTGCTGTTGCAGCCTATGATGGTACTGAAGGAGTTTCAAATGGAATAGGAGAAACAGGAGATGACATCACAACACTACATCCATTACCATTACCCTTGTTAGCATCTTATTTATGCAAAGTGGCATATTAATTATCTAATTTTGATATTTGCGAAGAGGCTGCTGATTTCTGTATTATGTAATTCACAGAAGACAGTGAATTTATAGATCGTTAATTGCACAATGAACTCAATCCCATTCATATCAAGAGATTGCTATAATAGAGAATTAAATCTGTTAGTTTAATGGAAATATAAAATCTAACTGAAACCTTATTAATCAAAGCTAAATGTCTACAAAAGAAGATTGCAAATACTGGAACTTAAGCATAAAAACATATTGTGCTGTTAAAAATCTGCAATTATTTACTGCTTTCATTAGAGACTTCTCTATGTTGCAGACATTTCACTATTGCCAAAAGAATAGTAGCAGAATTATATAACATGTTAGAATCCTTCTAGTAAGAAAAACCATTATAAGTATTCCATCTATTACTTAAAGCATAAATAATTATAGTTGAAATCCCTAAACAATATTGGGATGCCAATCTGCGTATTCTATCAGCTAAATTTACATACGAAATATTAAAGGTCTGCATGAAACTAAATGAAATTACATTGGGTAGAAGAGTCATAACTGCAGAATTACAATCATTCAATAGAAAGTGGTATTAAGTACCTAAGATAATCATGATCGAACAAGTAGAAGACACCAAAAAGGATACAAAAAAGGATGTCAAAAAGGGAGGTAAACCATAACAAATAGATGAACCTGCATAACCACCTAAATAAGTTCCTAAATTAATTAGAGAACTATATGAAGTGAATTCTACCGTGTAAGATTATTTGGAAGAAACTCTATTGGCTATGAACGATGAGTTCGGTGATTATGTTCCTTCATTCGTTGAAAAGTGGAAAGAATAAATAGATCAATTGATTCCCTACATGGAAAACCCAGCCGATCAAATTGATAAAATATTTAGTGAATTGTCAATACGGCTAGAATATTGGGAATGCATTAAAGATTTATCAACAGCTACCTAAAAATTACCAAAATAACACCCAATATATATAGAGATGTTATGTAAATTAATCAGGAGAATGATTTAAAGTAACATAGATTATAAAATTATATAACCGCTAGCGGTCTTTAATGAGCAATTTTAACCTAGTGTTGCAATAGCAAATGATATCACTTAAATTTAATAAAAATGCATACAATTAGATATTGAGTTTTATCCTGCCTTATTACCAGAATTGATTATAGACAAAAACACTAATAAAGTAGGAAATGATGATGCCATCTAATTATTTGAGGAGTATAATACAAAAAAGACATAGTTATTGGAACAACTAAAAAATGAGGGTTAAACAATAAATAGATTTGGAATCATGTCAAAGGCAAAACGATTTGAATACGTATAATTATGGAGAAGTGAGTTAAGTTATTTGAAAGCTATATTGTCTTATAAAAGCAACAGAATTAGACTAGTTGATGTTGATTGTTTTGTATCTGTCTTCAATTTAGATATTGAACATTTGAAAGAACTGATAAATGAAAATGATTCTTAGAAACAAGTTAAATAATAATAATAAGCACTATAATAATAAAAAGAACAATAGTTATAATAGCTTTAACAACAAGCATAATAAAAGTAACCTCCTGCAAAGTAACCTCCTGGAAAATAATAAGTGCAATAGCCAGTTGTTGAATTAAGCGAGGAGGAAGAATTAATTTAATTATCGACTTAAATAATTAAAAATGTTGCTGATGCATGTGGTTTTGCTGTTTGGAGTAAATAATATATAGTAATGTTAAATCATGTCAAGTTTTTATACAATTTCTTATTAAAAGAACAGATAACTCCATTTATTCATTAAGGATAATGCTGGTAGGACTTGTGTTTCATTGGAAATTGTATCAACACTTTAATCAAAGAAGTCAAAGATCATGGTTGGTTTTAAGTAAAGGAATAAGCAGAAAATGAATTGGCATTGCAACCTCACATGCAATAATAAGATTATGTCTTTGAACCACCTTTGCCTAACACTGAACCCATCAGACCATCTTTACTTACGTAATTATCCAAAGATTGCTGGTTCAGTAAATACAAGGATATGGATTTGTTGGCCAATATTATGGCCTACATTGTTTAATCATTAATGGTGGAATAAAAATGGAATAGTTTAATTGGAATATCAAGATAATTTTGCAATTTGACTACTCATTACTATTCTTAATATATTTTACCATTTACAATTCATGCCTAGACTATTCTATTCAAAGAAGCCTAGAATAAAACATAGCTCAAATAGGAAGAACTTAATGCAAGAACACAAGCATTCTAGGTCTGGGAATAAACAAAGAAGAAGAAGACTAGATCATCATTATTAACTCAAGAAATACCTTAGGAAGAACAAGATTATCGTGCAGATAAAGAAATGTTGTTGTAGTAAATTCATTTGTTACAATAAAAACAAGATTTCATTGAGAATTAATTAAAAGTTAGTGAAAAACTTATTTAAGAAATAAATAGAGATGCAAATTAAGCATTAGAAAACCTAAAACAAGCTAGAAAACTATATGAAAAATTTGCTATAGATGATGAATTGTTAAGCAAGGAAAGTATACAATTAGAATTCAATTCTGAATAATATTTATTGAAATAGACTACATTGGATAAGAAGCAATTGTAATTGATGGATTAAACTTTGAAATAAAAGAAGAAGAATCACAAATAGTTTGGTATGTAAGTCATTTCAAAATATAAACTGACATGTGAGTTATTGCATAAAAGACAGGAGAAATTTGCACAGGCGCTGGCTTTGAAGGAATTGGGATCATTGAATTTTGCTATGTAGAATTATGCTTAGGCTGAAGAATCTTGGAGTGAGAGTTTGGATACAATATTCCAAAGAATCTTTGTATTGAAAAGTAGTGCATTCAGATAGATAATATAGGAGTGTAACAAAAATAATTAATTGCTTGCATAAACTTATGGCATTTAATAATGCTTAATTGGAGTTACATTGTGTTCCATTCTAGCCTATAATTGCTACTATTCTAATTGCCATCAACAGAGAGAGAGTGCAATTCTGGCATCTGAATTGGTGTCTTCAGTATTAAAATTACAAATGATTAATGGGCTGGATTGGCAAGCATTTATTCATACAAAGGAAGTTGCAATCGGAAATATCTTCAATGATAGATATGTTTTGGATCCAGCTGAATTGGCATTGTCTTGTGAAAGATGTGCATGGCTGTTATTGGATAGAGATGAGGCCTTAAGGGCTGTCCCTCTAATCAATCTACTTGGTGAATTAAGCAATAGATTATAAAGCAATTTCTATTCAGTGCGTGCTAAATTGTTAAGATCAATTGCTTTGTCTTCAATTGGATACATAAATTAAGCTTATTAGGCTTTATTATAAATTGCAAGTGAGAAGGATCTACCAGATTAATCTACTTCGCTTTGGCAATCTAGAGTTTCTGGAAAATGGTGGTATTCAAATCTAGAATGGAATAATTCAATACCTCCTTACGATGAAAAACACACCTAACTAACAGAAAAAATACTGAAAGAATTGGAATTAACCAGAGAATTTGGCTTGAAATACGGTTTGTAGAATGAGAATATCTTCAATTATGCAGTTGCACTTTTAGTCTATAATATCCATTCTGGAGATATAATTGAGAAATGGGAAATTAATGATTTAAGGTGTAAGTTCCTAATAAAAGTTGAAACTATATTGAGAAACACTTTGAATAAGTTGAATTAGGAAGAATAAATCGAACAAAGAATACTGACTAAACCTAAAGAGGAAATCTTAGCTGATCCAAAAATGGAAGATTATTACCATTTGTAAGGAACATCCAAATAAATTGGAGTAACCAATAATTAGGAAGCCTTAACATACTTATAAAAAAGAGAAGAGAGAATGTACATGATGGCAAGATCCAGAAATTTGATGGCAAAAGTGAATGTCAGTATGGGATAAATTACAAGGGCATTGTACATATTCAAATATGCTATTGAGAATTTGTAAACATACACACTTGAATTGTCCACCAATGAAAATGGTGAGGAATTGGAAAATTTACCATGGGATTAATTAAAACCTTAGGGAGTAGTCGAGGATAAGAAAGGAGCTAAGAAGGCACCTGAGAAGAAAGGAAAGGAAGGAAAAGAATCCAAGGATAAACCTATTGCAGATGAAGTACCCGCTGTGAAAACGGATGCATAACTTAAGTTAGAAGAAACTATCCTACAAATTGTAGAAGCCAGAAAAACAAGACATTCATTAAACATCTATTATTGGATTAAATTAAGAACTGAATTGACACTGTTATTATACAGACATAATAGACATGAGGAAGCTTTGGAATTAATGGAAGCCTTGATGAATGATTGCAAACAATTTAATGACAATTATCACTAAAGATTAATCATAGAGTATCAAGCAAGAATTCAATTTAAGAAGGGAAAATCAACAGAATCAATTAAGAAGTTTAAAGAGGCAATCGAAATAGGGTAAAAGAATTTCCATTAAGATCCTCAAATGATAGTGTTATATGGGGATCTTGGGGAAATCTATTATGAAAAAAATGAATTGTAAGAAGCCAAACAATAATTCTATGATGCTTATTAAATGGCTGAACAATTAATGTAGATGATCAATTATGGATATGGGGTAGTACCTAATTGGAATCAGAAATGTGGACAAGAGAAGATTTAGATTTGTTAAGACTTGTGTGTTCCTTTGGAAATAGAATAAGAAATATTAAAAAAGACAGATAAGTAAATCAAGACAACTAAGAAGGATGAAAAGAAAAAGGATGATGGCAAATTTGCTAGAAAGGGAGCCGATAAGCAAACTAAAAAAGAAAATATTGATAAACCTCAAATGCCTATAAAGGGATTAAATTAATTACCTAATTTTAATTTCATTTAACCAACAAAGCTCACTTATACAACAGTGGATATTGATACAATCAATAATACATAATATCAATATAATTGCTATATAAAGAACATTGAATTATGGTAAAGGGCATCATTAAGATATGTTGACATAATGATTACATTGAATTAGGCCAATGAAAATTCCACTATATCAATAGATTCTCAAGAATCATCACTCGCTTCTGATTCAGAAAGTGACAAGTCTTCTGTTAAAGACATTTTCGATATTAACGTAATTAGTGAGATCGTTAATAAAATAGATACTTCAATTAGTAAGAGCATTAATGTACCCATAAGTTTCAGATTAGAATTGTATTACTAATAAAGCAAGATTTTCAAGATGAGATTCGTATAATTATTACTAAATTTGCAACAAAAGTACTTTATGAAATATCTGTCGGGTAAAAATAAGAAATATGCGGAATTCTATGAAAAAAGACCTCATAGGGATTTAGTAAGGAATAAATACTTTTTGCTTGTTCCTCCTTTCTGTTAATTACTTAAAGAATAGGGACTCTAATATTTAATGTAGGCAAAGGAAAGCCTATCGAAGGCTATTAGTGTAATCAGAGGAGAAGCTGTATTATTCGAATACAATAGAAAACCAGAAGACATCTTGGTTGCCATGGCTGAAATTTGTCTATTCATTAGAGAATATAGAGTGAGATAAGGATACAGATATGTTAAGGTAGATTATTTACAATCCCTAATAAATTCAAAGAGTAATAATTATTATTTATATTTAGATACTGAGTAGAATAAAATTGATTTGGAATAATAATTAATTAGCATGGAAAGATCAGATAGGTTGGAATAACTAAATTTAGAATTGGAAGCACAAAGCTATCTTAAATATGCTATTGAATTAGTTAAAGCAAGATAAGAATTATTGGAGAACTTTGCTGCAGTTGCACTTACACCATTACCAGATGTTAATAAACTGGCACTTGAAATTTATACTGAGATAATCGAATAAGATTATTAATATAAGAAAAAGTATAATCCAATGTTATTTGATGAATCCAAGAAAAAGGTTGGTGTTTCTTCAATGGATGTGCTTTAGTTCATTTAAAAAGTGTGGAGAGAGGCGAAAGTGATGACATTTAGCGGAGCTTATTTACAAAGAATGATTTCTAAAACCCATCGTTTCTTAAAGTTACACATGTAATCCTATCAAAAATGTTTGATAACTTCATTAGAAGTTGCCCCAAAAAATGATGTGAATGCTGTGTTTATTGATGAAGGCACAATTGTTACTAAATTATTATACAATCCAGTGGCTCATGAATTTAAGATTCTTTATGTTTTGGGTGGATTAAACAAAGAAAAAATAATTACTTCATTATCCAAAGAAGAAAAGGATAAATTAATTATTTCAGATGAAAAAAATGTGTTGTATGGAAACATATATATTACTGATGCCAATGTGTCTATGCTTTTGTAAGATGCTCTCAATTTACAATCGAAAATGAAGGAATCAGATCAGCAATCATAAAAGATGAAAGAAAGAGATTACAAACATCATAAAAAGGCATTTTATAAACTTATCGAATAAATTGGATTCTATTTCTTCTAAAAACCAAGTATGATAATTATCAATATTTAGGCACAATCTAAATGCAAAATGGTTAAGCAACTGAAACAGTTAAAAAGAGTGTAGCATTCAAAAAATCAGAATCCTTTATGCAAGAATAAAATGAACCAGATATTCTGGCCAAATATGAAACAATAGTACCAGAATTAACTCATGAAAACATTGCCATTTTAATCAATCTATTTAATGATTAAGGAGTATTGTCCATTAATCACAACTATTTAGCAATTTTAAGATATTACCATCATTAGAAATATAAATGAGATTATAAATACATTTAAATTAATATTAAATATGTTAGAATTAATAAAATAATAGAATTTTACTAATTGGCTTAAATCTATTCAAACTTTCTATTAAATATAATTTAAAGGAGAATTTACTTTAATAGAAATGTCTTCAACATGATCAGGATTATTTAGCTGTTCAAATTGGTTTAGAAAACATAGAGGAGAACAAGTATTTTTGTCCTTAATGCTTAATCGAACTTGTAACTACTAAAGATTTGATACTAATAAGCTAAGCTAACAAATAAATTCAAATTAAAAAAAAATAAGTTTCTAAAACTATTTAAGATGAATGCTAACAAAAAATAAGTTTAATATAAAATCTGAAAAATAATTTAGAAGAATTGCAATTACCTTTAAAATAAGTCTTTACATAAATCACAGGAGAAATTGAGGAATTAGAGAAGGTAACTTATAACAAACTGTAATAAAGTTAAATGATTAATTCTGAAACTGAGAATCTAAATTAAGAATTACAATTATTGATTGATGAAGAGAGTGGTTTATCAACATCAGAAGATAACGATGATTAATTGAAGAAATAGATACTCCTTTAAATAAAATTCTCTTTTTATCAAACAAGACTGAATGAAATTCTTTAGTAATTTGATAAAATCTAAAATTTACATAATAATAATTCTGATAGTTCTTCACTATAAAACAAGGTATTTATTGATATAAATATAGAAAACAATATCCTAAAATTGTAAAACTCATAATGAATAAATTAAAATGCTCTTAATTGATGAAAAAAATTAAGTTAAAAAATTTGCCTGTGTTGAATGTATATCAGAAACATAAGGAAAATACATATCACCTGCTCAATTAAAGTAATCTTTTGATAATTATTAATTATAATAAGAAAAGTCATTAAAAAAGTTTTAATTATTAAAGAAGGAATCGAAAAATAAAAATATAGGATTTTTAAATAAAATACGTGATATGTAAATTTAAAATATAAACCTATGCGTTAAATAATTAGAAGAGAATGAAAAGTCTTTCGAAAAGATTATTGAGGCAACTTTATAATTTAAGGATTAAAATATTTTGTAAATGGATCAAGATCAATAATTAAAATTATTAGAACCTGTATATTCCAATTAGAGTCCAAATCATTATTTTTAAATAATTAAAAGATAATTAGATTAGGATAAAAGTTTAACCTTGAAGTTAGAATAAAGTATGGAAGAATTGAATAAATTTGTTATTAAAAATTCTACTAAATCTATACTGAATATTTAGAGCATGAAATCTTATTGAAAAAACTGGTAAAAAAAATCGAAGAATAAAAACTAAATCAAGATAATAGTGGCAACAATCTAAATTAAGTTGAACCTATAAGTGATCAAGGAATTCTTATTTTAGAAAATGAAATAGATAGTTTTCTATCTAAAAAAATTAAACTTTGCATAATGTATTAATAATTTTAATAACAATTTGAAAATCGCAATGAGCTTTGGTCAGAATAAGCAAAATTAATTTAGAAAATAACTGACGAATAAAATAAATAAAAAGAACAAAATAACAAATGTGAACAAGAAAAAGAAATTATATAAATGAATTTAGAAAAGAAAAATAATTGCTTAGAAAGATTAAAGTCCAAGATTACTTTAACCTCTTTTTGCAATAAAATGTAAAACGATGCTTCTGTTTTGACCGATGAAACGAAAGAAACATATGATAAAGAAGTTAATTAGGTTGAGTATATCATATTAATTTTAGTATAAGGACATAATTCATAAGCTTGAAGTTAATAAATCAAATGAAAGTAATACATATTTTCCTAAATATGATGAAACTTAAAAATTATCTACCTTCTAATTAGTAAATTCTAAGTTAATCAATTGTAATTATTTTTAATTGAATCTTAGCCTCTTAAGGAGGAATTGGATTAGCTGTTTTGCAACCTCCATTGCCTGATAATAAAGTTACAACTTTCATTTTTAAAATAAATGTACAATATTTGGTAAATCTAGAAATCGCATTCATTAGCCGGGGTTGGAATTTGCAACTCGTAAACAGCTTAACTTTTTAATTATAATATGGAAAAAAATTATTAATCTAAAGACCATAATGTATATCTTGTATGCGCTGGTGGATAAATTTCAAGTAAATTAGGATATACCAAGATTACTACTAACTTAAATTTTGAAGATAATTAGATCTTAATTTGTTAATATGACCCAAAAGGTTTGAAATTAAAGATAAAAAATTTAAATGTATAAATAGCGTTTATGAATTAGGTTGGAAAAACTTATGATGTTGATTTAGTGAAAAATACCTTAAAAATGTCTCCATGTGTTATGCTTAATGGAAATGCAGAAATAGAGATAATGTGATAATTTTATTGTATTATTTTTACAGTCACATTATCTTATAATAATGCCAAAAATGAATTCCATATTAATTTTAATACAATATTATAATTGTTAAAACATAAATATTGCAAGATCAAAGTTTAATCAAACATAGTTATTTAGGTTACTGCGGTGATAATATGCTTTATTAATTTTCCATAGTTTATAATGACTTGTGAATTTCCAGAAGTAGTAAAATTAGATGATGTCTTGAGCATTTTTGGTTTTAATCTTAAATAATGGAAATAATTTACAAGATGGGATAAGAATTCGTATTGTTTACCATATCTACACATTCCACATTCGAAGATGGCAATTTCTTTGGTTGTCCAGGTTTCTTAAAGATTAGAAATGATGAAATTTACCAAAAGGAAAATCACTTCTTAATGGAGATATTAGAATATCTAAGACATCTTATTGCAGTAATGAATAGACATTAGTATTTGATGGTTATTATTGTTGTTATTCAGTTTATTCTTGATTAGGTGAATCGTTATCAAGGATCTTCTTTTTCCTTCCAGGTTTCTTTTCCTTGAATTTATAATGTGATATAAACTTGTTTGAGTTCCTTTTTTGACTCGATCAAGACCTTCTCTTTCATAAACTCTGCCAATTCTTGATCGCTCTTGTAATACAATTGGACCACCACACTTAGAAGACTCTCTAATGCATTGACCCACAAAGGTTGAGTTCCTTTAAATCTATATTGTCCTCCTTGTGGCAATTTCTTGGTGAATATGAGTGGAGTGATTGAGTTTGGCGGTAAAAACTTACTAAGTAAAAATAATAAGAAAAAATAAATGATGTATATATGGGTTGGAGTTGAGATTGAATTGAAAATGGTCTTACTCTAATAAAACTTCGTCAATTAATGCATCTGCGTTACTTCTCTTTTTGTATTGATTTATTTGTTACGTTGGAAGCTCTAAATATCCGGTACTAAAATAATAATAAAGGAAGCAATTAAAATATAAGAGTGGAATATGAAAAACTACATTTGTAGTTGTTAAAAATTGAAATAGATTAATGGTTACTTACATATGAGAGCCTTGTCTAGCAAGATGTTTAATTTACTAGATGACTGATTTATGCTATTCTTTAACTCTAAAGGAGTTGCATTACAAATTAATTGCTAAATTAATGTGGATACAAGTACTAGCCTTTTCACCACTGCCATCCAATTTTATAACTTTCCGTATGCTTAAATCGAGTCCATTAATGTCTTCGAATTAAGTACAATTATATTTATTTTGTTGCTTTTCATCAGACAGATCGCTCATTACTTCCTGCCAACTACGTATAATCAAAAGCAGAAACCTATCTAAAAATGAATAATGCTTATTGAAAATAATTAATTTGTTTCTAAATAATTCTAAACCCTTATAATCTAAAGCACTGAATAGTTACATTACTTAATTAAAACATTCTCAGAAGAAAACAGTCAGCCATTCATGAACTTTCCACTCCCTTAGCATTTATTTATCTTTTAATTTTCCTTCCGTCTCCTTGTTAAATAATTTAATGTGCTTCTCTAATGACAACCATCTTTTTGGAAATCTTCTGCATCACTACAAAGGCAACAATGAAATCCTTCCAAATCTCAAAGGATAGACAACAAAATAAAATATTGATGGAAAGCCTTAATTACAATTAATTCATCATGTGTTTGTATTTTACTATAAGAATAAGAAACCTAGACAGATTGTGCAGACTTACTGCTTTTCTCTTTCATTTTCTTAATTGAATCAAGAAAAACTAATCATTTGGAATTATATTAAAATCGGAGAGAAAAGCTTAGGATTTGATTATATAATTGTATCGAACTTATGTTACCAAGTATTTGTGGTATTAAGCAATTTATAACAATAAAAAAGCAAATTTAATTTGATAATATATATCATTTATCAAATAAAGCAAATGCTGATGTAGGTCTTGGAACATCCATTTTAATGCTTATTCTTTTTGATTTCTTTATATTGTCGCATCCTTTATAATCAGTTCTTGAATACTATAACATATTGTAAAATTAATTAAATTACTAATTTTTAAAGTGTTTCATTTTAACTTAATATACTTTTCATATCACTTTTATAAGTGTTGCTTTCTCTCATTTTCATAGGACTAGTATCATCCTTCTGACCTTAGGCTACACTATTACGAAATCCTAAAGATGAGTTTGCATGACCATAAGTTCTAATACTTTCCATTTTGCCTTATTATTCTGATTTTTATAGACAAGATATTCTTAACTATTTAGCATTTTAAAATTTGCGTACCTTTTTATCAACTTTAGAATCTGGCGATAAAATGGGATCTTTGGCTGTTGGTTAACCAGGGACACTCTTTCTTAATCTTTTTTACTCGCTTTCAGTTTTCTGTTCTTGCTTATAAACTCTAATAGAACTCCTGTAATCTTTTTCTTAATGAATTTCTGTTGATTATTATTGATATTTTTTCATGTAATGTCCTTCATTAAACATCATCAATTTCACATTCGTTTTGTTTGATGAGGTGTGTACATTTCGAACTGGGTCGATTTGGGAGTCGATTCCGCTGAATAAAGCCTTCTTTTTGCCTGATTTCTATATCGGTGTATCTTAATTGGCCTGAGTAGGATAATAATTTACTTAAACAATGGTGTCAGTAACTTTATAAGTAGGAGAGTTCATTCTGTTTTCCTTTGCCTTTTTGCATGATTCTATTAATGCTTTTTGCATCAGTTGACTGTTGTACAATAATTCTCTGTCTTGTTGGAGAGATTTGTTGGTTTTAAGAGGAGTAGATGTAACAGCCCCAAGAGATTGCACCTTTGATAGGGTTGATTTTGTATTAGATTAATACATTGTTAAAATAGACATTTTTAATATGTTATTAAATTTTATTTTGTTTTTTAATCATTCCAATTATTCATTTGTTAATATATTATATCTTCTATTTACACTATTAATACTAATTTTCCTTTTGTGTTGAATTTGGTCTATCGAAATGACTTCATGGTTCTGTCTTTCACTCCTTTAGGGTGATACATTGCCAGAGACACTATTCGATTTTTTCTTGTTTTTACCATCTCTATTTCTAACTTTACCAAACGTTCCTTCAAATCTTTTGGACCTTTCTTGCGATAAATCTAAAGAGTGATCGTTGCTGTGGTCTTCCTTTCGAATATTGGAATTTTCAACATTTATTTCAGTTTCAGATGTTTAAATAGCATGATCCTTCTATTAGTGATATAGAAACGTAGGAGAAGATTCAATTAATGTTTTTTAATTTTTTCCATTTTATTAATATTCAATAATCTAATCCCCATTTGATGCATTATTAAACAATTATTGTTATCCAAAAGAAATTCTATTTGGTTTATGAAAAATTGGGTCTTGTTAAGAAATTGTCTAACTTGGAGTATCTCTCAAAAGTGCAGGTTGGGATTAAGTAGCATCTGATTCAGTTTTGCTCACTTTGTATTAATAATTGTAACTATTCTACATAGCCAATTTTGTAATCTTTTCCTTTAGTTGATCCTTGAGTATATTGGTTTTCATCAGCTTTTCACTCAGCTTATTGGAAAGTTGAGATGCTGATGCCAATTTATTCGAAGATTGATACTAAGTGGAATTTTACTCTTAAACTCGATTAATTAAAGACTTTAAAGGATCTAGATCAGTGGTTATAATTTTCTTTATCATCGATTAAAACTTGTCATTGCTCCCTTATTTTGGCGTGTATTTTTGATCAGAAGAGTACCATGATTTATTATTGCTAGTAGGGTAATGCTCATAACATTATGACTGTGTCTCTGTAAAATATTGATTCACTATTTGGAGCACTTTTGTAAGTAGAGCTGAGTATTACAATGTATCAAACATCTGCAAAAATTTATCTTTGTTGCCACATCTTTGAATAAATAGTTTGTTCAATTGAGGATTCCCATGAACAATTGAAAGAAAGAGAAATATATTGCATTGCAAATTTTAATCATACAGATCTGTTTTATTTGAAAAACTTTTAGTCCCAGGGTTTTTAGCATTAGGACTCAAGTAAATTGTGTTATTCATTCCCTTTTATAATTAATGTAAGTTACAATCGAAGTGTCCAAGATAAATGAATTGCCATATTATTTTTTCATCCTATAATTATTTTATTTATATAATGGATTTTAAATCTCGTTTTAAGGGAAAGATGACCATAATGAATAAGGACGGAGTCATAGGAATGGTAAACAAGCCCTCAATTCCCATCGTCAAAAATAACTAATATGTAGCTTCAAAGGATGAACAATCTCCGATCTTATAGAATCTCGGTCAATACACTGAGGGAATAAGGGAAACCAAATCTCACATCTTTACTAATATTCAAACCTCTCCCAGCAAAAGGATTTTAACAAACTATACACAAAAGTTTTCAAAAGCTGGGTCATAAGTTATTAAATAACACCATGTTAAGACAGAGCACCATTATTATTTTGATGATCCCAAGAGACAGCTAAATGAATTGAGAATGCAATAGGACTTCAATTAGCTGGATATGGATGAATACGAAATTGTTGCCATTCCAAAAAAAATGTTGGGTTAACTTCGTCAATAAATGAGCGTTGACAAGTACGGATTAACGAAAAGTTTTAGAATTGATAAAAAAAGCCCTGTTGAGTATTTTATTTCATTAAGGTAGACTGTCTCAATTATCCCCTCAAATTACTACGAAATGCACAAGTTATAATTAGACGCCTCTACTGAGAAAGCAGAATACTTTTGATCAAGTAGTTAAGCCTTCTCCGTTCATTAAGCAAAGATCTGAGAAGGTGGAGAAAAAGAATCAGATCATCTAATAGGCTGGCATTGGAACTTTAAGATACAAGTATTAACTATTTATTATATCCATTAGTTCCTATAGCAAAAGATGAGTTTTATATTTTTATTAATAAATTTTGTTTTAGGAATACTGTATGTTCATTCAAATCACATTAATTTAGATGATTGAATGTACTAAATACAATTTTAATATAATAAGCTATTTTTTGTTTAATTATATTTTATATATAATTTGGTATATTAAATTATATTGTATCACAATATAATGTCCTAAAGATTAACGATCTCCAAATTTAATCCTTTTAATACCAATGATAACCCCGATTTGGATCGAGTTGAAACCTATAAGACCTTTTATAAAAAGAGATTTCGTAAGCTCCAAGCAGATGAGAGTCCTCATTAGAAAATTGTTCCTCAAAGTATCCTCCTGAAATCTGGATAAATCCCATTTAAGAGATCCTTTCAAAAACCGAAGGAGGATATCATTGATGTCAAAAAATTGTAATTGTATCTATTTAGAATTAGCTAGATATGTGAATTATGGAGTTATAAGTACAACCACGTGGTGTAGAAGGTCTCCAAACTCAATAATGTGAGTTCCATCTTGGAAATTTAGAGATAATAATAAAGGAAATCATAAAAATATAAATCTTAAAATTCGTACATTCACACTTAATTATATAGATCCGATTAAATTCCTTATAATTCCATTGTTATTTCTGATAAAAGCAAACTGAAAACGACATAGTCAGATTACACATTACCCAAAATAGAATCATTATCTTCCTTTTAAAAGTAACAAAAAACTAAATTTAGTACTCTATCTCCAGAGAAAGTTTTGACTAGTTCTTAATATCCAAAAAATAACTGTATTTCTGACTTCAAAGGTAAACTCAAAGAATTAATTGAAATATGTGATCATGAGTAAGTATTTAGTCCAAAAAAGTTTAGTAGGATATGATGTTCCACAGATGATTCATTAGCCAAATTTTTATTCTTTTTCGAAAACTTAAATTATAGATTTAATAAGTATTTTATAAATAACAATTGTATTTAATCAAAGAAAATAATCCTGTAGAAATTTGGCAATTAGAATCGAAAATTTGTAAAAAACAATTAAGCCAAATGAATATATATATATATATATATATATAAATATAATGATTAAAGAAAGATCAATTACTAGTAAACATTTTACAGCAAAGGTTTAACACCTGTTTTTTCCCGATGAAGACAATTTCACAAGGTTCTGTAGGAAACTAAGGAAATGTAAGTCAACATTTTTGGGCTGCATTTATTAATTGACTCATCAGACAATTATTGACATCTTAATTTCATTAGCTACCTAAGGATGTAGAGTTGACATAATTATGGATTAAAACTCAGAGGAGTAAGAGGAAAGAAAAAAGATAACCATTAATAAGCTATTAGTGATGAGTGGATTCAAAGTGAATGTTTCATTGATTGAATCGAAAGGTCTAATGCATACCAAATATTGTGTTATTGACAATAAAATAACAATACTAGGTAGTGCAAATTGGACATTTCAAGCATTCTCAAATAACTTTGAGCATATTACAATAATCAAAGATTCTAAAACAGCAAAATAATTTACAGAACAATTTAAATTTATCTGGGATTAAGCGAAATAAGCCAAATTCATTGAGTCTTAGGTTGAATATCTACCCAATCAAAATTATGTTGAATTTGAATCAAAAAAGAGAATCTCACCAAGATTGAGAATATAAAAAAGACAATTTAAAATGAAGTTTAGAAAATATAAACCGAAATATCAACAAAAATAAAAGAAAAAATAATAAAAAAAGAAGAAATAAATACCTCAATTTTAATAAGCATAAGTAGACTAAAAGTAACATTAAGTTGAAATAGAATAGATTGAAGAATAATAAAAAAGGTATACTTTTAATTAACTGGAAATAAAAGAGTTTTTCGAGAATCTTAAATTAAATGAAGAGAAGAAATAACCGAATAATGAAAAAAATAATACAATAAAAAAATCTAAAATTAATTTCATTACACAGGATATTAATCCTTGGCAAATTTAATAATAATTAGTTAATCCAAACATTATTTAAAATTCTATAAAACGCATTGAACCGTAGAACAAAGATCGAAATATTATTATTATAGATGAAGAGGATGACGAAGATGTTCAAATTATAACCGATTTCTCTAAGAATTCCCATTGATAATTGTTTATATTGCAATTTATAATAAAGAAAACAAAATCACATGTTTATAGGGAGAATCATTTTTTGAGTGTTCTAAAATTTTAGCTATTTTTATTAGAATGATTAACTAGATATTAATTAATTACTTACCAATCTTAGATGAATGCGGTGAGATTTCCTAAAATTGTTATTTTTCAGAGTTACTATTATTCATAAATTGTTAAATATTTAATTTAATTTAAATAGGTTATTTTTTATTTCCTTAAATCTCGTTCTATTATTAAGATTATTAATTATTATGCTCTGAGTATTAACTCTATTGATTTTAATGCTTTGAAAGATACTAATTCTAATAATCATTTTTTATTCTTAAATCCTCATCATTCCTTCTTATGGGTGAAATCCTTTAATATTGTTGTTGAGGTTAAAATGTTAATTAAAATTAATTATTCTATTTTTAATTAACTATGTTCTCTTAATACTTAGAGTCATTCTATGGCTAAAAATCTATCAACGGCTTAAAAGAGAATACATTTCTTTCGAAATGACTTTGTTCTTAACTTTAAGTGGTAGGACTAACTTGCTTCTCTTTTAATAACTATTACAAATCGACTTTATGAATATATTAATCTTAGGCTTCATTCTCAAAGCTATCTTCATACTCTTGACCAGAATGGTTATCATAAGAATGATTGCTAACATTATTCACTGAATTTATTGTGTTTTATGAAATATTTTATTTTGATTTATTGGCCTTCTTTTTGTAGAGTGCTGCAGTTGGACTTTCATGATTTTTACGGGTAAATATTTTGGATATTTCTGAATACTTGGTATTTTCGAAGGGTTTATAACACAATTCTCTTTCTTATTCATTTTGCAATTTCAAAAAATGATCATTTATTTTAAGTTATTCTACACTCTTCGAAGTTTCCTTATTTAATCTCTAGGATGAGATGTCAAAAACCTTTTATCCTTTTTCAAATGTTAATTTAATGTGTTAACCAGAATTTTTGCTTTGTTTCTTTTATTTGACAACAAATTTAAATTTTGGTGAACTAGGTCTTCGAGTCTTATTTTAATTTTGTATATCCTAATTTTATTTTTATTAGTCCTGCTTTCTTTTATTGATAGAACTAATGGATGTATTTGCTTACTATTATTATTCTTTTTAGGCTTTGCTTGCATTAATCAACGTTTAGAATTCCTATTTAATTTATTAGTCCTCAAAACTGGCATCATTTGTGTTTCTGCCTATTTAAGAATAATTCTTGAAGAGGGTTGGGTATTCGCTTTTTTCATTATTTTCAGTTTTCTAAATTATATAAGAAGGATATTTGTGAAGCCATCTATTATTGTTTTCTTCCAATTGTGGATCGCTGGATGTTAAATGAGCGGATTGATTTTTGGACTCAAGGTTTCTCGAACTATGGGGACCAGACAATAAGTTTGATTGAAATTTGCTATTAAAAATTTGGTTCGACAATAACCCATTTGATTAAATCTTGGATTTACAAATAAACTCATACATTTTGGATTCCCTTCTTTTAATTATGACTAAATAGTGTCAATTCGCAATTCTTATCTAATTATATTGATTCGAATGCTAAGCTTAAATTAAGATCAGTTTATTACATCTGAACTTCTAGCAATCCAAATCAGAGAAACTGATATTCTTCAACAAACTCATTTCTTGAAAAAAACCATCTTTTTACATATTGTAAAGTTGATTGTTTTTCTTATTTTAATCTAGAGTTTTCCTAATTTTATTTTGAGAACAATATACCCATTTTAATTGACATTATTTTGTTATCGCTATTCATAATCATCAATTGCAAAAGTGAATTTCAAATTGGATATCATCGTTAACTTTGAAATAATTTATTTGGTATTACATTCTAATCCAATAAAATTGGGGTTTAATTTAAACATTAAGAAATTTCTTTCATCTCCTTCACTCCTTCATCATCTAAGATTACACTCTATTCTATTTGTTCCATTAATAAATTTAAGCAAAAATTCTTAAATATAATATTTATAATAAATTCAAATATATTTGATAAACAGAAAAGAAAATGAATATGCTTTAATTAAATAATTCTTATTGTTTTTATAATTATAGATTTCGAATAATAATCAAGCAATAGTTTATATAATATTTTTTTAAGGTAAGACTTCATCATGATCATGAAATATTAGTTTGCCCATTGTTTATGAAGAGAATAATGTAGAGAAAGAACTTATAAAATATTAATTTTATTTATTTTATATCAATCAAATCTGATACGTCTTAAATTTGCAGCAAGGACAGAATCATCAGCTTAGATGATTTCAAACTTTTTTTGGATGAAAGAAAATTGGATTTCTTCTAAGCAATCTTAACTTTATGAAAACTTCACAGTCTTTCCTTTGTAAACCTCTTCATCAAAACCTTAGACTACAACTCCGGGAGGAATCTTAATTGATTTAACTTAACTGATCTTTTCCTACAATGATATTGAAATAAATGATTACTCTAGCAAGTGATGGAGTGTCTCTACAGACATCAAATTTGGTTCCCTTGAATCCACATTCAGTATACAATTCAACACAATCTTCTTTTAATTCATAAAGGATTTGGAATTCTCTGAAACCCCAAGATTCGTCATCAGCAGCTTAGTCTAAGGTGGAAGTTAAGACAACGTTGGCAGTAGGATTAGTGTGTTCAAGAATGACATCAACATTGAAGAAGTAAGTCATCCAAGTGCTTTAAGGAGCTCCGCAGATTTTGGCTTGTCCTGGAGTGCTGAATCCAAATGATCTTTCAAAGACTACCTTGCCATCAACGAAGAGTTAGAATTTCTCATCATCCCATGAATCTATCTTCCAGAATTGGAATTATATTCTGAGTCTTGAATGTTTGGGAAGATTGAAATTTCTCTCAGCCTTACCCTTGGCACCAAATCTTTGATAACCACCAAACAATTTCTTTTATCCGCAAGTTGAAAATGGATTTTAATTTTGGAATACACTTGATGGAACCCAATCATACAATCCTTAGAAATCTTATTCATCATTAAAGAAGAATCTGTTCAATGTCATCCATTTAACTAATAAATTTATATATCTATTAAATTACTTCCTTCTTTGCATTCACCATTGACAAGATCGAAACCTTATCCACATGAAGTACAATCAGATTTAGCTGGTCCAGTGCAACCTGTGCATCCTTTGAAACATTGAGCAGCGAATAATTGGAAATCTCTAACTCCCCATGATTCATTCTCAGGTGGTTCATCCAATGTAGATTTCATTAAGACTTTGACTTCAGGGAATTTGTGAGGGACATTAATTTCGATATTAACTATCTTTTCAGCCCATCCTTCTCCTTATTTGGCATTTGTATCAACACCACAAAGATCAACTCCTTCATTGTAAGCAAAGGCTTATCTGAATTTCTCCTAATCATCAATTTCCATTAAGAACAGCTCATTATCCCAAGAATCAATCTTCCACATTTATACCTTGACCTTAACTTAAAAGTGAGGTGGTAAATTAGTGAATCTCTTCCATAAATTGGCTTTTCTTCCTAATTTTCCATAACCACCAAAGAGTTGTACTCCTGCACATTCATTTGATTCAGCCTTTCCTTCTCCATCCAATGTCCATCCTTCTAATGAAATTTACTTATTCCAATTAGTAGCTACATTTGTCCAAAAGAAACAATTATCTGGTTTATTATCTCCACATACTGCACATTCTGAATGACATCTTTAGAATGACAATTTGAAATCTCTGAATGCCCATGATTCCTATTATGATTAATATGATTATCCTTACATTCAAAGCATCTTCGTCCAAATTGGATGTCAATACTATGCTCACTGTGGGTGAATTGTGAGGAACTTCAAACTCAATGTTATAAAAGGCTTCCTTCCAATCATTAGCTGCTCCACATAAATTAGCTCCTTCAGAATAGTGCCATTTTGCTTGCCAAATGAAACCATCAACCAAAACAAACATTATTTCGTTATCCCAACTATCAATTCTATTGTTTTAGTTATTTAATCAATATTACTTCCACAATTGTACATTGATCTTTAATTTATAATGAGGTGGAAGTGCTAATTATTTCAAAGCTGTTGCTCCTTTACCAAAAGCTCCATATCCACCAACCAAACTGACTTTGTCACATTTGCTAAAAGTGTTTCCTTTAAATGCTTTCTTTACAACCCAGCCTAATTATTAATCATGCAAGATTACCATCCAAGTCATTTATTTCAGCTGATGTAAATGCTGTATAATGGGTTACCCAAGGATCCTATGCTAATAAGATCTGCACACTCAACAATACAAGTAGGATTGTCTTCATATTATATTAATATTAATGCTAATCGTCAATTCTCTTAAAAACGAATACTTTATAATTTATATTATCCAGTATATATATAAATTCTGTTTGCATCTTCCCTTTCTTTCGTCTCCCCTCTCAAGAAACCACTCTCATATCCAATTATAATTCACAAAGAATTAAAATAAATATGATTTCTATATATTAAACTGTCAATTGACACTATTTTCTCTTCTCAGAACTCAAAAATATCGTCACTATTCATTCCCAAAGATTAGAAATTTGTTCTAGCCAATGAATTCATCATAGGAGGTCCACAAGTCAAAGCCAATGTCTGACTATCCAATTTACCAAATGCCTGTTCAGTCATATCTTTGGTGACAAATCCAGAGAATCCAACCCACTATGCTGGAGGCTAATCATAAATTAACAATTTATTTACATTGTCCAAAGTCAAGTGCAGAGTCAACTTTTTCAAGGAAGCATATGCCTTCAACTAATTGTACAATAAAATGTCTGACTATCATGATAGAATAATTAATTAATACTTCAGATTTATTGGCAAAAAGCAATGCTAATTGAGTTCTATCATTATTATTTGTGGCCACGGCTTGGATGATCTAATACATAGGGGTGATTCCAGATCCACCAGCAATCATCACAATTCTTTTATATTTCTTTCTATATAATTATGGCATTTTATTGATCTAAACATTTCCATATCCCAAATACATCAATCGACCTCCAGGACCAGTAATGTGAATGGATTCTCCTGGCTGAAAATATCAATTTATTCTTACAGTCATATTTTCAATCCAAGAAGTTAATTTACCTCCGTCAGGAAATTTAGGATGCTCATTTGCTCTATAGATCTTAATCAATAAATCGAAATTGCCCTTCTAATCAACTGGACTGGTTGGAGTGTATTTCCTCTCCACCAACTCTCCTTCTGGATACTCTCTTGTTTTTATTTGCTCACTAAATTTATGAAATTATATTACTGTAAGATAATGTGTTATCCCACTTCGATTCCCAATGCATGTTTCTTAGATGGAAGAGCAAATTTAAAATTATATGTGTCATGACTCAATTTGGTTTTCTCTATCAATTAGCAAGTTAAATATTCCCGCTTATGCTTGGGTTCTAAGGCACTTGGAGCCTTTGGACTGATAAGACTTGTCCATATAAATTTGATCAAGGCTACCACAAGAAGGGCAGCAAAAATATAAATATAAATCATTTTTAATAATATTTAAGTCAATCAAATATAAGATTTAATTTTTGCTTATAGTTAAGGCACACTATAAGGAGAGACCTTAGAGGCCGATTGTTGAACCGCACTAGAGGGATTGTACTGAGAGTAGGATTATTGCTGATAGGCCTAATGAGTTTGTCTGGCTTTGTTTTCATTCTCCAACCTCCTTTAAAAATCTTGATTTTTGTTTTCAATTTCAGCCATTTCATGACGATGTCGAATAATCATCTCATTAATTTCTTTCTCTTTATTAAACACCTTCTCTTCCAAAAATGATCTCTCCCTATCAAACATCGATTTCACTTCTTGAACATACAACTCAGTTTATTAAATCTATTTGAGTAACTACTTATTTTCTGCACTTAATCTATATTAAATCAAATAAATCAATACCTATTATTCTCCTCCTATAATTATCTGACTTGGTTATCCAACTTCGATAGTTGTTCCATCGATACTTTCGCATTTGGATCTTCTGCTTATAACTTCATTATTTTGAGATCTGACAATATGCCATTGGGATCTTTTCTCACCTTCCATTTCAGTTTATCATTCTCACATTATAACTATTCATTTTCTACTTCTCTTAACTTCAGTCTCTTCCTCAATTCCTCAGATTCAGAACACAACACCTTCATTTATTCATATTATAATTTATATTAATCTCTCTCACTCTTAGCATCTTTAACTATTTGTTGCATCTTTCCCATTTCCTCATCGTATATCTCCTTCTGGTTTGTCAGTTTCTAAATCTTTTCTTTTAAAGCACTCAAATTTTCTTACTGATCCTTCTTTCTAAACTCTAAATCATTCTCTATTGTAATTTTCTAATTCTCTAAACTATTATACGCTGCTAATAAACTTTTGTGCTTCTCATTCACTTCCTTATATAAAGCATTTATCTAATTGAGATCAATACTCAATTAATGATTTAATTTCTCTAATCTTTCAATTGTACCATCTTTCTCTAAGATAGCTAATTTGTCTTAAGCTGCTACCTAAGTTTGTTAGAGATTAATTTTCTATAATCTTCCTACTTCTGATTCAAACTACTTTAGATTCTGCTCAAATGTATCTTTGGCTTTATTAAGATAATTATTCTTGTTTTCCAATTCTGCACATTGAAATTTAGACTCCTATAATTAATCCTTAACAATTAATAATTCAGATCTAGAGGCTTGCTTTAGATCATATAGTTATTTATCCAATTAATCTATCTGTCTTTTGGACTGACTCAACTATTGATTCAAGTTTTTAATTTCTTATTACAGCATATCGTTTATACTTTACAGCTTGATGTTTTCTGTAATTAGTTTACTTTTTTCGATATTCTATTCGTTCAATTACACCTATAATTATTAGGCAGATTCCTGATTTTTCAATATAATCTCTTCATATCTATTAGCTATTTCTCTTTCTTTTGAGTGCTTTCTGCAAGAATGACCATGATTTCCCTTCTCCCTTCTACTTTCATCATACCCACTTGAAGATTCACTTTCAGAGAATACTTACTTTTAATTTTAGATTACTCTCTCTCTCTCCTAAACCTACTGTTGATTGAATGTGATTGGTTATGGTTTTTAGGACAAATCTTATAAGTTACTTTTCTTAGATTCCTAATTTTCCTTTGGTTATGGTTTCTTTTCTGGAATTACTACTATTGGCTTTTCTTATTTTGGATTCATTTTTTATTAAGGCTTATCAACTTTGCTTTCCTTCTTGGAGGCTCTGCTCTATCTTTCAGGTTGGGATGCTTTCGTTTCATTTTACTTGGATAATGGTTAAAGGATTGGTTTTTCATCTTTTTTATTTTCAACCGATTTTGGTCTATCCATTTCTGCAGAAGTTTTTATGGTATCTGCAAATTACACATTTTTCTTTGATGAACCCCTTTACTTTAACATCTCATCATCTAATGGCTTTTTGAGTGCAGATTCAAATTATTTAAAGGTTTCATTTGCATTCTACACTAATTTAAATGCTTCTTTCTAAGGGTCTTAGGCATTTTGAACATCTCTGCTTACCTATTCTAGTAATTCCTTTTTTAATTTCTCCTGATTCTTTGACATTGGATTAACGTATATGTTTAATTATATGAACCAAAATAATAATAGCAATATTTAGCAGTATATTATTTATCATTGTATCAACCTTCCTCGAGGAATCTACGAATTTATCTTGATTCTTTGTTAAATAAATTGTATTCAATCATCTTATCAAAATCAATATAGTATTTTGAAGTATTCCTCATTACATTTAGAGTATTTGATTTTCGTGAGTTTTTGCAGTATTTTTCATATGCTTTCTCAAGCGCATCTGTATTCTCTTGATCATAATTATTCCATTCATAAGATTTTGGCTATAATTAATACTACCACACTATTATCTTTAAAGCTCCTCTACTAATGGGTTTTTTAGGTATTTCTTAGTATGGCTTTTAAATATTTCTCCTTTAAATGTGATTGATAATTAAGGTATCTGTATTTTCAAGAGTATTTTCTTTCAAATCAATTATAAATCTATGTTATTGCCAAGTGAATTCACAAATTGATTGACCAGTCTAAGAAGCATTTTGGTAGAAATTTTCAATTATATCGCTGATTTATTATTGTAAAGGTCTGAATTAGCCATTTCTCTATTCATACCAATGGTATTATGTATATTATAATTTATTGTTGTTGGAGGGCTAAGGTGATATTTAAACTTTAATGTTTGATTGAAGTAGTGTTCTACCGAAAGGAACTTTATGATAAATTTGCCTGGATTTTCCATTAAGAGTATTGATTAATCTCATCTTTTTTAGGTCAATGCAATGTCCGCCAGTTTCTGCAAAACGCACATAAATGAGATCCACCTCATCATCAATACCCTTCAGAATTGACAAACTTAATTCATCAGTTAATTATTTGACTGTTGTAGGTGTTATTTCTATAAAAAATTCTTATAATTTATTAGAAGCAATTTTTGTTGAGGCTTAAGCTTATTTCTTATATTCTTTATTATCAGGGTAACCATCTGGAGAATAATTTTATTAATATTTTAGGTTTATAGGTGTTTTTCTCATTTTCAGAATAAATAATTAATAAAGTTAAATTAATAAATTTCATTTTAAGAATCAATTAAATATAATTAACTTTATACAATTTCATTTTGAGAGTGAATCAATATAACTTGAAGGATAGCTTTTGATTTATTATTATGATGGTTAGACCTTAGATGAGAGATTGGACAATTAAAGAATATTCTAAATTAAAAGGAGGGTTAGTATTGTTTTTGAGTTTTGAAATTACCATGGATCATAATTCATTGATATTTTTTTATGGAGCAATGATGTTGTAATAAAAGTCTGATTTTTTTGCAAGATGCTTTATTATAGAAAATTTAACAATGAAAAGGTCTCTAGTTTTAGTTCCTAATACTTTTTATTGTATAATATATTTTGTTTGGAGATATTTAATAAATTGTACTTAGATTGTGATTGATTGTCTAAATTTATGATACCCACAGGATAGGATTGAAATTAACTACAAATTACATGTTCGAAATTTGCTGCATGATTTCCTTTAAGTTCAGTAAAATTAGCAAAAATATGTATTGAAAACCAAAGGATGTTATATCAATAAGCAGAAGATAGGTTATAAATGTAAGAACTAGATTTAATGCAGATAATTAATAAGTTCAAAAATACGAAATGATTAAAAGGAATGACGATTAATGATTAAATGATTATTTTATAGCTAGATTAGGATAATCCATAATTACATATATCAACTTATTGAAAGGATGATATTTTAATGACAATAAAATGAAGAATTTAGGTTAATGGAAGTGAGATTAATATGATTGACGACAAGTGAATTTCTCTGTCTTGTTGTACTGCATTCACATATTAATCAAGATTGTTACCAATTGAAATATGATAGAATTGAAAATTCTTAAAAGTTTGAGGGTCACTATTCAAAATAAGAATTATGATTATTTATATCAATCTAACAGTATTAAAATTAAATAATTTGTATTTTGTTATATGAATTCCAAAGAATACAGTATTTGTTTGAATATATCATAGTACATAGAATGCTATACTTAAGCCAATTGAAAAAGGATTATTTAGAGTAATGCCTATCCAAAGAATAAGAGCCAGATTACTAATTGATCCAAGTGATTTCCACCATAGAATCAAATCAGAACTCAAATTTAGACTTGACTCTGGTCAAAGCAACATCGCTTTAATTGATTTTGCCATTGCTTAAGGTAAATTATGCTATTATCGGTCAAGGCAGTGTCAAAATCATATTGAATAAATTACCATTACATCCCAATAAGCCCAATAATTGAAGGACATCCTTCCTTAGTTCATTGAAGAAAGCAATCTCGATATCCAAATACGCAAGAAGATTCCTCAATTAGATCTAAATCAAATCAATTCGTCCACCAGCAATTTGATTTAATCTTCTCAGAGATAAAATAAACTACAAAAATCCCCCTCACAATATTAATTCAATACTGACCGTCTGCAAAATCCACAGAGCACAACAAGAATCAAAAAATAATTATTGACAACCGGTTTAAATCAATAGCCCCAACCTAAATCACCTAACACAAAGATTGTGAATGTCAAATTGAAAAAATAACACACAGAAATAGTTGGGAAATCATTGACACATAAAAAAAGATTACAATTATAATCTCATGAAGATTTAAATCGAAAAGTCAGTTCTCACAGTTTTACCAAACATAAAAATACCAGCAGCTCCCCAATCAATGAAACCACAAGCATTTAAAGACAAATTAGCTCCTATGCAAGTGGCTAGCACTAATTGAAACCTAATTCCTCAGGTACTAATATTCAAATTAAAACCTTATTGGAATCTTAGTAGAGCTAGAAAACAATTAGCACTACAGGAAATTCCAATGATCAAAATGCTGATATATCAATTCATCTGAAGAATCTAATCAGCTTTTGCAATCAATCCATATTAAAAAAGAATCAAGAATGCTACAGTTCTAAGAAGGAGTTATCAACTCAATAAACCAACTCTAGTATCTTATAAGTGAAAGAAAACAACAAAGAGAATACTTAGCCAATTAAGAAATCAACTCCTTTGTTAAAGGCAACTGAACATACTATGATTAAGTTGACAGAATTGACAGAGGAGGACAATCCTGAAACAGCTAGATTTAACTCTGATGATGATGTCCGTAAACTTACGAATTTCAATAGTAAAGGATTGTAAAAGTTACTCTAATCAAAGACCAATCAATTGTCCGAATAGAGCTCAACATAATCATTACTTTCATTATTTTAAAGAAAATGATTATTTTATCAATTAATATTTAATAATAAATTGTTAATAAAAACAATAGAAATTCTGTTTGGTTGTGTTTAATTTTACAAATCCTTAGACCTCAATCCCTTTTTTGATTAATATAGATTAGAATTCTAAATTAATTTTACTTTAGAAAACATCAAATTTTTCAAACAACTAATTAATTATAATTGAAAATGGTCTTATAAATTCCATTATATATTTGAGTGCTAAAGCAAAAATTTAAATGTAATTTCCTAAATTGATATTTAAATTGTTTAAGTTTAGTTTTAGGATTACGATGTTGTATAGTAATCTTAAATGGAAGACAATATAAAATAATAAAATGTGTTAATGTGTAATTGATTTTAGAACATTAAAATCATAATTGATAATTTTATAATTTATTTCTAAATGCAATAGTAAACAATAGAGGACTTGGCAGAGAAGGAAGCAGAGATAAAGGAAGCATTTGAAATATTTGACAAAAATAAATCCAAAAGTATATCTGGTAAGAAATCAAATATTATGAAAAAAACAGTTTAGGAATTAACTTCAGTTTTTCGATCTTTGGGTTACAATTTCTCTTAGGATGAAATCTAATCGATGGTCAAAGAATTGAGGCAAACTTAGAAGGTAGAAGGAGCAGAAGATAAAGAATTAAATTTTGATGATTTCAAGAACTTGTTATTAATGCAGGAGGAGAAGGCAAAGAGTGGGGAGGATGATTTGAGAGATGCCTTTGAAGTTTTTGACAGAGATGCAAATGGTTATATAGGTTTGGAGGAACTGATGATGGTAGCAAAGAGTTTAGGGGAGAATATCTCGGAAGAGGATTTAAAAGGTATGTTATAGTATGCAGCCAATACATCGAATTAAAAGGATGATGATAAGGATAAAGCACCTCAAATAAATTTGTAGTAATTTGTTGAAGCTTATTTAAAATGAAAGCATATAATTATTCTATTCATTAAATTTATCAATGAAAAGTCTATAAAATTATGAATAATTCAAATAGGTGAAATAGAACCCCTTAAATAATTCAAGAAGCAAATAGTTATACAGCTTTTCAAAATCTCCCAGATTCAATTACAAGGAAAAGAGAGAGTAAAACATGTAAATAGCAACTTTAGTAACTCACCATCATTTTACACTATTAAAACTGATCTAATTTCCCCTCATAAAGGTGTCTCTTTTGGATCAGGCTCCAAGGTAGATTTCTCTAAATTGGGAACCAAAACTCCAGGACCAGGACATTACTAAATCAAATAATCAAAGACTACTCAAGAATCCAATTTGAAAAAGCATACAATGGGAGTGGGTAGAATATAAACAAAACAGAAGAGTGAAGTGCCTCCAGTGGGACTTTATTAAGTAACCTAAAGTTTAGTTTAGGTTAATAAGGCTCCACATTTTGGATTAAAGTTATTGCCAAGTACATGAACTTCATTATACTAGAGAATGAAACATGTGCTCCTGGGCCTGGGAAGTATGATATTCAAGTAAAAGAACATTCCAAATCATTTGTGGCTGGATTTGGTTCTGGGAGATCAGGGTAGACAATAGAGGATACCCCTGGACCTTTGGAATATAGACCCAGAACTGAAATGTCACCAAAATATGCTAATTCTAATTGGAGTAATTGTCAAGTAACCAAGTTTTCAAAAGTGTAACGTTTTGGAAGCAACGCAACAATTACTCCTGGTCCTGGGAAATATTAAATAGCAGGAGAATTTGGAATATACTGATTTATATGAATAATTATAAAGTTTATTTAAGAGTAAGACCAATTGATTATGATTAATCCATGATGAATATCAACTAGAATACCATTTCCATCAAAGTATTTCTTGTAAAGCACTTAGGATCCTACCAATAAATAAGCTGAGTGGTAATAGTACTGTTACGATAAGATATTTCCATCAACTTCTACTCAAAAAGAGCTTTTCGATGAGGTGTTCAATTTTGACTGTTTAAATAAAAATGCCTGCATTCTATCGTACGGTTAATCAGGAAGTGGAAAAAGTTATTCGTTATTTGGAAATGTCCAAAACCCAGGGATAGTTCCATTATTTGTATAAACAATGTTAGAAAAAAGTCAGGTGGTTGAAGCATCATTTCAGGAGATCTACATTGATTAGATCAAGGATCTTAATACTAATCTTGTAACTGAAGATTTCACAAGAAGGCAAATTATGTTAATTAATGATCTATGGGATATGATCAAAATTGTTAGGAAAACAGACATTAAACGATAAGTGAGGACACATGTTATAATTACATTGTATTTGAACAAGGATACTAAAATTTAGTTTGTAGATTTGGCAGGATCTGAAAGAGTGGCTAAGAATATAACGGAAGGTGAAAAGTATTAAGAAGCCATTATGGTAACATCAAGTCATCAGGTTTTGAACAAATGTTTAAACTTATTCAATCAAAATAAGGTTATTCCAAAAAGAGAGTCAAAATTAACTTCAGCCTTAATTATTGATAATAATACTTAAGTCATTTTAATTGGAACAATCAATCCAAGTCAATCAAATTATGAAGAATGTTTACTTACATTATAATATCTGGATAGGACAAAGAATGTCTAAGTTTAAATTCGAAAATAGCAATCTCCTTAAGGGTTAGACACCCCTAATAATTCACAATAAGATAAAGTAATCAAAAGGTTGTAAGAAGAAATATAAGAATACAAATAGAAAATAGAACAATTGAATTTGGATAGAAAGAAAAGGTTTATGGATTTATAGAAGCTACTTGGTTTAGATATTGATTTAGAAAGACTATCTGCAAAAAATGCTAAGGACATCTCTATCTTTAGGAATTAATAGGAAGCATTGTAGAAGAATGTTAGTCTTTAAGAATAATTGGAGCAGCAACATTATGAAATTGCTGAATTAGTCAGAAAGAATGAAGAATTGAAATAAGATTTCCATCAAAAAGTGGAAAGATATCAATCCTAATTAATAGAGTAGAGAGAAATTAATAAGAAATTGAAGGATTAAATTAATATGACAAAAATGAGTGGAGATGATGCATTGAGGTAATTAAATTCTGAAAGAGATCATTTTATCAAGAAATTGCAAGATGAGTCCAAAAATCTTTTGGAAGATAAGGTCACTTCAATCATTAATCTCCCTTAAACTGCATTGACCAAGCTTTCAGAAAATCAAAAGTTACAAGATCTAAGAAGACAAGCAAGAAATGAAGCTGAAAAGGAATTCAACAAGTAATTGGACTAGATAAAACTAGAACATTAAAAATGGTTGGATACTTGTAAATAATAGTATGAATATCATTTAAATGAAAAAAATAAGGAAATCGAGAACTTTCTCTCTTCCTTCAAGTAGTATAGAGAAAGAAAAAAGTAATCACTATTCATAAATTACTTAGATAATAAATCAATGACATTGTGGATGAACTACTTGATCTTTATGATATCGTACAAAAGCAAAACAAGGTCATAGACAAAATCGAAACAGGTGGCTATAGTGGAGGATTGAAATCTTTTAGCATTCCTAAATAAGATAAGCCTATTCTTCCAAATAAAATTAAACATAAAAAGTAATGGAATATTCCTATTTAGTTTATTTTTATATTTGGACACAAAAAGTGTTTCAGCCACGATTACTAAAAAGGCTTCGACTATTGAAAAAACCATTAAAACTACAACCAAATAATTAAAATAATCTCAAAGTTAATTTGCTATCGAAATTGACTACAATCAAATTGATTAAATTAATTTTACATCTATGGATTTAAGTACTTTAAGATCGTATGCAAATAAATTGAGAGATCTGGTTAAAGAACTATAAGATTAAATGATTGTGGTATAGGATAAATGTAAATAGTAAATTGCATAGATGCAAAGAGGTTAGTTTATTGATTATTTTGTAGAACGTGATGAAGCTATTCAGAAGTACAATATCGAAAATAGAAGATACAATTAAAATAGAGTTGTAATCGAATCCCAAAGCAGGATATTATAAAAGATAAGACCTATCAGCTCAATTCAAAGAAAATCATGATTTAGATATCTATCACAGTAATCTAATTACAATATTTACATATATATATTTACTATAATACCGATATTAGAATAGAATTTATAATTAAATTTATAAGGGTCAAACAAATTTGATTGACTTTGCGTATACTTATTTCTGCAATTTCTAAATTAAAATGCTATATCAGAATATATACATGAAGCCTTTGAGTATATGCATCGTGAATTTTCTCCTTTTAGATGTTTGTTTCAATTCTTAATTTTTATTTATTTTTTTATTCTAATTCTTTCATCATTCTTATTTTTTCTCCTCTTTCAATTTTCTACTCAAATTTCCTCAATTTTTCTGTCTATATTCTATTTAATTATCTTTTTTGAAATTTCATCCATCTATCATACGCTTCCTAATCCAACTCTAATTTCGGCCTAGAACTGCAGGAAGATCGATTACCTTACATGAATTGCATCACTCTCTAAAGATTTAAACCTATGCTCATTTAATTGATGCTTAACTGTGGATATTTGGCTTTATTTTAATTTCTATAGTTATCTATCAGTAATCAATGACATTCTTTCACAAGATTTCAAAATAATTTAACTTTTTTGTAGTTCTTTTTCTCTAACTTGTCTTTCATATAACAGTGCTTATGATATTTCTCTTTGTTGTTTCTTCTTAAATAAAGATAAAGAATCAGAATCCATAGAATTATTAATAAATTAAATATTGAATAGTTAATCAAATGAGTTGGAATCAATTTTGAGCTAGATGCATCTACTCTATTTAGACTGAATTAATGCATTAAAACAATTGTAAAACCACAACTTAGGTAAGTTGAATGTAAGGTCTTGTGATCTGTGAAGTAAATCATAGTAATACAAAGCAGTAATTAAATTGATGTTTGAAGCACTTTTATTAATATTTATAAATATAAAATATTAAAAGTATTTCTTAAGTTTATAAATATTGAAATTGAGCCATTAGTTTAAATAATACAATAAAGCTGGGGAGAATGGTTACGATCAAATGTAAAATAATATATATACTTTGATTATGATATAAACTTATTTAAAACAGAACAAATATAATACAATCTACTTCAATTAATTAGCTCCTCCAGGTACTAGTAATCATTTCGATAGCAGTTATCACTGTCATCATTAGAGTTACAACAAAAGTTTTATAACTAAGGACGGGAGTCTTCATTGTTAGACAGGTACTCGAAGTGACAGGGGTCTGTTTTTCATAATTTATTGTTACTTATTTGAGATTTGATTTCTGGCGTGTAGTACTATTAGACTTCGTTAGCATATGTTATGTTTTCAGCATCTAAATTTATTATTCATGAAAATTACTGATTCTCTTCTTGTTCTTCTTGTTTCTCTTTTGCCCAGCCAATGTAAATGGATTGAATTTTTAATGGTGGGATCTTGATATATAAATACTCTATACCTGCATTGTGAAGGGGATCTAGTCCCAATGGTCATTGACATGAGTTTGAAGATTTTGTTATTTTTTCTATTTTATTGATTTTGCATAGTTGTGTTTTGATGTTGTTTGAGGAACTCAACATAAATTAGATGTTCTTGAGTTGACCAATGTCCTTGATTTTTTTTTACATCCTAAGGCTGCTCCTTGCTGATTTTCTTTTTAGTGACTTAAGACTTCTTGCTCGTTTCCTATTCATAGTAAGAAGAAAATTTACGTTTAAAGTACATGATTATTCCCCCTAATTATTAGTTCCTTAACTGCTTAATGAGTCACTTAATTCATTTTATCTGGGATATTAATTTTCAACAGAGAGAGATGCAAATGGTAGCAAATTTAAGACGCAGATGTCCTCCATATATAGGTATTAAAATTAATAATATATTTACCCTCTTCACACTACCGTCATAAGCCGTATTATAATATATTAAATTTCATTCCCCCCCCCATAAATTGTAAATTTGTAAAATAATATATAAAATTATTTAAATTTAAAGGCTTCACCACAGATCTGAACTGAAAGCATTACTATTTAAGGAGAGTTTAGATAATATAGAATTTCATTTAAGCATTTTAATTAGTAAATTAATTAATAATCAATATTTTACTTCGGTTTTTTTGAGTTAATTAATGTAACCGCCTCTTCATATAGTGTAAATTACCTATCGAAATCGTCTCGAAATAGTTTGATATACTTCTTTGAGTCGGAAAAGCTTAGTTTATAGTTTATAAAGAGACAACTATGTTGGGAAAGAATGTTGTGTTTTATAATATTAGGGGAATAACTGTAATTATAAATTCATCTGTTTTATAATTCATCTAATTAAGTTTAAGATGTCTTTTAACGTCTTGTGCTTTATTAAAATTATTAAGGGTAGCGTTTATTTAAGATTTCAAGAAGTAATTTCTTTATAACTCTACCAAAGTTTCATTATTAAACTGTTGATCTAAATTTGGCCTTTTTAATTTTTGTTATCCACACCTTTTAAGATTCTCATCAATACAGTAGACCTATAATTTGGAAAAGGTGAATGAATAAGAATTCATTAATATGTACACGAAACTATTTCAATAGTTTCATTTTCAAATTTAAAGTTTAATTCTTCTCATAATCCTTTCCTCTTTTAATTATACGTATGATTTTAGAAGATACTAATAATACTAAATAAAACAATAGACATTTTTATATTTTTGATATATATAATAAATTATATAAAATTAAGTTATATTAATAATTTTATTTTATAAAATTTCATAATTCCATAAATCATACACAGAATCGTAAACATAATTTATAAATATTGAAATCATATTCATTTTTAATCGCATAGCTATAATCCTTATTTTAACTCGTCTTAGATCTCAAGAGAGACCTTCTCGATCAATGTTATATAGTTTTCATGATCTTATTTAGAAATTTATTTCTTATTTGCTGTTTGATTTTTTAGAGCGTTATTTTTAATCTATAATTCATGAAGTTCTTTTTTCTTCTGTTCAATCATCTTCATTAATTGCATAATTTGTAAGTTTTGTTCGTTCTAAAAATTAAAAATAAAATTATCTTCGACTTTTATCTCTCTCTAAGAATTCTATTGTGTCATTATTTAAGGAAGAGTATCAGTAAAACTACTATTTTCAATGCTACAAACAGAATTGCGTTTTCGAATCATACTACCTTTAGGACTTGAAAAAGTTAATTAAGAATTTCCGAGTTTCTAGTCCAATAAGGTTTTAATTTATGTGATAGCTCAAATATAATCGAATAAATAAGATACATTTATAATCAGTTTTGTTAAGGATTTGCTTGCCTATTGTTTTGTAATCAAATCCAAATTATCCAAATGATTTTAAACAGCATTTAGCAACTACAATCAGATATTTCTAGATGACTTCAAAATTCATCGACTAAACTAATTCTTAGAATATGATATGAAAACAAGAGAAATTCAGTCCTTTAATGAATAAGCTCTGTGTATTGGGAGTGGAAAAGAATTCCATAAACTTCTTAATTTAAGAAATTTGGGTTGAATCAATTTTGAAGGCAAGTTGGAAGTCTTGGACTAGAGTTTGTAAATTAGGTTCTTGAGTGGAAGTAGGCCAATATTCAATTGGCATTAATTCATAGATTTATTCTAATAGTTATAGGGCTGCAAAATCCTTCATTAATGTCAACAAAACAATTGAAATTTATAATAATTCGCAAGAATATCCCACTTCTGAATTTCTATACAAAAATACAATTAGGAGATTCTCGATGTCATCAAAAATTTGATTGACTTTCATTTTGTTGGTGGAATGACAAATCCAATCCTAAAATGAGTAGTTAAACATTTCCTAAGTAATGAAACACTAAACTACATAGATTGATATACTTTGATTAGATCAGATTTGATTTGCTCAAGATTCTGTTTAAAATTCTCTTGAACTTTGGCATCTTTAATTTGCTATTTGTATTGCTCCTAATTAAGGGATTATTGAAAAAGCTCGAATTACAATTCTGTTTCCTTGTTCCAGGACAATTCCAACTGTTCTAATAAATCTTCCATGTACAAACAATCAGTTTTGCATTGTAGACACACTTTTTCCTTTTTGAGGGGTTTCAACATGGAGGAAGAGATCTAGGAAGTAGAATGAGGTAGATGGCTACTTTGAATTCATTTTTATTGCAATCAAGACAAACTACAAGTCCGCATCTTTTACATTTTGATTTGTTTTGTTTGATAAAGGAGAATTCTTTAATACATATGGAACACTGCTTATCCATTAATTAATATAATATTAAATACACGAAAGTTTGAAACAATCAAAATCTTAATGATTTCTCGCTTTTGACTCCTCCAAACCTCTCACTTAATAACCCTTTGATTTTGACATAGTCATTATAACTCCAAGATTTCCTTTAGTCCTGTTCATTCAACATGTTTAATGCCTATAAGAATGATTTAAATGTATTACCTAACCCCAAGTGACAAATCTCCCTTTTATTCTCAGTCTTTCTTCAGCAACCTTCTATCTAATGTGATAGTGGACTTTCTTCTCATAAGTACGATTATGTTTTTTTTCTAAATATCTCTTAACTTTCTATTTCCTTGCCATTTCCTTAAGAGATTCATAATTGGTTGATGTGCACAATTATTCAACCCAATCTTCAAATTTTAGGGTCTCCTCATCATTCAAAATTTCATCACACAATCCAACCTTGATTCTGAGCAGGTCGTCTCCTTTTACGTAATTTGAAATAAATTCATCTTGCTTTTAAGAAGGAGTAAAACGCATGTTCAATTCCTCGAAATGATAGTCGACATTGGAAGGAGCAGGGAGATTCTTAGGATAAGAATATCTCTTCTGATTATCCCTTTGCAATTGTTGGGCTAGTCTCTCCAAATCTCCCATCATTTGAACTTCTGATTGCTCGGCCGTAGTGTTTTCCTACCAGGTGCACACTTTCTTTTTAGGATCTTCGTCCAAAATGAATTCATCAAAATTAACAGGGTTTGGTTTTTTTAATTGTAATAACTACTATGGTGAATAGACTTACAACTGAATATCATCCTACTATTCTTCCAACTAGTTCATTTAAAATAAAATAATTACCATCTCTTAACCAACAACATAATGAGGTTCCTCATATGTGAATGAGTTCTCTTTCTCAATCTCAGTATTCTCTAGTTTGTCACATGTCACTTCACTTAACTCTTTTATAGTATTCATTTCTGGAACAAGATTATTATTTTAGTTTATAAATCTTTTTATTTACTTCTAAATTATCAAAACACTTATATAGATGACAGAATATTCATTTAAAATTGACACCATATATTATTGACATTTGATTCAAAAATCTTAATAGTATAAATTAAAATCAAACCTAAAAAGAGTTCACATTAGTATTCTTTATCATTAATATTTAATTTTAAATCAATCGATTAATATAGGAATGGCAACACTTATAGAAAAATTTCAAGCTCTCTTACAAGAAGTAGACAATGCTAGACTTGATACTAACAATTTGGAAGCAGCACTATTGAAATTGCTGACATTCGGTATGTTTTAATCATGATAGAAAAGATTCAAAATCTGAGGAGCATTTGAAACACAAAGAAAGTGCATATAATAAATTGTCCTCGTTGTATTGCAAACAGAACAAACCACAATTAGTATTTCAGATTATGAAAACCCATGATTTCTCTGGATTCAATCAAACAAGAGCTGCGAAAATTATGAGACAAATGATTGATCAAGTTTCATAATTAGAAGGCACTGTTGAATTATAAGTTGAAATGTGCCAATTCTTAATCGATCAATGTGCACGAGACAAGAAGAATTACCTAAAACACAAGATGCAAATCAGATTGGCAACATTGTATAATGAATAAGAGAAATTCTCACAAGGAATCGAAATCATAGATAAGATTGTAGTCGAAGTGAGAAAGGCTGACGATAAGCATTTGCTTCTGGAAATCTATCTTATTGAAAGCAAATTGCATTTCGGATAAACCAATCTCGCTAAGGCCAAAGCCTCCTTAACAGCAGCCAGAGCCTGCTCAAACACAATCTATTGTCCCCCACACGTTTAAGCTGAAATCGATATGATGGCTGGTGTTCTCTATGCAGAGGAAAGAGATTATAGAACCTCCTACTCCTATTTCTATGAGGCTTTTGAAGCATTCAATAATTTAGAAGACAAGAGAGCTCTTGGTACCCTTAAATACATGTTGCTATGTAAGATTATGATTGGAGCCACTGATGAGGTCAAATAAATTTTAACTGGAAAGCATGGTTTGAAATATGCAGGCAGAGTAATTATATATATCTAAATAATATTAGCACTTAGAAGCCATGAAAGCCATTTCCAATAGCAATTAAAAGAAATCTCTTATTGAATTTACTAAGGTCTTAGAAGAATATAGGGAAGAAATTGAAGGCGATAAAGTCATGAGATTACACATCAAGTAGTTATATGAAGTCTTATTGGAAATGAACCTGTTTCAAGTCATTCAACCATACTCTAAAGTTTAAATCGATTATATTACTTAAAGAATGTAAATTGATGTCGAAATTATCTAAAGAAAGTATAGTATCAATTCATTACATTAGATTATCTGAATTGATCTTGGATAAGAAAATCGATGGAACCTTAGATTAAGGAAATGATTGTTTGATCTTGTTTGATACAGTTAAGCACGATAATTTATATCAACATTCCCTTAGTTTGATTAATAATTTGAATGGAGTGGTTGATAAATTATTTGATAGAGTGAAAGTCAAATGAACATTAAATATATATATATTATAATAAATAAGTTAAATTACATTATTTCAGCTAAAATTTGGTTTATTAATTTTTTATATATATTTAAAAATGGATACATCTCTAAAGTCTTAAAAACTATTTTAGATTCTAAGTTAAGAGTCTTTTTAAACATAAAGAAATTAAAAATATTCAGATTTAAAAATACTAAAAGGCAATAATAATTTATTCTTTATAATTGACATATATGAATTTATTTAAGAATGAAATGACATTCAATAGAAATAAACAGTTGAATATGTCTTCAAACACATTTAAAGATAATTTCTCCAATTTATTAAAATTCTGATACTAAATATTGATGTTTAACTATATATGAATAAAAGTGTAAACACCATTAGGTTTACAAAAAAGAAAAAATCTAAGTTTATTATAGGGAACTAATATATGGAGATTTGATTTCTATATTATTTAAAAAAGATAAATATTGGATAGAATCATCAATTAATACAATGGACAGCAAATCTAGATAGGCGTAATTAAGTTCTTGCTAAAAGATTGCTAGGTGGAGTATGCTTTTTTATTTGAGGAAGAATACGTTTATTTAGGGCGATACTATCTTCAGATTTGTATGGAGGATGATTTTTAATTGTTTTAATAATAGTTTATTTGGTTCTTTTTGAAGTAATGTTAAGATCATCTGGTTCAGTGATTTGTTATCTACTAGTTTGAATTAATTAATTTATGTTTTTATCTATTCGTGTCAATTATGTTTTAAGTATATTTAAAAAGTAGGTATTTGATTTTTTTGGATGTTAATTTTGCGAATACATGGACGATATTTTCTTGTTTTTAGAACAATCTTTGATTTCAACTGGTGAGCGAGGAGTTGATGTTTGTTGAGGTGTAGGATGATTGATAGGAGAATGCAATTGTTGATGATTACGAGAGTATATTTGGAATTTCTTGAATTTTTGATTAGACCTAATATATTTATCGTTGGGTTTAAGAGTATTTAAAAGTAAATTGGCTAACCTTGCTTTTCTGTGCATTTGTATTTCATACAATTGATTGGGCAATGTTATTTGTTTAATATTTGTACTGGAACAATGGGAACAATGGCAGCTGGTCCTACGAAGTTAGTTCTAAGAAGGGGTGTATGAACTTTGATGAAACGAAATTGAATGAAAGGATCGAATCATCATAAAATATTTAATAATAATATATATAGTTTACTAGTAATTGTTATCATCCACATATAAATTTTTTGGTACCAATAAGCTATGCACATTTGGAGCACTTATGTTTAGCATCTTTGCAATTATCAAGTAAGCATGGGAGGAAAGCCAAAATAGCAGTAATTATACCCGCAATGAGGATAATCATTACGATATAACTACATCTACCCATTTCATACTGAACGTTTGATTCTACCACTTGATTGCAGCTAGTGCAAAGTAATTTTTCTTTTTATCTTGACTGTGGCACTTTTGGATATTCTGTTTCCTATTCAATAAGTTTATTCCTGACTGATAGTTCGATTTAACTAGATTTTACCAATTAATAAGTTCCCTGGGACTGTCCACTTCTGGTTTGTTGATTGTTCTAATCTGATTCCATCATAGGATTCGAAATCATTTGATTTTTAATTATTTTTATATATAGATTATCTATTGGAATTGAAAAGTGATAAATGAGGTATTTATAATCACTTCGTTTATTATGTTTCCCAATTACTAAATCTTTTTCATTTGATTATATGAAATTCTAATTTATTTGATCAAAATTCATTTAAATAATAGAAAAGCTGTCTCTCTCGCCTTTTTATTCTACTGCAAATTCATATCTGCACATCCAATTCGTGTTGTAAGGTATACCTTTAAAAAAAATTATTTCGTCTCCAAGAACTTTGAAATTAGATATTAACCTTTCAAATATAAAAATTTTGCAAAAACAATTAATTTTAAACAACACTAACTTTATTTAATATAATTAAATCATTTCCAATGATCAGCATATGAAATGCATTTTTTACATTGTTTATCCTTATATGTATGACCAATCATAGAATTGCATACTTCTTTGTGCAGCTTCTCAGTCTCAATCTTCTCACATTTATCACTATTCTCATAACATACAAAAACCTTCCCTTGATGATCCACATACTCTCCATTACACTCTTTGATACTCCTATTAATGCAGTCAATCTCCTTACACTAATCATTTTCAAATTAACATCCCCCTTATTAACAGACATCTTTGTCATAAATGGATTTGCAATTATTAATAAAAGAACTTCTAGCCTTGCATTTCTTGTCCCAATAACAAATAGAATCTATTTCCAATGGACTACTCTTAGCAATCAAGAAACTATCGCATGTAAATTAATCATAAATATCATCACACTTCTCAGGTTTGAAACAATATCCACTTACTAAATCATAAGCACATTAATATAATTAGCATTATTCTCTAGCCTGTCCAACATTACTTTAACTTATTTGGATATCTTCACATTTAGACAATTTCTCACATCTCCCATTCTTTATGAAACAATAATAAGGATTTTAACTCAAGAATTAGGATGCGCTTGTGCAATTCGATAATGACCTTTCATCACATTCGGACACTCTGCATTCTGACTATGCCCAATGGCAATTATGACCTTCACAAGCATCTTAATCGATGTGCTCTTTGCAATCACATGCTGTTGGATAATCAAGTGCTGCATTTATACAATACAGAAATCCAAATATATAAAAAATTATCATTAATTATAATCAAATTTCACATCTAAAATTTCTTCTAATTCATTTTCTCTTTAAAATTAGACCTTCTTCGCTTTATTGATGTTTTATCATTTAATTTTAATACCTGACTCATTTGATTTAACTATTTTCTGTATGTTTTTCCTCTTATTTTAATCTTCTCTAACTTCAACAGAATTAAAATTGTGAATACAGTCTTTACAATTCTTTAGATCATTGCCAATAACATAATTGTATCGAAATTCTTACTAAAATACCAAACCATTTCTCGAGCACCTCTTCTTTATAATTATTTAGTTATTCTTTAAAAAAATCAATTCTTTTACCCGCTTTTTAAAACATTCAATAAAAAGTATTACCTTTTTCTTATTTAAAAAAAATTCACCAAAAATTAAATTATAATTTTAAACGTAAACAGCACTTTTTGCAATTGAGAGTTCAATAAAAACTAATTAAAACTCTAGCATTTTAGATCATTTTAATCCTTTATATGATAGATTGTTGATTTATAAGAAAACCTTTTTTGTTCTTTTAAATTTTAGGATCAAAAGAGAAGTTTGCAATTTAAATTTTTATTATTTACTGCCTTAGATTTTGTTGATACCGTTATAGCATTTTAGTTCTTTAGTTAACAATAAATTTACCCATTTGTTTATTTATCTTAACTCCCATTTATTAATTTAATAAAATAGATATCGTTATGGACTAGGAAATAAAAAAGCTTGAATAACTCAAGTAATAAGAAATATTGTTGATGTAATAGATTTATGAAAAGAAAGTATTATTAATATTGAAATTAGATTAATTACTTGAATACAAAAATATAATTATTAACAGAGGAATCACAATAAAAAGATATTGTATTACAAAATCTAAAAAATGCATCTTCAGAGAATCATATTGAATAATAGGATAAAACTCAAGACATAAAGAATTTAGAGATGTAAAAATAAAAAATGGATGATTAAAAGGATAAAGAATTGTAAAAATTAAAAACACAGTACTAGCTTGATTTATAAAATATTCATCAACAAATGAGGAATCGAGACTCCATTATAGAATAAATGAAATTAGAGATTAAAATGTTTGAGCAGTCCTCAAAATAGAACCTCGACGATTAAAAAGTGCAAATCCTTTCTTAAATCATGGATGTTTGCAATGAATTGCTTGTTTAATTGTGATTTCTAATAAAAATAATATGTTATAATAATTGTGATAAAGTTTACAAATATGATTTAAGTTTGGAAATTGATCGGAGTATGCTAAAAATAGATTTTATATATTTAATGAATAACAGATAATTACAAAAATATAAATATCTAAATTAAATGAAATACGCTTTACTATTTCTAATTTTTGAAGTAGTCTTTGTAACAGCTTAATTGTGCACGGAAACAAACTCAGTCTTGAACTATAAGTACAAAGCTAGCAGTCCCAACACCTAAAATAATGAATGGAATTACCAATCCATAACATGTATTAATATATAATCTAAATTTAGCATTTGAACAGTGTAAATAAGGAATAACATCAGATACAAAAAACTTCGACATCTCTCAAGTTTCCTTACTAAATCCCAAAATAAGTTTAGATGTTGAAGACATGATTTAGTTAGTGATGGATAATGCTTCAGGACCTTTGGCTTAATATAAGACTGATTAAATCAAATTGATATCCTGGGGAGCCACTAACATTGCAAGATATCAATCTGTGTATTTCACAATTGGAAGTGCAGAGCATAATTTTGATTTTTGGTCAAAAGCTCCTGACGCTGAAATTCAAGTGTTTTTCATTTAGGATTAAATCTATCAATAATGTGATGTCGAACCTCTTTATGCAGTATTATCAATACCAGTCTATGGATTAACAGAGACCCAGGATATCAGATATGCAATAAACATGAATGTTACAACAAATCTTGATTAAATTCCAGATTTCGATTTCAAATAAAATATACTTGGTGCATATAATTCAGATATGACAAGCTTTGTATCTTATAAGGCACCTCTCAATATCCCGTAAATATCTAATCATATTATTTAATAGACCATGTGGAAATACCAATTGGTTTGTGTTGACATAACCTTAACTCATTAAACAATCATTATTGTTTGGATTATTGGGCTTAAATTTTGAGAAAACTTTATAAAGAACTTCGTTGGAAGGCAAGAATTTGAATTTCATAAAAGGAGTAAAATTTTATTGTAATTTTAAATAGAGATTCATTTATGAGGGTGAAGATAACATGAAGGATTATGATGATACTGTAGAATGGGCTGCTACCTGGGTTGCATCAATCATTCCATGCTTATTTTTTGCATTGATTGTTTGCGTCTATGGTTAATATGAACTATCCAATATTGGAAGATTTAAGAGACCTGAGGCTAAATAACATGAAGGAATGGAATAAGAAGCTTTACATTAGGATGATGCAGTGGAAAATAAACTTGCATGACATAATGTTATATTTATTGTCAAATTTACCAATATTTATTTTTTAATACAAATCTTTCAACACTTATGGACATACCAAAGAAGACTCCCTTCAATCCAGAGACTAATGTTTATAACTTGAATGGAAAGACTCTTCCAAAAACATCAGTGTTTATTGCAAAAATATATCTCAAGAAATTTGATGTTGTGGAAGTACATGCATTGGGTGAAACCATTTCAAAGGCAGTAAAAGTGGTTGAATAACTTTAACGACAAAGTACTTGCTCTAAAATAACACTTAGATTACGTGACAATTGAGAATATCAATACATTCACTTAGAAATTTGAAGATAATAGGACCAAAGCCAAGATTATTGTTACTTTAAAGGTAACTGATGATGGAAAAAAAAGAGTCAATGAGGAGATTAAATAATGATAGTCATATAAATATATTATTAATCTATCTGTTTTTGTTATTATTAAGGATGTTAAATGGAGCAAAAGATTATAAATTAATATGAGTATATAATATTAGCATGAGATAGAAAGTCATATCTTGTAGCAATATGAGATCCAGAAGGTTTTAGGAGAGGGATCGTATGGTAAAGTATGGAAAGCTATCGATCGTAGCAATAACAATATATAAGCCATAAAAAAAGTATAAATAAGATATTAATTTAAGATCAAAGGTGCATTTAGGAATAGTGTAGATGCAAAAAGAACTGTTAGAGAAGTGTGCTTTCTTTCTTAATTATCTAATCATTAAAGTTTTGTTTGTTTGGATAAAGTTATCCAATCAAAAAATTCGAATGACCTCTATTTGGTTTTTGAATATGTATTTTCAGATCTCCATAAAGTACAAAATCTTGATATCTAGGTAATTCAATCAAAATAACTGATGCCAATTCAACAAAATTTTATCATTTACTAATTATTAAAAGCCTTAGACTATATTCATTCTGGTGGATTAATTCACAGAGATTTAAAACCCTCGAACATACTAATATAGAAGACTTGCCATATTAAGCTAGCTGACTTTGGCTTAGCTCGAACATATTAAGATACCGACGAGAGTACTTTTTCAATAAATTTTTAAAAGCAATATGCGGTTATACCTAAAATGTGGCCACGAAAACATATCGGGCTCCAGAAATACTCTTTAATTCATCAATTTATTCCTCCTCAGTTGATATGTGGAATGTGGGCTGTATTTTATACGAGATGATTTCTGGTTAAGCCTTGTTCAAATAGCAATAAGATTTTAGTTAAATTGCCGAAATGTTTGAAATTCTAGGAGTACCAAAATATGCAGATATAAAATCGTTTCAACTTAATTAAAAAAATTTGAAAACTCTTTAATCGCTCACTACAGGTGTAGAAAAGAAATATCCAAAGTTGTATGAAATGATGAGTTCATTTGATCCATTAGAGAGAGATTTTATACGGTATTTATATTATGTTGATTATTTCAAGAAAATGTCTTCAATATAATCCTAAATAAAGAATGTCTGCTTCAGAAGCTTTAAAGCATCCATATCTTAAAAATTTAACTCCTATATTTGAGGCATAATTAGGAAGATAATCTCCTATGCCACCATCTCCTTCAGTATAATAATTTTAAGCTTTAAAAAATGATAATGAATTGTATTCAGTACAAGAATACAAGGATATTGTGAATAAGCTTATTAATTTTAGAAGAGGAAACATCTACTAGTTCAAAACAGAATATAACAGAAGTGTCTCAACTTATAGCAATCATTAAAATATTATACAAACACCATATAAAACAGTTGCTGCTAATAATTTATCACCTCAATAGCATCATTCGCCAAAATTATGTCCATTTCAGCTACATACTAGAACCTAGAGTGATTAATTCTTCTCTAGCTAAAGTTAATAAATCCTTAGTGAACATTTAGCTAACACTTTTCAAAAGCCGTTCCTTAATAAAACAACTAAAAAATTATCCGAAATTGATTAAAATGCTTCCAATGTTTCATAAATAAAAAGAAAACAATCGATTTAAACAAGCAGTTCTCTTGTTTAAAGTCCACATTATTGAAATGAATTATTTTTTGCAATATTATTAAATTTTTCTTATGAATTTAACATAATTAGAGTCCATATTTTAATAACTCAATTCTCAAAAAACCCCTCCCTCATAATGGACTATTGACTAAATACGTAACTTTTGTGATCATTACAAACTTGAATGGGCCAAAGAGATTTTAAGAGTATTACATTCACGCTTATCATATTTAGATTCATAATAATAAACAATTAAACGTAGATCATCTACTTATAAACAATGTGCTTGGTGCAAAACAAAAAAGACATCATGAGAAGGTCTAGGATAAAATCTCAATTTTAGAGGCTTAAGGATTATAGAATGATGTTATAAAAGAAATTTTGTTTGGCAAATCAATTCTTTTATCGAAACTATAGCGATAAAAACATTCATTATCAAATCATTAAATTGAAAATATGGTCATTCATTCCTCAATATTTATGAGGCCAATCGTTTTTCACTTAAAAGATTATAAGGATTGCATAGAAGTAGAATTTGTTCACGAGGAAAATGTTGTAGGTGTTCTGGACCTGAAGGAAAATGTACTTGTGAATTGTTGTAGGAGATTTTATAATAAATTACTTGTTATACTAAACAAATTTTTATGGCAGATAAAACTATTGAACATAGAAGAAATAATGATATCTATATTAAATCCAATTTGATCAAACTATTATTTACTAATTTGTAATATTTGCCTAAAGAATCTCCTCTTTTTTGGGATGTTGAATAAGTAAGTGTTCTATTAAAAATTATTAAATTGAATTGCTTAGATGAGCTTTTTAAATAAAATCTAATTGATGGATTTGTAATTTCTGTTTTAGGAAAATGTCCATTTACAGAAACAAGTTAATTGCTAAAATTATTTAATTTTGACCTATAACATAACACAAAAATTCAAAATGTTAGACTTCAAACTCATTCTAAACTTACTCAACTCTAAAAATATACATATATTCAAAATGTGTTTTTAACTTTATTTTACTTAGCCAATACATTGAACCAAACTATTTATAATTGTTTAGAAATAGATCAATTTTAAACAGAGGGTTAACAAATTAGTCATTTTGATTATTATGATTTATTCTATTTTAATGTAAAATGTCCATAAGTTTGGAAGAAATCTCCTGATAAAAAAGCTTAAACTTCAGATGACTTGGAAACTTTTAAAGTCTTTAATTTAGAAGATGGTCGTCATGAATCCATTGCCATAGATGCTTTTAGATCAAACTCTGTAGGTGTGTAGCACCATGTTAAAAATAATGAGGATTTGCAGAAAATTCAAAAGGCTAATTCAGGTATTGAAAGCAGTGTACGTTAAAGATAGGATCTCATGTATTGCTAAAAAGAATTAGAGTATAAAGCTTAGGATACTTCGTCTGAGAATTGCATTACAAATGAAACAACTACTACTTAAGGGACTCCACTAATTGATTCTGCTAAGAATACAGCAGATAGCTAAAAACCAATGTAAGAATCAGTTTATTTTCCATAAAAATAAGAATTGCAAGGGAGCGTATATTTTTCTAATCCAGAATAATAATAATAAATGCAGGAGTCAGTGTATTTTATACAACAAGATATTAAGCCTATGTAAGAATCTGTGTATTTTTCTTAAACATAAGGATAGCAATAATAAATGTAAGAATCTGTAATATTCCCTTAAAAAGAGTAAGTGTAAATGCAAGAATCAGTATGTTTTATTCCTCAAAAATAGTAAATGTAAGAATCAGTTTATTTTCCTCAATAAGAACAATAGGCATAAAAGATGGAAGGGTCTGTTTATTTTTCAAATCAAATGCAAGGATCAGTGGCTTTTCCTGGAAATCAAAATTAATAAATGCAATAATCGGTAATGTTGCAGGATCCTAAAAGTAATAGTTTAGGTTAATCTGAAATGGTGGGATAATCAATAATGATGGGTTAATCTACATTTACTAATAATAATATTAATAACACTAGTAATAATAAACCAAATATTAAAAGTAATCCAGATCCTATGGGATAATCCATTAATATAGAACAAATCATTTAGGAGGTGTAATACCCTTAGGATAAAAAAAAATAACAAAAGAGTGTAAAGTTAAAAGTGTCATTTCAAGAAGGAGATGAAAAGAAGAAGGGAGAAATTCAAAATAGAACTCCAACAAGATAGAAAAGAATTAAATTAATTACTTCTATTGAACAAGCATCTTTATAAAGTGTTATAACAAATCCATTTATTTTAAATGTCAGTCATTAAATGAAGATAAAGTCTGAGCAATTTCATAAAGTATAGATAATTATAAAATGAAATAGATATTGCTTATAAATTTGATTGGTGCAACTTTCGGTAGAAGTCAAGATAATCAGTATGTTTTGTAAGATTAATCAAAGATCTCCTCCAAACATGCAAGGATCACAGTTGTAAATGGTATATTTATGAAATAGAAAAGATAGGTTTCATTTGTAGGATTTAGGGTCCAAGAGAGGGACTTTCTTAAATGCTAATAAAATGAGGATAAAAAAGGCTATGGTGTTTTATATCGGAGACAAGCAAGCTTTTCAAATTTTAGAGGTTAATGAAATAGAGGGAACTTTAACATTTGCATTTGATAAGGAATTGATTGATACAAAATAAGTTAATCTTAAGATTGGGGAAACTTGGTCTATAGGGAGGGATTTAAAGCGAACCCATTATTAATTTATAGGATATCCCATTCATCAACTATTATCTTAGATTCATTGCATAATTTCTTATGTTTCAAAGGATGGAGAACCAAAATTTATTATTGATGATTAAAATTCAAAAAATGGTACTTGGTTAAGATTGAGTGACAAGAAATTACTTAGTGAACCTTAGCTGTTATTGAGGAACAGTAAATTTAATTTGGCTTTTGAGATACAATATGAAGTGATTGATGTGTATTATTAAAATAATTAATGAATAATAAAGAAAAATAAAGCATATGGATATAAAAAGATGGGCATGATAACCTTGAAAACAGTATATTAGTTAATGTCAATACAGGTGAAAATAGTTAACCAACATCTTGTATTAAAGCCAAGAAAAATTAGAATAAGCAAGCATGCCATTGCGGCATCTTTTGATAGACAAAGTTTCTTAAAACTGATTTTAAATGATATTATCTTCATGAACTGTATTATTGAAATATTAATAATTTTATGATCTATCTTGATAGGAAATTCAAAGATGTTAATGGCATTGCGATGTTTTTAATCTCACTAATAATATTTTCTAATCATTTTTAATCTTTTAATATATATTATAACATTAGTTATTTAAATCCTTTGAATTTCGATCGGTAGCTTGGAATTTTCTTTTATACAAATCATACCTTATTTTTTCTTTCATTTTTAAGAATCCGAACAAACCAAAATAGCCTAAAGATTTGTATAATATTAATGTATATATGATTCAAATTAATTCAAACAAATCGTTAACGAAACTTAAAGAGCATGTCTTTTGCTGTTCAAATTCTTATTTTATTCTTACCCATTTAACATCATCAACAATTAATTAATAAAAAAATTAAATAAGAAAGCTACAAATTTCATTTGTGATAGTTAAATATATTAATCATAATTATTGAAATACATATATATAGCATTAATTTTGTTCTTGTATTTCAATAAATCCGAATAAATAAGTTTGTTATAACTGAATTAGAATTATAGGAAATATAACAAATTTTGGAACGGAATAATAATTGGAATTTTCTCCAAAATTTGTGAGGCTTTCATAAAGGCTATGCTTTAATATGACTAGTATGTTGTTTTTATTAAATAATCACATCATATTTTTATCAAATTATTGGTCTCCTTTTTTTTCTAATTAAAAATCCTATTATAATTCTGGCTATTAGGAGCTAGTTTTTTAGTTACCTTAAATATCTAAAGTTCAAGGAACTCTCGCTTTGATCCACTCTTTTTATCGATAATATTTATTCATTTTCAACTAAATAAATATAACTACATCGTTGAATATATTCACAATTAGTCTTTTAAGGTAATTTTCATCTTTTCTTGAGTTTGAAAATAATTTAAAAATCTGGATTAAAAACAATTTCTTCCAGTACTAGTGAATAATGATTTTGTTATGTATATTCTCTAATTTTGCTTAAAATTACTTTCCTCAATTTATAAATATTTTGCCAACAAATGAAAGAGTGGCTACAAAGTCAATTTGCAATAGATAATTTATAATAGATTAATATAGCTTACAAATAATGTTACAGATATTGTATTAGCTCATAAGTTTATATTTAAAAGTGATTTATTCAGAAAACTGATAAAATTATTAACTTAATTTCTTTTTTAATTAAAGCGTTTATTATATTTAATAAACAAAAATTATATAGAACTGTAGAGAAGTACTACTCTTGGCAGAAATCAAAGTTTATTTATCAGTCAGTCCTTATAAAATTTATTTAAGCTAGCTGGAGGATTTGTAAGAGGTTTAGATAGTGAGTGTAATACAATAATTTAATTCAAAAAAATAGCTTTGGTTTGTGGAGTGGATCCAGGTTTAGAAACCTATCTATATGCTTATTTTGTCAACCTTATTCCTAAATATAAACTTCGAATTGTTTAGATTATATAATGTTCAAGAGTGTCAATTAAGAGTTGGAATTTTCAAATACTCAGACACTTGAGTGTAAGAAAAGAACTATTGTGTTATACGTTAAAAATGGGTTAGTTATTATTAGGTCATTCGAATATTAAGGAAATATATGCATACCTACCTCATTGGAATATTAGTAAGGATTAAATGGTAGGGATTATTATATGGCATATCATTGGATTAAAAATCCTATTCAAAATATTTTTATGCAAATTCCAGTTGTATAACAAAGGCATTCTCATTTTATACAATTTTACTATTAGAACCTATATCCTTCTTGATTAAATTCGATAAAATTTATCAAACTGGAGAGTTTTTTAAAAATTGACGAAGCCTTCACCTACAAGATAAATAATAAACCAAATAGGATATCTTAATTGTGTCTTTGGAATAATCTTCATATCATCATTTTTTGCATAGAATGCATTTCCCTTACACAAATTCAGGAGGATTCTTATTTTTTTCTTATTACTTTTTGTTTGTAAATCATTGATCATTAAATAAATTCCTAAGTTTGAGATTCTATATTAAACGATGATTCTAACTTATGTCCATACGGAAAGATTGAAATAAAAACTCTAAACGCAATTTCTACAAGGTTTCAAAATTATCAAAGGATGTTACTAATAAATTATTTTTAGAAATTGTTATATTTTGATAAAGAATATGATTGGTGTTTCTTAATCTGATAATAAAGATCCTCTTGAATTAAACGTATTAAAATTCTATTGTTCTGATGCAGTCTAGCATTTAAATTTATAAATTTTTTAGAAATATCATATTTATTTCTCCATTAAATTTGATAATAGATTGTATTAAAGAGAAAGTTGCTAATATTTTTAATGGAGGTGAAATCGATTTTAATAATATTCAAGTACGCGTTCAGATTCTATTCAAGATCTTTGCTTACTTATTGAAGTAGCACTGTTTTTTGGGATAATATTCATCATGAATTTAGTGAAAGAATGATTTCCTTTGCTTTTATCAATTATTTAGATTAATTTATATTAATCTTTTAACACTTGCTTTTATTCTTGAAATCACCAGGTATACTATTCAAACATAGTTCATTAATATTTTATGTGGTGTAAATCTATTTCTATTAATACTGAATGTCCGATGTTTGTCTCCATTACTATTAATTATAATTAATTTACTTTAGTAATTAAAGTAAAGGGATAACAGTACATCATGTTTCTAGTGTTTTTATATACATAAAATTGAATTAAATATTATATAGATTTCTCAAAGAGGCTTATTTGTTTAGATTATGACCATAAATTTAATTGAGAGGATTAAGTTTATAAATTTACATGAATTATAAAAAATATTATTTTAAATATGATTGGAACTGAATTTAAGATTGTTGATGGTTACGTGGTAACAGGAAAATTCTTGGGATCAGTATTAAATATGTTTATAAGGGTGCCTTTGGCTCTGTTTATAGAGGATATAAGGAGAATGATCCAAAACAGATTTGTGCTGTCAAAGTATTGCCAATGATTGAAGCAACGAATAATAAAAACTTCATGAAAACAATTAAAAGAGAAATAGAAATATTAGGAAAAATAAAGAGCTAATATATCGTTTAGTAACAATCACATTTAAATGTTAAGAATGTATCACGCAGCAAGAACGGCACGCAATTTTTACATATTTTTAGAATATTGTAATGGAGGCAATCTAAGAGAATTGATGAAACAGAAAGGAGGGTATTTGTCAGAATAAGACGCTCTAACATACTTCAAGTAGATTGTAGAGGGATTCAAAGCAATTTATCAAGAAAATGTGATGCATAGAGATATTAAACCAGCTAATATTTTATTACACAATGGTAATACATCAATAATGATTTAATAGGTATTGCTAAGATCAGTGACTTTGGATTTGCCAGAATAGTGGATGATATGGAAGGATAAGACAGATTCACACTGTTGGGAACTCCTTTGTATATGACACCCTAAATCTTGGAATAAAGCAAATTCAATTCTAAATGTGACATATGGTCTTTGGGAATCATGTTCTACGAAATGCTTTATGGTCATACTCCTTGGACTGCCAATAGTTAATTATCTCTGTTGGATTAAATCAAGAAGAAGCCTCTGGTGTTCCCTGAATAACCAAAGAGATAACAAATTATCAAGGAGTTGATTTCTCAAATGCTGATCATTGATGAGGAGAAGAGAATCAGTTGGTATGATATTTTCGAACATCAACTAATCAAGAGCAACAGTTAAGAGCTGAAGAACAAATTGAATCTAATCATCGATAGTGTTTAGGACACTCTTGAATAGTCGGTGCAAGTCAATAGATTTTATATTGACAACAATCTTGTCTTGGAATAAGGAAAGCAGCAGCAAGAACTATTTGAAGTTAAGGAAAGTGATGAAGCAAATACTCCAGCAGATAAGGATCTGGGATAATAGACTTTTGAAGACCTGAAGGGATTGACCTATAATGACATTATGGAGGTGTAGACCAAAAAGTTACAGGAACAAATTACCAATAATAAAATAGATGCTTATTTAACACTTTAGAGAAATATTGGAATATTCGTGAATCTATCAACCAATTACATTTTTGATTTGTATAAAGAGTAACTTATCAGCATTCCTACGCATTTATTTTATAGAATTCTTTTTATTCTTTAGAAAAAGTAGATGATTATCTTCGAAGATCTTACAAATATCATGGCCAGCAAGGTACTCAAACTATAATAATCTCTAGATTTAAATTAATAATGGCTTCACAGATCAAGATTGGAAACTCTATAAAAAAAATAAACAATACTTCACCACACTCAAGGCCATCAAAACTGATAAATATTACATCAAGCCATACTATGAAGAAATAGCCAAAAGAACCTAAACATATTTGAACAATCAAATCGCATAAAACAAATTGAACGAATAAGAGTAGTAGGATTTGAACGAGTTCTTATCCATCATGGCTAATGGTTTAATTTAAGATCTAGCATTCAACTCAGTCTACGAGAAGACATTGAAAATTACCTAAAGACTAATGTATGAACAATTATGCTAATAAAAAAAACTTACAGAAAATAAGAACTTCCTATTGGCCCTTAGATATTTGGTCTTATGCTTAAGTCCTGAAATGTATTTTAGACAATAAAAAGAATTTCCAGATTTCAATAAATTTTATGAACATTACAATAATTCAGAAATGGAACAACTCCTAGAAGAACTTCATAAAGAATTCTCTTCATTTTGATGAAGATTGATATTAATCACAATAATATATATTCCAATAATATAATGTTAAAATCTTATGAATAGGCATATTAAAATGATATTAATCATATGCTTACATTTCATCTTTTTTTATATTATACTTCTCCCATTGATCACCACTATATAATTCTCACAAATTATGGAAAATATATTTCATTAAAAATTTTGTATAAAATTCTACAAAAATTCTGTCTTATAAAAGAGCACTTATCTCCACTAATAGATTCAGACACTTGATTCAAAATTTCATAGAAATGGAATTTAACTTATGGCTATCAAATCAAAGTTCTCAATTTTAATAAGATAAACGATTAGAAGTGATAATGGATTTAACAGTCATCCCTTCTTTATCTAAAAAGTGTACATGGATTGCTAAACTACATTTTATTCATCAAGATTTACGATAGAAAATTTTGTCAATACTTGAAAGAAAAGAAATACCCTTTTCTGAAAAAATGTGATATTTTTAAATTACAATACTAATAAAACATAAGGTGCTCTGAGAGAGTTTCAAATGACATAATAATTATTAAAATAATACAATTACCACAATAAAGCCTTGAGAATAGCTATTGTTAATAATATTTTCCAGAAGGAACGTATCTATTATCCATAAACATTTTTTATAATGATTTATTGTGGAATTGATTCATATAAGCTATTATAGTTGTATAAGATGAGAATTAACATTGAAATAGAAGATAAACTAGACTCAGATATTAAAGAATACTTAAAAGTCTCAAAATTAAATCAAATACATTTTAAAAATATTTCAAAGCAAATACATAAAATTTATAAACAAAACTTCTATAATTAGGAAAAATTTGATTAAATTCAATGAGTTATGTTGTATCAGTTGAATAATTAAATTCATATGCTGAATAAATGAGATACTCAACACAATTTTAAAATTCCAATAAAAGAGTTTAAGGATTGAAGGAGGAATAATGTTCGTTAATTAATAAGTATTTAGGTGTTTTAATATACACCCTAGACTCATAAATTGTAATAAAGAATAAAATAATTAATAATGTATTAATTCATTTCACCAAGAAATCAGTTTTAATCAATAAACTATTTACACTATTTTTAAAAATAAGGGGAATCTATTTTAAATAATAAAGCTTTTATTTGTAAAAAGGGAGATGGCGATATATTCTTTGAAAAGTTGATTTCAGTAATTATTGATTTAGAGGAGAGAGCATAAATTCAGTTATTGTATAAATCGAATTACCTTTTTCCTCTTATAGGGTGTATGGAGATCGGAAGGAAAGTAAGAGGAAGTTTAGCACTTTTGAGGTTTATAAAATACGGACTATGGGGAGATGAATCATATCTTAGTGGATGTCTAATTGGCCACAATGAATAATGCTATTTTATATTTAATATAATTAAAATCTACATACAATGGATATGCATCCGATCATTTCTACATCAAAATAAAAAGCAATTAAGTATTAAATAATTTTCATAAATTGAGTTGCTGTAGTTGGAGATAAAGGAGTTGGTAAACATTAATTAATTGAGAAAATGCTGGATGTTGAAACCAAAGTAAATGACAGAGATATAATGTCGATTGATTTTTTTATATCATATATATGGATAGGGGATTGCCAATATCAAACGATTCACTACTGGGTGGTCAATTTGGATTCAAATTAATAACAGTATAATGTTGTAAATAGGAAAGGGTTAAGACCATGCCATTTATTCCTTAGAGTGACATCTACGTTATCATGTTCAGCCTGCACCAGAACAGAAGTTTATTCAACGCGCTTCATGTTTGGTTTTAATTGAGTTCCTAAAAAAGGAATGCTCAATATATATTTTTGGGTTCGGACAGCGGTGAGTCGAGACAATGTGGTTCGTTCAATGATATCATCAAGATCATAAGGAATAAAATGATCAGATCCTCGCCAAACTTGGAGGAGATTTAAAACGAATCAACTCTAAGGGAAATTAGAAAAACTATTGCATACGTTGATGATTTTATTGACGAATCACTGCCAGAGAATGTGTAATACCTGGAAATCAAAGATTATGAGCATTAGCCGTTCAAGAGAGTGCTAATTAGTTCGATCTAAAATGTGATTAGTAATGAACGACAAATGTTGTATTCAATCAGCGCACCCATATCTCCAAACATAATGCCTCAGTTATAAAAGTCTGTATCTGAGTACCTACAGAAGACAGAGTTTATGGAGAGGACCGAAAATTCGAAGAGCGTTAAGGACAAGAGACAATCAGAAATAGTTCAAACCCTAAAAATAGACTATTCATTGAATATTTAACCTATTTAATCAACGATGAATCCCAGTCTTTTGACTTTAGAATAGAGCAGCTGTTCTTAATAGGCCAAAAAAGAGACTGGATTTTGTTGCTAATTAATATGATCTAATAAATGAACTGACTGATTATACAATATGTTTCAATTGTAACAAATTATTCAAATAATTTTTATAATGGAATAAGATAGTATCACCATTCTTTCGCAATCCAAGGAAAGAAGGATTAAGTATTTAGTAATCATTCATTCAGAGTTATTTTGATTGGAGATCAGAGTGTGGGTAAAAGTAAGCTCCTCGAGTAACTGCTAAATGTAGAATCCAAAGTCAATGACAAGGAAATCTAAACTGTCGATTTTTTCATCTCTCGTGTTATTCTACCTGATAATTCAGAACAGAAAATATTTATATGGGTTACCACAGGGGAAATCAAAAATATGTAACAATATACCCTCATCATACTTATCATAGAAATCTCATTAGAGCCTTTTTAATAAAGAGTCACATCTATGTTATTGCATTTTCCCTCAACAATCCAGTATCCTTTGAGAATGCAGTAAACACTTGGTTCGCTCAGTGTTATAAAAATGCCAGGGAAACAAATAACTATTATTATTTTATTGGCACAATGAGTGATAAAGAGCATCTCTGCGGATCTTATTAGGATATTATCTAGATAATTGCAGACAAGTGCTAAGAACTCAAAATAGAGAAAAATTCATAGTAAGTGCCATTTCCTACAGATAAGGCATACATAAGATAGTCAGCAAAATGGAATGACGACAATATAATTGAATTTGCAAAAAATAAATTGCCGAACAATGTGTAAGATTTTTATAAGGATTAATTAGATTCTACTCAGAAACTTCAGCTGTTATCAAAACAGGCATTGAGAGAAGTTCAAGCATATTCATTAGATTATTGTAAGCAGCAGTGAAGTAGGAATTTGCAAAAGATGGTATCGAACCCATTATTGCACCTTCAAGAACAGCTTCAAGGTTTTCTATGGCATAAATGTAAGTGCCAATACCTGTAGTTGTACCGACATCATCTGCAAGACAATCAACTCAGACAGGCAGTTTGTAAGTTAGTATGGCAAAAGATCCTGTTCCATTTTTACCTTTTGAATAAAAAGAATCGAAATCATGTTCGATGGCTGAAATTAAAAAGGAATAAAATCTATGTTGTATGATTTAATGAAATATATATTTAAATTTCTTAACTATTTTCTATTACTCTACAAATACATTTTTGATATTCTCTTCCAATAATGTTTTTATTGCTAGTAAAGGATGTAACGACAATATCCTTAATTATGAATGTAATTTCAGAGGGAAAATCAGTCAATTACAATAATAAATTATTGAATGTATCATTTAAATGAAAAATTTAATTCAATTAAAATTATTATTATTTGATAAAATTATATGGATTCAATTGATGACCTCACTTGTAAATTAGGCTCTCCAATTTCAGATTAATAAACAAATGATACATTATCACCAATTCAACTGAGAACAATTGATATATTGTCTGATTTAAAAAAATCAATTGACAACAACAATAAACTACATTTTGCTTTTAAAGATTAAGTTTACTACTTCTATCAAATGATGAGGAATATGACAATAAAGGAAAATTATAGTTATTAGATAGCTTCCATAATCTTTTTGAGTGAGTACTAAGATAGCTCTTCATAAAAAGTAGAGAATGTCAAATAAATACTGTAAGAGTGTACTAATTTAAATCTAAAAACCTACTTTATAATATTAAATAATAATAATCGTAAACCAATTCTAAAGGAACTAAGATAACTAGTTGTGCAATTTCCATGTAGTTTGAGAGTTATAGATACTGAGATTTAAAATGTAGATCAGGAATTAGAGAGGATTACTCAGCAATTAAGAATAGGATCATTTGATACTAGACTGTTCGTTCACATCTCAACAAACAAAGCGATGAAAACCTACCTTGATGTGTTAATAGACTCTCTGTAAAAATTTGAGGAAGGATTGACTTAAAATGATAGAGTATATTGGTCTTCATGCAAAACAATTCAAAAGTTTACTGCAGTAGAAATTTATGAAGATGATGAATAAGATATGAGGAAGACAGGGAAGGAAAACAAAAGAAAAGTAATATTATATGGTTTTACCCTGTTGGTAATTCTCACAATAATTTGTTATTTATTATACGTTGTAATCATAACGTTTATTTAATGAATTATATTATACTAAATAATGGCTATTGTTATATAATATGTATCAATGAAATTCTGAATATTCCTGTTATCTGGAAGTCCAAGGATTGTCGAACAATGATTTATGAGCATAGTATTAGTAAGCAACAAAAATGATTAGAAGGACAATAAAAATGATGCTGACATAAAATGCTGCAACAACAAGAGAATAAGTGCTAGAGTAAGCATTCTTTGCAAAATGGTTAACTTCAGTAATAGCCTAAAATTATAATTCAATTATTTAATACCTATTTTAAGCCTTCGTCAGGGAAACAGTTTTTCTCCAGATATTTAGAAAATTGAGTATTATGTTCTCTGAGTCCGTTCTAAGATAGAATTACAAAAATTACATTTCCATCTACTTCGTTCAGATAAACTGCACCTAATCCGATACATAAGATGGCTATGATCAATCCAATGCCGCATAAGAACTTTGGTTGATGGAAATCAGTCATGTCAATCCATTAGAAAATCTAATATAAAATTGAGTAAACATACTCTGTTTTTCATCAGATATAAAATAGGAACCAAGAAGAGAACAACTCCGACTCCTATAATAATAATTAAGGACATGGCTCTCTCTGAATTGTAGACTCTTTATCCGCTCTTGGAGATTTGATCAATGTCTTTGGGTGACAATTTTTAGCAAACCTCATTGGTATTAATTTGAATTTTCTTGATGGCTTCTAATGCATACGTATCTTGGTTGTCTTCATAATTTTGATAGAAGGGCAACTAAGATAGTACATCTGCTAAGCCATTTTATTAGTAGGTTTGATGGGCTGAAAATGTATTCAAAGTGATTCTATGGGGTTGTAAATCTTTGTAGTCGTCACAACCGATTTCAGGTCTCTTAGCCAAAGGATAGTATTTGGCGGATTAGAATTTGGGATTCAATTTATGGTTATAACATGGTGATGAATTAGCTTCTCCAATTCCTGGTACAACTTCAATGCTAACAATGGGAGAAGAGTTTTCGAATTGTTTGATGTAATTGTCAGTTCCGATTTTAATTGCATTTCTATCATTCTATCTTGAATTGTCTTTTAGTAATCCTGAGAGTGGACAGTTTTTATTTTCTGGAACACAAACATTTCCGCATTACTTATAAGAAGTTTAACAAGCAGCACCTTCCAATGTTTTCCATTCAGCATATAATTTAGTACAATATTATTTTTATTACCATGTTGTAAATAATTCAGGATCATGAGATTTCACTCGTTTACAATTGGATTTGTAGAAACAAGTGAGAGAATGACTGATATCCCCATTCTCACATATGCATCCAGATGACACTCCGTCCCATTAACCTAAATGAGTTCTTCCATAGCCGTCTGGACACTCTATTGCATCGTGTGTAAAATATGATATCATATTGAGAGTTGAAGCAGATGAAGATGGGGTTGCTACGACGATATCTTCAATTGGTGCCAGTTGCATATTATTTTTCAAAGTTTCAAGTGTGTTATGTGCTCCTTCAGGGTTGAGATGTTTCACTTTGGAAGCAAAAAGTAATGCCATAATTAGGAGAATTATTATAAAGAAAGCTATTGGCAATATGTAAAGTAACCAATCTATCAACTACAAATTCAAATTTAACGATTACATAAGAGTACTTCTTTGGTTTCACTACAGTAATAGATTTGTTTGGCATTGGTTGCTGGACAATTATCTGCTCTCTATGAGGCTCAGGTTGCACTTTCACTAAAGGAATAGAGCATATAACTACTTTAATATTCAGTTTCAATTGGTGGTTAGGGTTGATATACAGGTTTAGCTAATAATAAGTATTGGTGAGATACTGGGGGTGTTGGTAGTATATCCGAAGGGTAGGGGGGCTACTTGTTACTGTGGATTTATGTACATAGATTGGACGTAGGAATTGGGTAACATTGATAAATCAAAATAAAATCAATAAAATTAAGATTAAAAGGGAGTATTGTAAATATTGTGATTAAAATTATATTTATGTTATGCACTTTAATACTGCTCAGAATTGGTAATCTGGAGTAGTGTTGGCCTTTCTAAAAGCAGGTTTACCACATTCCAATAATGCTATTATTAATTTCATGGAGTACCATCCTTGAATTGCATGCATTTTGATTCATCCTTAGTTCTTACAACACACTAATCATATTTGGAGTACTTTTTACTTCTTTAAATGCAGCCAACTCTCCTGGGCATTCTTGCTTCAAAATAATTGTTCTGGGGGCATTTTCATCTTCTCTTGGGAAACTATTTGATGAAATAGGATGAGTATATTACAAAATGACTTTGCTTTCCATTTGAGTTGATCTCTTTTTGGCAGTGGAGAAATTGTATGATCGTGATTCCATTTTAATTAAATATCTAAGATTTAAATTAATCTAAGTAACACACATAAAAATTTTTATTCATTCATTCATTATTTCCTGCTCCTAACTGATTTGACTGCCAAATTAAGTGCTACCTTATACAGTTGAGAATCGAAAGTGCTCGTCTACTTCATGGATTTCCCAATAGCCTTTGCCGTTGCTGATTTTTGATGATGCATTTGCTAGGAAGATGATTACCCGCTGCTCTATTTAAGCATCGTTGATTATTATGAATTAGTCACTTATCTCGCAGAATGAGTTTATTAATAATATACAAGTTTCTAATCTCCACTCGTATTAATTTATAATGGTTTATCATTCGATTTTGATTTCACGTTGATTTTTCTGTTTGGTTCTCGATTAGAGAGTGGCTCTTGAATTTTAACTCTTCTAAACTAATTCATTTCTTTGATGTTCAACTTCTTCCTAGATGATTACCCCTTAAGACGATTTGTTATTTCATATCTCTATGTAAGACTCCTAGGATCCTACGCAAGAGATAGACTATCAAAATGCACAGTGCAACACTGTTTCGAATCCCTAATTTATTTTTTGGCTAAAAGTGTCTGCAAATCAGACATGACTTTTAATTCTAATTATTACACTTTTTTTGGAAGATGTGGACTTTATTAAGGAGCCCTGGGTGTAACACACTTAGGTGATTTGAGAAGAGTAGCAATTCTTTATTGATTTGGGTAACAAGGTACGATTATTTGGAGATTTGAAGTCAACTTCACGAGGAGTCTAAATTGAAGACTGAAATAGATTACAATATGCAATTAATCAGATTTTAAGGACTGATTTTTCTTTTTTGCAACTCCCTTTAGGAATAGATGTCTTGAGCATATTAAGTATACTTGTTATACTTGATTTGCGATGCTGTATAACTGGTTTCTTTTGTAAATTCTATTATTCTTTAGGAGGAGGTTTGTAGTTTTCGTATTTGAAGTTGGGATTGGTAGATTGCATAAGTTTATATTGCTGCAGCTATTACTTGAAGTTCACGAATGGCGGTTTGGGCTCGATGATGCTGATACCTTCAAGGATCTTCTCACATTTAGACATCAACTAAGTTCAGGGTGTTCTGTCTTACTTCGTCAGAGGAGCTTGGATCTTGAGCAGTCACCTATTGGCTGGATTAGGGCATTGGCGAATCTCCCACTATTCCCTTTGGAGGCTTGTCTGGATTGTTCTTGTTCTCCTGAGCTATCAACTTGGCAATGCGAAAGTACTCCAATCTCCTCTTCTTGTCATGGTAGTAATTCAACGGGATTATGGCTGGAAGCATGAATAAACGAGGGATATCATTATGGAACTAGTGAATCACTATGAAACAGTACTTTGTAGTACTCACCCAACATTTGCAATTTTTCATACATCATGTCACTTTTATAGATTTTACAGAGCAATTCTTCGGGTGTGTCATACATGATCACGTCCTTGTAAAGTATGTTGTTTGCTGTACGGTAATTGTGTAAGATCTCCGTAATGCCCTTTGTGTAATGGTAATTCTAAGATTGCGAGTATTTCAAGAACAAAGAATGACGCATGATTTCTACCTTTATAGCATATGCATCATTACCAATTAAGGGTGTAGTCTCTTCACAAAAATCACATTTCATTTTGAATTTGTTATATTTATAAAATTATATAAAATAATATTCAAACAAAATTATTCATCTCCACTTTTATAATGGATAAGACTCTTCAAAGAATCATCAGACTAACACAAAAACAGGTTGATGCCAAATCTAATTGCTACTTCGACCAATACTCCTTCAATTACACAAAAGATCTCCTTGGCGAGGGATCTTTTGGTAGGTTATATTATCTAAGACCTTTAGTGTGTATCGAGGAACCCAAGGGAATAAATTTGTTGCTATCAAGATCCTCAATCTCAAATTCTACGACAATCCAGCATATAAACAAGCACTCAAAAATGAAATTACTCTCATGATGGAACTCTAGAGTCCCAACGTTGTAAGGATCTTAGACGTAACACTTAAATTCATTCTATAGGCATTATGCGACTAACATGATAATGAACTCTTCTTGATTATCGAATATTGTGAAGGAGGTGATCTTCGTCACCTTTTGTCTCATCAACCTAACCAAAGATTCTAAGAATCAGCTGCCATTGCTATAATCTCCCAAACTATCTAAGGATTATCAGAATTACTACATAAAAATTATATGCATCGAGACATTAAAGTATATTTTCATGTAAAATAAGCCCGATAATATTCTTCTGAAGTAAAATACCTATAAAGTTGCTGACTTTGGTCTGGCTGCTAAAATTCCACCGAAATAAGTGTTAAGAGGTATCACTTTAAAAATAACTTACTTTAGCCCAAGCAGGAACACCTTTATATATGTCTCCATAACTCTTAGAAGGTAAAGAATATTCTAATAAATGTGACATTTGGTCCTTGGGTTTGGTCTTATACGAACTCCTTTTTGGCCGAACTCCTTGGTTATGCCGCAGTTTTGATACTTATTTGATGGAAATTTAAACCAAGCCTTTATAATTCCCCTATGAAATAGAAATCTCAGCAAATGTAAAGGATTTCATTAAGAGATGTCTAAAAATTGAAGAACAAAATCGCATGAGTTGGACAGAATTATTAAAGCATCCTATGTTGTAAGCTCAAGGAAAATTGAAACGGTAAGCTACTTAGGAAAGATTGAACTTTACAGTTTTAGAAAGAGAATACTTATACAATATTTAATTAATATGTGCTCAACATAACTTCTAAGCTAAGGATTTAATGAAATAATGTGGCAAGACTCACATCAATTAAGAGGAATTTTAGAATATGCTTAGAAAGATTATGAATTAAGACAATGATGAGATTAGTAAGTAATTGTTTGGAAAGTTTGATTAATCTAAGGATGGATTGATAAGTGCATAAGAATTTGAATATTTATTTAGTGAATATGACTTTGCACCTATTGATACTCTTGCCGTTTAAATCACTCATGAGTTGCAGGCCATTATAAAGATTTATTAAATTTCATTGAAGTAACTATTTGAACAGTTAGATTAAGACAAAAATGGGTTTCTTGATCAAAAGGAGTTCGAATTCCTAATTAAAAAAATTGCACCAAAGTTATCTTAGAAAAACATTTTTGAAATATTCAAAAACTATGATTAAGATAATGATGGCAAGATTAGTCTAAAGGAATTAAAATTTGTTCTTTAGAGCAAGAATTATTAGAAATTGAAAATCATTCTTAATAAAATACGTGAAACTCTAATGAAAAAATCAGTATCCACGAATGTGTTGTTTACTTCAATAGATGCGGATTAGAAGGGATATCTCAATTTCAAGGATTTTGAGTATTTTATTGGGAAGATAGACAAAGTGAGCAGATCTGATGTATAAGATCTATTTAATTTGTTTGATGAAGATGAGAATGGAAAGATATCATTAAATGAATTTAATTCATTATTAAATTTATGATTTCATAAAAAATAAAGAGTTGTTATTATTATTTACAATTATTAATAAGTTTGGTTCCAAATAATTAATTATGTGAAACACTAAAATTAACTATTTTAATTAATGAAATACTATTACGCTTTCTTTATAATTATCGTTGTTATTGTCTCTATCAAAATGGATGATTTCCAAAAGCTTACTTAAATCGAATAAATAGAGGATGTTGCAGAAAAAAATAAGAAATTGGCAGAGTTTATTAATGGAAGATAAATCCATGATTTATTTCTTCTCTACCGCTATGAAAATGATTGATTCTAATCTTAGGACAGCTTATTATACATTGGAGGACACTGTGACATCCCTTTCTAATTTACCCGCTCTACTTTATAATAGAGTTATAGGAGACTCTAGAATTTAAGTAAAAAGTATTCCATCTCAAATAAACTTTGCCAATTACTTTGGTGGTGCAACCATTCTCACAAAAAGCAAATAATTAGTTGGAGTAGATAATATTTTGGTGGATAATCAAGAAACGTACTTATATTTTTGATTTCAATTTAGTTACATGATCACAGAATGCAATCAAGAGAAATTGTTTTTTATCATTTGTTTAAAGGAAGAGATACAACTAGAGACAATCTACTTTATTAATAAAGAGTTTTACTCCTCAACAATAAAGAATTTCAAGGTATCATTTAAGAATAATGATTTTTCTCAAGGTTTTCGGAAGCATCGTATAGCCTACTTAAGCTTGGGATTTTCTGTAAGCATTTGAATCAGAGGATATAAATGATTGGCAAAGCTTCGAATTTGAATCGCATTTTCTTAGATACTTAAAAATTGAGATCATTGATTTTCATCAAGCCGAATACCATTGCACACTAACTTAAATAAGGTATTTAGGTTATGATATCAAATTTAGAGTATTTGGATAAACAGTTATAGGAGATCTAATACAATCTCACAAAAGATATAAATTACAATTGCCTAAAATTGAACCAATTAAGGAGGAAATTAAATAACCGCAACGAATTAAGATGCCATGTAGTGAGATAATCAACAATTACTCAAGTACTAATAATTCTACATGCAGCTACTTCGATTACATATTTGATATACAATAGTCTCGTGCTGACGAAATTGAGAATCAGAATCAATATTTAGATGTGATTCCTTTTGAATCTAATTAATCCTTATTTAAAGTGACAGCTTAAAACATTGTTATTTTATCGCATAATCTTCAATTGTTGAAAGAGTAATTGTAATCAATTCGTAATCAAAAGATGAAGGAGATGGAAAATTAAAAATAACATGATTACATCTAATAGTAATTATTATATGAACTCAGCCAATAACAAAATATCAATAAGAATTTAGAGGAATAAATCAAAAAATTATATTTTCTTACTGATATTTGTGTAATATTAATATGTATTATCTTATTTATTGGATTTTGCTGGATTTTGAGAAAATAGTAAAATCATTATAATAACAACAGAAATCAATCGATTGTTATCGAAAATAAGAAGAATGTCCCTGATATTACTACATTGACTCCAATTTTAGTGAATGGGTATTCAATCAATAATGATGAGAATTGTCATCATATAGTGAAGAGTAAAAGCAATAATAACAATCAGAAAAACAAGAAAAAGAGCAATTTTGTTAATTGATTTATTTTATTACTATTTTATTTAAAGAATTAAAATATTTAATTCATAAATAATTAATGTTCCCTAGTAAATTGTATGATTTACAATTAACTCCTTCGCTAAATAAGTTTAATTCTGATTTTTAAAGTGCTAAATTGATAGAGTCATTTAGACAACTATTAATTGAGGACGATAAGGAAATAGTCACATCCGCTATGGTATAGTGCTTAAATCAAAAAGTTAGGATCTAATGAAAGCAATTTCGTATTCTCTGTATGGCACATGGTTTTATTGGAAGGCTTTGAGCGATATTTGTCAAGGGGACGATCTCAACACCATAAGTTAATAATTGGAGAGAAAAATCATTATTTATGATATTTGTGAAGTTGAAGATTTGAAATGCCAGGTGATTAATTTTGGGTACAAGAAACGCATATATTTGGCTCGATATTTGAATTACTTTTATGTGGTAGGTAAAAAGGGCACATCTGAAAAGCATAAGCTGGTAAGGGACATCTTGATGGATGTTATCATTGAGATAATAGGGTTACCAATTAGAAGACATAAACGATCTTATTCCGATGCTTTAAAGTATCTTTCAGATTAAAAGGATAACCGAACAAATAAATTGAATATAAAAAATGTGCCTCTGTCACCCTCAAACATATCACGTACAAGTCTACAAATGCAATTGTTGGATGAGGTCAATCAAGAGAGTGATCTTCTCTTGAAGGAATGCAATTCTTTGATTAATAATCCAACAAGTTAGAATGATCTTTTGCAATCACTCAATTTAAACTTACAAGAAGGCACAAACATATTGTCTAATGTAAATGTATTAAAATCATGTATAGATCAGATATTTTGGGACTTTGAAGTTTTACGACGAAGCAAGATCTTATGGCTTCATAATAATGGACATGGATGGAAGTGATTTGTTTGTTCATTGTGATGATCTGACTAAGGCAGGCATGACGAAGGATTTCTTGAGAACAGCTAAGCATGGAAATATAATTAGATTTTCATTTCTTATTCTTGAATACTTTGGAAAGTACAACAAAAGTAGAAAAGCAGTCGATTTGCAGTTTATTCAAGGCCAACCATATTTCATGTGATATTTATATGTATATTTTACTAATATAAGTTAAATATAAAATATATAATCATAACTTCTTATTTCTGAGTTTGCTCAATTTTTAGCTGCCGTTCTTATCAAAAATGTATAAGCTAATGGCAATGATGCAGTTGAAAAAACTGACGCCGACAAAGAAGTAAGATTAGTAAACATAGCTAAAAATATAAACAATACTATAATACCCTTCAAATGGATCTAATTGTCCATATTCATTGATCACATGTCCATTGTAAATGCTCCCAGTAATCAGTGGAAAGAGAGCCAAGGCAGTATTTTACATAACTCCCAACAGACCAAAGGCAGTTCCTTAAAATAGACTTAAAAATAATACCGATCATTTAAGGCTTGACAACTAAGGGAATGGAGGGAATAAGGATGGCTGAATAAAATGAGTAGCATAATCCAAGAGAGAGCAAGGGCAAAGCAGAGACTCCACAAGCACTCTAAAATAATGGCAATAATAGGTACATCACAGTGAATTAGGAGTAAGCATAAATGAGTAACTATGAAAATAACCGTTGTGAGAACTATGAGCAACGATCTCTATCTAATCTTATCTGAGTAGATGCCAATGATTGGAGTAAGAAGGGCAGCAAATACATAGGGAATAGTTAATAATACACCTGCTGATTGTTGGCTAAATCCAAATTTGACTTAAAAAAATGCGTTACCATTATCTAAAAAGGGTACAAATAATGCTTCACTCAACATAATGATGGACGATAGAATCCAATAAGATCCATCTAGATTTTTTAAATCTGATAATTTGATTTCTTCCTTTGCATCATGAACATTGTGATTCTATTCATCTTCGTCCTCATTATCCTCTTCTTCATCGTCCTAAAGAAAGGATTCAGAATAATCACTGCTCTCAACAGAGGAATTATGATTATGATTATGATTATGATTTCCATTCGTCCTCAATTGTAAACTCAATTCTTGTGATTAGGTATCAGATGATACACTTTTCTCTTTAATAGGTGATAAGACTTGAGGATTTGTTTTCTTATATTCTTCCATCAGATGTTCATTTTTTTTATCCAAGTAAATTAAAAATAAACCGCAACCCCAAGAAAATAATACAATAAATAATCCAACCAAAAATGTAAAACCTAGTTCATTATGGTTTGCTTATATGATGGGACTTACGAAAGAGTTCATTGCACTTCCTAATTTGGGTATGGATAGACACAATCCCAGAGCCAAACTGACCATTCCACCTTCAAACCACTTTGACATAATGGCAGCTTGGGCAGCATTTAGACTCTCAGATCCAATGCCGAATATGCATCTCCCTGCCAACAGTGTCCCATAAGAAAGGGTGTATCCTCCTATGACCACAATGCCTTGTCCAAAGATTAAGATGGTAGAAAATATAAATATACTGACTCTCACTCCTATTTTATCTATTAGGATTCCTCCGAAAAACGGAAGGATTATGTTGGGAGCAGAATAGATGGAATATAACATGTTGAATTATACATTGTTGAGTCCCATTTGAGTTTGGATGGTGGATTACAAAGCCATTGGATTGTCAAAGGCGTAAGCATCTCCAAACAATAACATGCAGGCCAATGCTAGAGCCAACCATAAAACCCAGGTTTTTTAGAATGGTTATTTAGTGATGTATGATTATTTGATGGTAGTGACTTCCTCATTTGATTAATTCATTAATTCTTAAATTTATTAAAATTTAATTACATTATTAATAATAATGAAAATATATACTTGTTATATATTCTGTAAATTCAGATTAGTTATCAGTTATCATTCAATTATCAATCCCTATTCTGACTCAACAATTAGTTTTATGGTATTCTCATCCTATTACTCCCATTTTTACTCTTATTTGTTCAAGATCTTGGTAATCTACAAATTCAACACAGTTTCTCTGTTCTATAAAATAAATATATTAATAATTAATTTTACTTCATTAGTGTGATTTATCAAAAATGTAAACTTTCCCCTTTTGATCTGCAAAACTGAATCCACTTCATTTACTTCACCAATCTCATTTTCCAACCAACCACACTGTTGTTCAATCTATACAAATTAGTCATCCTAGACCTCCTAAATCAACCCCTACATTTAATATAATTCTTACAGAACCAATAGCCAATGCATTTAAAATTTGAGCTTGAGTGTACACTCCTGTGTTTTCGAACAGTGTCTTCGGTTAGAATTACTTGTGTTGCAATTTAGAGAGTCTGAAATCAAAACCGAGACCCCCTTCTTTGATTGTTCTGCAAAGTGCCGGATAGTCCAAGTCTTAGATTATACTGATACCGTTTGGCAACAAATCATGAATCAAATCATTGGCTAACATCAAATAGACAGTGGCATCAATGTCGTCTGATACGTCAATATTGGAGAATTTGAATCCGTCTATTTGATATTCGGTTATCCAAAAAGATATGTTGGATAATAACAATCTCAAGACTTCCCATTTCCCATAGTCCAATTGTTCGATTTCCTCTCTCAAGTATTGATATCCTGTTCCATCCCAATTATTCAAGTATTTTCCTATTTATTCATGATCAATCTCCATTATGACTGAAAATCCCTTCTGATGAAGAACTTCTATGTTTCTTTTCAAATCGTCAGGTGTTATTAAATTTACGTCCAGTTACATTAGTAATTATTGAGTAATCATAATGGTATTATATCCATTAACTCCCTGCAATTCTGTTATCTTTTGTTTTATCACCTTCAGACCTTTGCTCTACTGTTTCTGTTGCAACTGCTATGCTTGAAATTCGTATCTGTTGTCTGGATTCCAAAATATCGCTTACTCTCCCATTTTAACACTACTCCAAACTGAAGCTCTTTCGAGTTCATTGCAATAGGTGATCAGTTTGCTCCCATGTTGGATTTGGTGATTGTCATCGTCATCCTTTGGGATAAACACTTCCCAGTTTCCACCATTGTCAGTCGTACAACCATATTCATTCAATTTCAATTCCTTCGCGTTTGGTGCCCATTCTCTATAGGTTATTCCTGTGTCAGATACAATGAATCCGTATTTTTAATACCTACATTAACATCCAAAAATACCCCTTGGCGAATTCCTTAATTGATGATTCCACTTTGATTATTTGCTCCAAAACCTAAAAAAACTTCTCATTCCTATTTTGAATCACCTCTTTCAACTCAGGCTCCTCAATCACTGTTTACAATTGGTCGACGTTCTTCTCATACTTCTGCATGAATTCCTCATTCTCAAACACCGATTGCTATTGTTAATCATAACACTCAAACCTAATAAAACAAAGAATTCTTCTTAGACAACTTTCTATTGGGAACCTTCCTTGAAAGAGCAGTGCCTTAATCAATATAATTCATTTTTATTATTATTTATAAATATATAATTCCGAATATCATATATTAATTTGTACTCCTCCCCCCATCACTGAGAGAAGTGCATCCACTTAAACATTAATAATTATATATAAAATTTGAAATCTACCCAAAAAAATAACTGAATAAAGAATGTTAAAAAAATATAAAATATATATTTAGATATTTAAATCAAAGTGTTAATACAAAATAATTGTATATCAAAAATTCAATCCAATCTCCACGTATTCATTTGGTTCTGTGAGATATGTACTATTTAAAGATACGACTTCTCATATAAGAAGCAGTAGGAGATGGATAATCAACTTTTGGGTGGTCATAAAGTAAAATAATCTTTTTCTTCACTTATTTAGAGAAATCATTGATCCGGTGAGGTGAGTGGCCTTAATAAATTTTTATTTCATTTTCCTAATTTATCATTTTACCATTATTTGATAAAATACTGTCCTAATTATCGCTTCCTTGAGCGGTATTAGAGAATTCATTAATCCCCCAAGATATTCCCTATGAGATCTCCTCAACTATTAGGACACCAAGATCCAATTCATCATCAGAATTGTGATTACTGTTTATCTTAATGCGGTTTATGTTAGAAATTTTTGTTTTCTGCATCACTATTAAATTATTGATTGATCAAATAAATAATATATTCACAATCTATGCCATGCACTCCCCATCCTGCTCAAATGACAGATTCAAATCAAACAATTTACACTGTTGAAAATAAATTTGAAATTGATTATTATTTTCGAAGATAATACTTACTTAATTTCTTAATTGAATAAACTTATGTTATTAAAATCTATCTGAATATATTAGTCTGAGCACATCCCTTTTCCTCAATTCTGATCACCATATCAACCCTATTTTCTATTTTCTCAATAATATTCCCCTTCTCCATCTCCATAGCTATTGTATAATTTGTCAACCTCATCCTAAATTCAAGCATCCTCTTTTGATGTACTCATATAAACACTAAAAGAGAAAGAGTTATTATATCATATACTCTCATAGATTTGAAATTCATTGCAATTAAATAAGAGAACTCAAATAGAAAGTCTGTTCAAATAAAAAATACATGTTTTTCTAAACTCGTCATAATGTCTACAAGCAGGTGCATTATATTGAGATAAAGAAATATTATAATTTGAAGTTAACACTCTTAAAAACTCTTTACTTAAATTCTCATACTGATTTTATTTTCTTTTATTCATAACTTATTCTTAACTAATACTTTTTTTTTTGTATTTTGAATATAAGTGGTCAATTACCAACCCATTAGTAGTCACATTTAACACTTTGAAGATGAATAAGGATTGAAGATTTGGCATCTCAAATCAACTAATGTGGCTCATTTGGATTTCCATTTGAATTCTTCCAGATATCTTCCTTTGAGTTATAATGCCATCATTATCATCGATAAAGTTTATCATTGAATGTATTTCATTATCTACTGGGACTCTTTGTTGTACTAGATCAAAATCAACTAATCATTTGAATTTTACTCTACATTTATTTGTCCTCATCGATTTTCTGTTTAAAGAAGTGAGGCAAACACTAGAGAAGGATTAGATATAGAGTGACGATCATAAGGACAAGTTGTAAACTGAAAAAAAAAATATTCAATTGATTACAAACAGGAATACAAATGTTACTTAAAAATATCTATCTGAATTACTATGCGAGTAGATCAAAATATATAGGAAATCTGAAGATTCTCGAGACTTTAGAAGGATATTCACATTTATTTCTCATTATTTTTAAGTTAATCTCTTGTAGATAGAGATGTTTTTAGTTGTTAGATTTATCATATAAATATTCGAATAATACAATAATTAAATTTAAATAAAATGTAATAATGGATTTTATTTCACTCTTTGCTTATAAAAATGTATGATCCTAATTTGTGTGTGTATCCTAGATAAAGACTATTCCACAGAACATATTTAAAGAAACAAAATATATTCTAAGTTAGATAAAACCATAGTTATTTCTTAAGATTGAATATAATCTCTTGAATTTATTTTTCTTGTAAAGAATCAATAGAAGAAAGTTAAGAATTTTTAGAAATAGTCTGACTATTATTTTGATTAATAATTATGGTTTATAAAATTAGAAATAAATCATTCTTTTGGACCAGAGCAGGATGGAAGAATAACTGGCATCCTAAAAACTTTAATGCTCCTCGTCCTTCCAGTTCAGAGTTTACAATCGGCATTAGATGCAGATATGATCATAACTCATTTTTAAGAGGTTTGCAATTTTGTTAAATTAAACAGCTTATCACTCATATAGGAAGATCTCAAGACATTGCAAACAATATTTCTTTGGCAACAGAGAATTAGAAGAATTATTTCAAATGGGTTTGAGGACTTTCTTCATCGTTCCACATATTGCTGAATGTCAAGTCACATAAATTAAACATGGTGGTGAAAGAAGAATGGTTGATTAAATAGATAGAGACTTTGAGTTAGTGTCTTATAACTCGCACCCTTATTAATTATTCACCTACACTGTTTGGAATCAATATTTAGCAAATCAATAAGAAGCCTATGAATAAAGAAAGAATGGAGGTTAAGCTATTGAAGATTAAGTTATTGATCACATCAGGTAAGCATAGATTTTAAGAGTATAGCGAATTAGTGAAAGATGAGAAGAGCAAATTGGGTCCTGGAAAATAATTAAGCATAGAGAAAACAGCTGAAATCGTGATGAATGTCATGAGATAATTAAGAGCTGCATAGCAAAGACCAAATTTGAATAATAGGTAAATATTTGAATCAAATAATTATAGACGAGCAGATGGTGAATTCGATGATTTCTTAGAATAAAGAAGACCCTTCACAGCACCCAATAATCAATCAGCAACTCATTGAGTAATAATATGTATAGGAAAATCAATTAAAATTAAACATATCATTTATCAGGTTGTTTGATTAATCGATAGCAGTGTTACGTCTCAATCTCTTTCGATATTTCTTTTAATCTTCCTTCTCATCCTCATCTGATACTTCGTTGATAAAATTATTAACAGATTCATTCTAATTTTTCTTAATAGTACTAATATATTTCTTCTTCTTATTTTGAACTTCTTTCTAATTGATGTTGTCTTCAATGTTTTCTTTATTCTAATCGCTAGATCTCTTATTGTTCTTCTTAATATTCATTTTATTATTGAAAAGAAATGTGAAAACCAATTCCTCAAGATTAATTATTTTTTCTTGTAGCTCTTCAAATTACTTTTCGATCAATTCTGATTTATCGCTTTTTAGTTCGACTTCTCTTACAGTTTACTTGATAACCAATGTTTATTTTTGAACTTTCCAAAATAAGTCTTGGATGTCTGATGCCTCACAATCAATCATCTAAATCACAGATTACAATTTAGTTATTTGTTATGTTTTCTCTTGGAGATCCTTTTTCACTTAAACTAGTTGTTATTACACTAAAAATCATAAAATAATATTACAATCCGAAGAAAATTTCAAGGCTTCTTAACATTATTCTTTTAATTTCTGCATTTGTATATAATTATATAATTATATATATATTATTTTGGACATTCAATTTTATAACGCTTCTTATGCATAAAATTTAACATCTCTATCTGGGTCTTCGACTAATTCATTAATTGCTCTATGAAATAATTAAATTTGAAAATTACTATTTAATTTGATTCAAAGTTTATTAGTTATCAATTTTCTTTGACAAAGATTTAGCAACCCTGATGCTGACAAATCTTATATTGGGAACAGTGTCTTTCAAGCACTTCTATACGATGGGCCATAATCTATCCTAAGCAACTGGGCCATCAACGGCAAAAGAAATTTATTGGATTGCATAAAGTGCATTGATTCGATAGAGTGATCCAACATCCTTAGATAAGGTTTCCACACATTTGGATAAGAAGTTGCCCACAGCCCACTCTTACTTGTAAGTAGCAATCAAAGCAGGCAATTAGCTTAATCCCATAGATCTCACTTCAGCTGCTCTATCTTTTAAAAACATTACAAAAACTGATTCCAATTGCTTATTAAAGACATCAGGATTCTTAACAGTCCTTAAAACATAAATATTGAAAATCGTACAAGGCCAATTAAATGATAGTTTGCATAGTCTCCTTTCTAACTCTCCATTTTGGATCATCCATACATTTTTTGAGAAAAGGAACAAATTGATTCAAAGCCTCTGGACCAATGGCAGCTGCAAATTGCCCTGCAGATTTGGCTGCATTTCGTCTTACATCCTAATTGTCATCTGCCATCAATTCAATTAAATATTGTTATAATTTGCTTTGACTGTATTCTTTTGGCAAAAGTGAAGCAATCTGACCAATGACTTCACAGGCATTTTCTATCATTCACAATATTCAATACATTTAACTTATGAGAATGGATCCTTCGCTAAGAGTTACAAAAGTGGGACTATCAAATTTAATTTTTCTGGTGACACAAACTTGATGAATCTAGCCAAACTTTTGACTGCAATGACTCTGACATCACATTCTACGTCTTTTAACAAATTAGAGAATATCTAAATAAGTGAGGAGTCTGCAATTTCCTTGCCCACAGCTTCTGCTAACTAATTAGACATTAATAATTATGTTACATCTGCAAATATTTTAGACAATGCCAATCTCACTCTCCATGATTTATCTTCAGCTGATTAAATAATAAGAGGTAAAATATTGGTCTTATTCTCCCCACTATTTAAGATCTTTGCTATATTCATTAAACTTTCCATGCACAATAATCTAACTTAATCCTATTCATCTTGGCAAAGTTGTTTTAATACAGGAATCAAATCCTGAATCACATGGATCTTATCCATAAATTAAGCAATTTCCCCAATTTTAGTAGCCACAGCTCTCCTTACCATTGGTGTTTCCTCACTGCATAACTCAGTAAACTTTCTAATTAATATTTGAATTTGAATTACTATCTAATTTTCTCCTTCTGATTGCCTGCTCTGGCATACAATGGACACATCAAACTGACTGCTGACACACGACATGTAAAGTTAGTATCATTTGAAGCTAATCTAATAATCTATGAAATATGTTAAACAAAAAGTTACCATTGGTACAATAGTGTTGGCTATTTCGTTGTCTCCCAAAAATCCACATACAATTGTGATGGATCTCACAGCTTGTTCTCTTACCACAGTTTCATCGAAGCCTGCCAATTATTCAAGCAATGCCAAGAGGCATGATGATTAATTTGGGATGATTTAACTAATTATAATCAAATATCATTACGCAATAGTTCCCAATTCTTCAGCCAATGCGAAAAGTACTTCATCGTCTTCTTTCTTTAACAGAGCTAGTTTAAATCATTTCTATTACTTTCAAAATATGGTATTAATTATGACTTTATTTTATCACTACCCAACAAAGTGGCTACAACTCTCACCCTATGCATCGCATTTACTTTTAAATAAACTTCTTCATTTTCCATGTCTTCTTTTAAGACCTCAAATGGATTTTCGCTCATAATTAAATAAGATTTATATATAACAAAGAAATTATTTCTCACATATGAAAGAAAATTAATGAAATCAAATATAAAAGTAATCTGTGCATTCTAATTTTAAATTACAAGTCTTTCGATATAATTGATTTATAATGATGTTTCAGATTTCAATACTTCATTTGACATTCCATAATTCATATAAATAAAATGTAGTAATAAATAATAATAGGTTCTATTGTGTGTTGTGCTTCATTTCTCTTGATTATTTTAATTATTGGATGGGACGTTGTTGAAGTGACCAATTGGGGATTACAGTGTAATTCCATCAGCAAATAATGCGACAAACAAATATATGCTCCAGGGAGATATTTGGTAGGGCCCTTCAACTCCTTCTTTAACTTTCCAGGCAGCAGATAAAATATTGAATTTTCCGATGACAAAAGAGCTCAAAGTCAACCTCTTAAAACAAGAACTGCTGAAGGCCTGACCCTTAGTTTACATGTCTCATTTCAATACCAACTTATCAAGAATGAAATTGCATCACTCTATGCCTTGGGTGGACTCAACTACGAAGCCACCTTTATAAGAATGGCAAGAGACACCATTCTCTAAGCAGCAGGCAAATTTGAAGCTCCCAAATATTGGACCAACAGGAGAAACATAACACAAGTTATGCAAAATCAATTGTAGGATGAATTGAAAAAGGCTCATGCTAATTGCGTATCACTACAAATTCTGGATATTGATTTGCCTGATTAATATGAAAATTCCATTGTGCAAACTTAGATTGAAGTGCAAACGAAAACCATGAAATAATTTGAATAGAGAGCATAGATGATTTTAAACGATATCCTAGTAATGAGGGCTGAAAATGACTAAGAAATCTTTGCCATCAATGCCCAAGCTGAGGCAGATGCATTTACTATTACATAAGCAGCATAGGCAACAGCCAATAAATTACTATTGGAGGCTGAATCCAAAGGTTACGAAATGATCCAAAAGAACCTCAATCTTAGTTAAGAAGAATTTAATCAATATTTATTTTGGAATTCTGTATTAAAATAAAAAAAAGCTAAATTAGTATTCAATCCTAACTCTGTATTAACTTATAATATGAATCATAATTGAATAAATCATTTACATTGATATATGTATTCATAATTAGTAGTTGATTAATTCTCTTAAACGAAGATTCTCTCGATTAAATATTCTAACATCCTCCACTTGACTGGCTCTTATAAGGTACTCTGCCAATTACTTCAACTCTTCATCCTTTTCATCAGAATTCCACTCAAGTATTGGTATTCCATTGTCAATCTATAGTCCGAAACTATGAGCCAAATTGTCAACAATTAGTGTGGAACTTAAATCAATGTCTTTTAGAGTTCTCAAATCCTTAATAAAGAAACCATTTTTAGTTTCCATGCAATGATTCCTTGAAAATATTCCGATAATTTTAGTTTAATCGGGATCCAAATAATCCACAACTATACTTGCATAAGAAGGCGAGGATGCTGTGAATACGAAAATTGAATATACTTACGATAATTTATTTAAAAAGTAATTTGTATAGGGTCTTACATTGAAACTTATTTAATTAATGTTAACTTAGGCTTACTCTTTACTACCACAACAATGTATGAGAGTTTCGTCTAAATCTAGAAGAAGAACTTTTGATTTGTTTTCTTCTTTTGGGACTTCAACTTGACGAGATTTGATAAATTAATCACTGGGTCCCTTCAAACATTTAGTTGCATAGATTAAACCTCTTTAAGTCAATAGGAGATGCTTCTTAAGGGTAGTTTCTGAAACGGATTCTCCGAATATTAAATGTCTAAAGGGGTGATTTTTTACGGAGACTTCGTATTATTTTTAGGTTTTCAATTCAGCATCTGAATGAGTTTACTTATTTTACAATACATTCTTAGCCGTGTTTGTGAAGAGTTATTAGATTGTGGAGGGTTTTGGTTTGAATTTTGATTGTTAAGGTTTTTGTGGGGTCTTACCTGAGGGACTTATTGGAGTGCCACAGTCAGAATCATCAGTTTAAAACTCTTATTTATGTTGTTTGAAAGAGTTGATTGAATGAGGCGTAGTGCTTTCTCCATCGTCCGAATAAAATTGAGATTTCTTGCTGGGCTTAGTCAATGTTAATTTATGAGTATTGTAATGTGGTTTGGAATTCATTTTTAAAGTGTAGATATGTAAATATTTAATTATATATGTCAAAATAAAATACTTATTAAATTTGAGATCACAAACATTTAATTGGAAATATCTATGCTACATTATCGGTATTTTTTGTTAGAGATTGATGTTGTTAATTTTTATAAATTCAATGTTAACCAAGAAGATAACCAAATGTTATTTGAAGGTTCAAATATTTAAGACTTTAAAATAAGTATTTATTAAATTGAATATTATATATTGTATATGTTTCTAACTCTAGAAATTTACATTGATCATTCTTGATGTGTATAGATTTCATAAAATTTTCATTCTATGAGATATAATTATCTTTAAATTAAACAATTAATCAAATTCCATCCTATTCATTTTTAGAATGGCCATTGTTCTCTTGATGAATTTCAGTCATTTCAAATACAATTGAATCATTGACCTTTGAATGAGGTCTTTCTTCAGTTAGATTAAATACATCAGCTGCTTTTCTAACTCCAATCTACTTTCCAAAATCCTCCCACTATTTATTCTCCCTATAAAAAACATTCTTATTATAAATTAAAAAATAAGCCGCAAATGTCGAGAATCTAATATATATATTATATGATACAAAACTCCCCAAAATGCACCCACAATTGAAATCATACCAAATGAAGTTTAATAAGTCAATACAGAGATCTATTAAGTCTAAAATTAATTTAATTATAAAATACTAATTCTGATCGAAATCCTATTTAATATGCATTATCATTGCTATAAACAGTCACATTTGTTATCCAACTGTTAATTTTTTCTGTACTTAAAAATAATCTAACATCATCCGACCATCTTCTTAAGTAATCAGGTTTGATTGTATATTTCTCAAGTTAAAAGAATATTTCAGTCCTGGGATATAGCCCAGGCATTAGAAAGTATTAATAAGTAGAATAGGGCACACTCTCTACAGATTTTCCAGTTGTAAGATCGAAATTCGGTGAATTATCTCGAACGTATAATAAAATTCTCCCACTTGACAAATATGATGGACAATCTATACCCTGCTGTGATCTAATCTATTTCTTGCTAACTTACACAGGCCTACCCGTGCCCTGAGGTACAGTATGACACTTAAATTCTAGGATAAGTAAATTCTGGAGTTTGGTAAAGAGCTCCTGACATGTTTGCAGACTCGCTTGAAATTGAATATTGAATTCTACTTTGGGCAAAGAAGTGTGAAATTAGATGCAGGAATCCAATCAGGATTGCAAGGTTTCAACGGTATTTATGTTTTTACATCTTTCTTGGAGACATCTTGAAATTTAGTAACTTAAACCATTTGAAAATAAAAGATAGAAGGGTCATTTATGGTTTTTGTAAACCTTAAATATAACTTAAATGAAATTATACGGATCTCCATAGAAGTATCCAAAAGCAATATCAGGTAAAGTGATATTTGAAATCTCCAATATTTCTTAATACTAATTTACTGTTGGACTATTGTTGGTAACAAATGCTCGAATTAGAATCTCAATGCGTACCAACGAAAGTATAGAGAAAATAGGCTAAAAAGCATCCTATCATCAAAAGACTCCCATATAAGCTTCTTTTAGAGGAGACCATTTCAGTTTTAGGAACAGGCATGAATTAGAAAAGATCAAGCGAAGCTATCAATCTTCTTTTCATCGTCACAACTCCTTTTGATTCTTCTTCATTTTCTTCTTTCTTTTGATTTTCTACTACATTATTTCCAACTTACATTATTTTAATATTATTAGGCTAAATGCAATTCTATCATTTAAATATGTTATTAAAATTTCAATATCTAATGGGGAAATATCAAATTACACAAGATAGTAATAATATTAACTCATTTATTAATAACCGTATGTTAATATAAACAAAAATATTTCAAAATTGATAAAGATTGATTCACATCTACATTCTTTTGTAAAGTAAATTAATGAGCTGCAATTTAAGCTTGTAGACATCTTTATCCACAACATTACAACTTATTAATTAGCTCAAATTTTAACTATGAAAATCTTTTAACATTTCAAGAATCTATTGCACTTCTTCACAATTATCAACTTTATTCAACATTTCTCTTAAGCCCCCATAACAAGTTTACTTCTGACGCTAAACCAACAAAGATATTGGATTAATGCGAATTGATTCATCATGATATTAAATAATGTCACCTATTTTATATATTATCTTAATACTGCTTGAGAATGGTAAGTCCAACTCGATAACCTTCGCTGTAAATCTACACAATGACTTTATATTAATTTTAAAATTATGATGTATAAATTTTTTGGTCTAATAATTACATATTTAAATTTACAATAATTCCGAGTTTGAATGTCTCATTAGGCTGGTTATCAACTTGAATTTCATTAATAGGCATCATCAATCTATTCCAGGAACGTTTAACTTTTAGGACAGCCTGTTTTAATTCAATCACTAAAAATATCTATTAGATTTATACTAGTTGTGTATACAAGAGTTTATTTGTAGTATTCATTGTTGTCTAATTCTGAGAAGATCTATTCGCATTTAATGTCTTAAAGAGGTTCTTGAATTATTTTTTCATTTATTTTAATGAAACAACAATTTTAAGTCAGACATTGGGAAATGCCGCAAAATGGAGATGACAAGTTTTGAATCTAATAATGATAGAATATCAAATTACTAGTTACAAGCTTTCAAGTTCCTATTTACCAATTTAGTTATTTATGATCGAACATTGTTTAAATTCCGATTTTTGTTATTTTAAGACAGAAAAGCTTTTCACAGGCATTTAATTTGTAATTTAAAACTTTTTTTTTAAATATATAAACATGCATCGATTTGTATTCTATTTATTTGCAGGCTTAACTAAAAAGCCGGGAAAACACTTCAATTTCACAAAAATACTGTTTAGCACAAAAATATCTTTTTGCTAAAATTTTGTTCCTTTAGAAATCCTAGGCTTTTCATTATGGAATCTATCAGGCGGTTTAAGAAAGACTCTCTTTATATAATAAAGTTGAATTTATTAAATAATTGTAGCTATTTGTAAACTAAGAGTAGTATGCAATATATCAGTTGAATATAATTATAATATATATATTCATTAAATAATTATAAGTTCTTTTATATGAGTCGTTAATCTGCTTATTTTCTTGTTTAAGGTTTTGATGACTCCTAAGAAACAGTGGAAGATGAAAAGAAAAAAAAAGTATATATCTTATAAAAAATTAATGGTTTTACAATAATGGATTCTATACCCGGCCATTGCAGGATGCTTCGTTGGCATAGGTCATTTTGCTGCGTTTTACCTATCGAGAGAGTTTTTGAATCAAGTTTGGTTTAGAAATAATTTGAAATACTTAATGATTGATGATGAGTATAAAATTTAATGAATCAATGTTGTGATATCGTATATCAAAATTGCAATAAATTGGATGTCATACAAGGGAGTTATGAGGGTGGTTAGACATTGTGGGAATGCACTTTCGATCTCCTCTAATACCCTAAATAACTTGCTGGTCTTGATGTGATAGACATGGGATGTGGTTTAGGATTGTTGGGAATTTAGGCATTGAAATAAGGAGCCAAAAGTGTTTGTTTCTAAGACTATAACGAAGACACATTCGAGTAAGCAATACTACCCTAATTGAAACTGAACAATTTGGAGGAGAACAAGAACTATTCATTTGTGAATGGAGATTGGGAAACACTAAAACTCTAGAAGGTCGACATTATTTTAGCGTCAGAAATCATATACAGAGAAGAATATTATCCTAAGGTGGAAGATTTTATAGCAAACCATCTGAGACCAGATGGAAAATGTATAATGATAAATAAGAGCTATTATTTTGGAGTAGGAGGGTCAGTAGCAGGATTTAAAAATCATCTTACTAAGTTATAGGTAGTAGAAGAGGAGACAATAAATACAAAAAAAGGAGTAAAGAAATCGATTATGAAATTATAGTTAAAATGAATTATGTGCATAATTAGAGATCTGTATAGTTTTTGAGTTATTTTCTTTTCTGATGGTTTTGGGTCTAGAAAAAACATTAATTGGTTTAAAAAGTAGATGTAAATACTTGAATGATGAAATTTTATTAAATTTTAAATATAAAAACTTGTGATTTATAATGCCACAACACGATTACATTGAACTTCATCAGAAAAGGTTTGGAAAAAGACTTGATACAGAAGAAAGAGCAAGAAAAAAGGCAGCTAGACAACCTCATGAATTAGCAGAGAAAGCATAGAATCTTAAGGGTCTCAAAGTAAATATATGAAAATAATTCAAAGGCCAAAATGTTTAACAAGGAGAGATTTAAGGAGAAGGCACTCATGAAGAAATAAATGTTAGCACACGAAGAGAAAGATATTGAAGTCAATGTCGAAGATGTAAAAGATGGAGCTGTCCCCACATATTTATTGGATAGAGAGCAATAGCAACAATCAAAGGTGTTGACAAACATGCTTAAACAAAAAAGGTAGAGTCTTATATTAAATGATTTAGATAAGAGAAAGCAGGCAAGTGGGATGTTCCTATTGCAAAGGTTAAATAGATGTCTGAGGGAGAAATGTTTTAGGTTATCGAAAGTGGAAAGAGAAAATAGAAGTCTTGGAAGAGGAGAATAAACAAGGTATGTTTTGTTCCAGAGACCTTTACTCGTAAACCACCAAAATTTGAAAGGTATATTAGACCAACAGGACTTCGTTTTAAGAAGGCTAATGTGACTCATCCTGAACTCAAAACTACTTTTAGCTTGCCTTTATTGGGAGTTAAGAAAAATCCATAATCTGCCTTATATACTACACTTGGTGTCATCACTAAAGGAACAGTTCTTGAAGTCAATGTGAGTGAATTAGGTCTAGTAACTCAAACTGGTAAAGTTATTTGGAGCAAGTATGCTCAAGTAACAAACAATCCTGAATTGGATGGATGTATTAATGCTACGTTGCTTGTTTGATTTTTAAAAGTTCATATAATTATCTATTATAATAAATAGTGTTATTAAGTGAGTCTAAGAATTGGATGGGTTCTCTTCTTTGCTAAGGAGTATATATTCTTTATGAGCTTTATAAATATAATTAATTATTTTAATGAGCAAGAACAAACCAAAGCCAACAGATGCTAAACCATAGTTATCAAGTATTCTTCCCTCATTTATCATCCTTAGAAGCTGAATTGGAGGCACAAAATAAGGCTAAATAAGTTAATGATGTCGAGAATGAAGCGTACAAGGTATGATAATATTGAAACTTCTCTAGAAATAAATGAGAGAAGAAATAAGATTGCTTAAAACAGACATAGATGCAGAAGAGAAATTGCTTTCTTAATATCAATAGGAAAGAGAGAAGATAAATTACAACTGGATTATTGCTAAGAAGGAATTGGATGATAAGAAAAGTGACTTCATTAACAAGGAAAGAGAAATTCAGGATCTGAAGGAGAATCACTTCATGCAGTTGAATCTTTATAAATAAAAGTATAAGTTGTTTTCTATTTTAGAATTAAGCATCTGTTATTTTAAAATCAGGATCAGCAAAGTGATTTAAGGAAGGATGTAGAGGTCACATTAAAACAACTAGAAGATGATCATAGAATGAAGGATAGAGAATTAAAGACTGACATTCGATCTTTGAAGGTTCAATAGAAAGAAGCTGATTTGGCTTAAAATGATTATATGTTTGCACTCAAAACTGAATACGATCGACAAGCTACTTAATTAAGGCAGAACTTTGAAAGATAGGCGAATGATTTAAAGGAGAAGTATCATTTAAAAATGGAGAAATTGAGAAGAGAAATGGAGGAGGCTAGAAATAATCTCATTAAAATTCTGCAAGAGAAAAAGGATCTAAGGATTTAACAATTGACGAAAGAACATTCTAAAAAATATACTGAAATTAAGAATTACTATTCTGATATCACTGCAACCAATTTGGATATGATTAAGAGTTTGAAAAATGAGATTACAGATCATCAAAAAAAAGAAGAAAAGGATAAAAAACTATTGTAATCAATTGAAAATGAGTCGAAGAATTTGAATGAGCCACTCAAGGCAATTAAAGAGGAAATTAAATTCTTAATTAAAGAAAAGGAAGAACAAGCCCAAGTTGTTTAACAAAAGGAACAATTGAAGTTAAAAATAGATGAACTTGAAAAGAAGTTTAGAAATTTAGAATATGAATATGAAGTTAAATTATAGCATTTCCAATATATGGAAAGAGAAAAGAGATCACTTGAGGATAAATTTAATTCAACAATTTAATCGATCTAATAAAAAACTGGCTTATAAGTACAAATTATATATCATAATATACTAGAATCTTATCTTGGAAAAGAAAACCTCTGCTGTATAAGAGGAACTGGAAATCAAGGAATTGCAATTGAATCAAGTCTTACAAGGGGCAAATATTGATCAGAATTCCATAAGTAACTTTTATATCTTACTCTAGATATCATTACAAGGTAGTATTAAGAAATTGATGTTCAAAAATCAGCATAAATTGCTGAATTGCAATAATAATTAACGTAAATAAGAAAGGCCCATTCTCATATGGTTAAGGCTTATGATGGTAAATTAGCTGAATTCGTAATTCCTGTGGAAGAACTTGGATTCGATCCATTGGTGCCAACTTTTACGGAATGAGTCGCAAATATTACATTCAGTTATTTTATATGATGTCGAAAATAATTTTGCTATTATACCATAAATTATGTTAAAAAATAAACCTATCTTATGCACTGAGGAGCCTGTAGACGAGGATCAAATGTTTGTATAGGCTTTTCAGGTTGAGCAGGAAGCTCCAAATGTTAGTATAAGTATAAGTGATGGAAGTGAAAGCCAGAATGATTCAAAAAAAGTATTCGACATCCCTTAAGTTTTGATTGAACATCATGCTTAAGAAAGATAAAAAGAAGTGGAAATATACAAGCAATCAGAGCCAAAAAAGGGTTTTGCAAAATTAGTTTAGCTGTTTCATATGAGATAATTCATCCATTAAGTTCTTGCCAAAAGAAGATTGATTTCAAAAATAACTAAATACCATTTGTAGGTGATTAATGACAAGGCGTCATCTCTGGATGATGTTGGTTTTAGAAAATTCGCAATTACAATAAAGCCATTAATTTAAAGTTTACAAGAGAATACCTAAGCTCACTTAGGGAATCAACAGTAAAAATTCAAATATTAATAATTTTAGAAGAAGATAATTGCTTATGCAAAGAACTAAAATATTTATTGGAAGCTAAGTATAAAGATTTTGCAAGCTCATTAATAAAATCCCATTAATTAAACCAGATTCTAAGCTGAAGGTTGTTTGGGACGGCATTTTATTTATTTGTAGATTTTATTTGCTTTTTACGATTCCAATAGATTTAGCCTGGCCATCTATTTAGTTGTTATTTTATACTTTGGAAGTACCAACAGTCATATGTATAACTCTTTTGATATTGGATTTTTTTGTTAGTTTATTCTAATCATATTATCAACAAGGACAATTGGTAACAGATAGGATGAGTATTTTAAAACATTAGATAAGTAAGGCATATGGATTTGAAATCATAGCAAATATTTTACTAATCATTTTCTATAACATCTCTAATCAATATGATTATGGATTTAATGTGTTTGAGAATCCTTATTACATATTTCTATTTCTCCAATTTGTCTAATATAATAATATCGCACAATTAAGATAACAACTAGAAGATGCATTGAATTTGTCAAGGGAAGCTGCTTCTTTGGTGGAACTTTCGAAATTGTTTGTTTTATTGTTTTTTGTCATACATGTGTTTGCATGTCTATGGTTTTGGGTGGGACTTTACAGTGAAACTTACTTAGGGAGTAGTTGGTTGGAGGCCAAATAGGTTTTAGATAAATCTTTCGCTGATCAATACTTATACTCATTTTACTATTCTACTGTGACTATGTTCACTGTAGGGTATGGTGATATCACTCCATAGACAAATCCCGAGATGATAGTTTCAGTTATATTCATGTCCGTTTGTAGTGTTCAATTGTCTTATAGTGTTAGCACAGTCAGTTCAATAATTGAATAGATAAGTGGATTCAAGGAGGAGAAGAAAAGAAAGTTCAATATCATCAATAATTATATGCAATAAAAAAATATCAGTTACGAGTTGTAATTTTAAATAAGAGAGTATTTGAACTACTTTTGGACAATGAAAAGGAACGAGGAATCGAATGAGGAGAAAGAAATCATAGAAGAGTTATCTAGTAGATTAAAATAGAGATTGATTTTTGAAGCAAATTCTAGAATTCTTTATAATAGTCCTTTCTTTAAGGATAATTTTTCATTAAATTTTAAAAAAGATTTAGTAAGTAAAATCACATCAACAACAATTGCTCCTGAGAATGTTCTCGATTACACAAAAAAGTCACAAGATGAAAATAGTTTATCCATATTTTTCATAGAACAAGGGTAAATTGAAGTTTTTATTGAAAATGAATAATTAAGTGAACTATCAAGGGTATATATGTTAAAAGAGGGTGAAAGTTTTGGATTCGTAAGTTTCATTACTGGTAATCCAAGTGTTGAAAAATATAAAACCATTGGATTTACTAAATTGTTAATTATAACAAGGAAGGACTTTTTGGATGTAATAAAGGATTACCCGGAAGATTATGAAATATTCTATAGTTTTTTCGAAGATTTGACATTTAATCCTGAGAGTGAATTACTCACTATGGAATGTTTCTCATGTAAGTCAAAAACTCATAAAGCCATCTCATGTCCTCTCCTGCACTTTAAACCTGATAGAGAGAGAATTATAAAATCGGCCTAATTTAGTAGAGAATAGTAGAGGAGTCGATTGAAGAAGAGAAAAGAAAAATGTTATATTAAGGCTACTCTGGGATAGATTATATTAAATGATGTAGCAAAGTAAGTATAATCAGACAATCAGTAATTGACATACATCTATGAAGAATTTGATGAAGAGAAATTAGCCACTCCGAATGTTTAAATTATTAACAGTTCAGATGAAATATTTGACTTTAAGAACTATCACGAAGATGAAAAAATCTAACTGTTTGAAATTAAGGAAGAACCTTAAAAGTCTCCGATTCCTTAGAAAAAATAATTATTAAGAAAAAAGTAGACATTACAGGATATAGGGGACATTATGAAATTTAATAATAAGTAGAAGGAAACCAAGGAGAAGTTTAGATCTATTGTTAAGAAGGTGAATCTAATGAATGATTTTGTTGAAAAGTAGGTTGAAAATTCAAATGAAAGGAAGCTTTCTTAATATAGAGATCATTTAAAAAATATTTAACATCGAAGAAGCAAAATACAACACTTAAAAGATGTTTACTCGAATAAAACAATTCATGAACTAGAATTTTTTGAACTTAAGTTAAAGATGCTATTAGAAACAGAATTTGATATACTTTTAGATGCATAGAAGTCTTATAAATACTTTAAACCCAAAGAAAATCTTTATTAGGTTTTAAGCAGAACGAAAATATCAATGTTATCAAGTTCAAATGAGATGTAAATCCTAATTTAGTAAAAGACTAAGCAATTAATTAGGTATTTATTTTATCCGTATTTATACATCTAAAAATATGTATACAAATAAAGGCATGCAGATGTTGTGGGAGAACCAAAGAAAAAATAGTACTTTAAAAGAAACAATAGAATATCTCTGGCATTCATTATGCAACAACATTCCTCAATTAAAAAACCTTGATAACCATTATTAATATAAAACAATTTATATCATTGTACTTCTATTAATCTTGACTAAAGTTTATCTAATTTTATTATAATTAATATGAATTCGATTAAAAATATTGATTTAGAAAATAAGCTCACTGAAAATTCTGAATCATCGCCTTTCAAGTCTCGAAGAACGCTCATTAATAGATAAAACACTGAAACGAGTTTATACTTAAAAAATCTACATAAAAACCTTTAATATATAGAATCAATAAGTGCGAATCAAGAATAGAAGAGAGGATTTAAGATTAAAAAAAGACATGAATATGTATCAAAGTTTATAAAAAATCTGCGATCACCTCAAAATCATTATTCCAAACTGACGAATTATCACTTCTCCTTGATAGATGATCTGGCAACATATGATAGCAAGAAAAATCAATCGCTTGCTTTAAGAACAATAGAGAAAATAATATGTTTCCAAAAATTCATAGAAATTACAAGTAATCTGATAAATAAGCTGCCGCTATTTCAACCTGATTCATAATACAAAAGCATATGGGATGTTATGACCATTGTGGCTCGGCTCTACTTTCTTTATCTGATACCCTTAGATATGGCTTGGATTGAGTAGGAGTTTATCTTTTAACTATTTCAGCCGATATCCTACATAATGCTGATTCTGGTTGTAAGTGATTAAATCCTGGAATTTAATACAGCCTACTACGAATGTGGTTAAATAGTGAATTCAAGGATCCGGATTTTTAAGAACAGCATTTTACGAAACTATAGTACTGAATGGATTTCAACTTTCATATTGATAATCTACACTTTTTTATAATTTGAATATAGAATTCGGATAGACCCTTCGGAGAACGTGGTGCATTTGTCGTTGATGTTGTTTATCATCCACGCTAGCAGAGTGAGATAGACGGTTAAACATTACGAGTAGAGTTTGAATGTAAATAAGAAGCTCTCGTCAATGATACAATTAGGGAAGTTCATTTTGTTTTTGTTTTACTTCTTGCACATATTTGCTTGTTTTTGGTTTTGGGTACAAATATCTATATTTTAGATAGGCTCCTATAGTTTACAAAGCGGAGGAAATAGTTGGGTGAGCATATCTCAGGTGCAGGATCTGGATTGGAATTTGCAATATTTGGAGGCCTTCTACTTTTCGACAGTGACAATGTTCACTGTGGGATATGGGGACGTGGCTCCGGTGTCTAATTTGGAGAAGGCGACTTCAGTATTGTTCATAATGATTACCAGTATTTAATTGCCTTATTCCATAAACACGGTTGGGAAGTTCATAGAGGAGATAACAGCTTACGGGGAGGAGACGATGAAGAAATTGAGCATAATCAACGCATACATGGAGAAGAGGAAGATTTCTTTTAATTTGTAAATGGAAATCAGACAATACTTGAATTATTATTGGTAAACGTAGAACCAATAGGACAATGAGGATCAGAAGAAGATAATCAATCAGTTGTCGGAATGTTTGAAGGAGAGATTGATGGGGGAGGCCTATCAGTCGATGTTGAATGATTGTCCTTTGTTTAAGAATCGATTCAGTCAGAGTTTGAAACAGTTGCTGGTGAAGAAGGTGAGGAGTGTGATCTACCCACCCGAGTCGTTTATTGATAATGATTAAATATATTTATGCTTTATTGATGAGGGGGAGGTGGAGATCCATTTGGAGATCAATAAGCAATTTCCTGTGGGAAGATAGATGAAGGGACACAGTTTGGGTATAAGCAGTTTTATAACTGGTAAGAATGCTCCTGAGAGATTCAAGTGTCTATCTTTCACAAAGGTAATGTTGTTAAGTAGAGACGACTTTTTGAAATGTCTACATGAATGTCCATAGGATTTCGAGATCTTTTGCGAGATGAGGGATTACTTGACATACAATCAAGGGAAGCAATTGTACCCGACAAACTGTTTTTCGTGCGATTCGAATCAACACAAGTTGATCGAATGTCCTCTGGTTCATTTTGTACCTGATAAAGAGCAGATTCTGAAGAAACACATAAAGTCACAATTGCAGGAGAGATAGATCAATAGACAGAGATTCACGTTCAGATAGAACAATTGCAGAGGGAATTTGTCCGAATTGACCAGGGCAGCTTGGAGGATCCAATCTCAGAGGTTTGAGAGAATGAAGTTATATTATGATTCTGAGGAGATCAAGAGACAGATGAGGAAGAGCAGGAGTGTGTCGTTTTACAATGAGAAGGACATCGTATCTGAGTACAAACATAGGTTTATTCATATAGTCAAAATGATTATATACATTAATAGATTGAGGATTCTTCCGAAAACGAGAATAAAGAAGAATCCGTAGAACAACGAATAATGTTTGGCTTAGTTGTATGATAGACTGAAATTGGCGAAGAGGAGTGAGAAGAATTTCCACAAGGAGATTATTGAGATTTAAGATCTTATTGACAAATTACATTAAAAGTAAAGTTTACATGATTTTGAAATCAATCGTGAATATCAATTTTATAACTGTGGCAATAATTTATCAAGGATCCCCAATTTACACACTAAGTTGAAGATCGGATTAATCATGAAATTCATGCCCTACTTCCTATTCCCAGGAGAAATAATAAAAAGATTTGGATGCAAACCTTCAATTCGGAATATCATTAATTATAGAAGAAGAAAGAATGTGATTTTGATTTGAATAATTTATTTAATATGTAAGAAAAAATGTTAAATGGTAACATGGGACTCAAGTTGTTGACAGATGGGAATCAGAACGAAGGAGTCCCTTTTCGACAACAAATCCAAATTTAATCTTCTGGAGGGGAATCCATAATGTAGTATTAAAAGATGCTGACTCAAAAATAAGAACGCAAAACCCATTATGTCAAACAATTTTGCAATAATCTCAAATCATAATCCAAAAGATTAGGAAATATTTCAGAAGAACAAATATCCTACGTCGGTGATAAAACCTCCTATCGCAGTTCCAATACCTTCAACATCAGACTCATGCATAAAAACTTTTCGTTACAATTAGAATTGAGGTTTTTTGAGAAGATTAAACAATTTTTCTCAAAATATTTGAACATGTTTATTTCAAGTTTGAAACGCATTGAGCTATTCCAGCCAGAATCCCCTATAAAGTTGATATGGGATTCAGCCTCGTTGGTTTCAAGATTATACTTCTTGTTCCTCATCCCCTTGGATATCGCATGGAGTAAATATTCATTCATGTTTGACATGTATAATTTGACATCCTTTATCTTCTAAATGGTCCTTCTTGGAGATTTGATAGTCGGTTTGAACACTGCATTCTATAAACAAGGTCAATTGGTAACAGATAGAAAGTAGATTGTTTAACATAACTTTTTGAAATGTTTTGGTTTAGAATGGACTTCGGCAATCTAATTACTGGTCTATTAGATACTCACTCAGGATCCTATAATAACTCAGCAGATCAAAGATTACAAAATCTATCTCACACTGGTGACCTTCTTAGTCCATTACAGTACTATACAAGAATGCCTGGAATATTATGAAGAAGGACTGAATCTTAGTAAGAAAGCCTCATCCATCATTGAACTCATTAAACTGATTGCAGTCTTGTTCTTCATTATCCACATGTTCTCTTGTTTTTGGTTTTGGGTAAATTCATTATTCATTCTAGGTTGGTGACTATAGTCATAACAATTACGGAGTCAGTTGGCTAGAGAATATTGTTGACAAAGATTGGGAAATACAATATCTATCCTCAGTTTACTATTCGACTGTTACGATGTTCACTATTGGATATGGTGATGTCCTTCCATAGAGTAACTTAGAAAGAATTGTTTGTTGTTTGTTCATCATCATGGCAAGTTTACAATTGCCTTACAGCATAAACACAGTTGGAGCCATCATTTCCAAGATTAGCGAATATGGAGAGGATAAGAAACGCAAATTGAGAATCATAAATTCATACATGCAAAAAAAGAGAATCCCATTTCCATTGTAGAGTGAAATACGTCAATATTTGAACTACTATTGGCAATTAAATAAGGAGAAGGATGCAGAAGAAGCAGCACAGATGATCAATCAATTATCTGAGAACCTAAAAGAAAGGTTGACCTAAGAATCAAATTCTGTTATTCTCAATCAGTGTGCCTTATTTCGGTATCGCTTTACTCCAGCCTTCAAAAGAGAACTTATCAAATCATTAAAGACCAAGATATTAGCTCCTGAAACTATTATTGGAGACAAGAAAGAGCTAGTCTATATAGAATCTGGAATCATAGATATGTATGGAGATTAATAATGTAATCTAAAATTACAATCTTTCCAAGCTAATCAAACTATTGGCCTTATTCCATTTATAACTGGTAAATTATTCCCAGAAACCTATAAGAGTCAAGGCTTTTGTTTGGTAATGACCTTATCGCACAGGAAATTCAAAAAAACTTTGAAAGATTTTCCTAACGATTACGAAATATTTTGTCAGATGAAGGACTACTTATTATTTAATGGAAATGAAACTACTATCTTCCCTAGAAAATGCTATGCTTGTTAAAATTTTACACATTATTCACATGAATGTCCTGTCGTGCACTATGTACCTGATAGAGAAAAAATAATAAAAAAGAGTGCAATTTCAACATTCTAATAAAGAAAATTGATTCCACGTTCAGAAAAAAAGAAACCTCGGTATCCTTCTAGGAAAGTGACTCACTAATCTTTAATAAAGGCTTCGTTTGTTGTGCAGCAGGAAAATTAAGATGTTGTTTAAATATATGATATTCCTGTGGTTGATGACGAAGAGGAGAATAAAATTTAAAATTTAAATGCTTATAAAAATTTTACAAGTAAATCTAAAAACAATGAAGATAAAAAGAAACAATTAATGTCTAAATTTAGACACTTAGTCAAGAAGATCACATTTATAGACAAATACTATCCCAAATTTCTAATGATTATACTAGGGAAATTCAGACAAAACTAAAATCATTTAAATCAAGAATCTCAGCTGAAGTAATTGAAATTACGATATGAACATCTTAAATCCTTAAAAAAAGTGGATCCTCGATTAATTAATGATGTTGATGATGCCATTAGGATAAATTCGGAATACAACATATTTTAGAATTATGATTTTGAAAGTCCTAAGAATTTCATGCATTATAATCCCAAATTCAATATCAACAACATTAAAATGAAGATAGACAAAGCCAAAATAAGAATTGTGAATTCATTCTAAAGATACTGCTTATATCCAGCCCTCATTATGCAGAAGTTCCATTCGACCAAGACATCCTAAGATCTGATCACATACAAGAGGAGGAAGAACGTATTTTTATGAGTATTTTATTATTCATAAATTATTGTAATGATGATTAATGTTGGTATAATTTCATTTTAAATTTTATCTAATCTAGTTGAAAGAAAAGATACTGTCATCATCTTCATAATCGAAATCAGATTCATTTGATTTTGTTTCAGAAAAGCTTTTACTTGAATTCTAATTTATGACATATGGATCTGAAGCTTCAGCCATACTTTCAATAGCTGATTCATCAACTCCTCTCTTCATTCTAAAGTTACCACTTTCTCCCCATTGATCTCCCCAACTGTTTTACAACATCCAAAACTTAACTCCCTCTTCTTCTCCCCAACCATAACATAAGACGGAGTGATCGACTTTTTCCTAACAATAAACAAGAGTTGATTACCCATTCAGAATAGTCACTTGTTTCTGCCTTGGAGTGATAGATACCAGATTCATAATACATGAAATCGTATGATGGTTCGAAACTCAAAACAACAGGGCCATTCTTCATTATTTCTAACATGATGACTTATTCTGAGACTCTGCCATATGAACCTCCCAAATATTTATAGTTCCTATAAGAAATTAAAATGTATAATGAACTTGGTAGCATAAACTTTCGATTAAGACTTGGCTTTCTAGAAGTTGCAAGATCCGTCATATCCTTGATATGGTTCTGTTGATTCAGAGACAAGTACTTATTCTTCAGCAAATTTATTCACCAAATAAGGATAACCACCATCACATCCTTGGTTGTAATAATTGCAATTCAAAGACCATTAAGGTGAGAGATCAACATTCTCCCCTTGTATTTTTAATCTTGCTGATAACATAGACATTGTGGCTATAGCATAACAAGATCCGCATTGTCCTTATTGTCTAGGTGGTGCAAGCTTCCTAATTTGATTAAATATTGTATATACTCTCTCCAATTGAAAGAAGAAGGCAATTCTGAATAATCAGCAGTTTGAACGAACACCTTATTTGCTGTTTAATCCTATTGTTTGTATGACTTGTCCTTTTTGAATCCAAGCTTCTTTCCCAAAGACTTAGCAACTTCAGCGAAGCTCTTGCCCTTCATATGGTCATAGACCTTAGCTTTCCATGTTCCTTCCTTTTGATTTAATTTTTCGACGACATCTTCATGATTCACTTCTGGTGTTTTTTCTTAAACTTATAAGAATGATAAAGATTTCATATCATCATCATCCATAAATTCAGGTTGGACAATGCTGACTGTTTTGATGGATTCAGATGACTCTACTTTTTCAGTTTTTTCAGCTCTATAACAACCTCTCTCTTAAGTGTCTAGATTTGTGTACCATCCCACAAGAGTTTAATCACAATATGATACTCCTTCTCTGCCCTTTGGTTCATATTTTGAGAATGCAAAATATTTCATATTACCTAATTTGATTTCAAAACCTTCATCATAAACCATTGTCCATTCACCTGATTTTTAACTGGATTTCACTTTATAATCATCTCCCAAAGTAACTTCGAAATCTTATGATGGTTAAAAGTTGCTATTATAAGCCATATATGATGTCTTGGCCCTATCAGGAATTTCATGACCACATGGCATGAGTCCAACACCCTTCTAAGTGGGTTTCTCCAAATATAGTCTCCACTTTCCTGACACCTAGTGCTTTAAGCAATGGACAGGTAAATCACAGACTACGAATCCGATCATACATAATAAGATAACGAATCTCATTTTAAGAAAATATATATATTAACAAAAACGGAATAAATTATTAAAGAAGCCTGCGTTAATAATTACTCTGAATTAATAGTTGCACTCAGCAATGGAGCCAATAGAATAGAATTATGCGATAATTTATCCCAAGGAGGTACTACACCTTCCTTTGGAACCATAAAGAAGGCAGTTCAATATCCAATTGTTGTGATGATTCGACCAAGGGGTGGCGATTTTGTATATACAGCTGAGGAGTTCGAAATCATGATAGAGGATATCAAGATTTGCAAATCACTTGAAGTTAAAGAAATAGTGACAGGCATTTTGACTACTGATTTTCGAATTGATTTTGAGAGAATGAAAATATTAATTGAAATTGCTTCTCCTATGAAAGTAGTGTTTCATATGGCTATTGATGATTGTCACAATTATCACAAGAGTTTAGAATAGCTCATTAGTTTGGGAATCAAAAGAGTTCTTACAAAAGGAGGAAAGCATAAATCGGCCTTGGAGGGGAGGGATTCAATCAAAGAAGTTGTAGAACTCTTCCCTTAATTGACAATTTTAGCTGGCGGAGGAATAACCAAAGAGAACTATCTTGGCTTGGCTTAGTATTGTAATTTAAAGGAAGTTCATGGAACTAAAATAGTGTGAATTCCTTTTGTTTTAGATGTTTAATATAATATTTATGTGAATATTTTAAATTTAATATTCAAAACATTACCTCATCTAAACCTAAGAAAGAAATGATTCCATTATAAGTCAAATTACTCATTAAATATCTTAGAACTTCAACCATCGTTAGTCAGCTTCTGCTTTGTATAGATAATATGAATCCAGAAAACAATCTCCAGTCACCCATGTTGTTGTTACACATAACCCAAGAAGAAGCCACTAGTTCGATGGTAGATCCAATTCGCCATCCAAAATATTAACTACTTCGCATGTCTATCCCAAAATTATACAAGCCACAGAATTGAAAACAAGGATACCTACTTAAGTAAATCGTTCGTTTATTCTAAAGGGCTAGAGTTTCCCCATTTAAGAAGCCATTAAAATCTACTCATCAAAATAAACCCCAGATTCTCAATATCATTCAAATAAGGTCTCTTCCTTTCTCCAGGAGAGACTTAATGAAAAATCAAATTACACTAAGACCACTACAGGAGAGAGTCAAGAAGAGGAGAGATCCTCTAAACACAGTATTCTATTTTAATTATGCTAGAACCATCCATCATTTATTAAAAACAACTCCTTGACAAAGATTTGTAAATCATGCAATTATAGAAAGAAATTAAATAAATTAAAGAGTCCAATGTAATTATTTTAACTATGAATTTAGAAAAAGCATCAAAATATGGAAAAAGAATATGATAAATTGTTGTAAGAAAATCAAAAATTGAAATAATAAATCTAGTTATAGCAAATTCAAATTACTCAACTCACTCATTAACAATCTTTGGTATCTCCAGGAAGACCATCAGAATATGTTAGTGCGTTGAGTGAATAAGATAAATTAAAAATAAAGACTCTACTAGAATGTGAATGAATGTATTTTTATTATAATATATTCACTAATTTCTGGATTTCAAACCCTTTCTCTCATTCACACTTTAAAATTGAAGGTTCTTCGTTAACTACTTTATTATTCCGCCTCAATTCTGAATATCACTTCTTGAGATTGATGGAATAATTTGTTCAAATTCAGAAAGCGATCTTTCCACTCTTACGCCTCTGCTTACATCAAAGGTATTTGATCGATATATCTCTTCTGCTCCTCGCATTAGTGTTCCAATTATTGAATTCTATAAGAGTCAATGTAATTATTACTTTTATAATAATTCATCCTTCTCCTAATTTTAATGCCTAACTTACTATTCCTATTTAATATTTTGTTACTCCAATTAAGATTACAATTATTGAATTTAAGTCTTCTTCTCTTATGCCTGCATATAGATTTCTAAATTCTTAGTTTCCAAATCAAACATATTTTAAATAATGGCAAAGTTGCTGGGCTTTTTTTCAATAGTCAAAGCATCTTGACTCTTCCTTTGCGTTTGTAGATTGGCTTTCTTATCAAATTCTAATTTGAATGTCATTCGATTATTGTTATCACTTTTCTTTTTTGTTTGATCATTAATTGCCTATGATTTTAAAGCAATGGATTCTTGCAGTTTCATTGACTCAAGGGTTTTAGCAATCAAAAAATAACTCACCTATAAATACCTGATTACATTATGGTTATTCTGATTGGAATAGATTCCTTTTTATTTACAATCCTTTTTAGGAAGGGTTGTAATTGAAGATTTTAGCAATACAACTCTCATGCTTAGGTGCTTGCTTAACCAATAATTCTTTTTTTATCGATTGGAATTGCATTTTCAAATTATTTATCAATAAACTAATCCGAAAAAATATAGTTAAACTAGATTAAAAATAATGATATGTCAACACCCGAAATCGGAAGGCAACTTGTATTAGCCAGGTCCAGGCGATCCCTCTCTGTTTTCCGATAGTATCCGTTAAGCCCTTGGAAATATGTTACATTTGCTTGCACCAAATCTGGAACAAAAGTAACTACCCAAGGGATCCAGGTTATCTGTCTCTTTGTATGTCCCTGGTCCTGGAGTGTTATCCCTTATTTTTCTATCTGATTGGACTTTGGGAGGCGAAAGAACGATAGCTCCTGAACTAGCGATTCTATAGAAACACACAGTACTCGCGATATTAACTGAGGGCATACTTGCCTCGACTGTTTATGCTGGTTGGTAAGTCATATTCGCCACTAGAATAGGTTCATAGGAATACGGTCCAGGTTTTCGATCTTTGCTTGTTCTGCTTTTCAGTCGTTGTCTCATGCTGTAACGAACTTTAGACTAGGTTTCTTTAGAATTGTATGATCCTGGCCCAGGTGTCTTTTGGACTAAGCCTAAGAAGATGCTCTCGAATTTATTTGCGCGCTTGAATTCGACACAATAGAGTTACATCTCTGCCCAATCCCATGGTCCAACCGTGTTCTCTAGTAGTTTGAATCGAATAAGAGTTGGGGGCAGGTGAAACTATTTCCTGAGTTACGTTCATCTTCTTGCCAAGGCCTATTCCAGCTGCTCTCTTACTCAAAGTAGTAGGTAACTGATAAATTGGAGGGCAACTAAATGTGAATTAAGTAATGGTAACATGTTGTCTTTGGGATCGACCCAACGTTTGGCCTTCGAGAAAGTATACATTTATTTAGTTTTGCTTGTGTTAAGTGGAGATCGATTAACAGCAGTAAAGTCCATTTTCTAATTTATTTTATATTGATATTATTGGTCAATTATAAACTGTTGTTGAACCACCTCGCCACTCAAAGAGTTTATTTGGATTTAACAACAAACTATTGTCCTATATTTTGATATAATAATTTTAATAATGAATTTAGGACCTCGCAGAAATATAAAGGAGATGCTCCCAATTCACTAAAACTTTATTGAACCTCATAATTACCAATAACTGTTCAAAAGTCCTGTGAGCACTCGACAAAGACAGCAAAGACCATCCAAATTGCCCTCATTCAAAATGTCTAGTGGGCAGTAGGTTCCAGTTCCTGTATCACCACCCGTTTCTCCTTAGTGGAGGACTCGGAATATGAGTCGTGTAGAATAGAGAATGCTAAGTGTAAGTCCTCCTTAAGTACCTTCAGTACCTCAAAGTCCAAAATATTAGATTTAGATGTAGATCTTCAATGAACAAATATTAGTGAGTTTATGTAACTTAATTAGTAAAAAGCCTTGAAGAGAAAGATCAATGAGAGTGTAGCTAAAAAATAGGCGATTTAAACACCTGAGAGGTTGTTGCATCAGCATTCTCTAATTCGAGAAGATCTAAACAAAGGTTGTTTTAAATTCCTGTTTGTGCTTGGGAAAGGAGGATTTGGGAAAGTGTGGAGAGTGGAACTTTGTAAGACTAGAAAGCAATATGCAATGAAAGAGATGAGTAAAGCCAAGTATTTTAATACGTTAATTGAGAATCTTATCAAAGAAGTCTGTCCACTCAGTTATTAATGAAAGGATACTCCTCAGTAAACTAAGACATTCTTTCATTGCCAACATTCACTTTGCATTTTAAGATCGAGATCACCTTTACTTAGTGATGGATCTCTTAACAGGAGGAGATCTAAGATATCATATTGGAGTTAGTCGTCGTTTCACTGAATGGCAAACAAGTAAAGAGATTATCCTAATGTAGAGTTCATAATTGCTTGTTTATTATTGAGTTTGGAGTACTTGCAGAACAATAACATTATACATCGAGATCTTAAACCTGAGAATGTAGTATTTGACAAGAAGGGCTATCCAAGATTAACTGATTTTGGGATAGCAAGAGTGTTAAAGCCAGAGAATAGTTAAGAAACAAGTGGCACTCCAGGATATATGGGTTAGTAATTATATTAAGTCAGATAGCCCCAGAAGTAATGTGTAGACAGAATCATGGAATAGGGGTTGATCATTTTGCCTTGGGAGTCATGATACACGAATTCATGCTTGGGAGAAGACCTTATGTTGGTAGATCTCGTAAGGAAATCAAAGAGATGATGTTAACTAAGTAAGTTACTATCAAAAGATAAGATGGTTGGAGTAATGAAAGTGCAGATATTTGCAATTAAGTAAATGGATATTCTTATGGGTAGTTGTTGCAAAGGAAACAATAAAGTAGATTAGGATTTGATGGGATTTAGGCAATTATGAAACATCCTTGGTTTTAAAATCTAAATTGGTAGAGTCTGATTGATAAGACTATGCCTTCACCTTTTGTGGAGTTGGCTTATTCTGAGGATCTGGATTTCAAGAGGCAGATTTCATCGGATCATGACTCTCAGGATGCTTTGATATAAGAAAATGCTAGTGCTTTGAGAAGGGATTCTATTCAAGATATGTTCAAGGATTATGAATACAATGATCATGGAGTGACTGGCAGTACTAATTCCACTTAAATTTTATGATAAAATTTATTGATTTTAATTACAATATGTTAGATCTGTATTGGGATCAAAATAAAGTTCTTTTTATAATTTTCTTATTTATATATGGGTGTGTTTTATAAATATATTTGATGATATTAAATATTGGCTAATGGAATGGATGAAATGATTTGAAAATTTATTTAAAATTTAATGTTTGAGAAAGAAATCGTGATTGATGGCAAGGGACATTTGTTGGGTCGATTGGCTTCTTACATTTGCCAAGTCAATTGTAAAGGGGCTAAAGGATTGTTGTAGTCAGAACTGAGTTGATTCAACAATCAGGTATGATGTTGTTACTAAAGCAGGTTCCCTCTTCAGAAATAGAGTCATTTTTGAAGAATATCTCAATAAGAGAATGGCCTTCAATCCAAGAAGAGGATACAAACATTACAGAACTCCATCAAGATGTTTTTGGAAAGTAGTCAGAGGAATGCTTCAATATAAATCAAAAAGAGGAGCAGCTGCTTTAGAAAGATTAAAGATCTTTGAAGGAGTCCCCCCTCCCTATGACACAAGAAAGAGATAAGTTGTTCCAGATGCTCTCAAATTGATCAGACTCAAGAATCACAGACCCTTCTGCTCATTAGGTGATTTATGTGCCTCAGTCGGATGGAATTCATAAGCTGTTGTTAACAGACTTGAAGAGAAGAGAAAGCAAAGGTATCGTGCATTTTTAACACTTCAATTAGAGGTGCTGCCTATTACAAGAGAAAGATTAGCAAAGAAAACCTCAGAAGAAAGGCCATCGGAGCTAAAGAACTCGCTACAATCAACTCAGAGTTAGAGAAGTTAGGCTATTGAAAAAATATAATAAAATCATGTACATTTAATCTTTATAATGTAATAATTCGAATATGTTGTTGTCTTTCATAATAATAACCCACTCTATACAGGCAGATTCTTATGATTCAAGGATTAATTCAAATTTAATCAAAACAGTCAGATTTTAATCTGAATGACTAAGAATGTAGCAAATCTTTAAGAACTTCAATTTTATCTGAATCTAATTAATCCTTGCATAGAATTCTTAATTATTCCTTAGCAAAAAATCATAACAGTTGGAGGTCTTGATTTATTATAAAATGAATAAATATTATATATCATTAAAACAACACTTTTAATCATAGGAAAGTAATTTATTATTGATTCAGTAATTTCTAGGCGTATTTAATTAAGCCTCGCTTTTAATGTTCTACACTCAAAGCAATTCCATCTCTCTCATGTGTTAATCTGATTAATTCTAAATTACTGGAGAATTTTCTGTTCCTAATTGTTTCCGTAGAAGTTGTATGAGTTTCAAATTTCATCTCCAAACGTTATCTAATCATTTCCTCCAATGGAAGTTTCTTCTAAAAATCATTTAATCTAATTATTGGTTATTTGTTTGAAGTTGGATGCAACTTTAAAGTGGATAATTTAATTAAGGTAGCTGCCTAAGTTTGCTTTAATTACTATATTTTTGGTGTAGAACTTTACTGTCTTATATTTTCATACTCATCGGCCACAGAGATTGGTATGGGAATTTCAAAGGCAAAATTCTTTCCTTTAAGAAATTATTATAACATCTCATCCAATGAAATATCAATTTCAATAACTCTTTAGTTTGGTATGCATTCTAAATTATGTGATATCATATATTGATTTTTCACTTATCGTCTTTAATAATAGAGAGGATTTTAACATTGAATTAATTTGATGGGAAAACTTACAGCTTTAGAAAAAATGTGTAACCCCATTCTCTTCTCTTCTTATGGCAACATCTTTATGATTTATTGCATTCCTTTTTATGAGACCATTTTCATGGCAGACTTTTCTTTCTCAACTGTTCCTTTCATACTTTTATCATGTAAAGATTTAGCTGTTTTTAATTCGTAATTGAGAAAGCATAATTTTCCAAGTTCCTCATAACAGATTATCTCTTAATCGATATCTTTCAGGTGCCATGCATATTCTAATGACTATATATATAATTATGAAGTATTACTTTCTTTATGAATATTTTACCCAGATCATATTTCTTGACATATTTACACAAAATTCCTATCTGAAGAAATGTCCATTAAATTACATCCAACTATCTGGTGAATTCACTTAGAAATTTACAATGTTATAAAAAAAGGAGTGCCTTGGTCCATTCTTAAAAAGAAATAAATGTTAATGCACTCAGACGCATAAATGTTATGAGTAAAGTTATGTTATCTTATTCAACTGCAATTACCATCATATTTAGTAGACCTTATCAAAAATGTTAGTTACTTTCTATAGCTCCAACTTGATCATTAGCTTGAATACTATCACCAAATTGTTATTCAAATTGATTAAGCATTACTAATGATGACCGTATTGTCAAAGGGGTTTGAATTGTTTTCCTAGAATAGATGTAAGAATGCTTGGGACTGATTGAATTCTTACGAAACCTTGGAATAGATCTCTGTGTAGTTGATCCAGATTCCTTTGGCGAATAGAATTAATCGATTTCATTGAAACCCAGTAATGTCTTGATATTGGGTTATTCGTTTTATTTTCTACTTGTAGTCTGTTAACTATCAAACAATTCTGATAATGTGCCTGCCAAATTTTTAATTTGAAAAGAAAAAACTCTTCTTTTTTTCTTTTGGTTCATTAAAATTTTATAATTAAAGAAGCATTTAAAAGAGACTCAATTACATTAATTAAAATAAGTTAAGACCTGTTTAACTTTCCCCAACCCCTTTTGTTTCATCAAAAACAACAATGTCCAACCAAAATTAATAGTTTGCTTTATTATAATCATCTCAATAATCCTTGATCGATGAATAGATGGCAGAATTACCTATTCTCTCCTTCCTAAACAAGAGACGACCCATCAAAGCCAAAACCCAATTGACAGTAGAAGTAAATCTATTATTTTAAACATTTTTCTAGAATAACGACTTTGAAATCGAGATTATCAACACCAAAGTTGTTCAGAATAATTTCACTGTCTATGAAATTAAAATATAGAAAGGAACTCTTTTCTGGATTTTTTAAACTCGATATAGCCTTTTGGAAAGTTTGAGTTCAAAGTTATCAAAGAATCTCAAATCCAATTTACCAAAATTTCCAGAAAAAAGACTTTTTGGAAATCTCGACAATGATTTCATTGAAAAAAGAGGAAAATAACTTGATTCCTATTTGAAAGTATACTTATTCATTTAATTTATAATAGGCATTGTTTAAATTGGGAAGGAGTGAAAATACCGTACGAGAATTCGTACGCCAAACCTAAAAAGCAGCATTTATGATCAACGACCCTGCTGCTGTGAAATTGTTCAATCTAGATGCATGAAATATATTAAATCAACATAAAACAAATTATATATTTTGAATCATTCATTAACCTCACTTTTTGGAATTCAATTAAAATTATTACAATACTCAAACAACAATACTATACTACACATTACTATACACTTATTGTAATTACATTAAAATCACATATTCTTTATATATAACGAAATATATCTCATTATAAAAATCCATTTTAATAAAATAAAACGAACTTCATCGTTATTTCACTTTTTTTGCATTTTTAATTAATTAGAGCATACCTCTTTCAAATACCATCTAATTGTTTATAATCTCAATTATTGAAGATAGTATAACATTATAACTTGAATTATGGGAATTAAGACTCTAGATTAAGTATTCAATATGTTAAATATAATAAAATTAATACAAATGAAAAACAATTATTCTTTTATTCTCTTAATAGAATCTCACTGCCTTCAATCTCTCTCTCTCCCTTTATCTTTGATTTGAATATAAATCTAAGAACAATTTTAATTAAAAATAAAATAATGTATTTATATATTGTATTGTACAATATTGGAATCATTATGCTTTTGTGATTTCTGTCTTGAGGTTATCAAATGAATCAACTGGCACGTACTAAGCAAGAGTATAGTACTTTCCTTTTCCATCATCTTCTTCCTTCTTCTTTCTTTAAAGTCTGCAAACAATAATGTTAATCACACTACCTAACTCTGATTCTTCTTGGTAAATTTCTAATTCCTCTAGCCCATACTGCTTCATTCAATTATGGATCAACTCTGACATCCTCTGTCAACATATTCTTTTGAGCTATCCCATTAATTCAATTTATTTACCAAATCTGACTATATGACTGACTGCACGTGGAGCCTTTCTCTTGAATGTCTCCTTGTGAACAGCTTTATGAAGATTAATAGTATAATCTCTGCTGACTTCACCCAATTGATTTGGCTTTCCTTTTTCCTTTTTGCCCATAAATTAAAAAAAAATCTTTAAATTTTTTAAAATAAAGCTGTGCTATACATACAGAACAGTCAATAAAAGTGAAAATACATTAGAAATGAGAAAGAATACAAATAATCTAGATGTCTTGATATAATCAGACATCCAATACATATTGAATTCATTCTATTCATCAATATTTTATCAATAGTACAACAATGATTTAATAAGATCAATTATATAGCTAAATATTTATACTATTTCAGATATAATATGAATAAATTAAGCATTTTCTGCTAGAATTAAGATGTATTCAAATTGAATTTAGTGATGAAATGGAATGAATATTCAAATTAATATATGAGTTAGGTGTTTAGTTTCATTTTCCATTAGGTCTTTTAAATAGAGATTTGATATTCAAGCTGACAACCTTTCAAATCATAAAATAAAATAAAGTATTTTGCTACTCTTTATCGATGAGAATTTTCATTAATTAATATATTTTTTTATATTAATTTGACTGTTGTTAATTAACGTTTCTAACTATTTATCTAATCATCAGTGATATATTGCTTTTGATTTTATTAAAACTATTTCCTTGCCTAAAATATATTGTGAGAATATCATAACCATAAACAATTCTTATAGAGAAGTAAAAGTAATTAAATCTCAGGAAAAATCTTAATTCATAATTTGCTTGGCTATAAGCATCAGAGTTGCAATAAAATTTAGAGACTTGTATTTGTGGCTAAAAATATGGAATGTTATTTAAAAAATGAAAAATATATAAAAAAATACACAACTTGCAAAAAACATTAGTAAAATAATGAAGAATAATATTACAGCATAGAAATTGCGTAGCATTTTGGAAGAACACCCAAAGAGAAATATATAAAGCAACATTAATTTAAATGTAATAAGATGTAATAAGTTGAATACAATTTAAAATTTATAATTAATATTAATGTAATGAACTTTAGATCTTACATGAAATTAAGAAATTAAGTAAAGTCTACAAAATGGAATATTTAGTTTAATGAAATTGACTCGAGAATCGGTCTATTAAACTTACACTAAAACGTTTGATATGCTTCCATATAGTTCATGGATTATAGCTGTTTATGGAGAAGTTAAAATAGAAAGGCAATGAAGAAAAGGAGATAACTTTGGAAAGTTTGGTATATTTCCTTGAATAAAATAATAAGTAATTATTTAACTTAAGATAGTTGAAAATTTTTGATGATTAACGAAGGGTGAGGTATGTTCAGAGGTATGTGGCTTAAATCTTAAAAACAAGAATGACAGAAGAAATGAAAATAGAGAATATCATAAATACAAGTGTGTGATGAAGAAATTTCACTTTTTATTAAATTCTGCTAACCAATAAATATTTGCAAAACGATATTGTAAAATTAAAAATATAAATTGAATCGATACTTATTAAAGTTTTTATATTATATTTCAAATATGGTTAGAATGCAAAGAAGTCCTCACACTGGAACCTTTTTTTAAAGTCAGTATTTAGAATCTATAATATTACTCTACAAATATAATAATTAAATAAAATGATAGCTTAAAAGATAGAGGGACATTTCTTGAGAACAGTCCAAGCATAGAATTATTCACAAAATAATATGAAATTTATTGAATAAGTATCATCTCAACTTATTTGCATATAGTCTGACACATTTTGTTAAGTCAATGAAGAGGCTTCTGAGTTATGTTAAATCAACAAATAAACTAACAATAGTATGCTTAAGAAACAAGCTCAACAAAATGGGACTTAAATTTCAGGTCCCAAAGAGACCTATCAAAGAGGACATGAAGCTTAAAATGATTCATAAGTATTTCATTTTAGTTAATCTCATCTAGACTGTTACACCATTAGCCATTCCAGAAGTTTAAGACCTTGAAGAAATTCCAAGCCTTGAGGATAATCTCATCCCAGTTTAAAATACTAAAAAGTGTTGTCTTTCAAATAATTTCTTCAGTAAATAGAGGGTGATCAGAAGAAAACTCATCCGCAAAAGATTTAAGACTTCTAGATAATCAACTATTGCGATGGACAGTAATAATTCTTTGCCAACTGCTTTGGATTTGCAATTAGAAGGGCAAGGAGCAAAACAGAGTGGAACAAATAATAAATAGTAGTAAGATAATCAAAAACAAAATCATGAATCTAAAGGAGAATCAAACGATGTAGAAATAATGAAATATATTCGAATTGAAGATTTTAATTAACCAAAAAATAGAAATGTTTATTATACTGATAAATTAATTAACTTAATTAAAGGAGAGTAAGTCGATACATTTATGGCATAAATGTACATTAATCATTTTATTCAAACCTATGAAATTCTCTAAAAATCAAAAATGTTAAAATAATCTGAAACTTATTAAATTTTACCTAAAATCAAACCACAAACAAGTATATAATTTGTATTATCATTAAGCTCGCTAAAAAACTTTGGTTATAGATCTGGATGAAACCTTAGTACATTGCAATGAATCATGTCTAATGCCCAAAGATCTAGAGATAAATATTAATTTAAACAATGGATTTATTGTGAAAGTAATGTATTCAAATGATATTCCAAATTAGGCTGAAATTAGTGTTCGACCCTACACCCAGCAATTTCTATAAAATATGTCCAAACACTTTGAAATCATGATCTACACAGCTTCAAATGAAGACTATGCAAATTAGATAATAGATTATTTGGATCCAACCAAACAACTAGTGAAGTATCGTCTCTATAGAAATGATTGCATAAATCTTTCAAAAGGATGCCATGTCAAAGACTTAAGATCCTTAAATAGAAATTTAGAAGATATAATTTTGATTGATAACTCTGCTTATTCATTTGCTTATTAATTGAGCAATGGAATACCAATCATTCCATATCTAGATAACAAAAAAGACAATGTAATATTGTTTATATTTTTAAAGGAATTAATAGAATTGGAAAGCTATTTGATGGATTTACTAAAGGTTGATGACATAAGAATAGAGAATGAAAGGAGTTTCCATTTTAAACAGATGTAAAGTAGTAGCACAATATAACAAGCAGTTAATCACTTGATTTGTAATAGAAGGTGATTTTTTATTTAATTCTTATATCTTAACTTGTTTAATGAAATTGTTAAATTCAATACATTTTAGAACTTCTACGAACTTCTGAACGAGCTTCAGATTTCTTTTAATCTTACATGGCTTTGTCAGCAGCTTCAACTTATGCCAGTTGTCTCTTTAAGTCTGCAATTTTTTAATTGCTTTCAGCATAACTCTTTTCTAAATTGCCATATTTTTTCATCCAAGTTTCTACTTCATTTGATGCATAGGTAACTTTTTCAGTAATGATGACTTCATATTCTTGTCTCAATTCCTCAAGTCTCATTCTTAATTCATTCATAAATTATTCATCATCATGTATTTTTTATTCTAATTCCAATTTTTAAAGCTCCAAATTTTTCACTTTGGTGTCGTCTTAGATTTCTTAAACTGTTTCTTCAACAATAGTCCCATTGTTCTTTCTAATTTAAATTTACAATTCCAAAATCTGTCTCTCTAAGGTGGCACACTTCAATCTCCATGGTGCTTCGATTTCTAAGAAAATACTCAAAAATATAATTACCATCGACAGTGATAACTTATAAAGGTCTCTCAACATGTCTGAATTCTTAAACTTAAGTTTGTGGTTGAACAGTCTAATGAAATTATCGTTAAATTATTGTACCACTGGTTATTGAACGACAACTTGCTGAACAGGGGGAGCAACTTAGAAATTCATTTGCTAATAGGATGGTCTGACAGTAATAGGACTTTAAGGTTGTACTGGACCGAATGCTTATGAAGTTACAGGTAAAATTTGATTGGACTATAGTTGCGGCTGTCTTAATTATGGTTGCTACAGAAATTGCTAAGAAGAGGGGATCTAATACTGGGAGCCCTTGGAATAAATAGATTAGTAATACAAATTATTATTGTGGCTAATAGGTTTGTGGTGATTGAATTATTGGATTTTGAGGTGATTGCTGATATTGTTTGGCTATTCCTGGTGATGAAAGCTAATATAAGAATTTGCATCTTCTTCATACATATTGACTCTAAATAGGTGAACTCTAGTAGATGTTGTTTTATTGGAAAGGCTGTTGTTATCTGGGGTCGGTTTAGTACATATTTTTTAAATAATTTTTATTTAAGTGTTAGCAAGTTATCTTGTTAATTTAATGGAAATCATTTAAATTTTACATGCATTTGGGTAAATGTATTTTAAGAACATTTATAAGGAGATGTAATACAACCAGAATAAATGTCTTAAGTCATCACAAATAGTTCAATTTAGAGGTAAATGATGACTGATCGTTTGTATAAATTAGCATTTTGATTATAAATCTTATTAATTAAGTTAACATTTATTATGCTTCATCATCTCTCAAAATAAAGATTCACTCTTAACAAAGCAGCCAATCTAGACTTTATTAAATTATTCATTAAAGATCTAAAGGATGTAGCTTCCATTGTTCCTTCCAAATTGGATGACACCGATGTTAAGCTCTCTCTCTAAATCCACTGTTTGGAGAAAAGTTGGAAAATTGTATGAAACTTTAATTATAGTTCTAGAGTTCAAAGTCTTTATCAAAAGAGTACAAATTCGAAACATTCAAATAAGCATTTGTTTTTATGAATACAGTTTCACATATGGCCGATTAGATGAATCGTAACTTTTCGTTTTTATATAGATTACCCCAAATGGATTAATGTTTATAACAAACTAAATGTAGAAATAACCACTCAAGACGTGAGCGGCATTTCAATAAAAGATGTGCTCTTGGCTCACTTAATGGAATCAGCATATAAAGATGTTAATGAATCGAATGTAGAAAGCATTGCTGAAATTTGTAAGGTGTCATCTCCTTAATTGTTACAAAATTGGAATGCGAATTATTCATAATATTAAGAGATAATGAAAAAAAATGTTCACAATCTTTGAAATTGATAAATATAATGACAATTAAATAAAATTTAATATATATCCAATTCATACGTAAACACTTTATTCCGCATATTGTTTTATTATTTATAATAAATAAGTTCATTCTAATATATTTTGTTGTTGTTCATACTCATTGTTTCAAAATACATATGCTATAAAGAATTTGAACAAATGCACTACTCTCATTTAATTTTGGAGTCAGATTTTGTATCGGTAGTTTAATTTTATGCAGCAGATCACTAGAAATTTCAAAAGGCTTTAACAGATAGTCGAATATTAGGAATGAATAATCAATTTTTGAATGAACTAGTAATAAACAAGGGTCCTAGCTCTTTCTAATTAATAATTATACCTGAGCATAGATTTTAATGGAAAGCATCTCCAAAATCTTTGGGTACTTATGGATATAATTTCATCTATGAATTTACATTGTTTTGAATAAGTCAATTTTTGGTGAAATTCTTGCATCAGTAGAAATAGTTTTTAATAATAATTGGGTTAATAGTGGTTATGCTTATAATTGTTGGAGATTTGCTAGAGAAATTTATAAAAAGGTTTTGTTAGAAGTCTTGTCAAGAAAGATAGAGTTCCATATGAAAAATAAATGAAAATCAATCTAATAAGATTCATAAAAAGATTTTGAGGAAGCATAGAGAAGCAATGAAATAATCAAGACTTTCAAATTTAATTGATCAAAAAATGATGATTTTTTAGTTTCATGTTCATTAACTTCTAATATAGTTTTAATTAAACAAAATCTGATAATTTCTTTTGAATTTTTATGTATATTTGACTTGAACTTGAAAGTTTGGATCATTAAAATTAATTATGAACAATCAATAACAAAATACTTAAGCTCAGGGATCAATATAGCAAATCAATTCTAATTAGTAAAATTAAAAGACTGAACCAATCAAATTGAAGCAAAAATAACACGATTATAGTCAAGGAAATAGGTATTAAGTAAATTGTATTTAAAGGACGTGTATGGCAACAGGAAGAAATGGAATCGATTTCTATATCTTAGCCAAAATTGTGTAAAAAGAGCATTCCGAGATAATTTTATCTGCTATTGAAGAATAGTTTTGAGTTATATTAGTAATTATCAATTAATAATATTATTTAGAATATTGATTTAATAATGTATGATAGAATTATTATCTTCAAATTAGAGCTTTTTATCGATATAAAATAATATCATTTTTTATCAATTTTTGGTTTAATAATTTGATGCTGATTAAAATCATGTTTGCTTTAATGAGTTTATTTGATAAACTTCTATTAACAACCTTATCCTTAAAGACTTTCAGGATTCATGAATGCGAAACAAAAGACTTCAAAATCTTCGAAATTGTATTCTTCATTTTATTTCATTTTCAATTCAGCAAATAACTTCTAGGATTGTCGAGCCTACATTCCACATAACTTAGGAATTATATTAAATGTAATATACCTTAACAAATATTTTTAATGTCAACCCCAAAATTTTATTATTTGTTTGTTTCAAACATTCAAATAAGTATTCCCCGTATTGATATAAATAATCAAACTATTGTTTGCTGTCTCTACTCAAAAACATCAGAACTATTATATAAAAATCTCTTATTTAGACTTTCTCATTTATTTGTAAAAGCTAGAACCATTCTATGATCTAAGTTTCGTTGATTTCTAAAAAAAATTCATCCATCACATTAGCAAATTGAAAATATGTCAATTAAACTAAGCCAGGATCCTCAAAAATTGATTTTTGAATAGGAAACTATTAGAATTAACTCTTCGATTATGATGATCTCACTTATCTATTTATAGGAGTAGGAACTGTTTTCATGTAATCTTCAGAAGATTTTCTAGCATTCGAATTGTTATTTACTCTTGAAATCCTTTCACTAAGTATTAAAACTAATCAACTCCTTATTATGAAGACAGTATGTCGTATAGACTTTAATACTATTCGGAAACACATTGCTCCAAAGAACTCTTTAATTTATCCGATATTTTCATTATTTTATAAAATTTATATAGAAATATATAATGCAGACACAAAATATTTTTGAATATTTTTATATGGCTCCTATTCAATTCAGGGAAATTCACTTCTAAATCGGATTAATTCTCTTTAGAGGTTGGTGTTTAGAATAACAAAAAAGAATATAGATACTCGATTCTCGAGATTTCAAAGAATATGTTTATGATTATTAAATACTTAATGTATCTTATACTATTGTAAATCTCATTTGGCATTTTTCTTTGCTTCTTATTATTTTTTGAGTTGATTGGCATCAACAAATACTATAGTCTTGCATCTCTTGATGACCTTTAACCACTTCAATTTACACTTAACACATTCAAGTCTAAAACGATTAACAAATGTCATACTTTAAGGCAACTTTCTTTGTTGTCTTTGCCTTCTTTCTGAAGATGGGCTTTGTTTGTCCACCATAACCAGCTTGCTTCATGTCGTACCTTCTTCTGCCTTAAGCAAAAGGACTTTCCTTGCTCTTTTTGTATTGGGACACTTTGCAACTTTAATGACTTCCACATTTTCTGCAATAGGTCTTTCTGTTTTTGGGGACGTTCACCATTTATTATTTTTTTAATAAAATTTAATCATTTTTGAAAATCCAAAATAATCATTATTTTATTGGTTCAATGAATTCTCTAAATTTAATTCATTTCATATTCTAATACCTATAAGGAACTTGAAACACGGAAGAAATTATATAATCATTTAATAGAAAAGAGGAGTTTGTGCATTCATTTAATTTTAATGGGGATAGCAATCTAAATTTTATTTTATCTTTTCATTTGGTCTTTATACTATTAAACATAATTATTTGATATTCAATTAATCATATAAGCTACCAATTATAACAATAAATTATAATTTTTTGATTTATTTTAAAAATTAGTCTTTTTAGCTTATTTTGATTTTATAATTCAATTTAACAACCTATTACTAACGTAGTATAATCTTTTACTTTTTATATTGTAAATTATATGACACTCTATATAGAATGCAATTTTATTAGTTGAATTCTTTATTAATCGAGTTTCTTATTGTATATCTAATTCATAATTTATAAAATCATTCAATTGTATTGATTTTCTTAAGTTTCAATTTTTATGAATGCTGATTTCAAACAACATGCTTCAATGATATAAATATGATAGCTTATTTTCTCCTTTGAATCTTATAAAATTGAAATGATATATTTGAAATTATAAATCTTATATTTATTTTGAAATTCAGATTATTATTACATAGTTCTTTCTTATATAATTATCCTTTTGATATTATAATATTCTATCCTAATTGATTATTAATTCAATAATTTCAAAGATTTATGATCCAGTGAAAACAATTAAACATAATTATGAAAACTAAAATATATTCATTGATAAATTTTGATTTTAATCTAAACATGCAATAATTTAGATCTAAAATAAATTGATTAATATTTAATTAAAAAAATCAATTTGAATCTCCACTGCTATCAGATATATTCAAAATGTCTTAATCTTTGAATTGTGGGGAACAAAACAGAGTTTTTTGATATTAATCTTTTCTTATTTCTAAGTGGCTATTGTTTTGGCTTGATTCACTAGGGTATGTCATTTGCTTTTGATCACTGAAATGCTTCATTTCTTTAGAACTAAACATTTATTGCACTTCCTTATCTTCATCATTTTCAAATTCACTTGGATCTTATTGATCATCACACAGATTCATTTATTGAACAGAGTCCATCAATTAAGATTATTTATTGGATAAAATAGCTTTTTTGCATGTTTCAGTATCCTGTAGATATTATAAACATTAGACTCCTTAAAGCTCATATTTTTTAATATCAGGTGTTTCTAATATAAATTTCTGACTTGATTAAATCATTTGTTGGTAAAATCTAATAAAGAATAAATATGATTAGTTACTATTATGTTTTGGATTGATTATTCGAGATTTTGTTTAAAATGGATCTGAATTTCTCACTTTTAGCAGGACTTACGCTTGAATCATTTTAAAAGACTTCGCTATTTTATTAATCTTCAGTGTTATCAAAAAGAGTTCTGAAAGTGCTTTTTTATTTTTAAAAGGCATCTTTTGGTATTTAAGTATGCTCTTCTAATTTAGTGGCTGTTCTTTAGACTGATTATTTGGTTTATCCACTTGCAGGACTATGGGGAGTAGATTTGTGTGATTCATGTTCACTTAATTATCCATCATCTTCAGATATATTTTTCTTGGATTCTCTATAACTTTCTAAAATCATAATTGGATTGGATGTAACAGATTGTTTGTCTTCGTGAAGGCTTTGTTTTGAATTCTTTTCAGATTCTAAAATATTCATAAAAATGTCTTTGTTTTCAAATGAAATATAAAGATTATTTTTATTTGGATTTTATTGTGATTGTTATGATTACAATTTGGATGCACTTAGCTAATAAATATTTGCATCATTAAAATATTAGTAAAAATTAGATGGAGTTTCGCTATTCTATGGTTAAGTTTTGGATCCACTGTAATCAGTTTTAACTCTCTATTATTAATTTGATTAATGGATTTAGGAATCAACAGTATCAATTCTTTTTTTTGGAGGAGTGGGTTGGGTTCTAATTTATTGATTGAATATTGAATTGCTATGTAAAATTAGTTGTTATTCTGATTCACTCAATTAAAAGCTAACATAATAATATAATCAATACTTCTAAATAATCAAAGCTAAAGTGGATTGAATGTCAGTTTTGGATAAAGACTTAACAGAAATAGTTGATGATAGTAATTAGGTTTGGAAATCATTCATTTTAACAAATTCAGACTAATAATAATCCATGATTTTCCTGAAAGGATCCATTCTTATATCTTCTAATACTTCAGTCCAGTTCTTTTCAATATCCTATTTGATATTCTAGGCATCCAATTGGTGCTATTGTAGAACAAAGTATAGGTTAGACAACTATTTTAAAGATTCTTATCTTTGATTTTAAAGTATTTGGATACTGTTGTTGCATGCATCGTTCATTAATTATTACATCACTTGTTTTGACTTTTGACATTGTCCAATTTGAGATTCATACCATTAATTAATTTTTTCAATTTGACTCTGCATCTAATTTAAAATATCAGCTCTTTGAGAATGGGTACATTCCAATTTGGTTAAGAAACCACTTAATTCTCTTTCCTTAAAATTAGCATCTGAAAAGTTTGAATGTCTATTGGAATCAACTGAGCTTGATTAAAATGAGAGGATTTAAGATTCCTAAGATTTGATAATCAATTGACTTAAATCCTGTACAATTTTACCTTAACTAGCAACTGTAATAGCACATTATGAACAATAGAAAGTCTGTTTTTAATGTTCATCCACAAAGTACTTAGCCTTTTTAGTTCTATGATTAATGCATGTTCTGACTGGAAACGATTCCTGTAGATGATCATTTGATCCACTAGTATTCTAATATGGTGATTATTAACTTAAAATTTTGGCATGATGGAATTTACTATTCAAACTTTCACCAACCTATTATTAGTTGATACTCTTACACTTTATTATTCAATCGATACTTTAGAATGCAAATAAGTACTTGGAGTACCTATATTCAATAAATTCACATCATTCTCTTTCTCTCTATCATAATATATCATTCTGATGCATTGTTCATCCAAAACTGATTTACTCTTACTATGTTCTGTATTTAGTGTTGTAGTTGTAACCTTTGTCGGAGTGTGATTCATGCCGTAATCGCATTTCTTTAGAATATTTGGTTTCAAATTATAGGAGACTGAATTGGCTGAACTATGGCCTTTCCCTTTGTGGCTTGATTTCTATTGTTATTACTGGATAGACAAGTAAGGACCTAGTTACAATGGATTTGTCTTTGGTTTTTAAGAATTTGAACCTTTTGGTGATGAAATGGCTTGAAATTTACATAAGGATTAATTACTTTAATGATTTTAAAGTAGAGATGCGACGCTTTCTTATATTTCAGATGGTGTTGGTGATTTAGCTATAAATCTGTTAATTTAAGGAGTTGCTGAATATTCTTCATTCACAAGAGAAGAAGGTCTTCTTTGGAGGAATTCTTCATTTTTTTTATAGTTGCTTTATTGGGAATTAGGGGAATGATCTCTCCTCTTGCTAAATTAATTCAATTTTTCTTGGAATTACTCATTTACAATCAGACTTTTATTTTGCAAGGACATATTGGATTTATGAATGGCAATTTGTTGAGATGGTTTTTAAGATGGTTTAGTTGCTTAATTGCTGGATCTTGGCGATGAAGGTTTCTTGTCCATAACTTCATTAGTTTTTTTGTTAAAAAAGTTCTCATTGATCTGTGTAGGAATCAAATTTGAAAGCTTGATCTTATCAGGTTTGCTAGAAAATTATTGTGCTAAAAATTATTAAGCTTATTGTTATTTGAACATTTATTGCATTTGTTATGACATTTCTTAACTATGAAATTCAAATTCAATTTCTAAATTTAATTATATAAATGCCTCCAAATATTTATTAATCTAATTACTTTATATTAACAGCTACTTTCCTATTGGTGTGTTTTTAATCAATCTTCCCAAAAACTCCTTGCACTTATCATCATAAATAACCCAGCCAGAATCAACTCAAGAAATATCATTTACGATATTCAAACACTATTATAAATGCATTTTGATCATTTAATCACTTCCAAATTCCATTTCCAATTTATTTCTTTCTTAATCTCATTCCCTTAATAATAGCTTTCTAATATATTCCATAACAAAATAATTACCCTTATCTTCTTTTCAAACATAAACTAAAAAATATATAAAATACCTTAAACTTCTGTTATATCAATAATAAATTAATATAACATCACCATCTTATGATTCTATATACTCATTCATAACAATGATCCTCTTCAAATGTCTCTATAATTTTTTTTATGAGTTTTCTTCATTGAAGTTGCAGTTGTCATCAAAATAAGGGATCCCAGACTCTGTAATTCGTCATTTGATAAGTTTTCAGATGATTTTAATAAAACATTAGAAGTTCTATTTAATTCGAAGCTTATTAAAATTTTTATATGCTTGATTAAGCACTATAATTTTCTTATTTCAAGGAACCTCCATCAAAATTCCTTGAAATTTTACAACAACCTCTTAATGGGATCAAATTAAAGCCAAACTACTTCTAGCAAGAATACTAAAATTCTCCTAACAAATTCAAAAGATTGAGGATTTCAACTTAGCATGAAGGCACCGTTAATAATATTGTTATTGACTTAAATATTCCAAGTCCAAACTTCAGAGTATAACATAAAATGGATTACCTTGACAATAATATCACAATCCATTCTCAAATTACTAGTTAAAAAACCACACCAAAGTCATCGCGATCAAATAGCCCATTAAAGAAAGTATATTTAGGCTCTAGCCTAGTAACTCGAAGAAAATTAAATGGTTACGTAAAACGCAAAAAATCACCTGACCCTTATGAAATGTGTACGCAATTGACAAAGAAAATATAATACAAGAAAACTGAAACCTTGACTATTGCTTCTTAAACTCTCTATCTTTTATCAAAATATGGTACTTGATCCCTCAAATAATGATATTTATAAATTTTCTTAGATTTACTTAGAAACAACCCTCTAGAATCTACAATATGTATTGATTATTTAATCTTATATTAAATTAATTTATATATCTAGTAGATATATAGTGATTCAGTGAATTGAGTAATGTGGCAATTCGATTTCAGAATGTTATTTTTGTTTAATTAGTTTTATCACAATCAAAGTTGTTAACACTGGTTTTTAAGTGCTTAAAGTGGTCAAACTATATTATAAAGTCATAGTAATATTAATTATAGAAGTGATCTCAATAGGATCTAATCGATTTATATTTACAAAGAAAAGTCAAGAAATTAAAAAATAGTATACAATATATGATAAAAATAGGAGCTTGATAAGAATTTTTGATGTTAAATAATTGCTGAAAATATTCACATTCTTTTATCAGCTTTTTAGAATTTATATGCACTAATCGAAATAATTGGTCATTTCTAATATTTCCTTTTGAGTCTGTGCATTAACTTCTAAGTTTTGATCAAATAAGGAGTGCCAAGGTTCCCCACTAGGTAAATCTGCTATTGTTATTTTTAATAATTTGCTAGCCATGGTAATTGCACAAAGAGTAATTATTTTTGGTTCATAGTATAGACATGCATTATTAAGGAATAAGTCTGATAGGAACTTCTAAGCGAATTCAAACAGCTATTAAATGTCTCCTTGAGCTGCAACTAATTTGGTTTTAGCTTCCTGGAAGTATACCTAAGGAACTATGATGTGTAAGTCATATCCTATCATCTATAAAATATGAGACTCTGCATCTATTATTTTTTCAGAGATTAATTTTTCTGAGATTGTTCTATTGTTTAGGTCGTCAACCTCAATCTTCAAACCATCTATATCTAGTGCCTTCTTTTAAATGCAATTATTAATGAATGCACTTGCATATCTCTTAACAGACCAATCAAACATGTCATTGTCTTTGGCTGATAGAAATAAACAAGCTGCCATATAAATATGTCTATTGAATTTCCTATAAGAAACTTAATGAGCAAATCTGTGGAAGATAGAGAGTGCTTTTTGAAAGTATTGATTGAAAGTGCTTTATTCGCTATTTTTTAGTAAAATTTCAAAGTCACGAGCAATTTGATAACACTCTGATTGTATTTTTACTTCTTATTGGAATGTGAAATTATCCCTTGATGAAGCAGAATTTTTCCAATCTTCGTATATCAGTAATTTCATAATTATATAATTAACATTAAAATTAGTACAAACTGATTTCTAAATCTATTACATACTTTTAAGAATAAAAATAATTCATTCAATACATAAAAAACAATTAATGCACAACTAATTTTTCAATTTATTTTATTGGACAATAATCTCGGAATTCAATCTAGTTATCTTTTTATTAATCAATTATTATTTTTTAATTAATTATTACTCAGGATAATTAAAATATATTTTTTTGAATTTGTGATTCCTTGCTAAGAGATCACCAATTACATAATGAAGTGGATGCGTCTTTTCCTTGAATTTGTCTCTTTTTATTTATTCTAACATTTTACTAGTCATAGAATCGACCCATCTACATTATGAGTCTTCTTCTTCTTCAATAAGACTTAAGTCAAAGGAATCAATATTCGATTATAATTATTCTTAAACGAAGTTTAATTTATTAACAGTCTACAATTTATCTTATGAGATCTTCTCCTTAAATTAGTAATATTTGTAGGCATAAGTTATATCTATAGGGATTATGGTAACTGATTTTCTGCTGGTGATATACCGATAATTATTCTCTTTTGAGAAAGATACACAAATGTCACAAATGAGTTTCGAATCAAACTATTTAGGATTTTAGAGTTATTAGAATATAAATAAGATTGTGTCAACACTAGAACCTAGTATTGGCAATTTGTTTTGAAATTATTCAGCTGAAATAATAGGAAAAGTGTTTGTCATGTCTACTGAATCAAACTGAAGAACTTTAGCAATATTAAACCTACTGAAATCTCTAAGTATTTGATTCAGCTTTATCCCTCCAAGTTATTACTAAGGTTAAGTTTGATTTTTACTAATGTATATGGCATCAATAAAAAATCCATTACAAAATAAATATTTTTACCATACTTGAGCAAAGGCTTAGCTACTAAATATAAAAATAATCAGGTAAGTTTTAGACAATCTTTTAAATTAAAATAATTAGTTTACATTTTTAGAGTGTTTTTTAAATCATTTCTTAATGCGCATGGACAATATGGGCTTTCACATTACTCAACGATACTGCCTCTTAGAAAGGAAGGACAAATTTTCATCTCAGTTCTGAAATCCCAAAAGTTTTTTCTTTATTGTATCAAAAGGTCTTTAGTAATGGTTATAAAATACTTTCAAAATTCATTATTACTATCTTATCAATAGATTAATCACGATCATTTGTATTGATGTAAAGGCATTTTAAAATTAACCCTTTTTACAATTCTTCAAATTGCTTGTTCAAGTATCTCAATTAAATAACACATTCATGATTCTTTTATTATTTAACTATTGGCTTGACCTTCTATTAACGACTCTTTAATTTCAAACTAACGACCTATTGGGTGGAGGATAGTTATGGTAGTATTTATTAAAGTTTTTATGATGGTTTTTAATTGGATATGCATTGATGTCCTTTGAGAGGTTTTTTAAGAACTTTTTATTCTTATGAATCTTCAAGGCATGACACATTATCATAAATTTCAACTTTTTTACTTGGAAATTATTATAAGGAGTTAGAAATGAAGAAAGATTCATTGAGTTCTGTTCGATTGGTTTCATATTTTAATTTATTCCTGGTTTCAAGGACACTAATATTTGTATTCTTTAGCATAAAATATCCACGATAAATGCTTTATTTAAATTAAGACCGATTGGAATAGTAAAGAGAGTTTGAGAGATCATTATTTTACATATTAAATTTGATAATTTAATGATAATTTTCAATTAGGTTTTCTAAATTAAGATGAAAGAACCTCTTATTTTTACTATTATTTGCTTACTTAAGATATCATTTATTGGATTAAAGAGTTTTTAGTACTCATTGAACATTTCAGAGTTGTTGTTCCACTGTTGATTCGTTTTATCTTTTAAGTCTTTGGAGAGTTTTGACATGAAGCAGCAATACTATTTTTGAATAGAAATTCACTAGCTCCTCCTCTGTCTGTTAAGCAGACATACTCCTATTAAGTATCAGGCAGATTAGTATTTAACTAGAGAGGTTTTCCTTCATATTGATTTTTCTTATGCTTTTACTATTATTCTAATGAATATTTAGTAACAAATACATTTTTATAGTTCTGGATTATCATTAATGTTAATGTTTATATTAATTACTTTATCCTGATTGGATGTATAACGAATATGAATATTAGGTTGAGAAGATTTTCGATTGGTTGAAGATCCTGATTATTTATTTGCTTTTGGATTTGGATTTACCTATTATAATGATGTAGTAGGAGCTTATTTGATTTTATTGATTTTCAGATCATTTTATGCAGCTCTTGAAATAGTGGGACTATTTCTATTGGAAAAGAAATTTTGAGTTCCTGAATGAGGTCTATGTGTTTGAGATCCACATTTCAATTTCACTTCTTGTTCAGTAGGGTCTTCCTCAATCTATATCTTAGATATCTATTTTAAGTTTAATTTGCCTAAAATACTAATCAAATTCAATACCTATATTGGGCTAATTGGATGCAGCCACCCTATTATGAGAACTAGTTGTAGGTGATGGTATATTAGATGTATTATATTTACTGAGTAATTAAGGAATAGATTGTACATTTTTCTTAAGTTCTTTAAGAAAAAGTTGGGTAGATATCTTAGGTTAGTGTTAAATAATGGTTTTAGATTTAGGATTGGCAGATTATTTAATCTATTCATTCTGATTGATTCTCGTAAGACTTTGTGGATTTTCCTTGCTCTGATTGTTTTTGAATAAGGAATCGACTTGATTTCTGACAAAATTAAGATTGAAATCTTTGGATAGTTTATTCATCTAAAGTAATAACTCAGTGTTTTATTTAGAATGTTAAGAGCCTAACCTTGATTTTGATTCTTCTTATTGTTTTTGAATTAAAGTTTAAATTAACTATTCCTGAGGTTGACTCAATTTCTTATTAGGCTTAAGATGTTGAGAATCAATTTTATTTGAGGTTTTCTTGACTTACTGATTCACATATGCTAGAAACTTATTTAATTTCAGCTCTTCTGTTTTCCCTGTCTATATGAAGAGTGAAGATTGTTCGAAGGCTTAGTTCCCCAGATGTTTGCAAATATCTTGTAGAGTGCAGGAGATATCAATTTTCTATTTATTAAATAATCTTGACTTATTTAACCAACTCAGGTCTTTCAAAATTTCAATGTTTCTGATTCTTCTTGCTGTTGTAGGAGATTCTTCCTCCTTTTAGGTTTCTTGGGAGTTAGCAGGAGAGGGTCGTTCCCCTACAATGCCTTTGGGAGGTCGATTGGGATTTTTTTTATTTTCCTCTTCGATCAAATGAGCGATCCTGTAGTACTCGTATTTGCGTTTCTTATCGAAGTATTTATTGAGCAAGGTGGCAATTGGTTCCATGTATAATCTGGCTATATCTGTATGAAACTCTTTTAGATGGTTAATTTTACTTTATAGTATTCAGTTAACAAGTGGACCTTCTATGGATATTCATCAGTGTAATAATACCTTTTGAGATATTCATCCTTAGAATGATTGAAAAACTTACATCATCGTCATATCCATGCCAATCCTTGTAGCGAATTACAGCTTTTGATGAAGCATCGGCAAGAATTTCGTTTACGTCTCTGATGTAATAGTAGTTCTAGGATTGGCAATAACGAAGGAACAAATTTTTGTTGGTCCAAACCACAGTGTTTTGAATCAATTCAGATTATCGAATTATCTTCAAATTTTCTTTGCTGATTTAATATTCTTTGGTATGTTTCATCTCTCTTATTTGTAAATTAATAATATTTTAAAATCCATAACAAATTCATTTTTATTTATTATTATTTTATTTGATCTTATTAATATTTATGAAAATCAACAGCTCAACTGAACTCTAAATATATCCTTATTATTTATAAAAGAAATTTATTTTTAACATTATCAAAATGAATTAAAATTAAGAGGCCGACAATCAACCACAACAACAAGACAACCAAGGTGCTGAGAATTAAAAGCAAGTCGAGAAGAAAGTAGTTGTTCAACCTTTTGAATAAGAGAAGCAAAAAATCTAGTATAAATATCTGGGACAGCCTCCTTTTGAAATCAATCAAGAAGATGAAGTAACTAATAATTTCATTCAAGGATATCAGCTGCATTGAAGGCAGAATCCCAAATATACAAGCTCTGGATAAATGTGTGAATCTAAAACGATTATGTTTAAGAACAAATTTAATTTCCAAATTGGAAGGTCTCTAAAATTGTGTGTTACTTGAAGAATTAGATTTATATGACAATCGTTTGATTAAGATAGAGAATATTGAATTGCTAGTCAATTTAGAAATCCTTGATCTGTCATTCAACAATATCAAAAAAATAGAAAATTTAGAAAACCAAAAGAAACTCAAGAAACTATTTTTATTAAGTAACAAAATCAAAAAGGTAATCATTACCATTATTCCAAGATCCAAAATTTAGATTTTCCTGAACTTACAATGTTGGAACTTGGATCCAATAAAATTGCGGAAATTGAAAATCTGGATAGATTACCTAACCTAAGAGAATTGTTTTTAGGTAAAAATAAAATCTAGATTATCAAAAATCTTGAACCTTTAGCTAATACATTGGAATTATTATCCTTATCTTGCAACAAAATTTAGATAATACAACCTGAAATACAATGTCTATAAAACTTGAATTACCTTTAAATAGCTGAAAATTTCATAGCAACTATTGAAAATTTGAATCCCTTAAAATAATTGGAATTGTTGGATCTAGCTCATAATAAGATTACTAAAGTTTAAGGAATAGACTAATTATAACAACTATAAGATTTATGGGTATTATATAAAATAATAATAATAGTTAAATAATAATAAAATTGAATATTTTAAAGACTTTGAATAATTGAAACTCAATCCAAATATCAAAACTATCTATGTCGAATAAAATCCTGTAGCATAATTCCCTGATTACAAAATGCAATTACTGTCTTTAATACCAACCTTAATTCAAATAGATGCTGTGAGAATTAAATGAGTGTGAGTATAATCAGTATAAAATATTAATAATTTAAAAATTAAAATGCAGAAACCTGAATAAGTGATGCAAGATTTTGCTAATTTATTGGATAAATGTAATCCCATTCTAGTAAAATCTTAGATAGAAACGATCCTGAGGCGTGGTCATAAATTTACAAGGTTATCAATTATAAGCCAACTCAAAATATTCCTAAAGGATAATCGTTAGACCCAGAGAAAATTCGGGAGTTCCTGAGATTGGGAAAACCTGGAACTTAAGAATTCGATCCTTATGATGACATGATATACTTCGATGACAACAAGGTCAAAGAAATAGTTTTAAGATAAAACTTCCTGATTGCAAAAGGTTCAATATGATTAGATGACCATTTTAGGATATTTTGATCCAAAAGCATACTTCCCATCAATTAATTTAAGTAGTTTAGATGACACATCATTCGATGAGAAAATCAAAGGTATAATGATTTATAATTATTAAGAAATGCTTAAAATACCAGATTAAGCTGATAAGAAAATTTGAAATTTATATCATGTCAAATCAATAGTTCATATTACTTTACTAATTCATAAAACAAACCTGTAAATGCGTATCAAAGTTTGTTTGAAGTCGTCAATATTCAATGGTTTAGTCAAAACTGTTTGCATTCCACTTTCATAACATTTTTCTATTTCATATTGTCCATTGAATGCAGTCAATCCAATAATAGGAATCGAGGGTATGATATTCCCACTCATCATATTCCTCAATCTTTTGGTTGTTTACCATCCATCTAGAATAGGCATTTAACAATCCATCAAAATGAAAGCATAGAGTTAACAATTTTCACAGCATTTTTTAGCATTTTTGACAATTTCAATTGCTTATTAACCATTATATGCAAGTTGTATCTCAAATCCCATCTGTCCAAGAATCATTTCAAGAGCTTTTTGATTGAAAGAATCATCGTCTACAGACAAAGCTCTTTAACATGAACATTTAAATTTGAATTTTACTTTACTGAAATTTGTTTACAGTTAACTCTGGTCATCATTTCTTTGTTACATTCTTGATGCTAATGAATTTTGTCTTTGTTTAGTAGTCATAAATTTAGGATTGAAATTTTATTATATTTAAATAAGCTGATGAGTCAAACCATATCTATCAGTATCTAAATGCTAATATAATATCACTTTATACCTTGAATTTGAAGATCCGTCTCAACTTAATTCTACAGTCCAACCATCTAATTAGATGATGGTTTCCCATAATACTCAGCCACTGAAGGAAGTTCTTTAACAGGTATATTTTTGACTGAAGTATTCTTGTATTCAGCATTTGTAATTATTAATAAGCCTAATTATGTAGATTGAATTTGAATACCTTATAAGCCTTCGCTGAGATCGGGAACTGTGTTAGGTGTTTATAGTGATCCTCTTTTATAAGTTTTATGCTAAGGTAACTATTATGTGAAAATTTAGCTCTGAGTCTTAATTCTGAATTTAACTTCAACTCCTTGATTCAAACCTTTAGATGTAATTTAAAGATGGGATTTATTTTGAGGTGCCAAAGTTATCAAGTTCATCTGACTCACCAAAAGTCCCAACCCTTGCCATTCATGCTATTAAGAAAGACTTCTATTCAAAGCAAAATCTTGAAGGGTTTATTAAATTTTTGTCAATAGTTATGGTTCTATGCCTTATCCTTAATCTTAGATACTAAATAACACATAACCGTCGAAGCCTTGAATTACAACTTCCACTTACCCTTTGGAACTAAACTTAACTGAATTTGAGAGAATGTTTACTAAGATTTACATGATTCTATAATAATCTGATTTGATGACGGTTGGAATAGATCTCTGAGCATTTACATGTAATCCTATTTTTTTATGTTAAAAAATTAGTTTAAACAGATCATTGATTTCTTGGATAATATCTACAAAATTGAAATCTGAGAATTCATATTTGATCATCTTCTAATTGAATTATGTGAAATCAATTATGTCTCTTATTATGTATGCTTGTAATCTTAATGAATTTTTTGCAGGATCTATAAAACTTTCTTTTAATTAAACAGGTAAGGAATTAGTTTAACTTAAAGCTTAGAGAAATAGTTCTGCACTATTCAATGGTGTTCTTAGTTCATGGGAGAAGGAATCAATCATTTTTACAATAAACTGCTCTTTTGTTTCTATCTTCTTGAAATTTGTTTAGAGTGTGATATCTTGAATAATAATCAAAAATTCATTTTCGTCTTAGGCCGATGAAATTTTAAATAATAGATTTCTCTCTTCAAAAAAGGCTTCATTTCCTTTACATAAAGTAGCTGATAATTCCAATTGATCATCCCGGGTCTTAAATTTTTCTAAATGCCCTATATTTAATAAATTTAAAATTTGTTTAATCGTAAAAGTCTTATTTTACATTTTCTGCTACGGTAAATTCAATGTTCCTGAGGCTTAGAGCACTCCATTTTTGTCTAATACTATACTGGTTTAATGCTAAAAATAGGTGTTTTTCTTTTAAATTATTGTGCAATCCAAATTCTCAAGAATAAACTTCCCGATATCGTTTTCAGCTTCAAAAATCTAGAGCAATTAATCATTTTCAAATAAAATTTCTAAATTCTATTTTTTTACAATTACAATCCCAACAGGAAAGGTTTATAATTTATTCATCCACTTCAAACTAACAGATTCATTTATGCGATTAATTAACAAGGATTATCTGGTTTAGTATTATGTGGGTTTGATGTCTGTTTTTTCTAACTCCTTAAATTTATTTTTCTCTTATTTTTTCAAATTTTGATGTTTTTCTTTAAAGATCAACATCGTTGCATATCCTACTGTAAAATAAGTAACTCCTTATTCATTTGATGATATCATCAAAAACAATTATAGAGCATTCAAAGCAATTAAAAATATGTAACTAAGTTGCTTTTATAGATTATCAATTAATTGTTTTTCATAAAATTTAATAAGTAAATAGCCATATCTCAATATTTCTGTGAAATAGAAGCAACAATAAAATATTTGTGCCAATTAAGCCAATTACATAACAATTTATATATATTTTCTCTTCTTTCCACCAAATTTCTTCTTAATGCAAGGTGATAATATTATGCCCAATAATTGGATTGTAACTGTATTGATAGTTACAATAAAAGAATCTTTTGAATAACCATAAATTATCGCCGATAGAGCAATGTCAATTAAGCATTTGAAATAATACCAAAATTCTTTATTATTAATTTTCATTATTAAATATATTCAACTATTAAGTTCATCATTTATAAATAGTGAACTAAGCGATCTTTATGCTTTCAAATAAAATTGATGATATATTACAAAAAAATATAATTTAATTCACAGTTCCATTATTTAATTTTTAGCTCATAACAAGAAAACTATATTGAAAGCACAAACGGCATACAATAAGAAATTAGCTAATATGCTCATCTTTTATATGTTTCTCAAGAATTAATAATCATTATATTTTAAATACTCATTAACAATAGAAGGCTATACTTTATTATAATTCAACTAGACCAGTTCTATTTCTTGTTAATTAAAATGCTTACATTACCTCACACTTGTAAAATGAAGCACTTGAGACGAATAGATGTGCTTTTCTAAATTTTCTCTACTTTTTTAAACCAATTCATCAATTTTGGAAATTTTATCACACTTTGTGAATACAATTGTAAATGGCTTTTCCAAACTTTACATCAATTATAATGTCATAGCATCCACATCCTTAAATCTGATGATGATTAAGTAATTTTAAGTACCCATGCTCACTGTCAATCAGAACATATGATTATTTTAAGAAAGGAGAGTTTTTGATATAATATTGCATGAGATATCCCCAATGTTGTATATCCTTCTTGTTCCCCTTTGCAAAACCGTAGCCAGGGGAATCAACAATCACCTTTGATTAACCTAAATTATAAAAATCTAAGGATCTTGTTTTCCCAGGGTAATTCGAAGTTTCAGCAACATTCCTTCCTAATAAAGCATTTAATAAACTAGATTTGCCCACATTTGATCTTCCTAAACAAAATTATATTTGTACAAAAAAGTACCTATTATTAAAAACTATGAATTAGTAGTGATTTATTTACCTCTTTTCGCTTGATTTTGCTTAATTCCTATTCTTTTAATTATTATTGTAGGAAATCATCGATGTTGTTTTTCTCAAATTTACCCTCTATTTTAAGCGTCTTATAAAATATTTCTGAAGCCATTTGACTCTAAGTATGTTACCTTTATTATTACTTACATATTTAGGTTTCTGGAATAAAATAGGTTCACCCTTTAGATCAAAAATAACTGTAGAAAGCAGAAATCTAGTCTTTTTAAGGAACATGCAGAGAATATATAATAAATAATTTAAAAATTATTCTTGATTTTTTGTTGATAATTAATGTAATTATTTATCAATATATATACTTTTGAGAATTCCTTCATATGTCTACTTTTACGTTTGAATAATTGCAAATATTATATTTATTCATATTGAAACATACATCAAATATCAATATAGTATCTAATAATCAAGATTCTCCTCTGAAAAGATCTGATTCATTATCCAAAATATTTATATTTTCTTACAATTCATACAGATATAGTGATTAATTCAAGAGAAGATGATTAATCAATTTTAGTCAATTAAATTGATTTAAACTTATCTTAATTGCACATAGTTTGAAACATTAACATGCATAGATAAGTAATTTAATTTATAGAATGAAGGTGATTGCCCTAATTGTATTATATTTTAATTATTATATTTCATGATTTTGAAATCCTTTTATTTCTAATTAGTTTATATTTTCTAACAAATTTATCTGTCCATCCTTTGCTTGCTTTGAAATCAACTCCTTACTTAATCATTTTCAAGGCCTAAGTTTAAATCATGGCTCGAGAGACTCTTTTATTGGTATTTCTAATGGTTTCATGACACCATGCTGCCAGTTTTTATTCCATTTCCAAATCGATTGATTTGCGCCCACATCCTTACTTTCGAAAAGGACCTTGCTTTTTCCACCTTCTTATGTTCTTTAATGGTATATCTAATTTATCTGAAATCGTTCTTTCATCTATTCCTTCCTCGATCCATTTGAGCGCACAAATTTTTAAACTTAGACTATAGCTTCTATACTTTCCTCTTTCCTTTTTCTTTTTCTTTCTTTGTTACTTTGCCTTTATGTCTCTGACTCTTTAACAAAGGTTCTTTCTAAATTTAACAGGAATGAGTTGGAATTTTTCACAAATAGGTTTCTCCATATTGTAAAAAAAGTGTAGAGTTATCATAATTTTATAATAATTTACTATTTAATATAAATCAATCCCTAAATACTGCATTTTTTTATTAACAATCAATTCCTAAATTTGCCATAATTCTAATCTTTCAATTTCGATTTTTCCTTTTTATACAAAAATTCTATTAATCTTTATCAATACCTATATTTTATATCAATATTAATATATTGGAATATCAATCTCATGAAATTGGTCTAGATTTTAATATATCTAGCATATTTTAAAACAATCATTTGTTAAGGGGGAAATTGATTTTTGGATTATAAAGATTATAAATTAAAAACTATATGATTAAAATTCTAAATGATAATTATAATAATTCAAAATCGATATAAATATTTATTTACTTTTAACATATACAACATAAATGTCTTTTTACAATGATGTTGATTGATTTATTTATAACACATAAGTACGTTTTTAAATTATAACAATAAATGAATTATAATCACTCAGCCCTTCTTAATGGGGGATGCTTAGCTGAGAAATTCAGAATCCTCTTATTCTAATTTCTAAACAAATTTTTCAAAGTCTTTCATTCGTATCTTTACTGTAGATATACTCGAAGTAGATTTCACCATGGATCTTTATGAAAATAGCTATGAATTAAGAGGATATATATACGGAAAGCAAACTACTATTTTTTTTCATTGATTATTTATTGTTAGCTTTAAAGAGACTTTTGAAATTGTCAAAATCAAGTTGATCATTTTGAACTTCCAATTACTCTAAAAATTCATCAATATCGAATTATAAATCAAATTCGTCTTTTAAAATTTCAATTATTCTATTTTTATGGACATACCCACTTGCATCAGGTTCTCCTCCTAGAGCTACAAATGCATCGACTAAAATAGTTTGTTTGTATTGTACTGAATTCATTAAAGTGTATTTATTGCTCCTCATGTTTGTTCTCTGATTCAAATCCCTTGCACACTTTTGTAACGAAAATGATAGTTTAGAAATCCAATTATTATGTATTTCTGAGCTCGATTTCTTTAAAGATCTTCTCCTTGCATTATTAATCAATCAAGAATCCAAATTCTAGTTTTTCAATTCACAATTACATACCCTTTAATAGATCAATCATATCGTGATAGCTCAGAAAGCCCTATTTATTGATATCTAATCTTTTGAATATTTTTAATAATGTATCAATATCTGTTTTTGGTAGATCACAAGCTTAAGAATACTTTAAAAGCTAATTGTAGTCTAATTTATTATTTTTCGAATTATTCAGCTAGACCCTTTGCGAAGATTATTGATCGCCAATTGGAACACTATTAACATTGTTATCCATGATGCAGTGAGTCTGTTATTAAATAAATTTATGTGATTTTAAATCAGAATATTACGAAATCTCTTAATAATAATTGATTTAATTTAGAGCATTTTTTTAATTTATTAAAGTAGAGGTATTCTAGCTTTGTCAAATTTTTGAAAATCAATACACAAAACTATTTCAATTATAATATATTAAAAATCATAGTAATTTTCAAAATAAATCATCAGACATCATATCTTGAAGTTCTTTACCTTTCTTAGAATTCACAACCTTCGTGACAGTTTTTGCAGATGCCTGAGTCTTTTATGAAATTAAACTTGAATTGTTTAATTTCTTATCCTCTTGTTTCTCACTCCTTGCTGGAATTTCCTCTTTGTTAATTATTATTTGCTAATTTTATTCTTACAGATCAGATTGCTCTAATACTTTATTGATGTCAATCAGATTTTTAGCCTGAGAATTTTTATGCTAAATTAATGCCATCTCTCTATCAAATCCATTTGTTAGACCTTCAGTATACCAAATTGTATCTTTTACTTATTTGATTAGTTTCTCAATGTTGGGCTCATCAACCTTCTTTCTGATACCATACTATTACGAAGTAGCATTTTTCAATTGTCTAGCCCCTTTATTTAGGAAATCCAAATCTCTTATAATTTTGAAATAGTCTTTCTTTGTTTCCTCTATCATTTTTTCCATCTCCTACAGACTTTTTTTTGGAATTTCAGCCTTGATCTCAGACTGTTTTACTTCATGTTCATTTTGCACCTGTTTCCTGTCTTAAGCAGATAGAGCCCTATATTGATCCTAAGCATTATTAGAATATTATAGATTACCTTCTTCTAAATGGGGAATTAATTTGGGATCTTCAGCAATTCTGGTAGCGGCAATCTTACAAATTCTTAAACTTTCTTCTCAATTTTCTCCTCTTCTAGTTTTTTCACAAACTTCTCTATATATTGATCATGCTCCTTTTACAATTCATGTTAAATATTTTCAATTGTAACAATAGTGTCAGAGTAGTTATCCTCATGGATAGAAGAGTATCTCTCTTACTGTTCTTCTTATTTCAATTACTTAATTTTCAAGTATTGAAACAACTCCATCTATAATTTCTCCTCCAAAATGGCTTACTTATAATAGCAAAATTTTTACATCATCCTTGTCATTGACAGCTTGAGCACCTCCAAAAGGGGGAGGATTTTCCATTTATATAAATTCTGGCAGAGTTATAATCTCTTTGACTTATCGCTATTTAAATTAGCAAGGCAGAGGAGGAACTTACTCTGTGAATTTATCTATTCTTTTTGGTTGGTTAACTTTGTCTAAAAAGTGATCAAATTCATATTGCTTTATTTTTTAAATGTTCTATGATTTAAGAATAAGTTCCTTGCCTTTGACTTTAGTTGGAATTGAAGCAGCTGGTTTAATTTGTTTCATAATTATATATATATAACTATAAAGTCAATTAATTATTCAATAAATTTAAGTAATAGTTCTCAGAACCAATCTACTAATGTTCCTATTCCTGAGTAAAGACTAGGGCAGTAGTGTAATTATAAATTTCAATTAAGTAAATTCTTAATCTTCCAAATAATACCAAATTAGAAATTCAACAGTTATCAAAGCCAATGAACTAGAAAAATAGGATAGATATTTACATCAGTCCAGAGTATAAGAAGAAGTAACTTAATTTATCTTTTACCTCTTAACCCAGAGCTAAAGTTTGATCATAAAAATAGTGGAAACTAGTAAAGACCAAGTACTCCATATCATAAAAATATTACACAAAAATGTTCTGATGAATTTATGAATCTAAAAATTCCTATAGCAGTGTAGTGTTGGTTTGATATTGTAAGGAGTCTCTTTCAAATGAAAACTCACTCTATAATAAATTTTAATATTTTTGCATCATGCCACTAATCCCCTATGTTAAATACATATAAGTAATATCTTTTTCAGTATAATTCAAAGTAGAAGAGATGTTGCAATAATAATAGAAATTCGGAAATTTCTCACACAAATTCCCTTACAAAGCAGTCATAATTAATTCCTGGGTAGATGAATTAAAAATATCATTCTCCATAACTTCGTCAATGATATTATTAATGATAGGCAACAATTAATCAGTATAATTAAAAAACTGTGAAATAATTTCAATTTAATTGATGTGTTGCAATGAATCTGAGTTTATTAAGTATTCTGTCTTAATGAGTTCCCCCAACAATACTGAACTATCAAATATTTTCTTTAACTTAACAAACTAAAAGGTAGTTCTCAAAGACTACTTGTATTATTAGTAGTATTCTAAATGCAAAAAGGAAACTGATAATCCTAAAGTTAAGAATATAATAAAATAGGTTAAAGGTAACATAAAGGATTTAAGAGATTGATATTTATGATTGATCAATTTATGATTGATTTACACAGTTGCTTTTTGTTTAATGAGACGAGATGATTATTAGTTGTTGATTGTAGATTGATTCTAAATAGTGGATGTCATAGTATGATAAGGATTCATTTCACCTAATTGAATAATGATTTCATGAATAGTATCATGATTTAGATGACTTAACAATTAGAATATTCTATTTTTTAAATCTGAAGAATTAAACATAGTTTTTGATTGAACGAAAATAATGATTAGTGCCAAACTGCCTTCTATAATTAGGATGATATTGAACTATAAAGTTGATTGCTCAATTTTATCTAATACAATCTAAATCAGAGCATCCATTGCAATATCACAAAATACAAATATCTTGATTACATTTTGCCTTATAAAACTAGATGAATTCAACGTTGAATAGTCTTCCAAAGGTGTCTTGTAATTAATTAGATTCTCTCTATGCATTTTATCCATCTTTGTTCTAGCTATATCAAAGAATTGTAAGTAATTCAACTCATCTCTTTGGAGAGTATCATTACTGTAATAATCAGCTATTATTGTTTCCTAATGGATATCAAGACTCAAGAGATAACAACCCATTGAATCTATATTGTATCTTGCTAAGAATATCCCATTCACGAATTCAAGGGATCCTAATCTAGATGTCTCAACCAATTCAGATAAATTATAAAGTTTGGATATCGAACATTATCGATTCCATTGATTCAAAAAGAGTGCAGCATAAGCGAATGTAATAGCTTGTGGATAAATGGCATAATCATAATAATACTCAAAAACTTTGATATCACTTTGATTTGCTGCGATGTTAAAGTAAGACAGGATTATCAAAATGAGAGAAACTATGAGGAGCAGAAATAAAGATATCTTGATATGTCTATAGTGACCTTTGTGACTGATTAGATTTTCTGCTTAAACTTGGCTTTATTCCAAATTGCTCTATTATTATTCGCATTGCTAGATATTATTCAGCAGATGATTCAACCCTTACTAAATGTATTAATCTTATGAGATATGACTCTTCAATCCTTCCACTTGTAAAAAGTTCATGGAAAATAAGCCAATCTGGTCACCTTCAATTTATTCGTATATTTTAAGATTTAATTCGTATTCGATATCTATGCTGATAGACTTAGAACTGATCACTATCTTAGATATTGATTCTTGGTAATTGGGTTTTATTATTTTGATTGGAATGTTCTGAATTTTAGGGTCTGTGGCTTAAGCAATTGTCACTTTCGATTTAAAATTATTGAACATATTTTTGGTAGACTGAGAATAGAAGATTTATTACAACGATTTCTTAGAAGTCAAAGAAACTTCTTCATTGTAAAATTATTTGACTTTATCAAAGCATTTTTTATGATTTAATGGAAATTTCCATTAAGTCGAAATTTTTTGAGAATACTATTCTTACAATGTTAGAGATTAAAATTGCAACACCTAAGAATAAATTTCACCAATATAAAACTATATCATGGCATTCTCCAAAAATTAATTGACTTTCAATTATTAAGTAAAGGCATTCCCTGATTTTTAAATTAAATGCTCATAGATTTCCTTAGAAATACCAAGTATCTTTCCATCTGAATTAAACCATAATATTTATGGAGTTAATTTTTCCATAATAATCAACTGATTAATAATAATGTCATCAGGTGTAAGTTCATAGGATAAATAGATCTAACAAGGTTGGATGAAGGCATCATTGTTTAAAATGCCTTCAAATTAATTCTTGGATTTTGATGATGAATCCAAATATGTTTAAATTAATTTATAGTAGGAATCCTTCCAAAACTGAGGCAGTATATCAGAAATATTTTGAGGCACGGTTTTCAAATTAGGGAAGGTCTATTTCAATCTCTATAAATTAAGTTGGCAAACCTTTCCGAATTCCTTCAAATAGCTGATTTGAATGACCAAAGATTGACCTATTGGATAAATATCTTTAATTACATGCTTCAATTTAGAGATTCATCATTTTGTTCCATGATATTCTATCAACAATTTTGTTTCTTATTTATTAAGCCTTTTTAATAGATATGATAGATTACTTTCTCGAAATCTAAGTAAAAGTTTTAATAGAAATTAGCAATGTGTTTTAAAGTTAGAATGTCACTTTATGGTAAATATTTCATTTTTAACTAGGTTAAATCTATCAGAGATTCAAATTGATGTTACTAATTTTGCAATTCTTGGGTAATCTTATTAAAGCCTCTCAGAATTGCTTTGATGTATGCTTGCTCCTCTAGATCACTTTTTAATTACAATAAAAATTCTATTTTGAGTCTCGATATTTTGTTTAAAATCATAATTATTTTATCTTCCACTATCAATACTTTTGTGGCTAATTTAATCTCTTCTTGTTGACTGTAATAGCGTTTGCAATTGGTGTTCAATTTCTTCCTGAGGGTCTACAATTTAAGTTATTAAAGATAGGAGAATTTTTCTGATTTGATTTTGGACAATAGTAGGAGTCCTTTCATGCAATTTTTATTTTTTAAATGATCTATGTACTGTATTTTCTGATCAAAAGTATCGAAATGTTTAACGATTTGAAAGGCATCGAGACTTGCATATTGAATTTAAGATGCAATCAAGATTTCAATGATCTTTTTCTTTTTGTTAAATTGAACTAAATTATGAATTTATAGTTTTAATAAAGATACTTGATTATTATTCAATATATAATATAAGATAATCTTTTATCTAATTGCAATTATTAGAGTAATACCTAGGATAAAATAAATCATTATTTGACACCAATCCAATTTAAAGGTATTTAAGAGTATCTAAATTATGATGATAGTTTGTATTGATAATTAAAAAGTAGTATTGCGATCTTATTTTTAGATTATGCTAATGCAGTAAATTAGTTTGAGGATAATTTGAAATATTTGAATGATTAGGAACTTCTGTGGTGCAATTGCACGTATTAAGCAAAATAAAATGTTGAACATAATTTGTAAGAAATGCATTTTTGTTGAATAATAGGCTCCTTCGGTTTCGATGAAATGCAGTTTTGTGTTCAAAGTGAGATTGAATATTTCAATTATAAATGATAATAGCATGCATACGATGGATATTCCGTTGACTGTTTGTTGGGTCACATTTTGAAATCCTGCAAAAAAGATTGGAATGATCAGTAGATAATGATTGATAGAGAGCACATAATAGATGATTGAATTTGATTGAATTAGTTTTTGCATGTAACAAATTGTGACTATGATGATTATGACAAAAGAGATTATTGTAAATGTAGCAATTACATAGAGTGCAGAGATGGAATTTACTGGTAATAAAAAACTGATCCTGTATCGCTTTGCAATTTCTAAAATTAAGCTAAATATTCAATAATAATACTAATTAAAGTTGGGATTGGTTGAAAGTTCGATCTATTGCAATTCATGAAGAATGATAAAAATTTAGACAATTATAATTTAAAAAATGTGATCCTGATTTCTCTCATACACCAAATCATTCAAGGCTAGTAGATATCGTTTGCTAAATGCTTGCAATGCCATGTAGGTCTTTAAGAGTATTTTGACAATCATATTAATTAAATAACTTTTTATATTAAAATTGAAACACAAGTATTAATAATATTTCATTTGATTTGTATTAATTAGGAGTACAACAATTTATTGAATCCCTTCTAATGAATTAAGGCAGGCGGAAACAAAGTAGCAATCAACTTCAACTGGTTTAATCTTTTATACTGTTTGTTGATCCAACAACCTGACACAAAGGAAGTAAAAAGGAGAAATCTAAGATAATTACAATATTTACGCCACTGATGAAGTGATCAGATAGGTTAAGATTTAATTCGACAATTTATTGCTTAATATCTGAGTTTCAGTAAAAATATCTAAGAAACAATAAAAGATGCAAGTTTGCAATTCAATGAAGTATTGTAAGAATAAGTAGTTATGAATGGGTAATTTTATGAAAGAATCCAAACGACGCTAATCATAATCATAATGCTAGTTCACTTGCTCAAAGTTAAATTCCTATATGGATAACTTATTTAAGTCTTGAATCATCCCATAAATGCCCTTATCTATCAAAGTGAGATAATTCTCACTCTCATAGTATTCCTATTTAATACTCCCTACATTGCAAAAACTCAATATGCCTGAATAGTAAGTGCAGAGATCATCATTAAAGATATCGATCAATTGTTTTTGAAATGTTGAGTTATATGATGTTGCCGTGACTAATTCATTATTGATTTCATCTGAAAGCTTAAGTAACACACCAATGTTATCGAAAAAGAATTCAATATGATCAGTTTAGTTAATGTATTCGATTGCAGTATTGTTTTAAATTAGATATTCGGTCTTCATGACTTCCCCTACTATTACAGCAGAATCAAGTCTTGACTTCAATTTCAGATACTTCATAGTGAGGATTAAACTACTTTAGTATTGGCTATTATATAATTTAGAAACTAATTAAGAGCCGAATATAAATAAAATAAGTTCAATCCCAACCACCAAAGAGAGAATAATCAACAAAGTATACTTTTCATTATAATTTTCCAATTTGCTTAATGGATTATACTTGGGTTAATTCCCAATTGCTTTCTCGCTCTATTTTTGAGTATTAGGTTCATCCTTTGTCTAACTTTAAATCAGTAATAGCCTTGACAATTATTCCTTCTAAAAATGCAAAATCTCCAATTGCTCCTATATTATCTTTATATTTAAATATTGTAATAGGCGAATTAATTTGGTTTCTGTCCTCAACAATCGAAAATTCACAATAAAGAATATTATCAACAGAAATAGGATCACTAATGAAGAGTATACACAGAATATAAATGTACTGTTTTCAAATTATGAAAATGATTCCTCAGTTATTTATATCACATCATCTAAAATAAAATTGTGAAATTTATAGATCTTTAACATATTCTAACGAACCAACCCATTTGTTTTTAGAATGTCCGGGTCAAAAGTGGAGATATTCTTAAAGTCTATCTTTTTGAACTGTCGAACCAAAGCTTCCCTGATGATGGCATAAAATTCATAGTAATCTAGAAGAGTCTCAATCTTCAAACCATTATAGTAACTAATTAAGTCTATCTCATCAAAACCCAACTTGACACTCTTCCTACTTAGATTCATTGAATATTCTTCATGAACACTGCCCCAAAAATCAAAGACATAAGCCAATTGGCTTTCTCTTTTGTATTCTAAATATGGACTAATGATATAGAGTTTATTATCAATGCAATACTGATTCCACATCAACATGAATGAAGCTCCTATGCTGAATGTCAAAGCCTATGGAGTATTCAAAAAATTGACATCTTATTAATAATTTATCATATTGTTATAGTTCAACTGATAACTCACAACTAAAGCAATTGTAGTTACTAGAATCATTAATGAGAGGATAAAAATGTTGTATTTTAAGGGAGTATATAATTTCTTACTTTTTATTAAATTTGAGATAAATTCGTAATCGGATTGCAGTCCTTCGAATTGCTAATCATCAATAATTAAGGATTAATTTTAAATGTTCTCCATTTATGGAATTTAAGCTATTTTTTCTTGTTAAAATTCTTCTATTTATTTGAATCTCAATACAAAATAATTTGTCTCTGACTCTATAAACTTTTATTATACAAATTCCAAAGACCCTTCAAAATCTATGCTTTTCATTCTTGATGGTGGGACTACTAGTGCTTGTATTTAGTTCATGATTTGTTTTTACATAATCTTAATTCTCACATTTTTAATAATTGGTATTTCCTCCGTTAATTTATGTTATTTTGAAGAAATCAATCTTTTTGTGGAAGAAGAATAAAAGATTTTTTTAAACTATGAGGACACAGTTCCTTCATCATTAACAAGTCCTAATGCCTAAGTCTATTCAAGGCATTTTTTATGATTCACAGGAAATTACCATCTTGATGAAATGTTTATTTCCTATTATGAGGTTCCTGAAGAATATTAGGTAGTCAATTCCTATATGTGAGAATAGATTTCTGGAAGATAATATTAAATCATCCCTTATTGAATGAACTCTGAAACTGCTAACTTTTTCGTAAAAGCATTATCAGATTTTTAAACTAAAAATTCATAAATCTATTAAGATATGCCCAATATTTTCCCTTCAGAATCAAATATTGCAAAATGGTTAGGTTAATTTCTTAGCACCAATAAATTTTACAAGATTATATCATCTTAACTAATTGTCACATGAATGTACAAATTGCATTCTATCAAGTATTCATTTTTGTATAAGAATAGAGTCAAAGGCTAATCAATAACCAATCCTTAATATAAATATTAACTGATAAAACTATTATACACTGTCTTCTGAAATTAAGGTAACAATTCAATGAGTTGCTTTGGTTCTAATTGCTCACCTATCATTTGGAGTAACCTTTTATTATTTTTATTGACTATGTTGTTTTAATCTTTTATAAAGCTTGAGGACAATAAAAATACTTCATCTATCATAATTGTAAATATATTTACTCTTCTGAAATTTCGAATTCATTATCTTATCATAAGCAAGCAAGTCATTTTATTTCTTCTAAAGTTCTTTAACCTAACATTAAATTTTTAGTTTACTTTAAAATAATTACTGTAAAATATGAACAAAAATGAGGATACTATATTTATTGAAATCTAATCTGAATTTTTAAATTCCTATAATCTTCCTGTTTGCAAATCATATTATTTTTCAAATATATTCTTGTATTTCTCAAGTGTATTCAAGATCTTATCAAGTTAAATTCTAAATGTTGTAAGATATTAATCCAAAGCCTACTCTTTTGTCAATAGGATATAAAATTTGCATTTTAAATCTATGAAATTTATTAAAAGCTAAAAGTTTTATTGCTCTAAAACTAGTGTTTTGATGTATAAATTAACATTGAGAGGAGATGTAATTAATTTCTCACAGGATTAAATCACATTTAATAAGTTGGCTTCTAATGTTAACTACTGTAAGTAGCTCAAATTTGTTTTGTCAATATTAATTAAATTTAAGTATAGTTGAATTTTCTTATATTTGAAAACATGTTGTAAGACTGTTAATCTATCATGAATTTCTCCATTCTATAATACATTTTTTTGGTATTGTATGATATTTTATTCTTAAGTTTCTGTGAAAAAATGAGAAAATGATTTAAAGTTGTTCATCATCTCTGGATTTCTAAAAATAATATATTTGAATAAGTTTATTTCTTTGTTTTTCGAAAATAATTCATCTCCCAACTTCTTTTACCTTATTGAAATTTATATTGTGATAAATAAAAGATAAATCAATGCTAAATCATACCAATATTGTTGTGTTAAAAGAACTAATATATATGATATGACGAAATTGGTAATTTGAATATAGTACCAACTATTATATTGATAACAATTAATCTTTTGCATAATCATAATAATTCTTGAAAAAAACAATAGAGTTGGAGCCACTTAATATTAATAATTACTTTGAACTACAAAACAAATTATAAACTGCATTAATAGATAAAATAAATTAGCCAACCTTGATGAGTAACAACCTTCAATTTCAATTAAACTGTTTTTAATATTACAAAAACAATAGATTAATTCTAAAAATAGACCTAATATTATTCCAATTATTGACAATTCGATATAATTTAAAGATATTGCAAAATTAAACGAAATATTTAATGTGGGCAGAAATATTATTAAGTGAAAAATATTTTGAAAATATTTGTAAAACTATCCTACTAGAATAAATTTCTCCTTTCTATCAAAATAAACAATTAGCACCACTATACAGTATATAACTTCTGTTGAGAGCAATAAAAATAACAATAGTTCGTCTCCATTATATTAAATTAGATTTATTGAAAACTTTTATAAAAAAGACAATAATGAACCTTATATTTACATAGAAGCCTTATTTTGAATTTCTGTCGATGTGACTAATTATATTTCTTATAAGGCAGAAATTAACAAAAGGATTTTTGCAAATACCAGATTAAATAAAGTTGGGTCAATTTTATTTCTGATGATTATTTATTACATGCGTACTAAACCATTGAAGACTAATTTTCCTAATTTATCATTTATTTTCTTCTTTTTTAATGCTCTCCTCATTAATAACTCAATAAAAAATATTAATATTAAAGCAATTTAATAATTTAAGTAAGGAGACACGGTTTAACATCTAAAATTAATATCTTTTCAAAAAAAGGTAGAAAATAATAATCAATACTCAATAATAATAATATTTATATCATTCAAGTATACCATTTTTTTTAGAACTCCAAATAACATTATTTTGTTTGGTTTCTTCATCAAAACATCCTCAGAAATGTAACCTCCAAAACTTCTTTTCTAATTAAAACACTAAAATAAAGAAAGATTTCCAAAGATTAATCAAAATTGATAGTTGAGAAATATATTTTTGAGCTTCCATCTAACTTTCAAGTGAAATCAATTGACATTTCGTTACAATCAATATAGGAATCAAGATTCTTTATAAAAATGTATATTAACTTTTTAGTTTTTAGATATTTCTTTTATTTTGCTCTTGTAATTACTTCTCTAAATAACTCAAATTTCAAACTGTTATTACTTTCTCAATATTCTAGTAACGGAAAAGATAGCAAAGATTTTAATTGAAAACTATTGTGCTTTTTCCAATTAAATTTTGAGAACTGTACTTTGTTCATTTTTAATTTGCCAAAGAATGGTTATTTTTCTATTCGCCCAATTGATTTATATCATTTCTACTAAAATATAGACAACTTTGAATTCATTTAACCTTAATTGGATAATCTCATTTGATACTGCTTTGGAAATATGGACAATTCTTAGTGTATTTAAACAAATAATTCTTTTGTTTTTGAATTATCTCTTCTTTTTCTAATGATTATAGATATAAAATTTTATTTTTGTTTTCTAAAATTATATTTATTTTTACTTGCCGCAAATTCAATATATTTTTATCATCTTAAATCTTATAATCGGATTTATATGAATACAAAATGGCTTAATTTTCTAGAGTAATCAAGCCTGTACTTTGAGGAGCGAAATCAGACTCCTTGCTTCTTTTAAAAATGTAAAGGCATGCCTTTCAATGATTATGAGATTATGATGATTGCTATTATAAACAATAACTTTTGATTACTGAAGACATTACTTCCTTGATCCTGTCAACGAGAATTCTCAATTATTAATTCAACTTAGAATTTCCTTTGTAAGCTTACTATAAGAGATAGTAAAATTAAGGTGTATCAAAATTTCTTTCAGAATCATCAGTGTATTATAATTGATTTTTGTTATTGATTAATTAAAATGTTATTGTTAGCTGACCTTTGAATGAGAATATATTCAATTCTTTCAGTTTAAATCTATTAAAAGTAAATTCTTTTTTCTTTACCCCAAATTGATTTAACAAGCCAGTCAAATTTTATCCTGTTTCTACCCACACTACGATGAAATAGACTATAAATGACTAGTAGTTTATTGGTTCCTCATAGGAATCAATTTTAGATGAGGGAACTAAAAGGGTTATTCTTAATATTCTGACATAAACTCTTGACTACCAGAACAATATCTTCACATAAAAAAATCGCCTTCCATAATCAATATCAATTAAGTCCATGATTGCCTAATTTATAATTCAACCAAATAATTCCAAAGAAAAATTAGAAAATAATAATTATTCTTATTTTTAAACCAGTTCATCTATATTTTCTAAAAAACTGAATAAGATCTTTGGTTGTTAGGGATAAGGTAAAATTATCACTAGTTTCTGATTTAGATTATTCAAATAATTCGCAACTACAAATTTCTAAGGCATTCCTATTTCCATACTCTTAGTCTGTTATAGGCTTTTTTCTAAAAAGGAAAAGGTTCAATGTCTTAGAGTGAAGATAAGAGATATTCTTTGCATAATCATTCATTCCAAGCCTTTTGTTATGTTTTGAAACAATTTAAAGAAAACTAAAAAATATAAATAATGTAAATTTAGTTTTATTCTCAAGATTTTCATCAAATCCATCTCTTCATTTAAGTAGATTGAAAAGATCCTCCAATCTTACCTATTCTTTTATCTCCTTAGGTTTTTTGATATTCGGATAGATGACCTGGAATCCAAATTTCTTTGACTTCCAAACAAGATTTAGATATTTCTGGATGCAACAATTTTCTTATTTCCGATTGGCTAGGTGTCTTTAATATTTGTGTTTTCTATATGATTTCTGGTTCATTAAAAATGTCGTCCTCGCTATCTCTTATTGATTTTAAATATGCCTCATCAGCACTTATCTTTCTTGAATGCTATTATCCCTGTTAGTATTTGATCTTTCTTTTTCCGACAGCATTTACTTCTACTGTTCTTATAGGTACATTTTTATTTAGTGTAAATCCGACATGTGCTATGCTGCTCCTTCTTTTTAGATTATTCTACATTGATTATAACTTTTATTCCTCTTAAGCATGAGCCAATTTCTATTGACTTTAAGAAGCTATTCCATTTTTGCCTCTAATTTGCATTAATTCGAGAGTACTTTTCTTTTGGTTCTAATTATTATTGTTTTTTAAGAGATCTAAAATCGATGAGGTTTTTGTATTAACTTTATGGTAGTTTTCAATTGAATCGAAAGGTTTCGAGGCACTTAAATATTAATTAGCTTATTTACTTTGAGATTTTTATATTGTACATTGCATATTAAACAAAGTTTTTTAGCAATGTATTTGTGAAAGGATACTTGGTATCAGTTTCAAACATGCATGCCAAAGCTTTTGGATATTCGATTATAGACGGTCCTTCATCACTTTCTGCAAGGCAAATAAATTTCTTTTCCGAATTATTGAATTAGAAATTGTGCACATCCCATCTATTCAATAATGGAGCTAAAAATCGGGATTCTATATCTTTAAATGCCTATATTTATTTAGATATTATATAATACCCAATGCTATAAGTATACATTTCTTATTGAAACAACTGTTTCAGTGTTTTTGTTTTTACTTATAAACGAGCCCATTTACTTAGGTTTGTAGATAGGAGCCTTAACAACATACCTACCTATGGATTAGAACTCTTGGGCTGCACTCCTTAAATGGATGCCAACATTTAACTTTGGAATCCATTCAGAGGATTCATAATTAAATACATATAAATCTCCTGACGTGTTTTCCAAAAACATATCACTTTGCTATATTTGGATCTTTAATTCCCTTAGATCTGATAATTTTCCCCCATTCTAATTGATTAGGTTTATAGGCTTATGTATATTAATAAGGTAGTACTCTTTCGATATTAGATGCTGATAAATATACTAAGGCTTGCATGGCAAATCCCGAGGCAAATAGTAACTTCTATACTCTCAAACTCATCCTCAACAAAACCAATATTTTTGCTAACTGTAAATCCGTAATCCATACCCATATGAACAGCCCAAGGTCGTGTATGGCAATCTCCAATAATGAATATCACATCAAGTTGATCGAATTTTAGAGCTGATTCCTTCTTCACATAAGAGCTTTCTACTTCATATAGGAAATCCTCAATGGTATCCCTATTGCGAACATAAAATTCGTTTTCTGTGTCTATTAACTCTTTTTATTCAGCTAAATACTAATATGGTATAATATTATACTTTCATGACATGAAATTGGAAATGCTAAAATTTTTCTAGGTCTTTGTTATCATAGCAATTAATTATTAAAATTCGCATTATAAAAAAATAATAAGTTAAATAATTTGTCTTGGGGTAAGTTGATATTTGTAAAACTAAACTTGAATTTAATGAAAATAGTCCAAAATAAAATGGAGTAATTTTAGGGATAAAAATAGAACATTGTAATGATTGATCCTTTAAGTAAAATAGTAATAAAAATTATCAAATATTAGGAAGAAATAATTTAAACATTCATTATTTTTCTTATATCCCTAGAATTCCTCTGACAGTGATTTTGTTTTTATTTACTGTTTGTAGACCAATTCTCAAATCCCCAGGTTTGGAGATGCCAACCACAAATTTATGAGTTTCAATTTTATTCGAGAAATAGTCATTTTCCACTTGAGTTTATGTTTAATCCTGTAAATCTGAATCCATATCGGCACATTCATCTTGATTGGAGTTGGGCGAATCATTTTGTTAGAAATCGACATTCATGACAAATTATTATTGTTTTGAACTTTAATTAATTATGTAATCATTTATGATTTAACATATGAAATTCTGTTTATTACTTTAAGCAAAGAATAAATAATTAAGTATCAAAAGTATTATGAAAATAATCAATATTTCCTCTTTTTGAAAGATTAATCTGGAGAAATGATGGCTCGTTCATATAGTCCTCCTGATTGCTAATCACTTTGCCATTTGTAAACAGGGATGTCCTCTTTCTTAGAATGACCATCATCTGAACAATTAGTGATTTGATGTATATTTTCCGGTTGAACCTGTTCCCTTGATAAAACTTATTGTGCAACGTCCTCCTATAGAAATTCATTGCAATCTTAATCAATACTAATAATGTGAATGAAATAATTACTATTGATTATTCATAGTTTTTTGATCGATAGAAGAGTCTTGCTCATCTAAATCTTGTTCAGTGAATTGATTCTATTTAATTGCTAATTTCTTAATTAATTTCTTAGAGAAGGCCTCCCAAGCCTTGTACATGATGAGAACTGTCAAGTAATCATGCAATATATTGAAATTGGCTTTCAAATGTAGAATTGGACTAATGTTGGTTCTCTACAGAAATCTGTTTCTTCTATAATACATCAATCGAAGTTGCATCTCCTTGTTGAATTACTTGATCTTCTTAATGGATGAAGAAGAGCCATTTTTGAATACTGCAACATGATAACAGACTCGGAATAACTCATACATTAATTGATTATATTGGATGTATCCAAAATGATCACTATTTTTATATATAACAACCAATACCATTGCAATTTAAATGAGGATGCCAATTTGCCAACATCCCACAAATTCTCATCTTTTCCACCACCCAAAGGTTTTCCAATGTCCATCAAGAAACGACACAAAAATTTATAGTGCATAGCTTAGCCTTGGGTTTCTGAAGAGTACTTGCACCAGATGGTTTTGATCTTATCCACATTTTCAACATAAGTCTGGATCATTGAATTCTGAAGCATAAAGAATTACTCAAATTGTTCCACCAAACCTAAGACAAACAAATTTAACAGAACGTAATTTGACAATAACATAAACAGGAAGAAGTATATCTAATTATAAATACTTCCACAATAGATTTCATCTTCAGCACAATAGGGATTATAGAACATAGTATCAGTCATTATAGTTCTCCAATCATCTCCTGATGCACATTTGAATAGAGCGAGCATGGCTTGAGCAACGTTCTGGAAATTGATTTGATCATCCATCACTTATCCTTTTTCTAATTGGCCATACAAATGACATCCAAACAGTGCAAAAATATACATTGTAATTATCAATAAACTAAAGATCTTGCCCAAAAATGGTAAAGCAAATACCATAACTCTCATTAATCTCTGTAGATTTATCAATCCTTAGAAAATCAATATAATCCTCAAACATCTAAGAGCAAAGAATAATCTAAGAAATTGATATCCTGAATCAGATGGAGATGATCTAAAATAAGCCAATGCCCAGTCAGATTCAAAATCAGCAATAATATCAATTATGGCAATTGTGATCAGGAAAAAGTAGAACCTTCTCCAATAATTATCAAAAAATCTATTGACTCCTAAGGCTAAAAATAAAAAGATATTCCACAAAATGTAAATGTAAGTTAAACTATTATGAGTATTATTTAATGCTCTGAAAAAGGTGTCATCCATATCTGAAAAGAATAGCAATAGCACAATTAAATCAAGTAATAATAAACAAAACATAACTTTTTAGACAGTATTATTGTTTGTTAAATCAGATGCAAATTTTCTGATTGTTGATGTAGGAGGCGAAGAATACAATGGAAAATCTTTGATAATGATCTAAGAGATCTTCATAAATTCCACTTAAGCCTTTGTGATGTCAGACATTTCAATCTTACTCTAATTCTCCTTCAAATTTGCATACAAGACTCCTGTAAATAAACTCAAAAAGAACATTGGAACCAATGAAACAGAAAAATATAAAAAAGAAATAGGTGTGAATGTAACTATTGAATGCTTCAGGGCCTATGTTTGAATTTTAACTATTTTCTGACATTTGCATAATTTCACCCCATCCATCAAATGTAGAAACTACAAATAGAGTAGGAACGGCTATTGTAATATTATCAAAATTATGTTTATAATTGATCCATGTCCTATTCTACTCTTAACATTCTCTTTTGCTAATTCCAAATTGCATTTTATCATCACAAAATCCAAACTGCTATTCATATAAGATAATCCCATAAACTCCAAAGATGATCCAAACTGAAAGCATCGTTATCAACACATTCCAAATATCAGCTAAAGATCTACCTAATGCCAATCTCAATGTATCTAACCATGATAGTCTATACATCAATTTCATAACTCTGAAATACCCAAAATATAGAAAGAAATTCACTATTGGTTTTTTTTCTTCACTCGATGGGAAATGGAAGAAGAAGGAGACGATATAAATTACATCGACTATTTGCCAAGTGTATGTGATGTAAGCTCCTTTATTCATCCACATCCCCTTGGCTATACTGCCCAAGATTATTTCAAACAAAAAGAAAATATTCGCTATGAATTACAAGACTTCCGGATAAACAGACGAATCATTCTCATAATCATTATAAGTCTTTAGAGCAAAGACTACGATTGAATAATATAATACTAAATCCATAAAGTAGATGAAGAAATTTGAGGTGATTATTCTGCAACAGATAATTCTGAATATGTTTTCTTTTTCAAATAAATACAACGATTATTGACATTAAATTCCATCATACAGATTAGGATATTAGCTAAGGATGTCCCTATGAACTTGCCCTATTAAATAATCTCAATAGATATTACTTATTGATTTCATTAGATTTGATATTAAATTCTATTTTGATTTCTTCTATTGATTCTCACTAATATTGATTTATGATATCAGCGGTCTTAAATTCAATTGAAAGTCGTTTATTTCTTATTACTCTGTTATCTATGAGTTCTATTCCTCTTATTTATCATTATTTTTATCTTCCTCTGGTTCTTTTTCTTCTTCCAATTCCTACATCTCCTCGTTTATGGTTCCGAAGCCATCCAACAATATAGCCAACACCAAACCGTATGTTATATAATTGAGTAAAATAACCATCGAATATGAATAAATCACAGCAAATATATAGTTGATATTACCTCCCATAACATATACTCCATACCAATCATCATTTGTTAAGATGTTGAATATTGTCATAAATGCCTTAAAAATATTATCATAAGAATGCAATTATCCTAGAGTGTCTGTTTAATCAAAATAGCCAGCATACATCTCCATTCCAATCATTGCATAGACGAAGATGACTAAGAAAAATAGAAATGTCAAGTATATGTATTATCGAAAGGTTCTCTAAGCAATGTGACCAATTGCTACTGCCATTTTATTGTATTTCAACACTCGATAAAAGAGAAGACACTTAGTTCCTCTTATCAATCTAAGATTTTATTCGTTTAAATTTGTCATTATTGAACTCATAGTGAGTTCGATGAAGTTTAAAGTCACAATACAAGATTATAAGACATAGTCAGGACTTGACGCTATATCCTTAAAAGAAAAAGCGAAAAATCTTATTACCAATTCTATACATAGGAATATGGTTGAAACATCCTCTTCATTCGATATTGTGACTGAATCAGCTATTCCTTACAGTGAGAGGAATGTAAAATTGATCAAGATAATAAGATCGAAAAACAATTAGCTTATTTAAGACGTAATTAGGAGGTAAGAATATTTACGCAGCGTTTCAACTTTACCTTAAAATCCAAGCATCCAAATTTAGATATCAATAAAATTGAGTCTTTTTAATGCATCTCTAAAATTAAACAATCTTGATTCATTTAATTTTAAAACATCATTTCCAGACCAAGTCTTTTTTGAAATTTGATTCTATTGAATATCTTTTCTTCTCAGTAATCTATATTGAAATTCATTGGAAGATTGAGAATTTTTATTCTTCTGAATCTTGGCCTTAATTTTTGTAGAAACTCCTTCATAATTTAAGTAATATCCTTGGATATAGACATAATTTTAATTTTGTTTTTTTATGGCAAATGGAATATTGTTCTCTCCTTAGGAAGTCTTGAGTTTTTGGGTTTGTGTAATGCTTTGCTTTTATTAAATAAAGTTGTTTTGATCTAATGAATTATTAGTTTCATTTTATTCATCTTCAGTTTAGTTAATAATGATTCTTTTTACTCCTCTTACTGGAAATTTACTCAGTTTTTTATGATCATGTTAAATTTATTCAAACTTTTTTTATTTGATATCTGGATAAACGACTGGTATTTTTAAGCTTCTCATGTTAAGGATTTCTTTCTCTATCTCGTTTTTCTCACAATCTGGTAAACTATTTATGTATACGATGCAATTACTTCAGAGTTGGTAAGACATCAACTTCACTTTCGAAGCTTTATTGAATTTGTTAATTGACACAAGATTGCAATTGCGAGAACTAAAAAGACTTCAATCTCTCCAATATTTATAACTCGATTTCATCTTCAGTGTATTTTCTAATATGAATATTATTTTGTTTTTCGTTCAAAATATAAAATTTTGGGAGAAGAATGTTTTTTATGGTAAAATTCTAGATTCTCTAAAAAATTCTCTTTAAAAATCCTAACTAAATAAAATGATAATATTCTTACTTGTGAATTGTAGTCATCATTCTTTTTTTATTTTGCTGACAGTATTCTTGTTTTACTTGAATTTCCTTTCTCATTTAGATTATCTTCCAACTTAATGGATCGATAAGAAGATTTCAAAGCCAATCTATATCTTTGAATAACAGGAAAAAACTTAATGTATCGTAAAAATGCAACATCAAATACATTAATAATATCCCTTTCTGGCAATTCTCTGTTCTCCTTAATCTTCTACTAAATTTATCTCATCTCTTCCTCCTTTGCATTCTCCTCTGCCGCTTCAGCATAATGAATTTTAATAACTGCAATAACCAAGTTGAACCCAAAGAAACCACAAACAAAAATAATAAATAAATAATATAGCCAAGTCCAGGGATGATAGATTCTCATCGTAAAAAACATAACCCAACTCCAATCATCCATCGTTATCGTTCTCAAGACCTGTCCGTAGGAATAAACTACATTATTGAAGGAGGTTGGAGGTTTAGGAGTGAAAGATGAAAATTAACATGACATCCCCTCCTCAAAACATGAATTTTAATTGCACTATATCCAACCATCTGTTTCATCCCCATTATCAAATTGACATCTATAATTAAATAACCCTTGAAACATAAACACTCCAGTTATAGCGAAAAACAATGAAAATAATCCAACTATCATTAATGCTTCTAAAAGAAATCTAAATGATTGTTTCAGAGCTTTTAACATCACTCCCAATCCTTAGAAAATGTCTCCTAAATACAGAAGTAAGGTTATCATTCTTAAGGGAGATATATCGACAATAAAGACGTCAGGATAATTGAGATTTAAAACGTAAACTACAACCAAAATGCAATCAAATATATCCTAAAAATTCTTGAAAAAGGCTCCCTTTGGGATGATTACTCCTGAAGCTATAATCCTAATTGCCAACTCTATCAAGAAACAAACCATTATGCCTTTCTCCATATTTTTAGTCGACAATGGGTCTTATTAAGTTTATGAGTAAATGTACAAGGTAACATTAAAAATAATTAGAAAGGACATGATGATTTTAAATAAAACACTATTGATTATCCTTTTGCACAAGATTGGAATAAATAAAGAATAATATACTATTTTTTTCCTTAATTTCAGAAACCGTTTATCATCATTATAAGCCTAAATATTTATGTATTTATAATACATTTATTTCATAGTGCAACCTTTCGAAACCGTGTAGCTCCTACAGTTTAATATAATAAGGATCCTCAAATGGATTTCTTTCATAAAGCTTTTCAAATTTTTTTACAATTTTATCATCCACTTTCTAATCATCAGTATAATCATCATCTTCACTATCACTTATCTGTTATTTGTCCTTGTTTTGAATTAATAGCAACTTTGATTAAAACGCCCCTTTCTTGCTTCGATGAGACATTCTTAATGACTTGTGCGAAGACAAACCCTCACTCGCTTAAGACATAAGCATTTGATCTCCTCCACATTATTTCTGAAGATTTATATCTTGTTTCATTCCCCATCTGTGTTCGAAATCAATAAACTAGATTTTTAAAATCGATCTTTCAATTCCGTCAGATATATCCAAAGGATTTATAAAGTCTTATTCGAATGACATATTAGGCAAAATTAGTTTATCCTATACTTAATAAAAGGACGATTGCCCCTATTATATAATTCCGATATTATCCTTCAAAATTATTGATTATTCTTAAGGTTCCTTATTTGATTCTGAATCGCTGGAGAATGACGATGATCCTCTAGATAGATCTTTGTTCATAGAGAGGTTAAGTTTTTGTTTGCTTTTGATTGATGAAACTGAATGCCTGCTACCAAGCATTCTTATTTTACTCTCTTCTGACGAGAATAAATTGGAGTTGCTCATTTTTCTATTTGCTATTTCCCTGGAAATTGAGAAACGCTTCTTGGAGCTCCTGGCCGCTTCAGGCTGTTTTTTGTCATTGATTTTCTGCATTTCTTATAAATAATATATTTTTTTAAACAATAAATTCAGGTTTACAAACTAACCAAATTTTAAATTATAATATAGAAGTTAATCATCCAAAATCTTAACAACAAACCTCATTCTTAAATTAATATTTAGAGTGATTTTCGAATTGAATTTATAATAACTCATTTTATAGCCGATCGATTGCTCTTATGGACAGTCGATCTACTGTCTCCTAATAATTCCGATTCAGTCTCATAAATGATCTCAGGCCTATTTACATTTGTGCTTTTTCTGACTTAACTCACTTTCGTATCTCTGTTCAACTAAAACTTCTCAGATAATGAATATAATCGATCGGCCAATGATTATATGTCATTTTTTAATTTACTCTACTCCTGCTATGGTTATTAGGCTCCCTTCTGCTTTGAATGGCTATCATTAGATTTGCTTCTATATTCATTTTGAATTTAAGATGGTTTTTAATCTAAATAATATTGCATAAGTACTTTTCTAATCTTGAACTTTTTTGGCAAAATTCTATGCATCTCTATTTTTTGGTTTTTTAAGTAAAGGAGATTTATTTTCATAATTTGACAGAGTCGACAACCGATTAGAAGTAGCCTTAAAATAACTTTGTTATTGTTTTTTAGGTTGCAATAATTTTCCGTCTTTCTTGGGAGTTTTCTTTTAACTTTTAGTCACAGAGTCTTCTCTACTTTTAAGATATTTATTACTCCTCTATTCTACGAAAATCTTAACTAGCACTGCTTCTATCAGATCTCAAAGTTTCAGTTGGTTAAGTAAACAGGGGCATAGCATCGATATTTAACTATTAAAATGAATTTCTTCTTTATTTTTCTATCTAAAAATGAATAAAATTGTTTAAATTACTTTTATTTCCTATAAACATTATTATATTTGATGTTCTAAGTTTTAGAGTTCATCTAAACTAAATTTCTTGAAATTTGGCTACCCTTCATAACATGAAAGTCTATTGAGGGCATTTTATGACAATTTTTCGTATTTCTCATTTTGAAGTCTTAATTCTTTTATTTACTATTCCATCTCTTTATGAGAATTAAAATATGTAAGAATTTGCTCATTAGATTTCTGCAATCTCTTATGAAGTTCTGTGCAATTCTTCTCTAAAAGTATGTTCTTATCCATTTCTTGTTGTAATTGAGAATTCAATTCTTAAGTTTTCTCTAGGAGGGAGACATCAGTTTCATTAAATTAGCTTACAGATGGCTTAGAAGCTAATTAAACTTCTGATTATTTGAGATTAGTTAAGATTTCTGAATAGTTTGATGCTTGCAATTGTTATTTTAATGAATCAATAATCTTTTATTAATCAGAAATGGTCTTTTCATTTTGTTTATTTTTTTAAATCAACTAATTTAATTTCTATTGATTGTTCGAATAGGAAGCATCAAAATTGACATTCTATTCAATTTTAGATTCAACCAATTTTGCACTCGTACCAAATCTTAGAGTGGATTGTGTTTGATCATACTGGCTCAATCCTGGATTTATACTCAATAAGATTAAAGTTTTGAAGTTTCCTGTGAGAGATGATCTATAGAATATTATAATATTAGATTAGTTACTTCAATAATTTGGTTAATGTTGAATTGCGATAGGGAATGTGCTGAGGTGGAACCTTCTAAGTTTTTAATGCAATGACTCTTGTTAAAAAGAACAAGCTCTTGTTGATTGCAGAGCTTTCTTTGTTTCTGTCTTTTCTATTAGAATTTCTAGTAACATCATCTGAAATGGGACAGGATGATATTTTTTCACTTCCAGCCAAATCAATGAAATTGATGCATGCTTCAGTAGAAAAAGTGAAGTTTTCTTCTTCTTCAGATTCATTTGAATAAGCACTTATGAGTACTTTGAAGATTGTATGGCTTCTGCTACTTTGATGATTCAATATGGTTTCTGCATAGTGTCTATTTTTTTCTCCCTTTGAAATGCATGTAATCACATCTTCAATAGAGGTAACATTGTATTCCTTGATATTCTTGATAACAAATTCCTAATTTTAATTATTTCCATATTTACCTTTCGATAATCAGTTCCAAAAATGAGTGGTTCGGATAACTCATTTTCTTCGCGTAAGAGGTCATAAATAAACTCATTGTAGATTTCATAATAACTACATTTGATTTCGAACTATCTCTTTTCATCCTAGTGATATTGAAGTAGCTTATACTATATTAATCTGTTTAAATAGCTCCATCATCGAATATATCAAAATTCCAACATCGTTATATTGATTATTTGCAAAACTTTCCTTGATTAATTACTAAATGTTGCTATTGTTGTTTTGTAACATCTCCTGATTCCTCTTCCCCAACATTGTAAATGTTTTGCCTGACCCTGTCTATCCATACATAATGACAGTCCCATTGATTCCATCTAAAGATTGCATAATTACTTGTTTGACTGACGTTGAAAACAAGTAATAATTGTCAGCTTGTTGTCCGTAGCAATGATTGAATTCATAAATCAAACTATTGACTACTTTTTTTTAAGCAATTAAGTCCTTCAAACAAATCTTATTTAGTTAAATTTTTGAGTCACTTCCATCCCAAGCAATTATTTCGTTGTCATTAATTTCTTTTTAATTGAGTGGTCTTACTCTTAAACACACACTAATTTTTTCCATACTAACAGATAATTATAATTATATTAGTTATCAAAAGTTATAATTTCAATTCTAAGATGTTAGAAATCACATATAGAAGGACCGATTATAAATATAGTAGATAATGAACCATCTCTAAACAACTAAAATAATCACTCTGAATTGGGATTAATAAATAATTCTAAATTCATTTTCATTTTATTTAATCTAGACTCTACTATAGAAATATTGTTCAATTCAATAAAAATTTAAATTAAAATACCACATGGATATTATAAAATCTGAAATTTCTAGTAAATCTTAAAGATTTGGTTGATACAATTAAGATAAGAAGTAACAAGATGTAGATAGGAGTTCTTAATTAGATTTTTCAAAATTTAAATGGGTACTCTGAATGAATTCACATGTTGAGTAATAGGAATTTTATTTTTTTAAATTATGGAATAATTAAATCCCACTTTATAGGGTTAATAAAAATGTTAGCTAAAAGTTGCGGAGTGGAGGTATTTTCATGAGGGTGAGGTTGATATTTGCAAATATTGTCCAGAATGTCCATAAGAATGTCCCAATAAACGAGCCAAAGATCAATTGCTACTTTAGCATCCTTTTTACAATTTTGATCTATATTTAATAATATTAAAATTTAATACCTTATGGAGACTAGCGCATTTAGATAAAAAGGGCAGAATTCAAAAGTGTCCAACTTTGAGAATGTTGAGAATCAATACAATAAAGTACTTATTAGGAATATTTATAGAATCTCATCTTGCTTACCACATAAGTTGAAAGGCTTACATAGGCTTTAAAGAAGAAAACCAATGAAGTTGAAATCCTCTAGAATTAAATTGATACTTAGAAATCAACCCCCAATATCCATAGGAAATGGAAGAATTGATTACGGTACAACTAATTTAAATTTTAGACAGTTGAAGAATAAACTAAAGAAATTGAAAAATGGGCTTAAAAGTATTAAAATTTGCAATAAAAGAATCAGCAATTGCAATAGAGAAATTAAGAACTGGAATAAATAGTGTAATTACTTAAAACCCAATCTTAATAGGAGATAAAGTCAACTGAAAGTAAATAGTCGTATTAATTGATTAGGTCTTCCATCCAAGCGATTTTATTAATCAGAACTAGGTAGAAATGAAAATAAGTTTGAATCTGACGAAAAAAATTTCATTTCTTAGTCAAAACTATAATCCAAATAGGATGAGATCAATTAATTGAAATTGCAATTAGGGTAATTAAAATAAGAACTTTTGGAAGAGAAGCAAATTCATAGAGAACTACTTGAAGCCGAAGAGACCAGAGTTAGGGAATAAGAGAGAAAGAATTTTAATCAATATAAACTAGAAACTAAAGAATAATTGTTATTATACAAGAATGAAATTCAGGCTTTATAAGACATGTTAGAGAACAAGCAAATGGTTAACAAGCAAGATAACTTTGAAGAAAAGAATCGTTAACTTAACTTATAAATTTTAGAGAAGAACAAGAAAATAGAATAATTGGAAAGTCTCATTGCATAAAAGGATTCACAAATAAACCAATTGCAATAGCAACTAGAAAAATATCAAAAAGAATAAGTCTAATTAATTAAATAGTAGTAATCATAAAAATAACTAACACTTCCTTCCTCCTCTTCTACTTGCAGAGTAATATCAACTTAGCATTCCTCCTTAGATAATAATTATAGCTCCTTGGTTAACATCAACAAAACTAACTCTATTTAGGATTAAATCAATCAAACTATGGCTTAAATCAATAGATCCATTCAGTAAGTTGATCAAATGAAGTAAACAAGCAGCGTTAATCAAAAACTATATTAAGAATAATTTAACTATAGCAATATCCCCAGTTCTTTGAGGAGTTCACAAATGCCACAAATGCAATCTAATTTAGTCATCCAAGACAAGATGAAAATTTTAACCTCATAATCCCAATAGTACAATAGTTAAAACTATAATAAATATATATGAATTATATAATATAAAAATTATATATTAAATGAAGACCAATTATTTAAGAAATTCCTTTGAATAATATTAGCAATAACCCTTTTATCAATATTCTAAGAATTAATTTGTAAATTAAGCATAGAAATAATCATCTCTTATTAATGAAAATTATCAGAGTCAATTGATTAAATTATCAGTACAACCAAAATAAAATACCTAAAGGAAGGCTTCATATTAAGACGAAGAGGAAAAGAAATAATAGATGGCCTAAGCTATTCAGGATTAAATTTAAAATAATTAAAACCGGGATGATTCAATTTAAAAACCTTTTGTTGATCAATACTCGTAACCACTCAATGAGAATGTGTAGAAGGACTAAGACATCAAATTAAATACTTTAATGACAAAATTCTTTGATGTCGAAATACCCAATTTGAATAATTTTAGTATAGCCTATTTACTTGAAGAATTAAATAAATGATTGTTTGAAATGTAATATAATTATCATATATATATAATATTTTATATATTATTAAAATCCCATTAATATCTAAATTTTGAGATGGATGGCAAGTTTATTTCATATATTGAATATATTCTTTCTGGTTAGTTTTGGTTTAAAATTAGTAAAGAATTGTAAAAAATCATATTCAATACATAAAATCGAAGTTCAGGGTATGCCGTTCCTAGTCATAACTGAACTTATCTAATACAAATTATATATTCCATAGATTAGCATGAGTTCATAATGTAATTATTGAGTCTAATTCTTCAAAGGAAATTTCTTTCCAGATTTTAGCTTAGATTTTGTTTTTTTATCTATATTCGACATCTATTGAAGAACAAGTATAAGAGTAAATTTATTCAATAATTAAATTTGATGGATAGTATAAGCACCTGCTTGTCACTGTTGAATTTGAAAAGTAATAAAGAAACTAAGTGTACTAAAGATGAGCTTAACAGATCTATAGATTTATATTCAAACTCAAATATTAGTATGATGGAAAGACAAATTGTGAAATATTTGCACGGAATGGGAATACAAACAATAACTGATCCTGTGTTGAAGGAATAACAATACTGGAGTCAAAGAAGGGTTGAAAGCAATAAGAGTTTGGAAGAATTTTAGAGATTACCATAGTTATCATTAAACACCTGTGTCATAAGGTTATTAAAAAGTAGAGAATCTTCGTTTAGCAAGTATTTTCATAAAAATGAAAGTATATTGTAGGCATCTCAAACTTCCTGATTAAGCAGAAAAGTTGATTAACAAATATTTATCTATAATGTCCTGCGTTAATTTACTTAAAATTTTATATCTTAAATATCTAACTATATACTTGTGTAATTAATTCAATTGAAAAGGTAGTAAATAATCATTTTAATAATTTTTATTTATAAAAAATTTTTGATATCAATATATTGAAATTACTTTTCTGTTTTGGTTTGGAATTTGATCTTATTTTATCTTTTAGAATAGTTATTCTGAGTAATAAATACTGTCTTATGCAAATTAAAAGTGCGAAATTTCCTCATTCAGATAATATAACAAGTTGGTTTGAGTGCGATATATTTTAGATTAAAAATAAATCCAATTGTATCTATAAATACGGGCGTACGAATTAAAATATGCTTATAGAAAGTTTATTTTGGTTGCTCCTACACATGTTAAGATGATAAAAATTTCTAAGTGTTGAGGTCTCTCCTTCGCATTTTTCAATTTTTTATTAGTAGTCTTCTGTCAGTTTATCAAGTAAATCATTTGATTAATTAATTAATAGTAAAAAACTTCGATATGCTAAATTTCCATTGAAAGTCTGATGTTATTTGATTTTGAATGTCGTCCACTTATAATTTAGTATTCCAACGTTGTAGATAGGTTGAGATTAATCTTCTGGAGATACTTTCAAATCTTAAAACTAATACTATTATAATAATCTCTTAAAAGTTGGATTGAAATTTATTTTTATAATTGAAATATTATCAAAATTGAATTTTGGTCTAAAAGCCAAAGTAACACAACACAACCTAGGCTAATATCAATTAGACAAACAAGAATTCCAACAATTTTTCATGCAAAAAGTCATAAATGCTATAGGCCATAAACATTCCCCCAAGATGTCGACACACTTAAGATAATCCTAAAATCATCGTTCGGTAATCCTTAGATTATCGACCAAGTTACTGAATTGATATCGGTGGTTATATTGTAATGGAAGACTGCTTGCAACAAACTAGCTATCAATAATACCAAATCTGATTGGTAATATATGTAACTCATCTTCAACAATTAACTAATAATGCAAATTGATTCTAAAATATTGTAAATTTACATGAAATTTGATAGACTTGTTTCTATGTGTACAATCTGATCATGAATTGATAGAAAGGTTTACTAAAAGCTCCAAAAATGGATAATAGCATAATATCTATATATATGTTGCTGTTGTTTGAGTTGAAATATTTGATGTATGTCAAATTACTAAAATTAAGATTATAATTGTAATTACCTATAAAATAACAACCCTTACAGGGTTTAACAAATGAAGTATTTATAAATCTATTCATTGATCTTTGACAATTTGGTAAATAATTTTTTCATGGTTGGTCTGTGTACTTTCACTTAAAATGTTTGAATAATTGAAATTTACTCATTTGAATTCTTACTAATTAATAATTTAATCAATATAGACATACTATTCTTCGTAACTTAGTATAGATTTATTCTCAGCACACTTTTCAATATATTTGACATAAATATCAAATTCATTGTCTAGACATTGCTCCATTAAAGGAGGAAGTCGAGAGCTTCGCTTCAAAAATATTATTAATAAGAAAATCTCAGCAACACAAATAAAGCGGAAAACAGAAAATCCAAATGTCTTACATGCTATTCCAATAAGACTGAACACTATGGTTATCAAGTATCCTACATTTACAGAGATCTTAACCAGCTGAAATCTTATCATCTATAGCACTTGGTTCATGTATCCATTTATCAACGATTTTATGATGAAAACAACTATAACAATTGTATTTTGATGCATCTCCAAATATAATATGCAAATCAGAACAATTTGCAATATTGAACAATAAAAGTGACAGCGATTTACTTATTTATTTAATGCTGCCAATTGACCAATTGTATAACATACAAAATACAATAACAGTATTAATGGACTATCATATACAAACATAGCAATACAACTATCAAATATATGTATAATATGTCCCAAGCCTATTTGTATTTCTATCATTATTACAGATCGTAAAGAATAATTTGCGTTAGAAATCACTCTATAGAACACCATTGATTTGATCCTGTAAATTTGATAAGTGAATTGAAGCAGTTAATTTATCCTCCAATTCAATTATCATATATTTTAATATAATTTCTAATCTAATAAAATATGAAAATAGGAGATATAATTATCATTGCTCAACTCAAATTACTCCCTGAATTTTACAAAGTAATTATCATAATTGTGGAATTCTTTATAAGAAATTCTTTGGTTTTTGAGAACGTAAAGAATTCAAAAGATGATCAGGCGTTCTTGAATTTATTGAAAAATTTTCATTGGGAAAATTAACATTAACCACTTAAACAGTAGGTATGGTCATTTTTTATAATGAATTAGTTCTCCTTGAATTTTCTTACTATTATTATTACTATTACCCAGTAGAATTCTATCGCCTGTCTTATTTAGTTTTAATATCTTCAACCTCAGTCCTGATCTAAGGGTTAAACCCTGTTGAATTAGATATCTGCTTCTTTTCATTATTGCCTGAAAATTATCTACTTTTAGGTAGAGCTTACTCTGAATTAAGCTATTCTGGATTTATTTATTCTTCACTTGTTTTTGTAGAAAAGCGTTTAAAACGAGGTTCTCTTTCTGTAGTGATGATATTTGGTTCATATCTAGTTGTTTTTGGAGTTTAAACAAATTTGTTATTTGCACTTGTTTAAATATTTGTGGCTTTGAAACTCTGTTGAGTACTTACTATTTGATCAGCAGAATGTTTAGGTTGAAATGGAGAAAATTGTTTTACTGTAGGTACTTTTGTTAGTTTAGGTTGTGAATTAGCCAGTGCAGACTCATTTTTATTCCTAACAAGAGTTGCTTATTGATTCTATACTTATTAATTTGCCATTCTAGTGATGCCCTTATGTGTACATGGTTTTAAGGGACTATTCTCCCTCTATTATTGCGTTAATACCTACTTTTGTGCATCAGATTTTGACCCAAAAGCTTAAATATTCGGATTTTTGTATGGAACTTTTTTTATTTCCTTTTATTAAAATGTTGTAGAATGGCCTAATGAATTCAATTGTGTATTGAAGGATTAAGCTGTTTACTTAACTTCAAAAAAAGAACTATTATTATTGAATGAGGATTGGGTTTGGGAATTAATCATTTGTTATAAAAATTATTATTATTATATATTGATAACAATAAAAAAATTCTTTCATAATTATTCTATTTAAGCTATAAAGTTAAATTAAATTAATACACACATTTAAATTAGATATATATATATAAACCACACAAAAATTCTGAATCATGATCCAAATTTAAGTATAAAATATTGAAATTGTAAAATCAATTAGTTCAAAATCTCTTAAATTGATTATATGTTCATTTGGGGGTTTGTTAATTTGATTTATAATTAAGTTAGTTGAGCAGCCATTCCTTTAATGAATTAATCCATACCAGCTACAGGTTAAATTTAAACTTATTAATTCTGAGTTAATGCTTATAAATCATTTCTTAATTTCAAAATATGTTCTTCAATCTTTTATAGTCTATCATCAGATGAAACATTTTATTATTATTAATATTATTAAGGCAATTGTTGATGTGTTTCAGCTAATTTGAGTCCTCTCTTGGCACCCTCATACTGTTTAGCCATTTGTTCAGTTTATAAAATCAATTAATCCAATTTTTATAGAGCATCTGATCCTGGCCGATTATTTTCAGCCAATTAAGCTATATTTTTGCTTAGAGTTTGAAGTTATTGGGTAGCATTGTCAATGAATGCATTAAAATTAATCATTTTAGTTTAGTCTATGAATTACATGTCATTAAAGTATTAAATTACCTTATCAAATATTTATATAACTCCTTAAGACATCTTAGGTAATTCATCTTAGTAAAGTTAACCAATTTGATCCTTTAGATAATCATTAGTTGTATTTTAAACTAATTGTGTACACTTATAATATAAATTAATATTTACTTCATTTTAACTTATTTATTGATTAGCCAACAATTTCAGATGACTGCCTATTCTATCATCGATTAATTATTCAAAATAGTTTTAATTAAAATTATCCATCAGAAAGTTTTCACATGTTTGTTGATATAACTCTAAATTTTAGTTAACTACGTTTTCCATTTGACCTTCTAATTAACATAAATCCTATTTAAATTGTAATTCTAATTTAAGTAATGCTTATTAATCATTTTATCCTTATTTATCTAGTTCCTTCTTTACCTAGGCTTCTATCAAATCTTTGATATCAAAAATGAATGTAATGTCTTCGATTAGATCTTTTTTGACATCGCTACTTATCATTTGGAGTTGCTGCTGTTGTTAACATTGTTAAACTTTTGGAATCAATTCATTCTCTATAATTTCATTCGCCTTGGCTACTGGATCAAATTGATTCTCACTGCTGTTATTGTAATTGGTAGTATTATTGCTATTGATTTCCCACTTTTATTACTAATTTAATTGTTGCACATCTTCCTCTTTTATATAAGGAGGAGGAATTAAGTGAGATTATTGAATAATACTTGAGCCTTGCTTTTTTGAAGTATTTTAATCGTAAAGTTAAAGTAAATCCTCTGGTAGAATAGCACCAAGGACAAGGTCACTATAAAACCAACATAATTCAATTTTATCTTTCTTCTCAGATTGCAATGCAAAAATATAGGGTTATTAATGATCTGTGAATTCTAATTCTTAATTTTTAAAATCTTTGAATTCTTATTGAAATTCAATGTATTCTTTTTCAGATTAACATTTATTTCCACCATTTTAGAACCTTTCTGCCTACTCAGGTGGTATTATGAATTGTATAAACAATGCTGCGGTTGAACTTTTCTTGACAAATTTTTTGATATGCTTAATCTTGCTCTATTCTCTTTTCTAAATCTAATAAGGATGATAGTTAATTTAATTACTTAAGATTGATTCAGTTGAGCTACATAAAGCTGCACTGTCATGTCTTGTGTCTAATAAAGGATAAAGAGAAAGTTTTGAGTGGAATCTATTTAGAAACCAAATAATTCTATATGCTATTTGCTTCAATGTTTTAAATATATAAAGTACCTTGAATTGAATTTAAATTTCACAGATTCATTCGGCAATAGACTTGATGTATGCAGATCTTCTTTGTCAAAAGTCCAAAAGATAATCCTTTTTTATGATGTGATAGTAAAAAGAGCTATTTAATTATTATGCTCTAATAATTAGAATTTCAAAGGTTCTGATTCTGTATATTTAAGATTGTGTTCATTAATGAGTTGCAATGACTTCGAATTGAGAACCTATAATTTTGAATCTTGGGTGAGTATGAAGATGTATTTTAAACATCTCGAAATTATCACCTACTTAGCCACTTGCTTGAGTTATTATTTAATAAATTTATTGTCTAATTGGATTAGATATATTTATGTATTATCAATTAAAATTGCTCCTATTTATTCTGAACAAAATAATTTAGGTGATTGTAATCCTTCTATTTTGAGTTCGTTATTCAAAGAAAATTTATATTGATAGTCAATTTTGTAAAACTATATATCCTACTTATTTTGGATGATTATCAAATAATATGACTGTGCAAAATATGCCAAAGCAAAATCTGATATCTCTTAATCTGTAGTCAGATAATATTTTTCCTCGCTATTAATTAAGGATACTAAGTAAAGACACTTTGAAGATTTTTTGCAAACAAAGAGATAATCCAAATTTTTGATTTCTAATGCATGATAATTGTCAATATCAGAGACATCAACGGTCTCCAAATCTATTATTGTGTTTTAATTAGATGCACATGTGTACCTATCTTTCAGATCAGAACTTACTTGTAATGATTAATGCTTGAGGACATATATATATGGATAAATAAATAATATTTAATATATTGTCAATAATATTAACTTTAAATATATTCGTAATACAAAGAAATAACAAAGTTATAGGATAGATTGATTATAACATAGTGACAACACATATATAGTAGTAATCAGATTAAAAACTTCTCTAACACTTGACTCTGAATCAGAAGCATTTCCATAATTTCAAATTGCTTTTTTTGTGCTATGATATAATTGTTTGAAATACCTTTGCTGATGTTCTGTTATTGCATATTAGATTTAGGTATTCCCTAAGGATTTATCATTTAATGCTAGGGTAGACTTTGAGACAAATATTCTTACCCAGCATTAAATAATAAATTGTCTGAAAAATTAGATATGGCATTTAGTTTAGCATTGAGAGCGTTTTCAGAATAGAATAATTCCTTTTAAAGTTGATTTAAGTCGATGGCGATAGACTCGGGGTTCAAATTATCTATTTTATCCACAAGACTTTTGTACTATTTGCCAAAGTACAGAGCATCTCCTAGTAAATGATTCTAGGATTAATTAATCTTATTACAATAATAGCTTAATTTTCATTTAATTCATGTTTTAGATGATTAAGTTCTTTCTCCTTATTTTATTAAATTTAATTGCATTAGGCTTAATAATAAGCGAATGTCTCTTGTTTTTAATTCTCAAATTGTTGTTAACATAACTCAAGTGTATTCTAATTAAATGATATTATACTTAGAAATGTTCCAAACTCGATTTCAATTAAGCATTTTCATCTTCGTATTCACGAAATAGAGTATTGTATTATTCCTTTTCTTCTTGATGGATTATATCATTCTAATTTAAAGTCTCCAAAGATTAGGATAGGTTTTCAATCTAAATAGCGATTAATTGAAAATTTTACTTCTTCATCTTTTAATTTCAGCTCATGCTTTATAGACGTAATTTACCCATTTAGATCTTAAAGTTACGTCTAATATTATTAATTTGTATTCTGTAATTTAGAGATTTGTTCATTTAATTTGCTTATAAGTTACTTTTTCTATTCCAATTCGTCCATCTAAAACTAAATGATCTTTTAGGAGCCAGATCCATTATTAGGCTATTATGCCGACTTAAATTTATCACTGCTAATGTAGGAGTCTTTATTGCTCTTTTTATTTGAAATGGGGGTTTTGCAGGTCTCGAAATTGCAGCTACTAATTCGATGATGATGTGATTTATTAAAAGACTTTTGTGTACTGTTGGGATCAGGTTTGAACTTGTTTTATATTTTGGCTAATTGTTTATTCAACACATCTATTTGTGATCCTGAGAATGATTTAGATTTCACTTCTTCTATGATTTCAGACACTATATTAACGATATCTTTAACCATAGATGAGAATTAAGATGTTTAATCATGACTATTTTCTTATCTCTCAAGTTTAGGTCGTTAATTTAGTTCTTGTATTAAGAGAAAGATCATATACTTCAGTAAGATCAGATCTGTACTTCTATAAAAGTCATAACACGTTTGTGCATTATCTAAACAGAAAAGCTTCATTTTAGCAATTATGGCTGCACACGTATTATGATCATTCTCTTTAGCATATTTCAATAATTTGACCTTCTTCTCAATTTATACTAACACAGGGAAAGTTGATGTGGAAATGCTTGAAATTTAGGAATATTTTTGGAGATGGATGTCAAACACATTCTCATTTTGAGTAAATGAAGAGCACGAAGCCTTATCACTTGGCTTAAGCAGTCTTTCTGTCCATTGTTCAACATCCAATTATTTAACTTGCAAATAAGGCATAGGGGATGATTTCTCAAGTAATTAGTTGAATTCTCTACAGGCAAACTGTTTTGGTTACAAAGGAGAGACTGAATGTTCACTTATTTTGTTGTTGCTCGAGTATAGATTTTAGAGTTTCTGAAGCAGTTGACTGCTTGATGATGAGTTCATTTATAATTAACAGATATTTATACTAGGTTTAGTAAAACTTAAAATTTAATAAAAACAACAAAAATGCTTTTTAGAATCTAACTACTGCTTTGAAAAGAATTGATGCATCATTATTAATACGACCTATAATATGGGTCAATCATTGTCTTCAAATAATTTAATTATATTGCAAAAATTCTAATTCTCTCTTAATCGTATATGCAACAGCCGATAAAGCACAAGCACTTTCGGTTCCTAGATTTGAAAATGATTGAGAATGAACTCTTTATAACTGATAATAAATGTCGTTAAACAAATATTCGATATTACTGAATGTTTATTATCTAACTTCTCTTTTCAATATTTTGATAGAGTACTTTAAGCAGATGTAACTTAGATGTTGTTTTATAAACATAAAATATTAAACACAATACTCAATATAGTTTCATTCTTTGATTTATGTTTCTTGAGTTTCTTACTCTGGTTCTTTCTCCTCCTCTTCTACTACTACTTATCTTTGTTCATCTAAACTATGTTTATATGCTTAAATTGTTTTTTAGTATTAAGACTTTAGTATTGTAAAGAGATTCAACTACTTCAAAGCTGTAAATAAAAGAGTTTAGAATTCTTCATACTTTAAAGTTTCGATCATCTCTTTGAGTTGTGTTAATTATTCTATTATGTATTGCAATAAATCTTGGTTGTTGTATTTCTCCCTTAGAGTATTAAGTTACGACTTTAATACCTTCATGGAGGTTGTATAAAGACTGGAAATGGGTTATACGACGATTACTTTATATGTGAATAGGGTGGCATTCAAATGTTATTTAAAGTTGAGAGTAACAAAGATCTTCAATTGTTGAACCTTTTATCCTCCAGCGGTGTGAATCTCATTCTTCAACAATGTGAAGAGTCCTTGAGTCAATTCTGTAAGGTTATAAGCCAATTGAACAGCCCTTTGATTGTAAGTTTACTCTGAATTTGTGGCCTTAGACTCCTTCAAAATAGCCTTTTACATTCTGACCACATTGCCTTCAATTGAATTAAAGACTCTATTAGCTACATTGTCACAAGTGTTAAGCACGAACTAAGTCGCGCCATTGTTCTTGGCCAAATCGACTCCTTGATCCAAAGCCTTCTTTGAGTTCTCTCTTAATTAATCAGTAAGTTCCTTTCCTTTCTATTTGAGTTTCTGTCCTTGTTCTGCTATGTTGAAAGTCTTCTCATACGATTGAACTATCTAGACACTTCTATTTATGTTGTCATCCACTGTGTCTGTCACTTTTTAAATGAAGGGTTGACTTACTGAGTCTGCATAGACAACGATATTCTCTACAAATTTAGGTGCTCTATTAATTATAAGTTTAAAACTTACTTCAATGGGAGTTTTTGGTAATTTGTGGTGATCAAGGCCTTAGTTCTTGTTAAGATGCTTCCAATGTATTTCTATTATTCTGACATGAAATTTAAATTAATGATTAAGTGATCAAGGAACAGAGAGCATATAAGAACTCATTTGATTATGATGTAAAATCACTATTTAATACGCATTTGACTCTAAATAATTTCTGATTTACAGTTTGCAATGTAATATAATTAAATTTAATGACGGTATAATTAATGGAAAAACCTTATATTAATAATTACGACATATGTCTGCTTTTACACATCAATTCCAACGTCTTATCATTTCGACATCATGCATAAATTCCTAAAAAACCAAAGAATTGCTCTGTCTCACACATCATATAACTTAATTGAAAAAAGTTGAGCAAATCATTTTTAAGCCTTGTTAAAGATTCCTTCTTATAATGTATTATATATTTGAAAAATTAACAAACAGTATTCATAATTATCACAAGTTCCAATCGAGATAGAGACATATTGCTTACTATTCAAATGAAAACATCTCCATTTCTAATAAGGTTTGTCCTCTTAAGCAACTCAATTTGTCAACTGATATATTGTATAAACAAATTTTACATAACTTCTAGTTATGCGATTAAAGAGAATTCAATATATAGTATATTAAAATAAATGCACTTTAAATCAGTAGTTACTTTGAAGAGTCAATTTAGCTTATGTTATATCCTAAATGAATTTCAATAGATTCCTAAACTTCCTAAATTAAAATAATTACTATATTTTACACTTACCATTTAAGAATCTTTAATTGTTTCTTATTCTTTGATCAACTCAACTTAACTCAAGTCTGCAATTAATAATCTTTATTTCATTCTTAGTGAAGTAATTAAATTATAAATTTGAATTTCATTTCCAAATATACTAATTTTATATGCTGTCTCCGCATATAAATTTGATTATTGTAACAGCAATCCTGTGTCAAATGGTTGATTAGAAAAAAATATTAATTTATATTTTAATAATGTTGTGGGAAGAATGTTGATGTGATTTAATCAGTTAGATTTTAATTATGATAAGTGATAGTGACTTGTAAATTATTAATGCAATAAAACTGCTTAACTTAGTATTTCAGATCCAATAAGTTTGAGAAAATGGTCCAGTAGATTAATATAGAATTAGTTTTAAACACTTACAATATTGATTCATCGTGTTTTCTATCTTGTTTCATTTAGAATAGAATTTTAAACATTTGAAAATCTTTGGAGTAGTCTTGAAATTAAGAACACAATAAGAATGAATGGTAATTATATGAAACATATATTCAAATTAAATAATAAAATGAACATACTATTGTTATTATATTAATTAAGATAAATACAAACTCTTAGTTTAAATTAGATAAATGCTTAATTTAATACGCATTATACAATTTACTACATCATTAAATATAAATTTAATAAAATGAATTTTACTCCAATATAGAGATTAATTTGAATTTAAGTGAGATACCATAAGATTAAAATCAACTAGTAGGGCTAAACATATTACTTTTTGTTGAGGATAGGGAAGGTTGTCTAAAAAGTATAAAATAAAGATTAACAGTAAATTTTATTCTTGGGAGATGTTAGAATTTTACAAATTTTCTTTAATTTATTTAATCGAAATCGATATTCATTTTGATATAACTAAATGAGTACTTTGACTTAGTTAATGGCAGTTAGAAGTGAAAAATTGCTCAAGACTTAAGGAGATTCGGATAGTGTTATTCCTGATTCAGATTAAGAAGAAAATTTGCGGAGTCCTTTTCAAAAAGGAACACCAAAGTCAGCAATGAAGCCTCCAAAACGTTTGAGGTTTAGCGGAATGAATTAAGTTTGCTACTACTAAAAAGGATCAAAAAGAGATTTGTCTCCCTCTCCAACTAGAAATACATCGATATCCACTCATTCAATACTCAAAAATAAGGATAGCCCAATTTTATTCAGAGAATATAAATGATATATAATATTTATGTTAACTATGTTTTTCCTAAATTATCCCTATATACTTGACTTTATGCAAAGGAGTTCAATCTAAAAAAAGGATTAATAGATTTATGTAAATATGCAAACCGACTTTATAAAAACAAAAGAAATCAAATAAAGTGGAATAAAGAATAACAAATACAAAATAACAAACACAGCATAGTTAACTATTTCTCATCATGACATAGATTTTTTAACAAGCTTTCTATTATTGGAAATATGAGATTGATCTGGCTTTTGAAAATTCTCATCCTCTTCACTCTAGTGGAATAATTGTTAATGATACCATTTAAGAATTCTTTAATTAAAGAAATAGGGAAGAGGTTTGAAGTTCTTAACGAAAAGAGTTCTAAGCTATAAGTAGTATGTACCTATCTCATGGCTAAAATACATGATCCCAATTAAACTGGAGTTAAGCATTCTTTAAGTTACTCCCACATTTAATCGACTTTATTAGCTTCACTTTGAATTGATTTTAATTGATCCTTAATTTTTTGAATTGAACTATAATTTTAGATTGATATTACTCTGATATATTATTTCTAACGCTTTAAAGCTTTGATTTCATTCTTTTAACCTTTAAAATTTGTTCTGGTTAAATCTGTGTCTTTTTAAAAGTCTCTTTCATCCAGTCAGTATAATCACTAATTCATTACTATAAAAAGTACTCTGGTTATTAAGCGAAGAAGTCCTTATCTTTCTCTAAAGAGTAAATCAAATATTTGGTTTGAATTGGCAAGCATACTTCAACCATGGAATCAAAATATTGTCTAGCAGCATCATTGCGTTCCTGACTATTTGAATTGGTTCTATATCTTAAAGCATCTAAAACCATTGCAATTTCAAAATTATCCTTATTTTTAAGCAAACAAGTTTCTAATTTATCAAATAATTATTATTGTTAATCTAAGAAAGTTTAAAACTAGACTCATTAATGAAATATACCTTTTCCTGAGTTTTATTGCAAACCTCTGTGTACTTTGATTGATTACGATTAGATTCCTTTAATCTATCGACTTCGTCTTGCAATTCCTTGACTTTTGTTTCCAAGAGTTCATAATATATTTTCTTTCTGGCTCTTGAATTTCGAGCCGATTCTCTATTTTTTGCTAATTTTTATTAGACTGGATCCATATTGCCATCAGGACTCATTTAGCTTGATTACATTTCATTTGATGACATATCATATTGATCTCTGGGAATGATTGGTGATTTTCTCTATAATTTTTATTGACTCTTCCTAATTGAATAGAATTTCTAATTATTACGATAATCTTGGAGATGATTTTGTAGCTAAATCAATTTTTTTCTATGTTTGTTCAACCAATTGTGTGATTTTATTTGTATAAATACTTTTGGCTTAATTAACATTAAAGAGATTTTTGTTTTCTTATATAATATTTTGATTTAAAAGCTACTTTATTTCTGGCTTGAATTTAGAATTTATTTATTCTCCAGATTCTAAAAAATAGCTTTCTTTTTAAATTACCTATTTTTATATTAAATTCCTAAGAAGAAGGTTCGCTATTCCTCATTGCACTATCTTATAATGGGCTTTTGTGTTCTTTTGGATCCTCTAGTATTTTGACTTGTATATTCAGTCTGTCTATTCCAATTTCTTCGAATTGCATTTCAAAATCCCCACTACTCCTAAAAAAGCCTGCCTTCTGAATTTAAGGTTCTTAGTATTCATAAAGTTAAATTGGAACAGCTCCCTCTTCCAAGCCCACCGAAGAACGATATTATTCAGATTGTACTAGAAACCCAGAATTATGAGCAAAACTTCCTCCTCCATTAGGTCCAAAGCTTTAATTGTCTTATTGCAATCTGCCGAAGCTTGCGCCTAAACTTATTGATTAATAAAATGAAAGTACACATCTTATAGACTGCCTATGCCACTCTAATTTTACTAAGAAATCTCACTTCTATTAGGTACAAAAAAATCACTCATAATCAATTATATATTTTTATTAAATGATAAAAATCTAAAGATCTAGAACACTTTACACTTTAATTGATAGCCAATCCAATTACTAACTTTCAAATATAAGGGTCTAACAACAATTACCACAATTTATGAATTTAATAAACTTAGAAAATTATTCTTCCAATAAACAATCACGCCAAAAGACTTAAATAGTCATAATTTATAAATCAATTAAAGGAGAATTCAACAATAAAAATATATCAAAAAAATTAAATCAAACAGTCTATACGCAATCCATAACCGTTCTCATTTCAACTCCAAATCCTGCCTTAAATTCTCAGATACTCGGCGGGTAAAGAGTATAAAAAAGTGATTTTTTGAAACTACAAACTAAAATGAATAAAGTAACATCTAATTCAGAATAGCGTTAATAGGAGTTAAGATCAAATCATAAATTCAATAGGGAGTCAGGATAAGATACAATACCCTGAGTTATCTGATATAGTAAAATAAAATTTGTACTTTAATATTGATATTTTAGAAGAGGTACTGGAAAATTCGGTTGGGAATGATACTGGTCATATAGATTAAGTCGATGTTGTTATCTAGGTTATTCATGAGAATAAGTCATGGCAAGAGAATCGATTAACATAAGGCCTCACCAAAATTTTTATGTAAAGTAAGTTATATAAGACATCTAGTTGTATAAGAGATGAGCATTCTATTTTCAGGAAGGATAGAACCTTAAAGAATTGAGTTTTTATTATAATTAATACTAGTTATAATCCGTTTTTATAATAATTATAATAATGAGAGTCAGCATATTGCTATTAGCGATTTTAATGGTGGGAACATTAGCCTAGGATAATGAGGTTGTTATCTAATTACTGGGCGAATTAAGACAAGAGGCAGTTGAGCAATTACAACTTTTGAATGCTAGATTCTAACCAATCAAGTAAGCCAAATTAGATTAAATTGCAGTGATTTAATAAGCAATTTCAGATCAGAATGGAGAGTGCTACAACAGATAGCAAGATGTAATAAGCATATGATAAATTTGATTAGGTTGAAGCTAAGCAAACCGAAATTGATTTGGCTAATGAGTATAAGAATTGGATGAAAGCAAGATAAGAAAGCAATAACAATCGTATTGGAGTTCTGTCCACAAATGTGTGTGAGAAGAATAACAATTCTTTGAATAAAGTGAAGAATGGAAGAGTGTTATTGAGATTGATCGCTTACTTAAGAGCTACATTGTAGGCTTAATTGTCAACTTCATTTGCAGAAGTCAAAGAGAACACCATCTCCGAGATATCTCACATTGTCACTGCTTATAAGGAATATAGAAAGATGAATATGTTATAGACAAAACAAGAGGAATTAGAATTGAATGGCACAATTGAATAATTGATCGAAATGTTAAACCAGATGGAGAGGGAAATCTAGGACGATATTGCTAATGGATAAAATGGTTAAGTGCAAATCGGAGTCACCTTCTCAGAATTCAAGGTCAGAATCGAAAAAGAGAATGACATCTTCAATAGATAAATTGAAGTCCAAGATGATTTAATTACAGTACTTAGAGTATTTGATATTTCTAGCATTTCCAAAATCAATTGACAACCTTATATGGAAGAGTCGACAAATGTTAATCTAGATTGAAAGAAATAGAATATACCTTATTGGTTGCCTAGGAAGATTTGAAATATGACTAAGAATGGAATGATGAGGACAGATTAAGATTGGAAGAAGAAATTGAATTATTCGACTGGTTAATTAAACACTATTAAGCTGGTAATTTGGATGAAGCTGATGAAAGTGAACGTAGAAGTATTGCTAACGATAATGGATCAACTGACGGATCTGCAAATGGGGAATCAGTAAAACATGATATAAATCATTTAGGGTTTAAATGGAGATGGCAGAGATGGAGTTATTGATTACACACCATTGAAAGAAGCTTCAAATGCCTGGGGATCTGAAGAAGAAGGTGATAATCATGAAAATGAAAATGATCATCATGAAGGAAATGATGCTGAAAAAGAGGATAGAGGAGATGTAATTGATTACACACCTTATGAAGAAAAAGATGTTGATTGGGATTCCTTATTGTAGAAAAAATAAAATAAGAATCATCATTAATCAAAGAAACATCGTACTCATAAGTCCAAAAAATGATTTATTAATCAAATCATAGCTTATTTCATATAAAATGTTGATCCCTCCAAAATCATTAACAGTTCCGGTATAGTCTAGTGGTTAGGATATCAGGTTCTCACCCTGGGGACCCGGGTTCAATCCCCGGTATCGGAATAATTTTTTATTTTTCGCATTATAATTGATTTATTTATCTTCCTTTTTATGCAAACATTATTTAATTGAATACTAGTTAAGATAAGAGTATATAATAAAGGGTCAAATTACTCTTAACTACTGATGGTACTCGCTTGCATTGATTTCAGATGAATTAAATAGATGAAATGGATTAATAATTGAAAGTGAGATGTCATTAGTTTTTAAATGATTAGTAATGGGTTATTGAAGGGAGATTGTGTATTCAACAAATAAATCGTGTTGCTATCTGGTTTTTAAAGGAGAATAATAAAAAGATAGCAATTTAACTAAAGATTGTACTATTAAGATTTTGATTGGATAAATTAGAAATGATAATTTAAATATTTAATTTCATAATTCAAATGCAAACAAGAATGAGAATAAATCATTATCTAAATTTGTATAAAATTAAATATTATACAAATCACGCAATTTAAATTTTGAATTTTTCTAATAAAAAGAGAAGATAATCCTTCACTATTAATTAAGAAAAGAAGATGAGTGTTTATATAAATAAATTATTATTTCAAAACATATCAAAGATTAATTCATTTCAAATCATATAATTTTTAAACTAATTAAAGAATTTGTTGATCTAAATTGCTCTTCTCTTATTATAAACATTTTTAACATCGAACACAGTCTTTACAGATGATGGAGTCATTTGAATAGCTTAAGGCCTTTAATAAAATTAAGAATAACTATTAGTTGTTTTGTTTTAACTAAAATGGGTATTTATATAATTTACATGTTCATCATCTAATTCGCAAAGTGTAGGTAATATATAAGTATCCAATAATTGTCTATAATTTTAAGTATCTTTTTCAATTTCTTATAGTCTTAATTTTTGCATCTACTAGTCCTATTCCTCAGGGAATTGGGTGTTCGTTCGAATCATTTCATGCTTCTTAATAAAAATATCAATTGGTGTAATCAAGGAGTCAAAATCGAAAATGTTATGGTTCTTCAACTTATACTTTTTGATGATGATCATGCAACCATAAGCTTCTCGTTCCTATTTGAGCAGACCAGGCAAGGACTTCATGTCTTGCAAGACTCCTTACTTCCATATTAGATATCTTTGATCGATCTATTAATTAAATTGGACAGCAAATTAATAGGAATATAGGAATGTATTTTCAATTGTTTATAATTATTGCAAATTTAACTTTTGATTGAAATGTTGTAAGATCTCTATACTTATTTAGATCATTAAAAGTTAAGAAGTGAATTAAATGAAACAATCTTCTATCATATTCCTCATTCTACTTGAAGTCAAGGATTGATTGGCAAAACTTGATAGTTTAGTAGGTGTGGTTAATCGAATCATCCTATCAATGAATTAAACAATTTATTCCCATTCTTCTTCATTAAACATCATTCCAATTTTAAGTGTCATATTCTTAACTGAAAGAATGCTATATTTAGCCAATTTGAGATTTTAATTTTGAATACAATTTTCAAATAGTTTTAAAAACTCAGATAGCAACCCTCTTAATTTCTAAAAGTACCGCTTCATTAAGTTGATGATTAAAGAGAAACCCTTTTTACACGAATCCTTAAACCAATCATTGTTGGCGTTGGCCACTATATGATTTTATTGGAAAGTAAACTGAATTTCATCAAAAATAGGTCTTAGTACAGTACTGAAGACCATTTTCCAAAATTCTGCACTAAAGGCATATCCGAATTGCTATAAGGATTCAAACAAGGCTTCCATTGACTTTGCCTATATTTTGTTTCTCTTATCTCCTGCTAGTCCTGAGAGTACTCCAAGTAGGGGAATCCATATCTTTTCAAGTTAAACTGCTGTGGATGCATTACGAACAGTAGCTTCTGGTTCTTCAAATTCGTTCCAGTTGAGTTTGGGTGTTATCTATGCTTGTTTTGATAGATATCCTAAACATTTGATAGTAAAATCAATGGATGCCAACGCCATGTCTTCTTGATTCTTGCCTGCTAAAACCTTTAGTGTCTGAATGAGATCGATAAACACATCTTACAATAGATCTAGATTATGTTCCATGATTTAGGAGAGTATCTGGTAGGCAATTTTACAAATCTTGTCATTGTCCTCTTTCAAACCTAATGCTATTAAACCGAAGATCATTCTCCATCCAGATCTGATGTTATGTTTATGATTTAAGACAATGTGATTGATACAAGAAAGTATGAATTCTTTGACCTCTAAATTAGACTATAAAAATATAGTTTCAAAGGGTTTTAAGACATCTCTTTAGAATTAAAAATCATATAATTCATCCTTCTAAAGAAATTTAATGCTTAACTATTTTAGTGAGTCTACTGTGAACATTGCAACTTTCTTTTCCTTCACTGCCACTTCGTTAATATGATCCTTCACTATATTCCACATTTTAGTCCATACAAAACTTACCCTCTTCATATTGTAATCACAAACTTCCACTAACTTTTACAGACAAAAGAGACGTGGATGAGTTTGATATATTTCTTGTTTGGACATAAAACATAGGGCATTAATAAATTCCTGAATTGCTTCATCGTCTAATTGTTTCGATTACACAAAAATCTTATCAATTAGATCTGATTCCAATAATAATTCAGGCAAAATGGCAATGGTTTATCCATCAACATTATCCTTGGATTGCTATATCATTCTCATCTCATCAAGTCTGCTAATCATTTTCAAAATACTTTTCCATCCGTTCTCCCTTAGTCCATTTCCAATTAAGGGAACGGTTTACAAGATTTATTTAATCAAATTGATATGTTTATTTGATATCTAACCTTAATTAAGTCTGGTAGCCTTTATTAAAGTGTTCATGTAATCCTGCAGAGGAATTGAAAAAAAAGAACATAACTTAATAAACAAGACTAACCCTTGAATGCATTGATTTGAGGCTTACTCCATTTAATCATTGTTGAATACGAATAAGAACATTTCAAAGGAAGGCTTGCCTATGCATTCCAAAAATGGTTTGATTAAATAGGCCATATCCTAATTAATAATCTAATAAAGAGTCTCATGTGAATCTTGTTTGGTTTTAATTAATTCACTTCCTTATTTAAGTAGAGCTTCCTTTTCCCTCTAAAATAAATCCTATTTCTTTCTTATACTTTGAGTTAGAGATTCTTTCATGAACACACGGCTTTTCTCCTTTTCTCTTACAGCCAAGGGCTATTTCAGAATGGAATTGTAAGTTTGAGTCAAGTAATCCTATGGTAGATCATCGCCGTCGTTGATAGATCTTGCCAATTTTTGAAAATCACTCAACTTCATCTTTTCTGCAACTGAGGGATTATGCAAATCAGTTTGTAACATGACCAATAGATAACAGTAGGTGTAAATGCTGCCACTGGATTTGAAGGCTGAATTTGGGTTTTCTTTGTAATATCTATCTGAGAATTTTTAGACTACTCTATCTACTTACATGGCTTCTCCTGGTAGTGTAAATTAGTCTAGGTAATACCTTAAGGCTTATTCAACGGTGAGGTCCTTGAATTTCAAGAGATCAGTGAATTCACTTAAGACTTTGATGTTTAATTGTTGATGTCCTCCTAGGAAGGCTCCGATGGCATCTTTGCTTACTTGTTGCTAATTTTCTCTGAAGAACTTAGCGATTTCTTTTGCACTAATTTAATTAAATAAAATTACTCATTCTAAATGATCTAGGCATCTAGGAGGTATTTGATTCCTTTATCAGGGTTCTTCTTGAAGAGCTAACATCCTTTCATGATTTCCTATTTCAGTTATCTCTGTATTTCGATTGGATTGATGTACATCACAGTCGTATTGTCGTTGAGATTGGCATTTTGATCTTCCATTGACGGCGATCCAATTTCTTCAGAGGGAGTGATGATAAATTTGTCAAACACTTTATTTAAACCATCCATAACATAGGATAGAGCCTTGATGGCCAAGTGTTTTAAAAGAATTTCTTATTGAGTTTGAATTTGGTATTCTGCTTTTTGATATATGGAGATCACGATAATCTCATAGAAGGTATTAATGATTTTGGACATCAAACACTCATGCTTGGTATGACAGTCGTAATTGATATAAAATTCCAATCCAGTCTTTGGTCTTTCCAAAATACTGCATAAACTCTCAAGTGCAGTTTGCTTGTGTAATACATTTGAATTAGCACTTAAAAGTATGTTTAAATAGATTTAATTGATGAAGATGGCCATTTCGTATTTAATGCTTTTTCTCATGATGTTGACTAATCGTTAAAATATCCTGAAACTAAACTGATACAAGGTTTTCTCGGTTTCTAAACAATACTTTAATAGTTGATTGCACAATCTTTCTTTGGTTGTTTTGATGAACTTTTCATTTTTACTCAAGACAAAGTCAGGAGTTTCAAGAATATACAAGAGACACTCAAGAATGATCTGTTAGTTTTTAGCTTATTCTAAGGTTGTTTTGTTAAGTAATAGATTGCATAAGCTATCATACAATTGTAATGCACAATCAAGGTTTTCTTCGAATTACTTCACAGCTCCACTGTAAGTACTTTAAGCTTGTTCTACATATTCTTGGTGTTGACGCTTGCAAATGAAAGAGCAAATAGGCACTCTATGATCTTTGCAATAGAGATTGGCAGATTTTCTACACATCACACAATAACCAAAGTAGCCTGCAGGTTGTTTTTTTTCGTTTAAGATGTTGGATTGAGGAGAGAAATCCAATGAAGTCTTATTCAAACATACCATATCGACCAGTTGGAGCATGACCAATTGGGTTAATTTTTAGACTGAATCTTCTTTGATAGACATTCTACGTTTGTTTCTTTAAATTGTGAAAACCTAATAAATTATGATGAATGAAAGTACTTCTCCTTCCACAGCTTAGAATGTGTAATTGATAATCTGATAGAGCATATTCTTGGTATTTCTATCGACGTTCTGTGTTCTAGAACCTATGCTTAAATTATAGTATACGAGTGTATGAGAAGATTATCGTCCTCACAATTCGGGTGAGGTTTTGTGATGTTACATAGCAATAGGGATTCAGAACGAATGCAACCAACAACTTTAGACCTTGGATTATGATCTCATCCTTATCAAATAGACAGGATGTTACTGAATTGATTAGGACATCCATGATTGTCTAAGTGATTATAAATGTAATGTCATACTCTTTTTTCGCCTTTGTTATAACTGGAATCATTGAAGAGTTCTGAAAATTCATCAGTATAGAATTCTTGTGAAGTGTCCTCTATTCTGCCATCGATAAAACCATTTGAAACCAATCTCTATTTGGATCAATCATTAATTCATTACAAATAAGGTGGACAAGGCCAATTAAGTGAGTTTTGGTTATCTCATATTGATCGTCAATCTGAAAACCACATTGTGCTTACCCAATTTCGGCAGACGTTCACATTTCACAAGATCTTAGTTTCTTAACTCCATACATACCAATCATTTTGTTCAAAAAGTCTTTGAAGGAAGGATACTGTTTGGGAATAGTCTTCCTCACTTTCTCCATATAGTCCAACAATATTTCCTGATACTTTGGCAACACATATTGTCTATTCATTAATAAATAAATTATTGGAAATATTGTTATCAATAGAACCAAAATATCAATTAGTTTAAATAAACACACTGTAGATAATTTAATATCAAACAACCTTATTATTTTAAACTATATAAATACACAAAAATTTATAGTTATCTTTTAAACTTTTTATATAACATCAATCAACAAAATAATTTAGCTAATTTCCACACTTCTATTCCCATATTGTAAATGCCATGATGGGGGGATAGAAACTATTTAGGAAATGGTTTATTGAGAATGCCATAGTGTATGTAGTTGATTTAAATAGTAATTTTATATATAATAAATATATGCGAGGTTCAGAAAGATTATTATATATGGGCAATTTCCATTGTTTGTGTGCAGGAGTGAATGAAAATGAATCCTTGTGGTAGATGAAACGCATCATTGTGACAGACACATACATCTACTATTTCCCATACACGAATTACACCATAAAAACACCAAAGATCAATGAGGATTGGACCAATTATAAGGATTTGCCATCCACCATACCGCAGATATAGGAGAGAATGCAATATATTAAGCAGAACAAACTAGATCCGGACTCTGTTACAGCGCCTCCCCTTTAAGTGCAATAGGTTTCAGATAAATAAGTGTTCATGATCCCGATCGAGTAGTTGGTTAATTATTTGTCGAAGGATGGATACAACACCAGCATATCATCAATTTAGGGATAAGCTATATGTTTGATCAATAAACTGAGCAAGCAAGTGTAATATTTGATAGCGTAAAATTAAGCGGATAATTTAAAATTCTTTAGATCCATAATAGTTGGGAATGCATTTCAAAAGTACTACACTGATAGAAATTCTAAGAAGATTCAACTGAATCAGAATGTAATCACATGGCTACAGGATAGTGTTACTGAGGTAATTGCTAAGTTGGATTGCAACAATGAAAACCTGATTTCGACATATCAAATATTGTGTGAGTGCAACAATCTAGTGAATGGCCTAATTTTCAGATTGAATTTGAATGAACACCTGAAATCACTGGAATTGCTGTTGGAATCTATTAAGCCAGATTAGATCATTAATTTAACCCTCAAAAATTGTAATCTTAAGTCAATCATGATCTAGGAAATTGCACCAATCCTTAAGAAACGACCTTATCTCTAGCAATTAGACTTCAGCCAAAACGCAGTGGATGACAGAGGCATCGATTCAATTGCGATGCTCTTTGAAAAGTGCTTAGATATCAATTACATCAATCTGTCTGCCAATGTCTTACAAGGTAAGGAATAGTACTTAGAGATCTTCCTACTCAAAGCAGGAGCCATTCTAAATAAGGTCTCTATCGATTTAAGCTAAAATTAATTGAATGACTCCAGCATCCCCATCATTGAGAATAGAATTATAAAAGATGATAATTGTTAGATTGTGAACATCAATCTTAGTTACAATCGATATTCCAAAGATGGTCAAATGTCTTTGTTTAATTTATTCTCTAAAAAGGCAAAGCCACATCTTGTATATAAAATATATCCCTTGCCCTACACCTAACATGTGGTAGAGTAACTGTTCAATCTAAAGAAGAACCATCATTAAGAAATCATTTTCGAAGAATCTCAGGAATTATAGGGATCCCAAGCCAGGAGAGGTCACTCTATTTTGAAATAGCCATAACAACACATTTAACATCATCCAACATTGTATTAAAAACAAACAATTCAATTCAATTTCCCACCCCAATTGCCTTAGAGACACTAAATCACTTTCCTTAAAAAACAAACGAAAAAGCAACTCCCCTCAAATGCTAAAGTATTGTAAGAGATAAGAAATAAGGAGGAATAGATCCTGTAAGTTTTACAATTAAATAATAATGATCCTCCAGTGGAAGAAATCTATCAGATCACTGAGGAAATTAAGACATTTTAATATAACATCTCGCACACAATAGTAAATCAATTATTACAGATGATTTGGAGTAAGCTCAATGATGCAATCCTATTTAGAGACAATTACTCAATTAGTTTCTTGACCTTCTCTTCATTTAATTTAGGAATGGACATTACCATATTCAAAGAAAAATATGTGAAATTGTCAAGGAAATTGCAATTGATTGAAAATAGAATCAACAAACTGCTTAACTTTCAGGTTGAAGAGAGTAAGATCAATAAAGAACTTGATGATTTGATAGCATTATGTCATAGACTGGATATTAGGGGGACTCCAATTGATTTCTTGTTGCAATTGAAATTAGAAAGAGAAACCATAATAAGACGATTAGTGTACTAAGATTATGTATGGTAATTTGAATACTATGATGATCTATTAAACGATTCAACTTAATTTATTTTTAGAGATAAGGAATATGCATCGAAATAATTACAGCAACAATTACCAGTTGCACCCACTCTCCTTTTACATCCCCTCAACACAAGTTACTACGATTTGACTCAAATTTCAATACAGGAATATGAATAATATCTGGAGACTCTGACAAAAATTATCATATATCAGAACTCATATTAGGATAAGACTCTTATCAATACATACAACATATTGGATTTTGATAAAGTGGAGAATGAAAAGATATTGTACTTTGCCAGACTGGGTTAAAGGAGAGCGAAGTATATAGTATACAATCATTTTGAAAATTTCAATTAAAATATCTGGAATGAGAATTCAGAAGAACACTAGCTCAATTTGGTTCGAGTGGTTGTGAACTACTATTCTGCTCAATATCGTAAATAGCAATTAAGGTACTATTTAGAGAAGATGTCTCACAATTACACTGAAATGAAGTTAGATGAAATAATCGAAGATATTGATGTAAAACAACTAAATTGTGAACACAGATATTAAATCTCTGACTTAAAGATAAAACATCTAAGAATTACTTTACCTGAACCCAGCAATCGAGAATTCATTTAATCAAAACATATTTTTGAATATCCTTATCTAAATCGCATTCAGCAATTAGATATTGAGGATCCTATCTATGTGTTTGCATAAAGTGAATTAATCAAATAGTTAAAGCACATTGTCTCTTAGGTTGTGATTATGGGAAGTGAGAATTACGATAACAATTCTGTACTAAATTCAGTTCATCTTGTTATTGATATTTGCAGTAATTCTCCTTGTCCATGTTTGTTGGCTGACGACCTCTACATATTCCTTATTATGACATAATTGAAAGTAAAGGAAACTAGTTTTTCGAAATTGTTCTCATTGTTTTTGCATTATCTGAGTCCTTCGAGAACCTTAATGTAACCACTATACGATTGGTTAATAAGTACCTACCAAGAGTTAAAATTTCATCAGTTGATGACTGCGTGGATAAACAATGCTCCTATGATCTATTGGTTACCTTCAATATAGGAAATCAATTTCAGATTCACTAAGCCTAAGATTATGATACACTATCTACATTCGAAGATACTCTAAGTTGAATTCGATGGGTATGCAACTGTTTCAGAGGTTATGAATCAAATATATGAGGAAGTATCTGAGAAGGATAAAGGAGGTTTGTGGCTGTATGTGAGAGTGGAGTTCAAGCAAGAGTAATAATAAGGATCTGGTAATGTCTTAAAGTATTTGGACATCCCTCTTCTTGGTTAATTGGGCTTTTGGGAACATGTCTCTCGTATTAGTTAAGAGTATAATGTGCTCTCAATTGAACTGAGAAGGAGAATCTTTTGTATGGATTGTGTTGAAATTCAATCGATTTAAGAGATTACCAATTAGTTCATCAATTATCCTTACATCTGTTAGCATTATAACAGTGAAAGCATCAATAAGATTATAATCATACTGATGTGCATAGAATCAATAAATGATGAACAACAGAACACATAAGACATCAATATTTACAATTACATCCAGTTTATACCAGTTCACTTAAGAGGTTAAATAGACATAGATGATTTAATCAATTAGCATTAGGAAATGATTGCTTAATTTGCTTATTTTGATTAAACATAACTAACTAAATTGATTAAAATCATTCTATCATTCAATCCTTGTTTTAATGGGTCAATTTATTAAGTGAATTTTGAAAAAGAAAATTGTGAGATGATAGTAAATTATCACGGAATATAAATTTACCAAGGCACGTCATTTGTGTAATCCATACTATATTCTGAAATAGTAGGAATATCGATTTCATCTGCATAGTTGAGATTGCATTCATACAGACAGAAATTCAATAAATTGATATTCACCTTTTAAGATGACTAAAGTTTGGAGTGTTATCAGAACATACTCTCTTATTTGGTCTTGTTATCAAAAGAAAAGCCAGAGTATTTTAGTCTTTATTATGAGTACTCAAAAATTAGATACAAATATAATCTGCACCTTACTAATTCATCTGACTAGGATGAAATTGTGGAATAACTGTTATCTCTTGCTCAAAAAACAGGAATCTAGAATATTTTAGAGCGCTATCAATAAATCTATATCTAAAAGTTTTTGGAAGATAGTCATCTATCAAGAGTTGCAAAAAAGCAATTGAAACTACTCTAAATCATTTAATCTGCAACACCCTTTAGACCGATGGATCAAATATTCCCATTTCAGAAGGAGTGTCCTATTATATAATTTCTTAAGCCCAAGTTCCCTTAAAGTCAAGACATCACTATGTATTTTGGCAAAGGCAGTAGAAACGAAATAAAGAGATTGTTTGACCCAATCAGAGAACTCTTTCCTTCAGTTGAATACTTAGATGACTCACCTAATTCTTCAAGAGGGAAGTCGGCAAAGGAATCTTTAAAGTTTGAAAATTAATTGCTTGGCTCGAATCATCTCAAATCATAAAGATCGAAGGGGATAAGTTCTGAGAGCAGGAAGGTTTCTTTGATTAATTCCAGAAAAACTATAGAGTAAATCCAGATAAAATCGGAGGAGAAATAGGAAGTAAAATCAGAGCAACAAACTTATAGAAAGATTTCAAATGACAATATGTTTAAGTCTTAGGAGATTCAATCGGAGCAGAAGGCCAGTTTTATTTATAAGATCTAAGAGGAGGAGGAGAATATCAAATCAGAATATAGTCCCAGTATATTGTAATAGCAAAATCTAAGAGTGAGTTTGTCATTGAGTAAGACTGTGGAACATGTCATGTTCTAATCACATGAGAGTGATTTAAACCGATTGAGATTGGAGGGAGTCTTGAAATCTTAGTAATCTGCTATATTGCTATAGAACCAATAAGACTCTCGAACGTAGTCATCTCAATAGTTATTGGACAAGGACAATGAAAGCATTTTTGGGTCAGTCAATAGCATAAAATCAAAGAAGGAATAGAAGTTGCATTCGTTGTCAGAATAATTCATAAATTGATCTTATTTTATTAAATATTAACATAAATCTTTCATCCATTCACACTCAATTTTTAACTATATTGAAATTTATATACTTCATATTCCTAAATGAGAAAATCCCAATTTTATAACTAGGTTTCACAATCACAAAATACTTGATTATTGGTGTAATACCGCATATTATCTAAGTAGAAACGGACCTCATTTAACAGTTTATCAGTTTCAATCATAAATTGTTGATCGAATTACTCATTGAAATGATTCAACATATACACATACTAGTCTCTCTTTTCATTAACATAAAAGGTCTCCTTGGGTAGCATGATTTCTTTGGCATATTTAATGTCTGTGAAACACCTATTGATGTCGATTTTAGATTGTATCTCAGAATTCAACCCCCATTTCTGCAAGTCCTCTAAAATATAAGAAAAGATCAACTTAATGTGAATAGTTCTTCTTTTCGTTTTTCTAAGAGAAAGAACTCATTTGAAAAGTTTTGAAATGTCTCATTGAGATTTGATTTCAATTCGAAGAGTTATTATCTAGAATTCTTGAATTTCACAAGTGTAATCAACAACACATCCATTATTTGTTTGGTGGATCTCAAGATAAAGTCTTTTTAGGTTTACTAGATTAATGATAATCGATGTTACAAAGTGAGACTTAATCATGCTCAAGGCTTTTCCAAATTCTTAGGCTTCAAAGTATTGAGGAAGTGAAACGCATAACTGTTGGATCATTTCAATTGAAAACCCCAAGTTCTATTGCCCTTTGTAAGTGAATTCGGCAAATTATTCCAAATGTTTTTAGATAATATCATAATTTGCCTATTCTGAATTAAGATAGGAGTAGTAATCTTTGTATTTTTGGTATTGATTCTAATTGAATTGAACTGATAGCGTTCCTGTCTTTGATTATTTTTGATTGAGATTATATTACTTAATGAAAGTTTACTGATTGTAAAACTTTGATTAGAATTATTTGGGATTGGTTTCATTCAGGAAATGCAAACTGGGAGCTATGGTTCTGATGATAGGTTTCTTATTGTAGATTTACAGGAAAATCTGTGAATTTAAATATCGATAATACAGTAAGCACTTTTATTATGTTCTACTGCTCCTTCATGATTATATCGTAGTCATCAATGTCTTTGTATGGAAATGAGGGTAACTAGAGTAGATGATAATAATACAATGAATTCTGGAAAGGCTGCACAAAGTACATTTCTCAATTGGGCAAAATCTTAAAGGGTTCTCTTGATCTTCCATTCCATTGGATTAACTTAAATGGGAAACACGATCTATTTTGAAAAGAAATCTAGGATTCCTCCTCTCTCTTCGATTGGTCTAAAGTAATACTCTGAAAATTACGCGCTGATTTCAAATTACAACTCCACATTTTCATCAATAAAAAAATATAGTTGTTTGCATTTAATAGTTTTTTCGTATGGTAAGATATGCATCTTATCATTCTAATTATATAATAAGTGAAGATGTACAATTTTGATAGCTTCTTATTTTTAATTTTATGCATATACTTCCTTTTCAATAAATGAAAAGGAGCCTATGATCTCTGGAGATTCAGGTTCTATCAATGGGGTTTAGACCTGTAATTGGTCTTATTCTTAATTTATGTTGTAAGGAATACTTTCTAGCTGATATTGCTAGATGATGCTCAATAATTCGCCATAAGTCCATTCGCTTAAATCATGACCTAATTGAAATATGCTGCGGTACCTTTTTCTGGTTCCTTCTGAAGCACGAAGTACTCGAAGTCTTCTTGGTTGTATCCTTTGTTAATGATTTCTTCAATTAATAATTATTGTTCCTTTGTAAATTTTTAACTCATAATTATGGAAATCAAATTTAGTAATTAGATATTAAGTTTATTTATATGATGACATTTTCGATCTGTTTTAAGAAACGATTAAATTTCATAATAATTCATAAAAAACATATCAGAACCATCTTTTGGCCCATAATTTAAGCTTCTCTTATCCACTGTATAGATTCCTAGAAATGGCAATCAGTCTATCGCACTTAGAATCAATGACTCCATTCTCGTAAACGATGTCTCTCAACTTCTTCATGAATGGTTCGATCGAGTCCTTACATCCCAACTGCCAGAACACAACATTCAAGTACTCATGGAGACTAGAGAATAGGATGATGCACTTACTCGATATTTAGAATGCCTATAATGGTTGCTGTGAATGTTGGTATTAAATATGCATGTAAATTGACTTCACCAACTAAATGCTCAATGTTCCTCGAGTATCTGATAGCAAAAGGATCGTATAGAGCGAGTCTTTGGTTATTGACTTTGAATAGATATTTCTTTTGATAGAAGTTTCCGTTGCTCAAATTTATTTACAGGTTCTCCAATTATTTTGGAGACTGACTGCTGGCCATAGTGAAGGATAATGCGAATTGAACCCCTATGTTGACAACAAACACTTTTCTTATTTACACAAAAGTCTCGATAGTTTTTGAAAATCTTAGTATGTGCTTGGTTAGATCATCCTTTTTCAAGTGATCCTTCTCTAATTAGGAGCTAAATTAAAATTACAATATAATTACCTATAGTAGGGTATTTTGGTTGAGGGATCGCTGTTGGGATTGGCATGATAGTGTATTTGGAGGATTGTGTCTAAGATATTACTGAGATTATAGGTTTCTTCCTAATATGGTTCTATTTGATAATATTGTTTTTCGTATTCCAAGAGGTATTTATCGGAAACCATGTGTTTCACATTTCTGATTTTGGTCTCTTTGTAATTTTAATTTAAGATGTTAGTGATCTTGACGAATTGAGTGGATATATGTTCATCAAGAATTGATTGTATGAACTTCTTGTTTTCTATTTTCTTAGTCTTCAATAGGAAGAAGTACTTCTTTTCATCATTTCCTAACAAGGCTAATTGTCTGATGAATCGCTTTCTCCTTAAGAACATTAGATGAATGGTTGGAAACATGTTTGTGATATAGATGGTCTCAAATGCTTAAGTTCTCTTGATTTGGCCATCCAATCCAAACATGGGGAGTTGATTCATTTGGAACTCATCATTGATTGAATACAACTAATCAATTTGGATTTATTTGGGCAACAATGAATTCATGGAATTGCTTAATTGCAATGGGAAGTCCTCTTCCAAATTCATCTTGATTCCAAAGAGATTGACGTAAATGCATTTCAAAGTGATCAGATAAATCGTCTGAATGGTTTTGAGTTGATCACTTTTTAATAACTTATTCAAATCATTAAATTGCCAATATTACTTAATCATATCTTTAATCTAAGGATTCTTTTGTATGATATTTAGGATGTATTGGCATCTATCATTTATATTACTGGCATTGATTTCAAAGTGTTTGGAATCTAAGATTTTTCCACATTAATAAATAATTTCTTCAACATTATCCCAAACTTGCTAATCGAAGACGGAGTTGAAAAGATAACGTAATGAGTAGATTGAAGCTAGTTTTTGGTTTAATTTTGAAGAACTTTGTATGAAATTGACAAGCTAAGATGATCTGTCATCAGTGCACTATCCCAGACTCTTTATGTATTATATTAGTTATAAACTATTAAGAGGGTTGAAGGTACATAACTTGTTGATGGCATCCAAGCAATCTTTTCTGGTTTATTCACAAGGAGTTTAGAGATAGGTTGATACTAATTAGGTGAGGAATCGTTGTAATAAATGCAGGGGTATTAATCCAATTATTTAAGAGAATGCATCTGTTACGATTGAGTCAGTTGGATTTGTGATATTAAGGATATGAAACATGTACATGCCTGTGATAGGGAATTTCTGTGGTTTATATTACATGCTTAAGGGTGTTATCTGAATATAATGATGTGCAAACTTAATGTTGTTGCTATACTTCTTATGTGCAAGTTGATACACTTTATGGGCTTCTTTCCAGAATTTCAAATAGTTGACTTGATTTTGAATGAAGAATTCATTTGTCTAACTCACCATGACCTCTAGTTTTTGTTCCTCAATTTACATTCCGTTGCTGGATTCAGTTGATTGATCTAGTCTCAATAATTTGTAAAATTGATTGATCATCTTGTATCTTCTTATCTTGCTAATCATGTAGTTTTTGAATTCTTCAGCGCTATAAGTGCCCAATTGCAAGGAAGTGAAATAGTTGAGCATTTCAGTCAAGCTCTACTGATTGTTGTCCACATCTTAGAATTTCACTGTTTTGAATTTGATTTTCTCCAATTGATAAACTTTCTCGGCATACACTTAAAGCACTTTAGGCACTTCCTTTAGGATTGACTATTCGTCAAACAATTCAAAGATGCCATTCTATTGATAGTATCTCATTGGATAGAGTAAAGTCTTGTAATCCAAGGCTGCCAGCTAGTAACTCTTTTGATCTAGAGTTGTATTTGATTGTAATTGCTGATTATTAGTTTATTGAATCAACTGTCCATTGAATCTTTGTAAGCACATTTACAATTGCACCATCCTTTGGCTAATCAAATCGAAGGTGAATTCTTGTTGATCGATATTTGTGGGCTGTCTTTCGAAGAAGTATTTTTTGCATAAGAGACTGGATTGATAGGAATTAGATAACAGATCTAACAATTGATCATAAGCATTCTAGGCTTGGGCAGGAAAGGCAGGTTGAGTTGGAGCATATTGTCTGAGACTTTCTTCTAATTCAGTGTAGAGTTAGAATTGAGACACAAAATTAAGGAATTTGTTACCCCACAATTATGGAGAGGCCATGGTTTAATCATATGATTGGGTGAGTTTGGGGAGGGTTTTGATGAAGTTGTAGCAATTGATAATTTGAGCATATTTAAGATTTTATTCAATTGATTACAACACATGATTGCCACCTCTTCCATGCTGATTTGATGATGCTTCATCTCTAACAAAATCCAGCAGTTTGAAGTAGGCTGTATTATAGCAATAGAGATCATTCTGTTGTATGTTTGGTTTCACTTCTGACAGCTGATTCAAATCCTTCCATCCTTGATCAGTAGCATCCCTTTATCTCTCTCTGAAATTCATGATTATTTTATTCTAAACTGCTTAGACTCTACTCATTTCTACTTATTTGAGTGTGTTCCATTAATTTAACTATTACAAGGACTCTGTGAATAGTTGATGAATTATTTATTGATCATATTCCTTTTGAATTCCCTAAGCCTCATTGGTTTCTTATTCTAATTACAACCAAAATTGATCAACACTCTCTTAATTGCTTAAGATCAATTAATATGATTATGAAGGTTCTCTTAATTGATTGATTAAAACCAATTGTCTAACCCAAGGTTGAGTGGCAGTCAAGGCTTTACAACCTAATAAGCATTGTTTATTCCATTATTCTTGATATACTCCTTGTAATTAAACGAGGATGTCTTCATTCAATTGTGAATAGTAAGATGAATCCTCATTCAAATATTAATAAATATATTCCAATAAATATTATGCTAATGATAGAAGATTCTTCTATCTAAGACACATAATTAGATTGTTGAAATTAAGTTGGGTCTGCTGATTCTCCATAATGTCATAAATATTAGTCATTTGAGATAGAATCTGTTGCACCAAGAAATTAGAGATGGTCTAAAGAGTGCCATTGGAGATGGATTGTTATTATAGATAGTCAGTTATTTAACTGATGGTTTTGATGTCATTAAGCACAACTTGATTAAATATGGGTTTGAGTAAACGACTGCTCACATTAGCAGCTGTACCCATCAATTCAATGGCTGCACTTGGAATGATGCATTCTCTTAATGGTTATTGTGGTTAATCTTATATTGGAATGTAAGACAGATTGTAAATGACTATGGAAGGTAGATACTCACTGGTGAATAGTTTGATACTTGAGTTGTACAATTTCTACCAGTACTTCTTCCTGTAATAAATGGCCAAATATTTGTTGAGCACTTGTTCCCTCATCATGGAATCCTCATCCTTAGGCACCACTTTCACAACTATTTGATTTGGTTGAGTAGGCTGGAATGCCTTGGGAGACAACATGTGTCCTCTTCCTAACATCATGAATTTGACAGCCATCAACATGATCTCTTCGCCTTCTGTCTGAAGTGGTTATTCCTACTATTTGCTACTGGGATCTCCCAACACGAATTACAGGAAGCGATCGTATGTATATCCATAGATATCAAGAATCATTCGATAGAAGAATTACAAGTAATCCAAACATGTACTCAATTTACTGATTATCTATAAGATACGTCTGAATTCTCTTAAAGAACCATTCCCCTTATCAAATATATTCTTTAATAGATAAAATCCACTGTTGATTGACCCTTGTTGTTTCTTGAATGGATACACCAACAATAGTTCGCATAAGAAAATAAAGTACAATTTGAACACTTTGAGATCTTAGATCTTCCCATGTTGATTGTCGTAACTATCAGAACTCCTTTGATCGATCTTCTTGTCGAATATACTTTGGAACTTGTTAAGATCAAAAAAGAAACTTAATTACTGCTCATATGATAACTTGGATGGTTTGAATTACAGATTCTCCTCCATCTTCTTCAATTCTTGTCTCATCTGGAATGATCTCACTGGAGACAGATACACTGATATTGCCTGCAAGTAACCCTCCCTATTCGAAATCCCATTGATGAATAGCATCCTCATTATTGAAATGCATTCCAATTTCAACTCATAATCAGGCACAGACTCTATTATCCAAATTAACATTTGCAAGTATTCGATCTACTCTTTCTAATCCTTAATTTCATCAAAGTTGTAAGCTATCATCTTCAAGGTCTTTTGAAGAGCTGACCTATACAAGTGGAACTTGATCTTCTGATTCTCAGGGAAATCCTCAGGGAAATAGAGC